TCTTCCTCTTCCTCTTCCTCTTCCTCTTCCTCTTCCTCTTCCTCTTCCTCTTCCTCTTCCTCTTCCTCTTCCTCTTCTTCTTCTTCTTCCTCTTCTTCTTCTTCTTCTTCTTCTTCTTAAGACTCTAATTAGTGCTGATGATATATATATATACCCCAACCAACCAACCAACCATCCATCCAATTTAATTTCCATCATGACAATCAACCAACCAACCAACCACTTGCCATTCATTCTCCAATTCAGTCGTGATTTTTGAGATTGAAAAAAAAAATTTAAATTCAAATCGCAGCAAGTGGGGTTGGGGGCCGGACAAGTGATGAAAATGATCCAGGCAGGGGGGGGGGTAAGAGATGATGAGGTGTGTGTTTGTGTGTGTGTATATATATGTATATGTATATGTATATAAAGCATTTATGTGTGTGTATATGCATGTCTAACTGCCTATCTATCGATCAATCAATCAATCTATCAATCAATCAATCTATCAATCAATCAATCTATCAATCAATCAATCAATCAAACGTTCAATCCTCCGTGTATATTCAATCGGAGTGTAGAATGTAGCCACAGGGCGCTCTATGCTTAGAAACGGACGGGGGGCGAAAATTGCTCTTTCCTTGAAGCAAACACAAGAAAACACCATGCCAATGCCATGCTATACCATGCTATACCAAGTTAACTTAAGCCAAGCCATGCATCAACACCTATCTATATTACCAAGCTCCACCACGCTCATGTGCATATATACATGTACTATACAGACGTCTACAACTCGTCGGGTGTCCGAAACGCCCAGCCCCTCTCCGGCACACTGAGCCCAAGCCACCAGGCATACAGACGCCTCAACTCCCACAGCCCGATCGCGTACAGCTTGCGGGGCAGATTCCACCATTGACGCATCACGTACCAGTACGTGCGCCAGACCAGGTATGCCTCGGCGTACAGCATCTCCGTGAATGTCTCGTCCGGGTCGTATAGTCTGGGTTTCGGCCGCCATTCCTCGTCGTCGTCGTATACTTTTGCCTTCTTCTTCTTGTTTTGGATGGGCGGAACGTCGTCGTTGATGGGGTGAGGGAGCTGTGAGGGCTCGGCGTCTGGGGTCTGGGCCAGCCCGTCACGCTCTTCGATCATGTGGCGGAAGGATTTGATTGCTTTGAGCGAGTGTGATAGGCGGTCGAGGGTATTCACCAGGGCGACGAGCTCTGTGCGACGCAGCGGCGGATCGTTTTCGCTGTTGGACTCGTCGAACTCGAAAAGTACTTTGAGCGCCGCGCCATAGCCTGCGGTTTGCACTTTACCCCATAGGCGGCACTTGTCACAGCCGACGCAGTCCATAATCCGCGAGACGTTGCGGAAGCGGTTACGGAAGTCCTCTTTGAGATCGATGACCGATGGATCAGCGAACATTGTTGTTTCATCGAAGATCTCAGCAGCTGAGGGCACATTGGCGGCAAGATTGAGGACGAGGTTTTTGGTCTTGGAATCTTGTGTTGGATCGGCTGAGCAGAAAGAGTAGTTTTGAATGTGTTGGCGGACCTTGCCTACAGCACGGAGAACCAGTGCATAGTTGAAGTAGAGATTCGAGACTCGATCGGGATGACTATGAAGGCGAGACTCGTAACATGCCAAGTTCGGACCCCATTCTCCAGTCGTTTGGTTTAGGTAGTCATGGCATAGGTGTGTGGATATAGAAGCGTGCATTCCAGAGATGACGCGATGGAAGACACGCTTCTCGAGACAAGTGTCGTCAAATTCTATAGGGTCAACACGAGCCGATCCAGAGCCGTGGGCGATAGCGGATTGGATACCTTGCTTGACTCCCTGTTCCTTGAGGGCCTGACGCAGATCCTGTGCGGCGAAGCCGCCAAGCGAAGAACCAGAAGAACCGGGGGTCTGAACAACTACCTCTGGACTGCCTTTTGAAAAGCAATTTTCCCTGTAGATGGCCTCCCAAACCTGCTGCGCGCCAGGGCCAGCATATCCGGTGAATCGCTCTGGATTGTCGACAAGACTGACATAATCGCCCTTTGCATCTGCTCGTTCATCCTCTGGTATGCAGTAGTCTCTGTCATCGCACTCATCATCCGACTCAACTACGCAACTCTCTTCTACGTTTTCTCCAAGATGCCCATGCAGCGGTTTCTCATTCAACACTTCTCTGACTTTCTTTCCAGGATGCTTTGCCCGTGGTCCTTCAAGTTTACCCAGCTCTTGCGCTCTCCAGACAAGGGGTATATCTTCTTCATTGTCCAACGTGTTCACCGCACAAGCAATGTTGCCACACATGCCATTCTCATCATCCCAGAACGGACATTTTTTGTTGAACAGGTTCAATCGGTAGTGTGAGAAGAAGTCGGTGTCCTGGGTGATCTTCGTGACAAACGGACTCAGAGCTTCGTTGAGGCCGTCGAGGGTGGAATAAGAGGCACAAGCATCGGAGACAATGGCGCCCGGCTCGAACTGCACGGAAACAAGTTTAGAGGGGGTATCTACGAGAACAGACGGCTGGGAATGACAGTCACTGGAATTGGCATTGCTTACATCGCAGACATTCGGAGGCGCATTCTTGCTCTTTGTCGGTTCTCGTGCGTTGAGTTGCGGCGACGCTGTGTGCGACGTACCCAGCAGCGAGAAGACGGCCAGGTAGAAGAGTTGTTCCGCTTTCCTCATATTACGAGGGCTCGAGTGTGCACGGAACGTTCTATGTGAGCTATGCGGATCCGAAAGTCAGCGAGTGTGTCAAGCGCATCCCAGAGGTGCAGAAGGTTGGTGAGCAGTACCGGGGGACGGACAGCAGGACACAGCACTTACAGATTGGCGATATATAGCGCAAATACTCTGTTGAACACAGATGTCACAGTATCTTCTGGTGTAAAGGGTCCTGAGGCGAAGAGGCCAGGTGTTGAAGTGCTAAGACTTTCCTGAGCCGGGGTGAACCTGGTAGGCGGAAGGTCTTAAGGTGGAAGGAGCGGCTTAGTCCTAGACTTGATCTCATTGACTAGTCGAGTATAGCATAGAAGAGAGCGCAGGTATGCAAAGGGATTGCTGAACCACAGACAGGAATTATGTTCATCGAGAAACGAGCGTAAAATGCAAATGCAGTCCTCACTTTGTCCGGTCGAAGCAGCGTGTCCTTTGTCGGTTCGGATGGCGCACGTGGCGCTCCACTGCCGTGACGTGGTGGCTCAGGGCCTCAGGCTCGCTAATCTATCTTTAGCTGCACCCTGACGGTAGCCTTAAATTTCAGACATCAAACTCCTCCACGTCCATTAGCAAAAGACTTGTGGTAGACATCATGGTCAGTTACTTTTGCACATTAGGTTACTTTTGCACATTAGGTTACTCAGAACGGCTCAGACACTCGAACACCCACTTTGACGTCTCGGAGAAACGAATCACCAGTATCATCACCGCAATAAAGACAGTAGCAAGCCTACAAGGACCAGCAACAAGCAACAAACCATAAAACCGGCTTCAGGCAGTCAAATTTACTCGCAGAAGTTTACGAAGGACAATTAGAGGTTTATATCGGTTCATGCTTAGTATCCCCTTTTTCTGCACGTGTTCAGTCGGTCACCATCCACCTAACACAGCACCTTGCACGTTCTACCATTGTCCTTGCATGACTCCTACACTGAGAGCTACGTAGAGTAATTAGGGCTAAACTCCTATCATGGGCAGTCATCGTTTGTACGGAGTTTTTGTTTACTCTGTACGTGGTTCATCTTTACTCTATACCTGAATTGGTGATGATGGGTATGACATGACCGTATCATCAACACAGCAACCCAAATCACCCAATCCACAGATCTCAACACGGTCTCCCACTCTATCAGACCTAGACCTGGAGCATCTAGTATCCATTCAAATCAGCATAAGCATAGCCCGCGACCTTGCTAGATTCAAGCACGGTCGTGCTTCCTTTCTATAGACCACTGGCATGGTGATACATGATCGGCTGAATCTGTAAAGATGTTTGTGCATACTTGACATCTTCGTTTCGCAAATTTCGTGATATACCTGACTATATCGAATTTGAAGTTACTGTACCCGTACCCATCTCCATAGCTTCCCAAATCTCCCAAACGCCCTATTCAACCGTCGACCCCGGGCCCCGTTGGCTATCCATGAGTCTTGCTGATCGGCGCTATATCAAGTCAAGTTTCCTATCCGCGGTCTTGCTACCGGTTGGCTAGTCCCCACGTCTTTTCCACAGGCCAGACAGAGCCAGACAAAGCCAGACAGAACCAAACCATAAAACAAAACACATCACACGCCCACCTATTAAATACATTCCAACAAAGGATCCAAAATACAAACCATAACCCCTATCCCAGTCACTCAAACATCACATGCTCGACTGAAAGTAAACCGGCAAGGACGGAACATCCACATTCCCTCCGTATTATCCCATGCCCATGTGATTCGCGGCTGTGCAGACACAGGACGATTCATAGCACCATCCATAGCACCATCCACCCCCTTGCATGTCCATGCGAGTGTCAGACAAACAGACACCCATCAAACCCAGGCCAGCACACCGACGCCCATACACACAAAGAACCCCCAAAAATAGACCCGACATCGGGCATTAGAAGTAACACGGACAGACTCGCGACGTACCACAACACAAGCAAGGGGGAAGCAACTCAACGCACGACAATCCCACGTCTGAAATAAACCTTACATTGGGAAACCTGCGTTGGGGGGGTGTTGGGGGGGAGTGTGTAACGGACTACTCGGCCGCCAGCACGCGCTGTGGAACCCCCTTCTCCATTCAAACCTGTACTGCATGTATGCATGAAAGAGAGGCTATGCAAAGGGCGATATCTCAATGTTTTTTGAGCGTAGGAGAGAAGGAATGCATCTGGAACGGACTTGCGTTGCCCGACGGAGTAATTATATCGAGCATCGAGGACGCCCTGCTTTTTAGGCTGAGGGCGGACACGCCTCCCCCTGGTGTACAACGAAGTCTGACACTCAGCTGGATAGATTGATTGATACGTGGATGTTGCCGGTCATGTTCATGATGATGATGATGATGATGATGATGATGATGATGATGATGATGATGCTACTGCTGCTATGCAAGTTCCGGTGAGAGGCGTGTTAGGTGGGTATAGTGTCGTGGTATTGGGATGAGATTATTCATTGCTCAGGGGGGTAGGGGGGGGGGGGGGGGGGGGTGTAGGATTTGTGAGATGAAGACTGTGAGAGTTCAAGCGCCCATAAGCAGGCGGGCTACCTGAAGTCAGGCGGCATACGGCAGATGGATGTGGTGGAGCGGAAGGCAGTAGAAAAGGAGCCATGATAGTTAGCCATGGCGTTTGTTTCCGTACATGGATCAAGCTTGACAGTCAGGAAACTCTGTTGTGGCGGGCTTAGATGTGTGTGTGTGTGCGTGTGTGTGTGTGGACATACCATCGCAGCGCTGTCGTCTAAAGAGACGCCGAGACAAGGTAAATTAAGTTTGACGAGCAAATTCGTATTCGACGCCAGGTTCACGCACTCTTGACGGCTTTCAAGTCTCGAAACGTTATGTCTACGAGTCACGTACTGTCGTTATGCGAAGCACTATCGTTAGTACACACCCAATGCTCGAATCTCACTCTGGGTACTTGCTCTCTAGGCTTCAAAGTCCACAGTGAACGTCGTGATCGCCTGAAAGAACTACTGAGGCATCGTACGTCGCACAGAGAAGCCGCTCCACAGCCTGTTGCAGCAGAGTAAGTAAGCGCAGGCTGACTTCTCCCGATAGTTCGCCGAGAGATTCCCTTTTGACTGAATATGGTATTATTGCCCCACGCGAGCAATTCCTGCTTTGATGATCTTGATAGCACGTTTGCATCGAATAACGAGCCGCTTGTGGTGGCGAGAGACGTGGGATGAATAGATCGATCGACAAGCTCAGCCCTCGTTTTACGCAGGACACGAGTTGATTTGGTCGAGCGGCACTCTTGGATATTCTGCTCGCCAGAATGATAACCAGAGGCCAGGGGATCTAGAAACATCAATGTTCTGTTGTTCGGTGTAAAAGCAGGCGAGGCGAGTGGTTGGACATTCCACTGTACTAGTCAGAGCAATGTAGCTAGCTGAATTAGAGCTTGATATGCTTTAGCCAAACTTAGTTCGTGCAACGCTGGTATATCGACGTATCTGCAGCGTCCAAATTTCCCATTCGAGCCGAGAACAAAGACTGGGTCGTCTCCACATTGCTCTGGTGGCTGATGCGAAGTCCAATTCGAGACCTTGGGGGCCTCCCGCGGCATGCGCACAAAAGCCCCCAGTCATACCTGCTCGCTACGACCCCAGGTTTCGATGACATGAGAAGGCCTTGTGGGACGGACGAGGATGCTGTCCACCGAATCAGACTGTCCCTATAAGAGCCCGGCAGCTCCACACTCGATAACATCCTACGCGATAGTCAGTAGTAATGTGTAAGGCTGGCCCCTCTCGCCCCCTCGGCCGAGAACGAGCAAAAGAGACCGAAGTAAGCCATCAGCTTCCACAATATTAATGGGACGGCATTGAGTCCGTGGCTGGAGACTCGTGCCTAGTAAGATGATAATCAAGCGTGTCGAGCTGATTGCGTGCATGGAAACGGGATGCGACGTCTGCATGAATATGCGCGTCAGCATGTAAAGAAGTCATTAAGCTGCAGCACCGGAGCCCCACTAGGATGGTCAAAGATCGAAATGTGGGGTAATAGCGCGACGGGACGAGCGAGTAACAGCACAAGGTGCAGATCTCTCTAGCCGATTGGTAATAGCATGCAATGCTATACCATAACATACCGTCGTAACGGTGATGGTGTTGATCAACGAGACCAAATGGCGATGGTGCTGGCGTAGAGAGTGTGGCAGCGTACGGATCCACATGCCGACGTCCCCATCAGACTTGATGACACGAAGACGGGATTGTGAAGCCCGACATCCAGGAGCCGCGATCGGTACCTTGGCCTAGGTAGTGATGTAACATGTAGTACGATGCAGATGTTGATGAAGTAGTTGTAGCAGTGGCGTGAGGAGCGCGACCAAGCCCTATGCCGATGTGGAAGCAAGCGAGAGGAGACAGAATTGGTACGATCCCATGGAACTACCCTTGTCCATGAGCGTTCCACCAGCCTTCTTATACCGTTACCAGAAGCCGACGTGGGGGGTTTTGTCCATGAGTGACTCCATTTACATATACTGTTTACTGCATGGTTGCGCGTCCATCCATCCCTCCACGCCTCCACGCGCCGGTACCTTGCAAAAAGCAGGAAGAAAGATTTACGGGCGGAGGATAGAATGACCGCCTTCTGTTCAGGTACCCGGCATCCGGCACCGGCGCCCGGCAGCAAAGACCGAAGATGAGCAGAGTCAATGCCATCTTTCCCACTCCGCCGGGTCGCACAAGCCACAAAGACTGGCTATATCTTGCATCGCGCCTGGGTTGCCTCATGGAATGGACCAGGTGAGTAGCTAGTAGCCGTGCATCGAACGGGGTCACGAGCAACGATGCATGTTCCACGACACCCTGCACGAGGAGTCTTCCTGCGGCGTTGGGACAACGGCAACGTGGACATTACGACTCGCGCTCACTCGGACGACCAAGCATTCAGATCCGTCGGCAAGATGGTCGAATGTAAAATTCGAAAACTTGGACATGGAGTGCTCAGTGATCAGCGAAGAGTGTGGTGGTAATAGTGGTGGTGGTGGTGGTGGTGGTGGTGGTGGTGGTGATGGTCATCGTGTTTCAGGGAGTGTCATGTCCAGATTCCGTACTAGAGTCAACTTAAGCGGGCGGTAAATTAGTGTGAGTGAGTGCGCAGCTGTCATCCTCGACACAGCACAAGTCAGTCTAGGGTGTTCCGCCACCTCCTGGGGTACCTAGCTGACTTTACCTAGCTAAGGGGGTGGCTGTCGGGGGAAGGACAAGGTAGATGTATGTGGAGCGTGGGGGTTCAGTATAGTCCCAGTCCCCCTATCGCGTCAAGTGTATTTCCATGCCCATCCGAACATTGCCCAAATGGCCTCGGCCTCGGTCTCGACGACGCCAGGGAGCATTTCCATGACTGTACCGGACGCCGCGTGATGCGATCAAAGCCTTCTGTGCACATTTCTCCAGCTGCCACGTCGAGCGCTTGCGTAGGAGCTGGCTGTGATTGACGACCATGCGGCGAGAGCCTGTTGATGCGTGAGGACTGAAGACGAAGACTAGGCGCAGGAGCTGGAGCAGGCGTCGTCATTGGCACCACGATAGAATGAACTGCAGAGGCGTACGGTGCGGTGTGTAAGAGGTAAGTAGCATCACCCGACATTGCTGATCCTGGATAGCTGTGCCTCTTCTGTCAATTGGTAGGCTTGGTGTAAGCGCCATGGAGCTGAGCTTGGAGAGAGTACGAGGAGTCAGGACTGGAGACTCGAGGCTTCCGGAGGTCAAGGATGCTTCTGTTTTCGACTTTCGAGTCGTTAGACTCTTGAGCCCCAGATAGAAAGCTAGGGATATTAGATCGAGGATATGCTGGAGACACAGACGCAAGACCACAGACGCAGACGCAGACGCAAGACCCACCCCCACGCTACAAACGACGAACCATCTTTTGCATCCGTTATAGTGGTGCTGTCCAGTAGTGTCGAGCATATTGTTATTGATGGAGGGCTCCGACGCAAGATCATGCTGCCCGGGCGGATTGATATGCTGGGTGCTAGACTGCTAGTGGGCTGTTTGACTGCATTTGGCTGTGCCCGTGGGCTGACCTCCCCCTCCCCCCAAAAGCCCCGGCTTTTAGCCTATCGTAGCCTTTTGTTGCGCCTACTCAACTCTCTCCATGATCGTCACCAGCCCGCTTGGCCCTCGGATCTAGCGAACAAAGGAGCAGTTCTCAGAGGCGAACCCGGAGGCCTCTATTGGGAAGTTCTTTACAGGTTTCTTCCCCCCCCTTCCCCTTGTCCCCCTGTGCCTGGTTCCCCAGTTCTTTGCCGCATCAATTCATGCCGTACTTACTTGTGTGATATTATCATGTTACCTGTTAGTAGCAATTGGCAAACTGCCCCAGTCCTTCTGTCACTGTTGCGTCGCTCGATTGCTCGTTGTCTATTGGCCGTCAGCTCCGTGCGCGCCACTTGTTCCTGAATCATGCCAGGCCCCCGCACCCTCGTGGTCACCGCCTCTTGGGCTAATTTTGTACCACAAAACATTCCTATTCGGATTTCACTGCCCGTGTGGCCCTGTCCTTGTCGTCCCCCAAAACCGTTTTGTTGCCTCTGGATCGTGTAATGTACCAAACATCCTGTTGCATTGCTCCAGTCCGGCTCACTCGCCGCCTTGTTCAGGTCTCCCTCGCTCGTTCTTGTCTTCCCACTCACAGAGCGTTACCTCATGTCAGCTGAACCCCCACACAGCCCCGTCCTGGACTGCTGGCCATCCTCCGCGCCATGAATCGTGAAATATATATATATATAAGCCTTGGACGCTCCTACCGTAAGCTTGCCATCCTCGTTATCGTGACTTGTTTTGACGCTTGATTTGTTAATTGTCTCCAAGCTTTGGCTGTCTCACTTCCACCTGCCATTACCTCCCTACACATTCCACTATCGCCACTTCCGCTATAAATAATGTCACCTCACCATGACGCTCCCTCTCCAACTGGAAGCTTCACTTCACCCTCACCTGCTGTCCAAGCCATCTACAATATGTCTCGATACAACGACTCCTTCGAATCCGGCTCCGTCGATTCCATGGGCATCCGTAGAGTCTTGACTCCCGGTGTCTACGTGCCCACTCCAGCTTTCTTCGATCCCATCACGGATCAGTTGGACCTGGAGACCACGGCTAGCCATGCTGTGCGGTTGGCCAAAGCTGGTGTCGCCGGCATTACCACTCAGGGTAGCAACGGGGAAGCTGTCCATCTGTCACACCGAGAACGAGATCTCGTGACAAAGGCCACACGCAAGGCGCTTGATGACGCCGGATTCAGCGACATGCCTGTCATCGTCGGCTGTGGCGCGCAATCGACCAGAGAAGTCATCGAATTGTGCCACGAAGCATCCCAGGCTGGTGGAGATTACGCGTTGGTATTGCCACCTTCATACTACCAAGGCCTCTTTGCCAAAGACACTGTCACCACTTTTTTCAAGGATGTTGCAGATGCATCACCAATCCCAATAATCATCTATAACTATCCCGGTGCTGTCTCTGGCATGGACCTCAACTCCGACATCATTATCGAGCTTGCTCAGCATGACAACATCACGGGCGTCAAGCTGACGTGCGGTAACACCGGAAAGCTGAACAGGGTCGCCGCCGCGACCCGCGCTGCTACTGTTGCAGAGCCAGGATCAGGCTTCATGTGTATGGGCGGGTCTGCTGATTTCACTCTCCAGACACTCATTGGCGGGGGTTCTGGCATTATCGCAGGTCTCGCCAACATCGCACCGAAAGCTTGCATCAAGCTTGGTGAGCTGTTTGAAGCAGGCAAACTCAAGGAGGCCCGCAAGATGCAGGCAGTGGTTGCTCGAGGTGATTGGGTTGCTATTCAAGGCGGTGTTATTGGGACCAAAGCTGCTCTGATGTCGCACTTCAACTACGGCGGCCATGGACGGAAGCCGCTACCTCGCCCATCAAAGGAAGAAAGTCGCAAGTGGCACGAAGCTTTCGACGAGCTGGTTAAGCTCGAGAAGTCTCTGTGATTTGACGATCAATGCTCCGGGACGAAATGGGATAATGAAGGAGTGTCATGTCTAGTCCGAAATTGGTGTTACTGGGTATGAGCATCAGAAGGCGTTACGCGAGACGTCGGTGAGGATGCATTCAAAACGGCGTTCTGTTGGGGATAGCGAATCTTGTTGTCAAGGGCAGGAAAAACATTCTTAGACTATTCCTGCGATACCATTAGACACCGAAAGCTCAACAGCTTACATGTATATATACCTAATTCTTTACGAGATTCTTCGATGACATCCCGACCTGCATGTGTTAAACATACACCATGGGATGTGCTATTGGAAATGCGTGCTTAAACAACCCCATATAACATGACGCAGTGTGTTTGGCTACCAGAGGGTGATAGCAGCGCGCCACTGGCGCTACCTGAGATGTCGATAATGATGCAGCCTCAGCCTTATCGCGTCGTGTATCTTATGCATGCATCAAACCTGATCCACGTGTTTCTCTGCAGGCATTATCTTGTAGAGTTACAGCCAGTCAGAGTTACACTTGGGCAATGCGAGACTTGGCGGCTTGCTGTAGCGTGGGATGACTGACGACGCCGACCATGACGATCCGAAACGGTCAAATGGGGCTAGGTCCTAATCTCTCTCACTGGACAGGAGTGTGGTACATCCATGCTAATCATCGCTGATAGAGCTGTTGGCTCTTAATGTTGCATTCGTTATCAGGAACGAAATGCGGACATGGCTTACATGAGCCCCTAGACGGAGAGTCCAGTGTTGGTATGCCTTAAAGTGATCGGACTGATCCAAAGTCGGCGTCATATAGCCCCTCGAGTACTTGGGTTGTACTTATTTTGTGTTTTGAAAACGCCACGGCAATTAAAGATAAGAGATGTCAGGATAGACATGCCTGCCACGCGGGAGGATAACTCAAACTCCGTAATAACATATTGTTCGCTTCGTTATCCAGACAAGGAGGGCCACTAGCAACGAGCACAAGATACGGGACGGAAAGGTATTGACAGAAAGCAAAATGAGTGTGCGGCAAGTCGAGATAGATCTTAAGCGAGAAGTTTCCAAGCCGAAAACAGAAGGGGAAGCAAGCCCAGTTGCCGCTGCCAAATGGGCTGCATCGTTTCGGAGTGCTATCAGCAGACTTCGTGGGCATACCGATAACAATTGGATCTACAGGCGCATTACTGTTACACATGCCACTACCACTGCTCTATTTATCTGTAGGCATTTCTCCAGATGACGTAGCGGTAGCTGATGGTAGGTCAAAGTAAAGGCCTGAGCTCTGTCAAAAGTTCAAAAGGGATTGTTGCATTATGAGAGGATCACCAAGTCCTTCACTCTTGCTGGAAGAAATGAGACTCTGCGTCTGCCCACAGGAGGTGCACTTCGTTGACGGATAATTGCTAGACGCCGTGCATCATCGTCACACTTCAGGCCACAGTCTGTTATCCGGCATCAGTTCGCTCGGCATAGGACATTCTCTCACTGTAAAGTGAAGGCTCGAATCTACTAATCTTGTGGCTCAAGCAGCTGCGAATTTGACGTGCTAGTTCCATTTGTTATCATGAGTCCAAAGTTCGGACCAGGAGGAATGGGCTTACAAACTTCCTGACGCCTGCGGCGATCGCAAGCAAAGCACTCCGCGGCGCTACCATGCCCCAACAGTATTTCTATTGCATCGTGTCTGCTCATTGAACCAGCGTAGAGGTCTAGATCTTCATTAGTGAGTTTACTTATGTACTTTGCTGACATCATCTCGGGCAGCACAGAGTTGAGGCATTTTTTCGACCATTAGCGGCGAGGACACGTTGGTCAGATAGACTTCTCTTGACCAACTCACTTTGTAGTATGTATACACTAACTCATACAATGCCGTTGATGGACTCTCGTTTCGTTACAGCTGCTTCATTGGTCTTACCGGACCGGATGGATGTGGAAACTATCAACTGTTTACTACATACACCCTTGGAACCGCAATATTCCTCAAATCTATATACTAGCGGAGCAATCTCTATCACAATCGAATTGACCATGAGATGAATGATAGAGTTTGCGTGCACAATACTGGAGATCGTGACGCGAGGTGCGTCGTCGTCGGTGGACCGGCACGACCACTGTCAAAGGCATTTTGTCCCTAATTAGTTGGCCGAAGAACCGGGCGGTTCAGGTGGCTTCCAAGGTTGTCGTGACTCCCCTGTGCCTTACCGCCGCGGAACCCATTTATCAAAACACCTTGAAGTGTGTCTGATGGCTTAAACAGTGCAGCAGTGTCTCAGCTTGAGGTTTGGCTTTTTGATGTTCGAACGATATCATTGCAGATGGTAGTTGCTATAAAACGCTTGTGGTGTTGGGACGAGAGACTTAATGAGTCTGCTTGCCGGCCTTGGCACTTTCTTCCCCGATGTCTTTCTCCTTAGCTCAGGTTCTATATTTAAATATACGGTAATAATACCTGAAATGTGTACTTATAAGTATACGTATGAGTGCGATCGCAGGTATTAGCCTCGTTCAGCTTTTGAACGGCCTAAAATAGCACCTCTTGTTTGTCAACTTACGTTCTACTATAATAAGTCTCTATCTATGGCATAGAACATGTACTTAGGATTCTATCTATGTCGTAGGAGAAGAGCAAATCAAATCGCGCGCTCGAAAGAGTCTAGCGCCAGATCCACGCAGCGGCCCCGGGCGCGGCTGGGGGCAAGTCAACGAATTTCATGTCTCAGACCACCAGTTGATGCTATATAATATGTACATAGTACACCTGCCAATCTGTTATTGAGTGTCATCCAAAGCTACGGCCCTGGCGGCAACTGATTGTTGAATAACACTACTACAAGCATCAGGCATCCCACAGATAGTGTTGCATGTATATATACATACATATATACTACGGCCAATCTTCCAATTCCTGCTCCAATGTTAGTCATCTTATGGACGTCGGCCCTACGTGAAGCTAATCTTGAATACGAAACTGCGGAGAACGTTTCATAATAGGAGGATATGACATGCGCGCATATGTTCAATCCTACATCACGTGTTACAGGAGACCTGCATTGCAACCCTTGAAGGGTGCCATTACAGATGTCGCAACAACATGGAGTCTTCCTGATTCATCGTCTTAACTTCGGCTGTAAAGATCCCATGACTGGATCAACGGCTTGGCCGCCTGGGCACAGTAAAGCAAGAAGTGGAGATCGCCGGACTTGCGATGTCGCCATACCTAGGAATGCCCCCGACATTGCATATTAAAGATGGGGGCTATCTGTCACCCAAACACGTTCACGGACTGAGGCATAATTATACCTGATTCAATCATTCTGGAAGACCTCCACATACAGCGATAGAACAGTTTGCTTGGCACGTTAGTGACGTCTCGCTGTTTCGTAGCACTAAAGCTAGTGGCAGCATATGAGACTTCCATCACCATTCGTTGGGTGAACAGGCTTCTGAGTAATCCATGCGAGCTATGAGCGTTTTGCTGCAGCCATGCCAGGTATCTTTCATGCTACTCTCTAGAAGCCTTCCTCGCGCGCTTTGGTATGGCGTGACACGGACATGATGCAAGTTTATCCAAATCGCTCGCCATCTGCATTTCTGGGCGTTCCACCATCAAGAGTAGTTCAAAATGCATGCATACGAGACCTTTGATCTGCATGTAGTATGTTATCGTCTCATTCCCTTAACACGGCGTTTGATTCTTCTCTGGTGCATTTTTTCAAGCACTAATTTTCCTGGTCCTTCCCTGAAATTTTGACGATTCTCATGGCTATCTGGAGAAAGCCTGTTACTTGGTTGAGATCGAACAGCGATGTAGACCTCAGCGAGGTTCGCGGGGCGAATGAACAGGTTGGAGACCACATCTTCGTGGACGGCGTCGAAATTTTCCAGGATAAGACCGGAGCCCCTGTTGAACAGGCCAGTCCGCTTGGGTATCATGTCGGATGGGTTGGCATTATATGTTTGAATATAAGTCAAATGATTGGGACTGGTATCTTCAGTACTCGTAAGTTCATATGGAAGAAATACATCCACGGCATGGGCCACTGACCTGGAAACAGCTGGCTCTATTCTTGCCGGGCTCGGATCTGTTGGCTTGAGTCTCTTATATTGGGTTATTGGAGGCATCATTTCAGCGGGTATGTTCTTGACGAGCCTAAACATATTGAGATTGCCATTAATTCATGACGGACGGATAGCGGCATTGTCGATATATCTCGAATACACAGCCCTATTCCCAAACCGTAGTGGGGCATTGGTATGTTTCCTACCTTTTACTCTTTCCTCGCTGACCGGCTGTAGGTTGTGTATCTGGAACAAGCATTTCCAAAGCCGCGCTTTCTCTTCCCTGCAACCTTCGCATTCTTTACCGTTGCTTTCTCCTTTTCAAGTAGCAACGCAATCGGTAAGGACCGGATTTGACTGTCATAAACGATCTTCAGAACTAATGCTCTTTCAACCTAGTTCTCGCAAGATATATCTATCGTGCCGCCGGTCATACAGCAACTGAATGGGAGAACAAAGGGCTCGCACTGGCATCATATTCTGTCCTAGCCTTCCTCTGTCTAATCTCCACAAAATGGTCAATGAGAATCATGAACTTGATTTCGATCGTCAAGCTTATCATACTGCTTTTCGTGGTCATTACAGGGTTTGTGGTTTTGGGAGGAGGCACACGGGTCAAAGATCCATATGCGAACTTTCGAAATGCTTTCGAAGGAACAACCTCGAACGGCAACGCGGTTGCAACTTCATTAGTGAAGATCAATTTTGCTTATTCGGGATATGCTAATGCATTCAACGTAGTTTCGGAAATCAAGGTATGTTGTCATGCTCGTTGACCTACCCTACAGTGCTAATGTCAATAAGAACCCGATGAGGAGCCTCAAGATACATACCCCAATATCCCTTCTTATCGTAGTCGTACTCTATGTTCTTGCAAACGTCGCATACTTTGCCGCAGTACCGAAAGAAGTCATCCGCGATTCTGGAGAGCTTACAGCAGCCTTGTTCTTCGAAGCAGTATTCGGAAAGGCCGGACGCGTGCTACCTGCTCTGGTCGCCATCAGTGCAGCTGGTAATATCATGGCTGTTATAATTGGCACTACTAGACAGATTCGAGAAGTTGCACGGCAAGGACTTATTCCGTGGCCTGGTGTCTGGGTATCTACAAAGCCGTTCGGGACTCCACTTGCTCCAATCCTTCTCAAATGGACCACGACCTCGATAGTTATTCTGGCACTTCCTTTTGGCGATGCATTCAATTTCTTGGTTGATCTCAGATCATATCCTGATTCTATCTTCTTGGCGCTGATGTTTATCGGTATCTACATCATCCGCTATCGACGCAAGCAACAGGGTCTCCCCAAAGCTCAATTTGAAGCTTGGCATGTGGCGATCACGCTCTCGATTGCCGTGTGCGTCTTCGTCTTGATCATGCCGTGGTATCCCCCGAAAGGTGGTTCTAAGGGTGGTGACGTTTCGTTCTGGTATGCGACGTACTGTGTCGTTGGCCTTTGCCTCATGGTCGGTTGTGGTGTGTACTATTTCTTCTGGTTGGAATTACTGCCTAGGCTTCGCGACTACTCCATCAGGACGGAGACATTTGTTATGGAAGGCGACGGATCTGTCACAGCCCGATTGTTGAAGATACCAAACCATGCCCTTGCCGAATATGACAGGACACACGACGCCTCTGGAAACTTGCTGGCGGAGGAAGCTTCTGATGTGACTGCGACCACTACGGCGAATCTGCGTATGAAAAAACGGATTCATGTTAAGGACTCAAGAGCAACGTCGGCTGCTGTTGAATACGTACAGCCAAAGGTATAGGAACAAGAGAGGGTTAGCCTAGCAGCTGTTGCATAATTCGAGAGTAGCATTGTAGACAAGAGAACTAATGAATGTACGAGGTTGACACCTTTATCGGCAAGTTAGGAAGTTCATCAGTCGCTCTGGTTCAGACTTACATGGTCGTCCCTTGTGTCGTAAAATGTCCCATGTGTCCGTGACATAAAAAAAGACCTACAAGATGCTTTGAACCATTGCTCGTTCGAAGCGTGAACTCATGAGTTATGGAATGTTGCTATGTGATCTCAAGGTTGTGATATGTTTAGGCAAGGTTTCTGTGTGCCTTCGCACCCTTGTCGCTATTGACGACCAGATGACGCGGGTTCATTAAGTTCAGCTCCGAGATGAAAGACCTCGATCTAGCATAGCACACGAACTGTTGGCAGGTTCTTATCCACGCGTCTACACACGAGGAGTCCAGCTCACTACACCGGAAGAAGCTTAATTAACACGGCTGAGCCATTTTGTACGGCCGTGACGGGCTAGTATTCCCCCGCGACACCCAGCCCCCAACTCTTACCCCGTAACATCAACACAATAGACCGCGTCATGAGCACTGCCTAGATGGAACAGGCTGGCAATAAGCTATTTATGTGTACCGTCACTGGAATAGGCGCAACGTAGACGACTGCTTACACCAGTCCCGACACGCTCAAATGGTATTTGATTCGCGGAAACAGGAAGCCTAGGGCCTCAATTGGAAAGGCGCAGTCAAGCCATGAGATGCGGATGTAAAGCTAGTGATGGGCATCCCAAAGACGGATTCCTCGACAGCATGTACATCTACGTCGATGCCCCCGTCTGGCGCTCAATCTTATAACACCCACATCTATTCGACCAGCCACGACCAGCAGACTTCCTTCTCAAACTCTACTTGAACCTACTCAGCTCTACCGCTTCTCACTACAAGCATGGGCTACGACGAAGGAAAAGAAGTTGCCGCTCCTAGCGAACCCGAGCTCTACACTCCAGACCGGACGTCCCCGGAAGCATATACACCAGCAACAACATCCCGCATCGCATACTCCGCCGACGACTACGCCGATTCCGAATCCCAATATGTCCCAACACCACTACACGCAACTTCTGCGCATACCATGTCACCCACCTCGTCCGAAGCCACCGCCGCACCCGGCGCTCCACGCCGCACAAAGTTCGCTCTGATGACCCTGCACATGCACGACCGCCTCCGCCTGCTCGACTTCCCCCCGGGCGAAACCTCGTTGGTGCGTGACACGATCCTGTATCACTGGCCGCCCGGCCTGAACGTGCAGCGCATGCACGAAGGGAGTATGGAGTTTGGTCTCCACGGTACACCGTGGATTGCGCCGGGGAAGAACAGCATCACGGTGCGACGCATGATGCGTGCTGTGCTAGCGGCATTGTATGATCGCGGCTGGATCCTCGACACGGCCGTCAATGTCGGAAGACAACCGCAAGACAAGGACAGCTTGATCTTCGCTTACCGACCGCAGGCCGCGCGTGTGGAGTGGATGAGTGTCGCGTTTAGCTGTAATGATCGCGTGCGCATTATTGATGGGCCGAGTGACTTTGTGAAAGGGGTGACGTATGCGATGAGTGTGTTGGGGTTGCGGAGTCAGGGGCTGTACAAGGAGGATGCGAGAGTTTATGAGTTGAGATTCAAGGGGCTGCCGTGGCTGGCGGTTGGTCTGGACCAGGGCGTGATGGCACAAACGATTCTGCTGCGGTTGATGTCAGAGTTGAATGTAGGAGGTTGGTCGGTATACGCTTCGATCAATCAAAAACAAGGCGCGAATGGGTTTGCGAAGTCCGATACGGTGAGTGAAGTGATTCTTTGCCCGACATCTTTGCTAAAGTTTGCAGTGGCATTGCAGCAGGCCCATTGGCTGGGTCACGAACCCTCCAGCGTACCAAGTGTAGCATTAGATGGTGATAACAATACCATATCGTATAAATGCCCAGAAGATTTTCATTGTGAACGATGGTGTTCTGGGAGAAAATATGCCTGAGAAAAGATATTAGAGGTCGAGCAAAGCTACCTTGTCATTAGATGCATAATAGCGAAGCCAGTGTATCAATGGATTGAGGCAGCTCTTTAGTAGAGAGAAACTTTCCTAATTATATCGATATGGAAGTACAACAAGGCAGCCAGCGCACGGATGTGGCGTATAGGCTGGCCAGGTAGGTTAGGAGAGGGTCCAAGGCCAAGCCAGTGGTATGATGGAATGCAAACTATATATAGCACATTAATGGCTTGTTGTCTGCTTTTTCAGCCGATTTATTTGCACGCACTTCAACGGCTGTCGCCCTCGCAAAGTCCCACCCGCATCTCCACATTAGTGTGCGGTCCCCACATCACTGGCAGTCATTGATATCTAGGGCTGAAAAGCCACGCGGGCAAATAGAACCAATGAGGATCTCGTTCTTGTCGCCTCGGTCAACGCAGAGCCCGATATGCCGAAATGCAGCAATCAATCCATTACGCCGTTGCGGGCTTTGCGGTGTATGTCATGGGAATCAGAACGTCGATCGCCAACCAGGCGCCGATGTGTTATAGCATTCTGTATGACGGTTTAGATCGGATTTTTTTCTACACATCTGCCATGGCATATTTGGACTCTCATACTTGACAAACACGACTCGGCTTGATCTTCTGCTTTACCGCCACCCGGTCAGCGGTTCTACTAACTTTTCCGACATGGTCCACACCGAGGACGACCACTCGCAAAATGCCGATTCGGTGAAGAGAGTTGAAGATGGAACGCAGAGCACTTCAAGTGCTGCTGGCACTCCAGAACCTCCGCTCCAGCAAAGCCATCAAGACGATGGAGGCATGGTAAAAGAGCGGATAGGCATGACTCAGGCGAAGAATGAGGCCGATACTGTTGCAACCAACGACGACGAGGAGCCACAGAGAAGTAAGGGGACGACAGCTATAATCATGCTGGCACTGGGCGTACGCTGATTCTTCGCGAAAACGAAGCAACTACAGACTGACAGTTTTTTTTTTTCAGATCGCAGTGTTCCTTGCTGCCATAGACGTCACCATTATCACAACCGCCTTGCCCTCGATATCCGAGCATTTCGGCTCCACGGCTGGCTATACCTGGATCGGCTCTGCATACCTCCTAGGCAATGCTGCCTCGACTCCGTTGTGGGGCAAGTTCTCGGACATTTGGGGCCGGAAACCTGTTCTACTGATCGCCAACGTTGTTTTCTTCATAGGATCGCTGCTTGCCGGGGTTGCGGTCAACATTGGCATGCTCATTGTTGCTCGCGCCATCCAAGGCGTTGGCGGAGGTGGATTGGTAATCCTGGTAAACATCTGCATTGGGGATCTCTTCAGCATGCGCAAGCGCAGTGCGTATTACGGAATCATCGGAGGCGTCTGGGCCATTGCCTCTGCCTTGGGTCCGATCATGGGAGGTGCTTTCTCGCAATTCGTAACCTGGAGATGGTGTTTCTACATCAATCTCCCACTGGACGGAATCGCATTCGTTATCATCTTCTTCTTTCTGGACCTACACAACCCCAGAACTCCGCTCTGGGAAGGCATCAAAGCCATCGACTGGCTCGGAGCGCTCCTCATCACCGGCGGGACCGTAATGTTCCTCCTCGGACTCGAATTCGGAGGCATCACCCACCCATGGAAATCAGCCACGGTCCTCTGCCTGATCGTCTTCGGCGCATTCACCATCTTCATCTTCTTCCTAAACGAATGGAAGCTCGCCAAGTACCCCATAATCCCGCTCCGCATCTTCCAACACCGCTCCAACCTCGCCGCCCTGGGCGTCTGCTTCTGCCACGGCGCAAACTTCGTCGCCGCCTCCTACTTCCTCCCCCTCTACTTCCAGGTCGTCCTCGGCGCAACCCCAATCCTCTCCGGCGTCTACTACCTCCCCACCGTCCTCGCCCTCTCATTCGCCTCCGCCGGCGTAGGCGTCCTGATCCGGAAAACGGGCCTCTACCTCCCGCCCATCTGGGCCGGCATGGCGCTCATGACCCTCGGCACCGGCCTCTTCATCGACCTGACCCCAACCTCCTCATGGGCCAAAATCATCCTCTACCAGGCCGTCGCCGGCATCGGCGTCGGACCAAACTTCCAGAGCCCCCTGATCGCACTACAGTCAGGCATCTCACCGCGTGACATTGCCAGTGCAACGGCGACGTTCGGCTTCACGCGCAATCTTGGCACCGCGATCTCTGTCGTCATTGGCACTGTCGTCTTCCAGAATGTCATGGAGTCGCATACGGCCGAACTTACCGCGGCTGTGGGTGGTCGGACTGCCGCGCAGCTCAGCGGCGCCAACGCTGTTGCCAATGTTGGGGTGGCAAATGCACTGCCAGAGGTACAGCGTGATGTCGTCCGTACGGCGTTTGCGGCTAGTCTGAGTAAGATGTGGATTATGTACACAGTGATTGCATTTGTTGGGCTGGTTTCAGGCTTGTTCATCAGGAAGAACCAATTGAGAAGGGAGCATAAGGAGTTGAAGCAGGGACTGGAGGGTGAAGTCGAGAGGAAGAAGGAGGCGGATGAAGCGAGAAGGATACGTAAGGAGGAGACGAAGAGGCAGTCGGGAAAATTGGATGGGATAGCAGAAAAGGTGTAGTCCTAAGAGGCTTACCCACATATCTTCGAAGTCAAAAAGTAGCCTACTGGTGTTGAAATTTCAATATGAAAACTCATGAATCTCCGTCTTGGGCCACTGGCTTACATCAAGTCGTCATATATCCATTTCAATCGTACGGGTATCTATATCCATGAAAATCTAGCCGAAATCCCCTGTTCCGCACTATACCGCGTCACATACATACTATACCCACATAGCTACTCAGTTGTCCCAGATGTTTTGACTGGTCAAAAATAGTTGCCAAACTTGACGTTACTGAGGTCATGAATATCCTAATGTTTCGACTCTGCTATATGATGGCTGTAGTCCCACTCTTACTCCTTCCTCGTGGATTTTCCCTGGCTGCAATCGAGACGCTAGTAAATATCGTCGGGCGCATTTGCATGCTGACATATTTAGGTGTGGACCACAGCGAAAGCAGGCCACTGGGGAGCCGTAACTTTGACTATGTGTGTTAACGTTGACGAATGATTTCTAGTACAGCCCTGTATCAGTTTCCGGGGAGATGCTGTTGAACAAGAAGAGCGCCTGCGCACCTGTCAGGAATTCCTCGCTTCAGGACATGTTAGTCAGCAAAATTCCTGAACCAAAACATCAGGTAACCTTACAAGCTCAACGTAATATATCCATCGCGGTCCTCGTCGTACTTCTTGAACACATCCGTCATGCGCTTCAAGCTAATGCATGCCTGTACAAACAGATCGAATCCAATGGCATTCTCCCCACGACGGTCGTAGGTGCGGAACAGCAAGGAGACGAATTGTGGCGACAAACGGTAGCCAAACGCGACCAACGCGTCGCTAAATTCATTGTATGAGATGTTGCCTGAGTGGTCAAGGTCGAAACGATCGAACAACCCGCGCCAGGCGTTCAGGAAGCCCCATAGCCCACAAAACTCTTCGAAGCTGATCGACCCTGATCTGTCTGTATCAAACATTCGAATCATCATCTTGACTGTGTGAGAATCAAAAGCAGACCAGTCACCATTAACAAGTGCAGCACGGAGCTCTTGCTCATCTAGTTGACCGCTTCCTGCGAACTGTCAGCCATGGGGTTCTGTTTGACGGAGTACCGTTGGAACGAGCTGAGCACATACGATCTTTGTCGACAGCCCCGAACAGCCTCCACAGCGCTTCCCTATCATTTCCATCTTTCGGTGGAGCAGGTGTCGCTGGAGGCCTAGCAGGGGGCCGGTTGTGCTGTTGCGGCGGCGGACCACGCCCATAGTTGGAGGGCGGAGGCGGACTTCCTATATTATGGCTGTGATACGGATCTCTGTAAGGGTCTTGGTGAGGATGAGGTCTAGAGTCATATCTCCCCGAAAAATGTTGGTCAAGGTGACCCCCACCTGCACTGTTATATGTCTGTTGTGAAGGAAGCCTATACCGGTCGTCGTGGCGCATGTTGTTGGGTGTCGGTGGGGGAGGCTTGTTGTAATCTGGCCGCGCAGAGGTCGTACGCGGCGGAGGACGAGATGACGACGAAGGGGTTTGGGAGAGCATTTGAGCTGCCTAAATAGCCTGGTGTAAGCTTACAAACTACAGGAATGCCCGAAGATAGGACCGGATATCTTGTTGAGCCAGCTTACCTGCTCGGGCTCCGCGTGTGCAGGTAAAGCATCTGGATTGTATCCTTTGTTGTATGCCATCTTCACGGACTGACGGCTGGTTTGACCCGACAAGGCACGGAGAGTAGTGATACGGGACAAATGATAGAGGGGAAGAGTTATGGAGACGAGTAGAGATGGGATTGTGATCTTCAAGTAATTGTCACGGCGACCTTGAGGCTCAGTCACCTTGTGCGGCTGAGAGGCTGTCGATGAAGAGGGGCCGCGGTACAGGTGTGGTGGTCCTTGGTGAGAGGTCGCTGCAAATGACACTGCACCAAACTAGTTTACGTGCGACAGTGAAACATGTACGACTGTCGGCAAGCGCAGAACCTAAGTAAATGAATGTGTCTTTGTGAGGTAAACAACCAAACAGGAGAAGGTCGCGAGAACTCGTAGGTCGCGCGCGCTGATCGAGGATTGGGCCGCTATCCGGATGGTTTTAACGTTATAGATAGTGGGGCACCTAGTCGTAATAGTTCCTACAGCCAACCTACTAATTTAAGGAAAGGAGAGGTAGCTGCAAACTGTGACGCAATACTCTACTATTCTTGGCGCCCTGAGTGCGTGCAGGTGAGGTGTTCGCGAATGCACTCGGTATGCTCCAATTCGAGCCCTGTGAAGCCTTCTACTGCGTCAGTGTCACTTAATGTTACATAAATAGTGTCGCAAATGTCACAAGATCAAGGTCAAACGACCTAAGGAGGCCACGATTGTACGATATTTGCTCGCTCCAGAATCATGCTACTGTGTTTTACTGATCCTATATACCTTCTTCTACTGTCACAGAGCATTCGATGAAAGTCCTAGTCCATCTTCAAGGGATACGCTGCAACCTCTTGAAATCACACTCTGATCTCAGAGTCCTCCCATAGAGAGTTACTTCCCCAAGCCGCCCTCTTGGAACGTGACGATGTTGGTATCTCCAAATAAGATAGAGCGAGAAAAGGTATCGAGCATAAAACCGCAAAATGTAGTGATACAAAGATGCGCCAAAAAAACTCCAAAACTATGAGAGGTCGTAGAACTCTTTGGTTGCGCTGTAATACCACAGGTCGTAACGATGTTGCACGTGCGTAGTGAAGAGCCACCCTGTCAAACAGATCAGGCCTTGATACGCTTGGCCTGAGACACATCGCCGGCGTCAGATGTCTTCCGCTTTCGTTCATCTTCGTCGCGGAAACTTGGCCCATTAGTCACGACTGGAGTCGGGAATGCTAGTGGGCTTGGTAGCATGTTGTTCTCGCGTCCGAAGCCCCACTCCGGGTAGAAGCTTGACGGAGATGGCAGAAGATTGTTTTCTACGAAACGACTGGGCAGTGCTGAGATAGGCGTTTCCATGTTATCTCTATTGCTGAATCCACCTGGAGGATGTGGACGCGCGAACGGATTTGGAGGCCCCGAGGCACCTGCACTGAGGAGCGCGCTTGCACTTGGAGAAGGTGGTGGTAGCACAACTCCTGACGAGTGAGAGGTCTCGGTGTTTGCTCTTGCAGGAGTTGCTCCCGTTGTTCCAGTGTCTTTAGGCGAAGAGTCGGCAGTGGCACTGCCCGCATCAGACTGCTCGCTAGGTATCTGTACTTTGAGCCTTGGACGTGGGGGCCCGTTTGTCATGCTGTTGGCACGAGAAGGCGGCCCGACGTTAGGAGCTGATGACGCAGATGATGTTCGCTGTGGTTGGGGAGGCAGCTGCCGCGATGCTAGTCCTGGCGATGCAAGGACTTTTTGGTCCTGATGCTTGTGCGAAGGGGCGGGCGGTGGAGGCTGCTGCCGAGATACGTGTCCCACGTCTATGGATTGAGATCTATTTGGTTCGACCTTTATCTCACTTCGCGTCAGTTCAGCAGACGATGTGGTTCTGCCCCAATGTGTTGCTAAGACAGAATTGCTGTCATCAATGGGCGTAAATATGCTATGTTTCTTTGCCGAAGCTGGGAGCGCCTTGGGCTGCGGAATTGGAGGACTCTGAAAATTTTGTTCTGGTTGAGGTGGTGAAGGCTGATTGTGATGCTGGTTCTGGGGTTGGTTGTGATGCTGCTGTTGTTGTTGTTGCTGCTGCTGCTGCTGCTGCTGTTGTTGTTGCTGCTGCTGCTGTTGTTGGTGTTGTTGTTGCTGCTGCTGCTGCTGCTGCTGCTGGCCTGGCTGTCCCATGTGTGCTTGAGGAGCTGGAGGTGGCGCAGCCCGGTCCTGCGCCTGTGAAAAGACTGGCGGCATTGACTGTCGTCGCTGTTCTTGTTGTTGAAGATACTGCACTTGTGAATGCTGCTGTGGAGGAGGATGTGTGTATTGAAACTGTGGTGGCTGTGGAGGAGCTGGCGGCTTGGGTGGCATGCCTTGTTGTTGTGCCTGTGGGTTATAGAAAGGCGGGTTTGGCATATATGCATAGTTATTTGGTGGTGGGGGAGGCTGCGACTGATGGTGGGGAGGGGCGAGATTCGAGTTTCGCCGCACATGAGCTGTTCGAGAGTTGGGACGCGAAACGCCATGCGGCTGCGGGGAAACACCCCGGTGGTGGAAAGGGACTCCGTTGGGCATCGGCGGAGAAGCAGATGGGGTCGTGTGCCTGATATGTTGGAATTGTGGTTGGTGCTGAAGGTGTTGAGGCATCATGGAATTCTCAGGCGGGGAATGTGAGCCCGGTAGAGGGCTGCCTCCGCCTTCTTCATCGATATCGTCATCGTCATCGCCCTTGCCCATGAAATCTTCCGGTCCCTTATGCTCATGAGCACCGCCATACTGTTCTAATTAGCCTTGTGTGATTGAGCCAAAGCAGATTGAACGTACATATTGGTAACGACCAATGGTGTCGTTGATATCACCAGAGGAAAACTCGTAGAGCTTCTTGTTATGACCGAAGATGATCACTGCAACATCGACAGAACAGAGTACAGAGAGTTCATGCGCTTTTTTGAAAAGACCGCCTTTGCGCTTGAGAAACGTTCTGTGTTGCGTTAGTGGTGGGTGCGATTGAGGTAGCAAGACGGCGATATCACTTACACAGAACGATTTCTGTCATCCTTGATGGCTTTGATCTCAATCTTTCTGCGACCCATAGTGACAGTGAGTAAGTTGCTATTGCATTGGTAGCTGTGTGTCTGATCTGGACGATCGAAGGATGCTGCACGGGGCAGAGATTATGTTAAGGTGTGAATGCGGGTGCTGCGCGTCGGAGAAGATGGGTTATGCGCGACGTGTGCAGAGAGCTATGCAAGTCCAGGTGCGCGCTGGAGGATAAAGTAGTGAGAGAACCAGGCGAAAGGGAACAACAAGATGGAGATGAGGCTCTTGAGTAGCTGGGACGAAAAGGCTGAAGACGAGCGCAGAAAAGGTACGTGAAAGTAATGTGTGGTGTTGTGGAGCGGTAATCGTGGAGTGTGTATGTGTGTGTGTGTGGGAGTGAGAGGACCTAAAATTAGAAGACGAGGGAAGCGGCGGTTTATCAAGCCAAAGGCAGCGGAACTTGGCCCCAGTATTCCACTGATTACAACAGCCCTTGGATCACAGTCCTAGACTCCTAGCCTGCTTTCTCACGTAGCCGTTCGAACCTACTGCCGCAGCCAAGACGTCTCGCCAAAACGCTCCATGCGCCGCTTTTTCACCCACGTCCTATTATCTCATTGGCCATGATGACACGGACTATGTCGTTTCCGGCTGATTTAGCTGATATATTGTTGGTGTAGAGGCCCCATGTGTTCTATTTTAGGGTATATGCTCACCACTACCAGCCATTCGGTTCAAGCCGCAGGCTTCCAACATTCTATGCACCAGCAAGAGACCAGACTAATTACTATCGCTCTCGTGGGATGGATGCATCATGACTGCCTGTTTCTCGTTTGGCTGCTATAGCATAGCTGTTTCTCTGCCGTATACTACGGGCTGCGCAAGTGCAATGCGCTTCCCCGCCTGCTTGGACCAGTATGTATGTGTCCTAGGCATCGATCGCTCGCTGCATGTTGCGCTGCTAATTGAGACCTTGCGAAATCATCCGCTGGGAGGAGTCCTCACCAAATGATGTCTGCCGTCTATGTCCAGCAACAGGATAACATCCTGCATGTCCTCGTATGGTAGCGGACTTGCGTCGCTAAGGCACGAGCATCGTCATCCATGGATGTTGCTTGATGCTTTCAAGCAACGCAGGTACCTACATCCTTACCGTCACCGGAGATATAGACCGGCGACATTGGTTCCTCCAATAACAGCCCGTTCACACTGCTCAAGCCAATGACCAAAGTGTGGTGTGACATGAGGACCCCGACCCCAGCATGTCAGAATGCTGACGGGCACACAGTAGTACACACACAAGAGAGTGTCAAGTTCCCAAGCAGCTCACGAATCAGCATAGAGGCCCCTGATAGAAGATGATTCGATCACCCATGTAATACAATGGCAAGCGGTGCCACAATTTGTTGGTTTCATCCATATCCATACACATCGCCCCCTTCTGTAGGGCTGTGCAGGCTGTGAAGTATATACAAGGCTACCATGCGACCGACAATGTACAGTCGTTTTTGCTTACGAGGTCACAGCCTCAACCATATAGTCATGGCTGCGGGCGTTGCGATACCTCGGTCAGCGGGAAGCCCAGTTACAAAGGGCGTAGAAAATTCGACATGTATTGTAATTATCTTCGATCCATGCCTCCAAGAGCTGTTGACTTTGTTAATAGGACTGCATATCGCGTGCACGTTCAATCGACTGCGGTCCCGCCGCATGTCACCACTTGAGCGATTGTTGATCGACTTTGGCCTGTGCAACAACCATGAATGTGAGGGCGTACACGACCTCGATCTGATAGGGCCAAAAGGTAAGGTAGACTGGTAGAATTCGATAATAGCTAGATCCATCTGAGTGGTGAATTCCATCTAATCACGATAGAAGCACAAGAACCGCATTGCTATCGCGGTAGAACTTATTTTTTCATTCAGTACTGGGCAATGATAGGCATCACAAGGCTAAATATAAGGATAACAGAAGATCGTGATCCCTCTAAATGTCTGCTGTCTTGATCTGTAAAATACGTCTTATGAAAATGTTGATTGAACCATGATGCCCACTGGGTATGGCCAGTCTTAGCTAATGCCTAAGCGCCCGTGAGGCCCCGCGGCACCCGCTTCCAAAAATAACAACCGGGAATGTAAACAAGAAACATGTCAAGGAATGTCACGGACGGTATCCGTTCTGGAGGCTCTGCCTTCTTGAAGTCATAGTTATCCACATGGCAAGTTTGAGCATTTGATTCGACCTTTGAGTACGGGAACTACCCCTCTGACCTAGACGGTCATAGTCCTTGCGGCACATGAGGGGCTATGCAAAATGCCAGTATAATACGGTTACTGATGGTGGAGGCGCAACTACCGCGGCTGGCGGGCGAAGTGCACTCAGCATTCCCACAAAAAGATGAAGCTTATGAATTCTCAAACAATACGCTTGGCCTTGGCTCAATGTCTTTGTATGACGGAAGAGTAGCAGCCCCGGAAGAACCACTTGAGAAAGCTATTGTTTCAAATGCCCCACCATGAAGCCAGGTCTGTCATTCTCTCTTCCTCGAACCTTGGTCACAGCTAGACATCTAGCTGTCCTTGACATGTGAAGCTCACCAGGCAGCAAGCATCCTTATCTGTCTGCCTGCCTCAATGCCCCGATGACATGGATCTGACTTTCTTTTATAAAGACTCTCTGCTCACGTCTCATGGCCTCGTCAGTGTGTTAGCCCTCGCGGTGGCGTCATATCTTGCAATCGCATCCTCATCAAAACCTGGGAGGCCGTCAAGGCATGGACTATCTACTTGAATCCCATTTGGGTTTGTCAATCCACGTCGGCGAAATGGACAGTGGCTGCATGGTTGTGCGATAAAGTGAGCCAGCGTGCCGCATTCTGATTAATGATGACGGTCCGCAGCAGTATTACCCAAACATGCAACTTTGAGTCGCACCTGGTCGCGTTTCTGCTGTTGTCCTTCTTTTTCCAGGCCAATCCCTCCCTTCCAGTCATAATAAATGATGTGGACTTCAGCATAGCCTTGAAAGTTTAGTCGACCTATCCGTCGTTATGGAAATTTGATATTATCAGATCCGAATGCGCCGATGACACATGGATGACATGTTGACTTTGAAGACCTGTTCCAGTTACCGAAGATCAGTCTCCAGACTAGCATGTCTTCTATCAGTAGCGTCAGATCCTCTACACGGCATGCGAGTCCAGGGACATCGAAGTCGGATGTTCCCAAGAGCCTGAGCAATATGTTTTGTATGAGGTAACGCGGATACACGCGGCGTGCCACTCAACTCACACTGTGCGGCGTTGTAATGGCTCGACACATGGCTCTAACCAGTGAACTTGCGTAGAATACGAGTTGTTGGCTCTTGTCATAACATGCAATAAATGAACTGTAGTTAGGGCTAAGCGAATGATAGTCGTGTTATCGCCGGACGGAACGATAGAGGGAGTGCAGCCAATCGTGGCTCCAGTTTTCGCCGTTGCGCAAAAACGATATTTTAGTCCCGAGAACTGATAGACGGTCTGGTGTATCATAAGATGTTCCGCGAAGCATTGGGAGTCCAATCGGAGCACGTTCGCTAAGCAAGATCTAGATGCTCTTGGGCACTGCATTACAGTACTCGTCGTGACCACTCCCTCGCCAGCGGCCATCGTGTAAGGTCGTCAGGGGAGTACCACATACTGATGTCGGGCAGGAAGAAAGAATTTAGTATATCAAATTCTTTTTCTCACTAGATATACTAATGTTCAGGTACTGCTCTTGTCATCCGTAGTCGCATGCACATGATTGAAAACACGTGAGATAGAGCACTATGCCACTTGTGATTCGGCCATCCGACCCCTTTTCTATAATTCCTCGGACAAAGGACAGGGAATCGGGATGGCAAGTCTCCAATGAGAGTCGTTACGCTAAATCGTCTAGCTGGTGGCTTGATCCCATTCATGTCTTGTTCGTTATGATCTGCGCTCCTGGCCGACTGCGCAGTACCTACGGACCGCCTTAGTATTCAATGACCGGCCGCGTGCACTCGTGGCAATTTGATTTCTACAGCACAAGCAAATGGGGAATAGGAGGAGGATACGGAGGAGGACGAGGAGAATCTACCTTCTCAGGGACCTCGAGACGTTGAGTCACGGCAGCAAAGCGTTGCAAAGAATACAGTAACGTCAAAGAAAGCAATCAAGAAGAAACAGGAAATGTGTTTATGTGGTGCAGAGTTGGTGCATCGAGTGTAGGTGGCAGAGGCAGCGTGGCATGCGAATGGCCAATGGAATGCTTGACCGACGCTGCATGACGGGGGCTTGGCGCGGCCAGGCACAACGCCTGAAATGAAATAACCTCCTGGAAAAAGTTCATGTTGCTCTCCCGTCCAGCTCTCGGACCATTCTCTATCTTGCCCTCCTCTTCTCTGCTCATCAATACGCATCCTGGTGCTCTCGTTGCCGACCCAGGGCGACCTTAGTTTGACTTCTGTCGACCTCTTGGAGGAAACCTAGTATCGCGAGATCCTGCACAACGCGACGTCGACGCGCCGGCTATCCCCTCTCAAGCCACACTACTCCCTTCCAGGGGTCAGCTATCTTCTACCTATCCAGCCTTCGCTACCCCGTTCTGTAGACAGCCTCACTCTCGCAGTTGATTGTACGTTCTCATCCCTTGGTAGTCTACATAGACGCTACGCCCAAAATACCTCTTCCATGTATTGCCGGAACCGTAAAACTCATACAGACTTTTCCATAGCAGCCATTCTAGATTGCCTGAACGACCCGCCAACCTCCGATCGACTACGAGCGCATTCGCGCATTCGTCTCACCTATACCTTGTCTGTCCGGCCTCTGGTCGAAGGTAGACACATCAGTGCCTTTTCACATACCCAAAACTTCACGGAGCTCTAGACATGCCTTTCTTTGGCAGCTTGTTCAAAAAGGATGGCACGAAAGCTTCTAAAGGCAAGCTCAATGCTGCGCAAGCTCCTACCACTGTCCAGCAGTATCCGCCATGGCAAGAGTCTTGGGAAAGGGCGACAGTCAATGCTACGGAGATCCATGAATTGATACACCTGGCTACACAGGAGATGAAGTCAAGGGGTGCGTATTTGGATGCACGATACACACTTTGCAACGCTGCTAATTGAGTCGCACATAGACCTGGATGCTCCATTCTTCTTATTGCCTTTTCGTCCCGAGTCTGAAGTCTCCACCACGACTTCCGCGCGCAACTTCATATGCCATTTCTTCAAGGCCAGATACGAGAACACGGCTGGCTATTCAGGAGCCAATTTATCTCATGAGTTGCTACTGACAGAGCCTATGGTATGTTGAACAGTCCTTGAATATCAGTGCCCTCGCCAACGAGATCAGGTCCTCGTCAGTATCATAAAATGGTGCTGGAGCAGGCTTCCAGGAGGTGTCGTTACCTGGGAGACTTACGAGCTATTTCGCATTGGCGAACAAGGTACGTATCCTGAAGAAATGCATAGACATGCCTCTAACAAGAACAAGATTCCAACATGGCTGTCCACGCTTTCGATACATTCATTCCAATCTCCGTTGAAGATGAAGCGAGAAAGAAAATTATTTTCGACTTCTTCGATCTCCTTGCTGCCGTCGCGGCCCGTGGGAAGACAAATGGTCTTGGAGGACGCAAACTCTCTCGCCTAGCAGGCTGGTGGGCCTTCGAGCTTAGCGACGGTGGTAAGGGCTTTGATGGAGGCTACAGCTCATGGTCGAAGTGAGTCAAAATGCTAGAACGCAAAAGCTAGACTAACACATCAAGTGCCGCAAATGCCTGCAGTCATCTCTTCTTCGCGTATCTGAGGTCTCTCTCGCCGGAGATCCAGCCTGGCTTGAGCGGCATTTCGCCCTTACCTCGATCTTTACAGGCTCTATTGTCTCAGACAGAGTATCCACCACAAGCACCTACGCTCATGCACTCTACAACACCAAAGGTAGTCATGATTGTGGATTCAGTATCTCCGACACCATTCGCACTGCTTCGGCGAACCGCCAATTTCGAATATCGAGACGAAGACGTCGCCCTACAGCAATTCAGTACCTACGACGACCCAGTTCGCGCCTTAACAGACGAGTGTCGCAGGGTCCTGGAGGCGATCTCGTCCACAAATCAGTCAGATGCGCAAAAAACCTCAGACTCAACGTGGTCGAGCTTCCAGAGATCTGGTTTTGGACAGGCGTCAGATAGTCTCGACGCCAAGTCTGCCAACGGTTCCGCCCTGCCATCCAGCCAGGAGTTTTCGGGGTTGCGCACCGAGCCAAGTTCTCGCTCAAACGACTTCGGCAGACCTACGACACCCTCTTGGGCCGACTTCCTGACCACCGGGTTCTCTGAGGATACTACCACGAAGACGGTAGGTCCAGTGCTATTGCCTCCGGACAAGCAACTTCCTCCGATTGGCGAGACGGCACGTGTACGAAGCTCTCAATCTCACGTCAATAATGGCTACAGCACTCTCGAGCCCGGTGAGCTTGCAAGCATTGGTCGCTTCGAGCTTGATGACACGTTCTGGTGGGTATGGATCACTAGCTTAGCTGGAGAGGAAACAGCTTCAAGAAAGGCAGTCTTTGGTCGATGTGCTCTCATTGAGGTCGAGATACATGGCGCAAGATGGCTACTGGTTGAAGAACAGATAAAGGGCGCGTCCCCGAGGCCTGAGAAAGATGCCTATATTGCCGAAAAGAAGAGCAAATTTAGCTTTCGCAACCGATTGGGCCGTCGCAAGTCAACAGGCAAAAACAAACTGGAGCCATACAAGCGGGGTCAGTCAGACACATCTATGAGCAAAACGAGCATTACGCCGGATCAGCATACTCGTATCCAGCAAGCTGCTGCACAACTTGCCCATGACCAAAAGCAGAAAGCGAACCCGGAAGGCGCTCAACGTCGTGGGCGTAGCGACGATCAAGCATCAAACAAAACAGCCAGCGTCTTGACGTTGCAGCCTAATATAATGAGCGAAGCCGCGCCGGCAATGAAGTGGGCAAAGGAGTTTGACAAGGACACTGTACGAGCCAAGTATCTTAGTAATAAGACAGCTGGTACTGGAAAGCCTGTTGAGCAACTTGCAATTGCGAAGGATGCCAAGCAAGACAGCCTTTCCAACGGTCGAATCTCGCCTACTACTACTGATGCTGCTGGTGCGGCTTTCTCTTCTCCATCCGGAGGGATTTCGAGGAAAGAAGTCTCGTCAAATCCACCGTTTCCTGTTACGCCCACAAAGGCTGATGGTGCAGAAATAGCACATGCAGCCAGCGTCCCTCTTCCCGATGAAAAAGCTTTCGTCTCCCCTTCGCAGCCCGATCTCCGTCAACACCCTGCTCTGCGTTCAGAGAGTCCTGAGCTCTCCCGCCCAATACCTCCACCCAAGAACAATGCGGCAGCGGCGGCAGCAGCGGCCTGGCACCGACAACAGGCGCAGCAAGTTGACACACCAAGCCCTGCGGCCAGCCCCGTCGCTAAGAAGGACTCACCTAAAAAGCTGAAAAAAACAAATACGAGCGCTGGATTCAAAAAGATGCTCGGTATGGGAAAGAAAGATAAGCAGGAGAAGGAGAAGGAACCAGCCGCCGCCCAGATGCCGACTATGCAAGAAAGCTCACCTGCCCCTGAACAGGATGTGCCTAAGGAGCCTGTCATTTCACCCATACCAGAACCATCACATAAGTCAGAGCTTGAAACAGACCCAGTTGCTACAGCACCAGCTATCGTGTCGAGTTCTGCTGCTCCCCAGAGCGCCGCCGTCGATGCTGTTGCAAACGGGCCGGCCACGAGCAAGAAAGCCCTTAATGATTTCAGCCAAGGACCTCTTGAGGATGTCCCCGCATTCATCGCCGATGATTCTGCCGATGCTGATTCTGTAGACTCACCTTATCAGCAAGGAAGGCATGCAGAGCCTGCCACTCCTGCTGAGGAGCCACAAATTTCACCTGCCGACAACAATAAAGAACCTTTGTCCACGGCTGAGGACAATCAGTCAGAAAAATCGCTTGACTTGCACCGGAAGGTCTCGCCTTCGCAGGACAGGTGGGCCCAGATCCGCAAGAATGCTGCCGAACGCGCTGCTCGTGTCAGCGAGGAGCAGTCATTTGGCAAGACTGATGATGGTGGCGAGACCAGTGGAGAGGAGACAATCGAACACCGGGTCGCTCGCATCAAGGCCCGAGTTGCTGAGCTCACCGGAGCAGCCACGGCGGAATCCCAAGGCGTTAAGACTGGTACTAAGTAAGAAGAACAGTAAGCAGTGCTGCAAGGACCCATGGAATAGAAAATGGGCTGACCTTCCATCAGTATCTAGCCATATCACCAACGACCAATGGCCGGCCACTGATAGTTTGAGGTTCCTTTCCCTTGTACAGCCATCTTCCTAAGTCCTGGTCCATCTCATACCTCCAACGGCCGGATCTGTTTCCTTCCAGCCATATATATCCCGCTCAGCTTTTTTCCCTTTTTCTTTACACTGATGATACCACAAGACTGTGCTATTTGTAGTAGCTCTCTGTTCCCCTTCTGTGCGATACGCTGCTAGTTCATCGTATACACACACACACACCACGCACACTAGCCTGTGTGATAATGGCAGATTTTGACGAGGAGAAAAAATTTGCACAAGAAAAATTTGTAAGCCTGCAAAATCTGTGTCTTGATTTTTACTTTATATGTAGTCTATAGGTAACACAGGCTGTAGGCTAATAGGCGTACCCTATGGCTGTATACTCAAGACGAAACAGAGGTTCAACGAGATGTAGTTATAGACATAAGGAAGTTTTTCCCTATGGGGTTTCTTCTTACATAGTGGCTTAGACTAGAGGAGGCATAGGCCTGTAGAGTACTACTCTACCTAGTTATACAATATTATTATTATTATTATATGTAGTCTATACTAGGTAGTTGGCCGAAAGCTCAACGCACTTGTCTGCGATGACCCTCGACCTCGAGCCTTGACCTTGACCCCGCTGTTAATTATAATGCAAGGCTGTTTCTCCCAGCCAAGTTTCTGTGTTTTTTTATCTCTACTTTTGCGTATACGCTGCTGTGCTACGGTTCGCCCGGGTCACTCACTGATGATTCTGGCCCCCTCTTTTCTATACCCGCGAACGCCCGCCCACCTTGGGAAAGACTAATACCAATCTCTCTAGAACACTCCGCGCACCTGACAGACGCACGCAGCATGAATCATCATTCCACTCACTCCCACACCACACCACACCATACTACACCTGCGGAAGCCACACTCACTCACCTTACTCACTCACTCCTCTACTCTACTCTACTCTCCTCTCCTCTCCTCTCCTCTCCTCTCCTCTACTCTCCTCTACTCTCCTCTACTCTCCTCTACTCTCCTCTACTCTACTATACTCCACAATTACTTACTTACTTACTTACTCCCCAGCACTTAATCTCTCACTCTAGCTAAATAGGAGTTGGAGTTTTTTTTTTTTTTGCGCAGTACCCTTGATTAGCTACTATTTGCACTTGATAAAGCATCACGTCACATCAGACTTGCTTGATGGAAGTAGCCTTGGAGTCATGGATTCAGGAGTCACTGATTCAGGGTTGAAGTCAGAGTCAGAGTCAGAGTCAAGGCATTGATTACCCTTCCCACCCCGTCCCGGCTGCGACTTCGTCGGGCCGAAAGCGGTGTTTGCCTGCGCATGCATGCATGGTATATTGTATGTATGTGTGTGTGTATGTATATATGTCAAGACATAGGTTTCTTCTTCTTCTACGTTAGCAAGTACGTAATTAAACAAGCAAGCAAGTACGTACGTACATCAGCAAGCGAGAGATACAAAGGCACAAAGGCAGAGAGGGGACAGGACACATCGACAGCGACTAATTACACACAAAAACAATAACCCGAGTGGAGTGAAGCAGTGAGTGATATGATATGCAAAGAAACGCGCGAATCTAACACCTTTTTGGGGGAGAGGGAGAGAATGCACATTGTTCTTCTCTTTAGCTAGTTGGAGCGGTGAACCGTTTTTATTCTACTACCTAACGTTGGAAGAAGAAGAAAAAAAGAACAAAGTCATTGGCACTGACTGAAATAGCTCTCTCTCTCTCTCTTGTAGCCCTCCAAATACCGGCCTGCCTCGTTCAGGCACACAGTGCGCTTGGAAAAAATGTACATGACAGTCCTCCACCCACCACCACTGAAGCGACGACCCTTTAGCAATTTGCCCGTCTTCCATCCCATGCAACAGGCGTAAAACAGTATGCAGAAAGATTCAGGGCAAGCAATCTGGTGGAGGAAAAAAAGACGAACTCAATACGTCAGACGGCGAGAGAACATACTGGAGGCAAAACACATGTTTTTTCTGCGTTTTCGGGATTCTGTTGCCGGCTTCGCTTCTCCTGTACATGATGGAATGGTGTAGATACCTGTGACCGGTTCGATCACAGAAAGAAATATGCAACATCCGCAGATGGCTGAAACGCTGTTAATATACAGATGGGAACCTCGACACGATGAAACGTGGAGGAGAAAAGAAATGATAGGGCATTGAGTCATGAGAGGTAGGTATCCATCTAGATGTTAAGATGGTCCTCAAATGTCATGTCAGGGCTGAAATCCTCGAGCTGAGCTCCCATGTTGCTAAAATCGTCGGTGAACCAGTTGGTATCCATATCCCCGGTTGGTGCTGTATTATCGAAGAGTTGAAAATCGGTATTTGGGCAGCCAAAATTGCCAAAATTGAGGTCGTCTTCAAAGCCCTCATCCAGCAGAGTAAGGTTGTGAGCACCCGGAGATAAGTGAGGAATCTGGTTGGAGGACGCCGCAGGATTGAACGTCATGTTGAAGTCGAAACCAGTACTTAACGCAGGAGTAGGTTGCTGTTGGTGGTAGCTACCGAATGCAGTACCAGGGAACAGATCATTGTTCATGGTAGGTTCCTGAGGCGAAATGGAATTGGAGCTAAGCTGCGGCTGCATAGGAGAATAGTTCGACGATGACCCACTCATGTAGGTACCGGCAGTCGTGTTTGAGTCACGACGATACGCCCCATAATCATAGTCCTTGACACTCATAGCAGGAGTGTAGCTGCCATAACCATACTCCAATGTTTGGAGAGCGGGCGAAGGCTCGAAAGCAGTGGACGGAGTGTTAGATGATGATGCGACACCGGACCCAGGTGTAGGAATGAGAGGAGTAAGTGGAGTGCTTGGTGCTTGGGCTGTACCCGTTGGCTTCTTTGAACGGCCGTTGCTCTTGGAGCGGACGTAAACATAGCCATGAGTCTTCTCCATGTGTTGCTTGCAATTAGACTCACGCTTGGATACGTAGGCGCAGTCCGCATAGAGGCACTTGTACTGAGGCGGAGCCGCAGAGTGCTTGTCATTGACGTGACGGTCACGCTCTTTCTCGGTTGGCCAGCCTTGGTCATGGTACTTGCACTTCGGCTCGGGGCACTTGAACGGACGAGAGTGTGTCTTCATGTGCTTTGTGAGGTCACAAGGACGCTTGAACTCTTTACTGCAAGAGGGGCAGGAGTGGATGACATCGCCAGGCTTCTCGGATTTGCGCCGGCGAGCCATGGAACGTCTCACCTCGTCGTCATCCATGTCACTGTCTTGTTCAAGCGAACGCTTGGCGGTGTTGAAATGGTCGACGAAGGCTTCATCGACAGTATTCTCCTCGGCAATAGGGAGGACTCTGCCATCCTTCTCGCGTACGAGTTCGACAGGGCGGCCGTTATGAGAAAGGCCACCACGCAACGTGATTTTTTCTTCACTGGTACATGTTAGCATGGAGTGAAGTAGAGGGGGGTAAGTGTGCTTTAAGTAGTCGAGGTAGGGGTGAGTCACGGCACAGCCCAGTGGCTTGGCCTGTGCATTGACGGATGAGGAAATGTTTTGGGGTACATACGGAGAGTAGTCCATTTCATCGAGGTCTTCACCACTTTCCTGCTTACGACGGGTGGCGGCCATGATTGAGGCGTATCGGCGAATCTGTTCCACGAGATCAAGGAAGTAGTTGTTAGTGTACGGTCGATCAGTCGGTAGTCGTTGTTCGCGTTCACAAAGGTATTCGACAGTCGTATGGAGGCACTGGATTGCTCGTTCGCAAAACGATAGATACGATTCAGGCGACGCCGAATATTCCTTTAAGTTGCGAAAAATGCAATGAGCTATTGCACATTCGGAAAGAACAGTAATGGTACTCACCGGAGCCAAGAAGATCAGAGTCTTCTCTAAATCACGAAGATTGGAGATGTCTTTGCTACCAATGCGATGTGGCACATCTGCAATGAGTGGATGGAAATCTTTCAGAGAGTTCTCAGCGAGAATAGGCTTGATGATTTTGTCCTTGATGTTGCGTATGGCACTGGAACTCAAACTACGCTCTGCGGCAGACTTTGAGCCAAGGGCAGAGAAAGAACGAGTTACGGCTGAGTAATTCGTAGAAGTGGTGGACGCAACGGATCGACGAGTGCTTGAACGCAGGCCAGTCCTCTCCTCTATATAGTTGTGAGTAAAATAGAACACGTGAGGCTTGCGGCCATTCAAGGACTCGTTCATACCATTGTTGGATCCGTCCAAGCTGGAGCCGATACCGCTATCGGATGCGTGGTGGTGATCAGTCTGGACGGGCTTTACGTCAAGGTCCATGTTATCTTCATCCATGCTGGTGTGGTCAAGGACGAAACTGGGCACTGGGAGGACTTCACGGTCACTCAAAATGCTTCCTTCAGATGATGAGGGACTGCTCCCACTTGCTAGTGTGCGGTCAAATTGTTCGATGAGATTTGTGACTCGTCGAACACCAGCGTCTTCAAGTAGCTCTTCGAGACTCTCGACGGAGGTAGACGATCGCTTTGGCATGAATGCCGCATTCACAATGGGGTTACAGAGTTCCGAGAAGCCGTTGGATGGAGAGTGAAAGGTGCCAGACTTGTAGAATGGGGATGAGGTGTTGAGTGGAGTCATTTGAGGTGATCCAGAGCGGACTCCTCGGCGGCGTGGGTGAATGTGAGTGGAAGCCATTTTAGAGGTGGGATTATCCAGTGGCTGAGACGTATAGCGTACTGCAGGCGGGATTGAGCATTAGCCAAACAAGAAGAGCAAGTGTCCAATGACTCACGAATGAATCTGGGTCCAGGGTGAAGGTCCTAAAGGGCAAGAAGGGTGAAGTACGTCTTGAGAAGTCGAATGAGTCCGGATGGATGAACCCGGTGACCGGTCGCTTAGAGCAAAGACCCGATAAAGCTTGTACTGTTGCGTGCAGCTGACGAGGCCGACGACGCTCGTTAGAGAGTACAAACCAGTTTAGGAACTGATCAGTAGACGCTGTTGAGAGTTGGGCGTGTATTGAAAGCTACGGTATCACCGTGCAGAACAATGGATGGGGTCCACGGTGATTTTGAGGGGTACTCAGGCCAGCAGGCAGCAACAAGTGTACCAGAGCGGAGTGTCTGGGCCGAATGTGGACAGAGGAGGAGGAGGAGTCGTAAGCGTGGTGATGTGTATAGGAAGCCAGAGTGCGATCGAGGCAAGCCGTGATATCAGAGACGAGTGGTCTCGAAGGTCGCAGGGCGTGGGGTGACTGTGAGAAGACAGAACAGGCGAGCCTCGAGGATCAGGCTGGTAGGACAGACAAACAGACAGACAAACAAAGTGTCAAAATGACTGTAAAGAGGGTGGAGGAGGAAGGGTTGAGGGTGAGAAAGGCGCTGGAGAAGAGTTGGTGATTGACAATTGACGTTCCAGGATGCGCAATATGATGGCTGCCTAGTGCCAAGACAAACGCGTGCTAAAGCGAACTCCGCCACGCAGCTGTCTCAGTTCGCGACGCTCCTCAATATTAAAGACCGCTCATTCTTCCACCTCGCCTGCTGCGACTCCATGGTTCCTGTGGAGAATTCGGCGCTTGTGTGTGATAGCACTGGTGATTCTGCAGCTCATGAGATCACGACCGGTCGAGAGCACGGTGTTGATGAGGAGGCATGGTATTGGAGGTGGAGTTGGCCGATGAGAGGTTCTGGCATCGCTCTCCGCCACTTTGGCCTCAATCAACGTGCGATGGCAGCAAAAGTGGCAGAGAGAGGTGCGGTGAGCAAGAGGAGCAGGAGGAGCACGTTTGGAGTCACAACCACCAGTCGAGCATGAGATAGCTTGTCTGGCGTGTACCGGGGCCCCCAGACCGTCGACGATTTGACGCGGTTTGTCCGCGCAGTCATGCGATTCTTCTTTGACTCTTGACCGGTCAAGCTGGTGCGGGGGCGCAGCATTCACACCATTGTCCACTTGCGTTTCTTCGGCTTCTTCCCCCCAACCGCCCCGCCCAATCAGCAGCCTTGATATCACACCCCTCAACACCTCACTTCTCACTGTTGTACCACTTCCCGCGTCTCGCTTATTCTGGACCCCCTCCAATAATGTCCATGAGCATTGAGGCCGGCCACACGAGCTTGGTGTGTTGTCTATTGTTTGTTCACTATTGTCTATCGTGTGTTGTGTTGTGTGTTGTGTGTCGACTGTTTGTTGTGTTGTGTGTTGTAGTTCTCGATAGCACCCGGGACACTTCGTAGGTGCCTGTGCCTCAAACGACCCAATCCCTTCCAAAGGTAAAAGGTATGGCCGTGTAGACGATATGCAACTTACGTAGCGCGCACACATCCTACGCGCCAATATATCCAATCAAGACACATGTGCCGCCCCTGCTGTGGCATCGCAACTGTGGCGTCGTACAGAATCCTTCGCGTAATTCGCGAAAAGTTATTTGTCCTCTCTAACAAGCCTAAGGCCTCGCTGGCTCTGATCAAGTCAATCGACTTGTCCATACTTCCCCAGTTAGTTAGTTACTGCGTGGAACAACTGTTGAACATTGGTCTGCCGGTAACGTAGCATTGCTTCGACACCCGTACGTTCCAGTCGTACCATCGTTCCCTGCAAGACAAGCCTGCGTCATGTCAGATCGATCCCGCGTTACCGTCAGCCAGTGGGAAATGCTGTTAAAATGGTGCCTGGCGCCAAAAGTCCACTCCGTTGGTCAATAAATAGCATGAACGCGTGGCCAGGTTGCATTTTCATAAATTAAGCCAATCCATATATGATATCCCTCGACATTCCCCGCATGAGGATACATCATCAACATGACGACGATGGGACACTACATAGAGTTGGGGGCCGTTTTCTCGTGACTATTGTTGGACTGACGAATTCTCAATCTGGTGAATGTTTAATTCATCTTATACGAAGACATTCATTATCAAGCATTTTCAAGGTTGCTATCGAGGATGTTGAAGCTTACGCAAGCATTCGACGCGTTGACCAGTATAGAGACAGTGCTATTGCAGGACCTTCGTGTCCGATGCAGGACGGAAGATCTTTCCAAATTATTGAACTCTCTGCCTTTTCACTTTTCCAATTTCCAGGGTTCAGTCACAGATACGCACCTCCCCAATTAGGTTTCTCTTGCGATGTGAACAACTTGGTTGCTCTGGTTAAGCTACACGATCCTATGTCTTGATGGATTCTATACAGTACGTCGTTCGTGTCATAGTCTTCGTCACACGGAAGGACTTGGCTATACACAGCTCGATATCCTCGGCGACATCAATGGTCTTCACGGTCAATCTCGATGTGCTATTCGTCTGGCAGATACAACTCTGTGCTATTTGCAGAGCTGACTACTGATCGTTCAGAAGACTATGAAGTGATTTAACTCGTCTGGGAGCCCAAGATTCGATGTTCGTCATACGAGGCGAGGACTGACTGTCGGATCATAGTCCAAGCGTCGCTTTCACTTCCAGCTGAAGACTACCTCACCCGCTTGGCTTTGTCTGTGTGTCTTCTAGAAGTTCTTAGTCTATGATTACTAAAGTCTCGAAGTAAGTTTTATAGCTTCAGTCAATTCCGTTCTGAGAGATCACGCCGTGTGAAAAAGCTTGTCCTGAACTGGTTTCGACGTGAGATCTTTGATTGGACACAGGGCTTGACTGCTTGGCTTGAGTTCCTGCTAAGAGATGGATTTGTCATTCTAGTCCTGAAATGCGGCCTTGATGGTTGAGGTGGAGTTGAAGTTAGGTATAATTAAGGGAAGATCAGGTTACATCATAACATAAAAAGTGCTAGGATATAACAGCCCCGCGTACAGGAATAGACCAGGCCATCAGGCAGCAAAAGCTAGAATTTGGTGAAGACCTTGGCCTGAGCTTCATGCTAGTGTTTGGCCGAAATGCATGCGGACTCCCCTGGCTGGCTTGGGAGTCCCGGCTTCGGGGTTCCCCCAAGGATAGCAACACAGCGAACAGCTTCAGTGGGGCTTTGTAGGTAGGGCTGGCTAATGATCTGATGCACTAAGCAGGCATTCCAACTGTGGAGTCACCTATGACCTGCTGTGCGGCGAAGATGAGACAAATGCGACATGTGCAGTACAGATGAGACAGATGGGACGGATGTTTTTTGAGTGTCGCTTCTAGGGATCCGGGATCGGCCAAGGCTGGAGACAAGTCGTGAACGAGTGCAGGGCCAGCTCATGATAAAGGACTGCCACAGTCACAGTCTACAGATATCGGAAGCTGTGCAGTCCGCCGCCATGATATTGATAGCGGGAACTGGTCTTTCGAGACTGTGGGCCGAGAGGGGCTGGATTGGCGAGACTCACTCCAGGAGAGCAATAAGCCTTTGAGTGGCGCCGCACTACTACTGTACGCTCGAGATCATGGAATCATGCCCACGCCGAAACCGTATGCTAGGCATTATACAACACTAGCTTCAGACTCAGACAAACCTGGAGAATTACCTCTGACAGCTTGAAGAAGCACGTCTCCCACTGAGCCCAACACCATAAGAGGAAGTTCTATCCTGCTTTCCAAATCTTCCCCAAGTCTCCAACACTTTCTTACTGCTCTAGCGCTCTAGCAAGGGAGTGGTTGTGCAGCGGAAATTATTGTCCACCACCTCCTCCACGGATACCGTGCCGTATCTCAACGTTGAAAAGATGCGACTGCAGGCGCACTGGGCGCAGGAACCAGTAACTCCCGAGATAGACATGCAACATGCTATCCTCCATCCGGTGCAGATCCAACAAGACTACGGAGACAGACCTCGATGTGGGTCTATATGTCGTCTAAGTGGTCGGGGAGGGCCATGGTGTGGTTGAAGATGCGAGTATGATTGTGATGTGCACGCAGCCAGAGAGCGGCAAGACATCCAAAGACTGGCACCGTCGCAAAGGCAAAAAGGCAGAGTAGTAGTAGAGGCCCAAATCTAGGCAGTGTAAAGAAAGGATCATGAAGGTATTATTGCTGCTGCTCTTGACTCTCCCTGCATCTGCCGCATTGCTGGGGGAGGGTTTTTAATTCATCGGGCGTGAAGTTAGCGCGCAGCCATTTCCAGTGGGACCGCTGCTGCTGCTGCTACGGGGGGCTGCCGACTCTTGACTGGCAGCTCCTCCTCCTCCTCCTCCTCCTTCTCCGCCTCCTCCCCTTGTCCCAAGCCCCCCCAAAAGGCGGCGCACTACACCAACAACCTTAACCGCCCTCCTCTCCCTTCCAACCCCCTCTGCTGCTGGCTGTGCATCGCTCGCCCCATTCACTCTTACCTCCTCCCTGTCCTGTTCTCTCCATCTACGGGATTGGATCTCATTCACTCGTCGGTGTGCTCATATTGACAAGAAGGAATTTGTCGATTGTGCGAATGGAGCAGCTTGGATCTCGATCAAGCTGCTAGTATCCTGCCCGAACAGCGCGCCGTCGTACCCGCCCTTCGTCTTGATTCCAACCACAACACCATCTATCCTGCCTTTATCCGGCTTCGCCACCTACGGGAAGTCCTCCCGTCATCCATTGTCAACCACGCGTACTTCGCGGGGAAGGATCGTGGTATATATCACCTAATCCTCCGATTGTTGTGCTCGCATACCGTTTCCTGCACCTGATTCCAGATCAAGTGTAAGCCGGAGTAAATCGAAGTCAATCCATCTCCAGATCTCTTCACTGCGCCATTCTGATAGCGCAACTGCTCGGCTGTATATGGCATCATCTCGACCATAATCATCTTCATATAAACCTGCCTGACGCGGCTCATAGCACCGTCTCTCCATCAAGATGTCTCAAAGTTCTACTGCCAGTGCGCCTTCGCCAACTTCTTCACCGCAAGGCGGAGGAGGAGGTGGTGGTGGCCCTACGAGCTCGCCCCTTCTCTTTTTCGTGGCTTTGGGATTTGGTGTAGTCTTCACCAATCTATGGTAGGCCGTTCACTGATTCACCATGTGGCACATACTCACTTTCTACCTCGTAGGATCATTGTCGGCGTGAAATACTGCTTCCGCTACAACCAACGCAATCGCCAGGCTCGAGCACTTGCAGATGGTCAAGAGATAGATATGGGTTCAATGCCTCGACCTCATCGCCGGAGACGAGAAAAGAAGCTCATGTCTATGGAAGATGTCAACGAACGATTTCCTCTTACAAAGTATAAGACGTGGCGTGCAACACGGGAGCAGGAAGGTCTACCGGCCGCTGGTGGCATTGCTGGAAGTCGCGCAGGCAGTCTGAAAGACGCTGAAGGTGTTTTGGGTAAGAGCTCGATGGAAGAGGCGAGGCCGGAAACCGCCATCGCTCAGGCTCAACAAGATCACGTCGCCGCTACAGCAGCCGAGAACAATAAGACAAAGCCGCCCGCAGCAGACGATTCTGGGATGAGACAGATGGAGAACCTGCCTATGGCTCAGGCCAAGGAGCACTACGCTCCTGGCGCTGTACGAGATTCTGATGATCTAGAAAGAAGTCAGACTGTTGCCAGTATCACTGCAGACCCCAAGGGCCAACTGCCCCAGCCTACTACCATAGCAGATGATGACGACGATGACGATGAAGATGATCCAATCCGCACCGCCGCGCCTCCAGAGATGCTTGCTGCACCTGGTGATACTTGTGCCATCTGCTTAGACACATTGGAGGATGACGACGATGTCCGTGGATTGACTTGCGGACACGCTTTCCACGCTGCGTGTGTGGATCCATGGCTCACTGGGCGTCGTGCGTGTTGCCCTCTATGTAAGCATGATTATTATGTACCGAAGCCTCGGCCAGAGGGTGAACGACAACAACAAGAGGATGGCAATCAACCCACTCGACGCGCGACTGGCCTCGGTGGAATTCGCCTGACTCCTCCTGCTCCTACTCGGTACGGTTTCGGACGGAACAGACTGCATATCTTTGCAAGCAGTCGTCATGATACTCGACCTGAGCACGAGTCTAGAGCCCCTGCACAAACACAAACACAAACACAAACCACCGAACAAGGCACATCCGGCTGGCGAACGTTTGTACCTTTCAGATCCCAACGCAGACCAACCACATCTCCGAATCCAGTACCTTCGGTTCCTTCTCCACCCCAGCCAGCCCACACATCTCAGCCCAGCTGGTTCGGGCGGTTCAGGAATAGGAATTTGCCGCAAACTTCAGCAGATGCTGCGAACGGACAAACTGACGTTACTCCATCCGCTCTGGAAGCTGGACGAGGTTGAATTGTTTATTATGCCGTAAAACGACAAATCACGACTCCGTCTAAAACGTCATTGTACTTTTATGGACATTCGAGTGTCGAGTCACATGACTCGATGTCAGAAAGCCGGCATATATCGCCGTCTGCAACGCTCTGTCCACGGGGCTCGCTCCGCCCAAGGAGGGCGGCACATTTGTCCGGTGCAGCTCGCCCCTGTTTCCTCTCCCGATTTTGAGATTTCCCTGGCATGTTTAGCGTGGTTATGTGAGGTTTTTTGTGATTTCCGATATACCATCTTTACGACAGAATCAACCTTTTGGCAGCGATATGTTTGCGATGATCACGGACGGCTTGACTTCGGGCATCTATTGCGTGCGGTTCAAGGGAGGACAGGCATCACATGGGGTCAGCGAATTTGGTCTATGGATGGTGTGGCATACATCACATTTTGCATGCCGGTATAAATGGGCCGCAGTCACGTATATAGGTAGCGAGTGAGTCGCTTCTTGCAATATGATTGAAATATTACGTACACTCTCAGATGACGGAAGGAAAGTCCGTGTTTCTCGTTTGTACTAACACGAGGGGGCAGGATGTTCATGATGCTGGTGAGGTCCATCTATCACGTTGCACACAACGTTGCACAAGGCGGATAGACGATGCCGCTTGACAGTCGGTGATCCTATTCAGAGCCACAGAGAGGTCTTTCCTGTAGGCTATGTATGTATGCTATCTGCCCGCCAAGAAAAATCTATAGATACCCTCCCACAACTCATAACCTCACATCGACTTTCCTCCTCCCCCCCTTTTTCCCTCCCCCTCCCCCTTCCCCCGCCGCCCGTCCTTCTAAACACTAATCCACCTCGCCATCCACCGCCCACTCACCCCCTTCGCCTCATCCACCAGCCCCGCATCCAACAAAACCTGCACCACACCCCTAACCGCACTCTCCACCGCGCTAAAAATCCAAGCATGCGTCACACTCGTATGCTCCCCCACAAACACCGTCCGCTGCTCCGTCTGATGAAACGCAGGAATATACAACGGATGCTGCCCGACCCCGGGGCTCGCCCAGCTCGCGCCCTCATCCGCCTCGTTGGCCCAGCACACGCGCTCGTACACACCCGTGTATTCTGCCGCGGCGACGGGCCCGTGGATCTCCTCGATTGCGCGCTGTGCGATGGCGGCGTGGGCGGCGTGGGCGAGGCCGCCGAGGGCGAGCGGGGCGGTGGTGCCGGAGATGTAGGATGCTAGGAGCATGCCTGGGCGGGAGGAGTTGAGGGCGTAGGACGGGTAGCATGTGCTTCCGAGGGAGGGGATGGAGGTTGTGACGCAGCCGCCGTAGATTGGGGATGGGGAGTGTTCCCAGAAGCGGGATTTGTAGAGGAGGGCGAGTTTGCAGGCGTAGGCGTAGTTGAGGGAGGACATGGCGCGGGTGAGGAGGGAGGAGTGTGGGGGGGAGAAGCGCCAGGAGCGGGTGATGGGGAAGGGGACGGCGATGGTGAGGTAGTCGACGGGGTGGGAGGTGTAGGGGGTTGAGGCGGAGGCGTTGGGGGGGAGGGAGTGGAGGGTGAGGGATTGGGATTGGGGGTGGAAGGTGATGCGGGAGACTTTTGTGTTGAGGAGGGTGCGGTTGTGGATGAGGGGCCAGAAGGCGAGGGGGAGGCGGTTCATGCCTTTGTCGATGGTGCGCCAGGAGGTGGCGGAGAAGTAGACGTTTTCGTAGAGCCAGCTTGGGTCGGTGGCGGAGAGGCTGTCGAGGAGGTCGGAGGTGTTGCGGTTGGCTTCGAGGGCGTAGCGGAGGTAGCCTGCTTCGCTGAAGTCGAGGAAGCCGGAGTCGACGGCGGCTCGGTGGGCTTTGAAGACGTTGGAGGCGATGGATTTGATGGTTGCGTCGTCGTAGTGCACCCATGCGTCGTATGCTGCTTGTGCGGCTTCGACGGCTGAGGGGTCGAGATATTGGGCGCTGGCGTTGACGGCGAGAGATGGGTTTGCGGATACTTCGCCGACGGTGGGGACGGTGCCGTCTGGTCTGCGCTGGGTTGTGGACGAGGGCAGGTTCTGCTGGCCGGACATGATGAAGGGGATGAAGTTCACGGCGAGTGCGGAGTCGTTGTTGTTCATGTTGTTGAGGTAGTCGGCGAGTTGGAAGACGAGGCGGTGGTCCATGATCTGGATGGTTTCATTCGTGTCGCTGTCCGTGATCTCGACTGGGAACCGCATCGGTCCCATTTCTTGATACTGGTAGTCGTCGCCCGTGGTTCCTGGGGCGTAGAACGTGTGCACTCGGCCTCCTATCCTGCCCGTGGATTCGATGATCTGCCAGTTGTGGATGCCCACAGAGTCAAGAAGGAGCTGCGGTACGTAAGGACTTGATCTCGCCGTTTCAAGATATGGGAAAAGGGGTCATACTTACTGCAGTAGTCAGACCTGCCATGCCCCCTCCAACAATACCAAACCGCTTCGTCTTCACGGAAGACACAAATACTTCATCCGGTTCCTTCTGGCTCAGGTACTCCACGCCGTCGAACCATGCACCGACTGCATCTGTGCTATCTGCGAACAATCCTCGCCGATTGACCCTCCTTTTCACCATGAATTCTTCCGACTCGCCGACCAATTCATCTTCAATCCATGCCTGAAGACAGCCTCGATCGATGTCCGAAGGTGGCAGCCAGACAAACCGAGTGGGCCTCCTATCTGACCAGTCCAGATGTCTCTTAGCAAGAGGATGTGAGCCAACATGCGTCCGTCCAACCTTGTGATGGAAGGATTCCTTTGATGCCCTTCTGCAGACGCCATAGTGGATCGAAAGCTCACCATCGATGGGCCTATGGTACTCGACATGTATATTATGCACGCCACCAGCCTCGACATTGAATGGACCCATGAATGACAGCCGTTGATTCGCAACAGGTCCAGCAGTGCCTAGTTGACATAGGGATGCAGCAACAACAAACACAGAACGTAGAAACATGATGCTAGTCAAACCCAAGTTTCACTGAACCATTACACCATCGCTCAGCTATAGAAGAAGAATACTTATACATTTTCAACTCGGGTCTTATCAGTAAATTGGAAACCGCATTTCTGACTGCATTGTGGGACACGACATGACTGTATCGTAGACGAGCCGCGGAATGCCACAGAGGTTTTCTGTTGGCATTAGTCGGCAATCGGTGTGAGGACCCATTATACGTGATAAGAGCGGCGTATAAGAAGGATTTCGGTGCCTCATTGGATGAAATGGATAGTAGGACCACTGCATAAGGCCAATCGGCGTGGGTCAGCAGTGGAGGATCGTTTGTGGCGCTCTCGGCGATGCTGAGAAATTAGGCGGACTCCATCGCAACGGGATCTCAAAGCCTCAGCTCTTTGTAACACAGCCTTCATTCTTGGTGATTTGATGCTCCCCACTGGAAGTAATTACTGATGAAAAGCTCTGGGCACTCAAGACTCGTGTCAAAAGACATGCAATCCAGGCTCAAGAGTAACCCGATTCGGCCGAGATAACGATAACAGATCGATCTAGTGAGATTACTCGGAATGGAAGGAGGTCAAGGATTCAGTACGTACCGTCCGAGACGAAAAGAATGCTGGAGAGAACACCCAATCAACAACTACCAGGAGCAAAGATCACAAAAACCGGTGGTGGGGTTCTGATGCACGTTTATCTTGATAGAACTGTGTGCCGCAACCCGCGTTTGCCAAATACAAGGCGGGTGCCTCGCGTGGCCCATCGAAATATGTGGAGAGGCTCCATTAAAGTTCTCCATGGGATCCCTGCACCTGCTTATCACCCCAGGTACGTACCGTACGTCATTCGAGCAAGGGTCGAGCGCATATTTAGTTCCCCGCTGGCCGTTTGTCGAATATCAGATTCCATAGTAAACGAAATTGCGAAAAAGATTGACCCCACTGATTTGTGGAACCATATCTATGATATCCCTTGAGAAATTCCTCCAGAATACCATCCCTGTATTTAGAGTGCTTATCTGACCTTGTAAGCTAGGTCATCTATACGACTCACAAATGCAGCTTTTTCTTCGCTGGTCACCGCCATTGTACTCCGGGACAACAGTGAGAGCAACATAGCTTCGTTGGCCTTGCTCCGATTCAATGGTCAGCTGGTCAGATGGTCGGAGAAATTATGAGCGATCCAGCCTGTGCCAAGAGCAGATCAGTTCATATCCAAGGCCCTTGCTGGATACTTCCAGGTCAAGCATTAAATGCCCCAGCGTCGCAACTATCTACGTATGTATCTTTTCCCTATATCAGAAGACATGGCGCACGACGGCCACAATTGTGGATAGAACATCAGCATATGCGACGAAAGCCTCAGGCATCAGCCCGGTCATCCCATTATACTCCCATAAGACAACGCTGAGAGGCCCTGCGTATTGCCGACACGGCGAAAGAACCTCCTCAGAACTCTGCTTTCCGGAGAACTTGAGGAGTGACTCATACCCCCTGACTAGGCTCCCTGAGCTTCTGCACCAGAATGGATCTCCAATCGCGGGCCCCCATGCTTTCATGATGCCCTTCAGAAAATAAAAAGCTGTGTTTGCTCCACTTCGGAACTCATGTCAAATCTTTGTATGGCAATAACTCGTGACTAAATTCGGATATAGCACAAGAGCGCCAAAAGGCAGCATATATCGCCTAACATCGGTCTAAACTAACTTACTGCGCTCACTACAATACACTTTCGACAATCGCCCATTTCAAACTACGAACGATACCATGATATCCAATCACTAGCAATAAGTACGATATGCACATATGAATGCATGTCCGTGAGCTCGCTCCGAACAGTGCGGCTGTGGCATCTGTGGCAGATTCGCCGTCACCGACCTCAAAAATACGGTCGGAATACATGGGTCGTGATGAGATGGCGCGTTCCGGCTTGTTTTAATGCTCTTGAGATCATGCCAGTTGTATACTTGGCGCTGGTAGTTGCCAAGTGCTTTGTATGTCGGTTAAGGTTTGTTATATCCAAGGGGAGGACTTGAATTTGCTGAGAGGCGTTCTGGCACGGAAATGCTTTGGTGCGATTGGGTGCTGGTAGGAAAATGAGCACGGGTAATACAGGTACAGAGGTCCAAGGAGGAGGAGGAGGAGGAGGAGGAGGAGGTAGAGAGACAAGTATGTATTCTTAAAGGTATACGAGGAAGAAAAAGTCTTCAAAACGCTCAATCAAGTCAAGGCGCCCATCATACTGTCATATCAGGACTCAGTAAGAATTAACCGGCTGGTTCTTCCCCTAAGTCTAGGCAGGCCCAGCCTGACGTCCGAATCTACACAGGCATGAAAAAAGGAGAGTGTAGTATAACATAGTAGCTTTGATATCCTAGACACGTGTGGTAGTTTGTATACACTATACTTTACAAAACGCCATATACTCCTTATAGTCGTCATGAGGAGCTTGGAAAAACTGCCGTAAGAAACTCCATAACCCAGGGTATCCTTCCTCCGTTTGATGAGCGATAAGTTCTGGCCCAAGTCCGTGTCCTGTCCCAAAATGCAAAACGCCCGCTAATTGTATCAATGCACTGTACATGCTTCTTTCCCTAATATTAAAATGCTGCAGCTGTGCAGTCTGCTGGCTGCGTTGAGATGTGTAGCTTCTCAATGCCGCAAGGTCCGCAAAGCCATCTGCACTCATCGATGCGCCGACGGCATAGTCGTCAAATGTATCTCCACGCTGCTGTCGTCCGACAAATGAGACTCGTTCTGGATGTGTATTTCACAGTCGTCCTTGGTCCTGATACTCTGACTCCCATTCTCACTTCCAATCCCACTGTACGTCTCATTGCGACTGGCATTGCTGTCCTCCTCGTCATGCTTGTATAGGCTCCTGTTTGGGCCGGCGAAGTTGAAGTCGAAGCTGATGTCATCTTGACCCTTGCTAGCGTACCGGCAGATGCTGAGAATCCCGGCGCGTCGAAGATTTCTTCCTGCGCCGGGCTGTAGGTTGTTGTTGGGTCTATGGCCGAAAGTCTCGCGCCGTTCGCATGTAGATGCTTGAGAGAAGATGCGGCAGTAGAGGGGACGAATGGTGGCGAGACTTCCAGCAGTGATGGTGAGACCCGCTTCGGTAGTGGACCAGATCGCTATGTCCACCGTTGCGTCTGATATGGCGTTAGACGTGGGCAGACGCGCTGCTTGGAGGTACTTACAAAGAAAGTCTGGGTCTCTGAACTCCTTGATGAATGGCATGCGGACGATGACCGCACAACTAGCACTATCGCAGTTCTGTTAGTCTGGGTATTCAAAGACTGGCTTGACTCCTCGAACTCACATGCAAGCCATTCCAAGAATAGGAATTAGCACGAGTTTCGTCCGACAATCTATGTTTAGATTCCAGACCACGAAGATGGGGAGTATTCCAAAGGTAAAATCGCAGATAGCGCAGAAGCTACCATAAATGTACGTCAAGTTGATAATGACATCGATGTTGATGCAAGTGCCCGTTCGGCCGGGGATAACCTTGGTCCAGAAGAATTCCACGGGCGCGCACTGGAAAAGTGTAATGAAGAGGAAGACGACGCCAGTAACAGCAGTGACACTCATTACCGTCCAGATGATATATCGATGTATCTTGGCCACCGCAACCCGGAGGAAAAAGAGGCCAATAGATATTTTGGCGAGAGTCATTGTTGCGCAATACGAGACGTAACACATCCACCAATACTGCTATTCGTCAATTCATCGATTCCAGATAATCAATTGAGGCTAGTCACCCGTAATGCGCGCATAGTCTCGTCTGTCGTCAACTTTGACATATGTCTTCCTGTGCCGTAATGTATTCCGCCGAGCACGCTGGCTGTATACCAGCAATAAGTCAACTATTACAATCAGCATTGTGACATCGAGGCCTGAGCGGTCATATGACTGACTAGTGCAATGGCCATGAAAACGTCGTCCAGCCCAAACAACTTCACTATACGACTACGAACGAAGCAGCGTAATAGCACTGTAATAAGGGCTATGCCACCAAACGTCGCCGATATACCAGCCAACTGCGGACCCCGATTGTCAACCATTTTGGTGTAATGAAGAAGGAAGCGATCCAAGTGAGTGCCGTGACTTCTTCGAAACAAATCTCAATAGAGACAAAATAGTCCACACTTCGACGAGGGAGTCATCTATGCAATTCGACTTGGGGATTCGCATGAGATGAAGACCATGTGCTATATGCGGGTGCGTGACTGATAAAGAAGATAAAACAAAGTAAGGCTGAGAGCACAACACCGCCGCTTAGCCCAAGTCCTTGCTACAACTAAACATGCGAAACCCGCCTTGGTTGAGTCCTAGCTTCCCCTCGGTCCACTATTGATCCACTCGAGTGGTGAAATAACAAACGTCGCCTGTGCCGAAGTACTTAGAGTCTTTTTTCGACGCTGATCTCCTGTACCTTCGTTGTGCTGGTGCTGGAACTCATTAGGGGAGTGATTCGAGTCTGTACCTTTGGGCCGACATTCTTTGATGGCAAAGAGGAGCCGTGGAGAAGCGAATATTAGAAGAACCAACGGATCTGACTTGTTGATAGTATGGTGCAATTGACATGTGGTTCATGTTTGTCTGTGCGCCGCTGTCTACCGCCTGACAGATATGGGTCGCGTATAAAACTAGTAACATTGGTGTCTAATAGCGCCCCTGACCCCCCAAAAGGGAACGGGTCGCGAAATATTGCTGCCTCCTCCGTCCCATCGAATTTCTCCGACGTCTGCAAACAAGTATGGATCACTAAGGATATATAGTCCATAGTTGGGCTCCAATATATCTTCCTATCAAATGGTCGTTCAACAGTGTACTGTTATAGCATTCCGGAGTCAGCGTGAGTAGAGTGGACAACCGGCCGTAAGCATATGCCGCCTATTGCAAATGTACACGAGGCAAGGGGGACTGCCGGTACATGAACAAGGAAATGCTCGGACTATAGAGCCACGGCCCGATCGAGATCTTCGCCTCCAAGCGCCTCGCCTCATTTGTACTTTACTTGGAAACGACTGCGGGGTTGGACTAGGTCACTTCATGCATGTGCGTGACGTTACCTCATCTTCAGTAGAACTAGGTGTGCTCAGGGTTTGCAGATCAATTTCCCCATACGATGGTTTGTGGGGACATTCTCAGGAACACCCAGTATTGAGGGAGCTTAGGGGAGAAACCCGGTGAGCGTTTATCCCTGTAAAAGGGACTTGCCAATCGCAATAATAAAGGCGTCAAAGTAATCCGAGATGGTGGATTTAAGCTTTACATTGTACTCACATTCCGGTAGGTGCAGCGAATCTCAATGAGATACTGAAAGGCAAGCTTTACATGAATCGATGTTGTGGTTGTTGGTGAGGCGTATGTAGTGCGAGTTGCCATGACGCTAAAGATCGTAGTCTTCGGGGACCTGCGTTCCGTCAGGCGAGCATACCCGCTAAACCACTAGCTATTCCTAGGCCAGATACCCGTGCCATCACTTGCATGCTTTGGTACTGAGGACCAATGCAAATACAAAGCGATTGTGATATCACGGAGAAGTCCTGATGAGCTGATGTCTAACGGCATTGCGAGGTTCCTAGTCAATCATCGGGTTGCTGCGCCAGCTCCTTCCAAATGATAAACATCCCGTTGAAGCTTGCGACACCATCTTGTGTGCCTGCTCACTGATACTGACACCGGGAACACCGAAATTTGGGCTCTGAGAGACGCCGTATCGGTGGTACAGAAATAACGACTTCGTGCTGGTCAGCAAGCCGGATCGTCCCGAGATGAAGTGACAGCCGTCGCAGGACCCACGTCAGGGTAAAGATGAAAATGTCCGTATACTTTTAGTTTGTGCCATGCTTTTGCTTAACGTATCGTGGTTGTGCATAGTGTGGGGAATATAGTGACAGGTAGATGTGTTGCCATTATACAGCTCCTTTGATCTTCAAAAAGTTCTCTCGCCGGCCACGTAGCGCTCTCAAGATCTGTTTCGCCTGCTCCATGCTCTTTTCACCCTCGATAAGTTCTCTCTCAACGGCATTCTCGGTTTCTCTCTTGCTGTCTCCAGCAGCGTGTATCCACACGTTAACATCTGATCTTGGTGGTACTAGATGACTCTCGTCTGCAAGACGACGTAGGGATCTTAAAGTTTCTTCTGTGGAAGACGTGATTTGACGTCGGAGATGCGCAAGCTGTTGTTGGAGATCATTTTCTGTCCTCGACGCCGCCACAAGAGCCGGGATGGTTGAGATGAGCTCGGACACCTTCGTGCCTGAGCTCTCGGAATTGTTGTTCAATGGGAGGGTACTCTGTCGAGGTTTCTGTGAAGGTTGCGTATGGCGTTGCTTAGTAAACTCGGTTGTAGCAGTATCAACGACGGCAACGAATTCTTTCCGGCGGTCCAGGTACGTGTTATAGAAGCCTTGTATGCGCTGATGGTAGGCATCTGGTTTCATCTGATCCGTCCCGCGGGCCAGTTTCGTAGGGCTGTTGAAATTTTGAAGCTCACTTTCTTCTCCTATCTTGGACAGCTCTCCCTCAATCCATTCAACAAGTTCGTCTCTCGCTACTCGTAATGCGGTAAGTTCAGCTTGTAGAGATATCGTTCCATTGCTCTTCAATTGGTCTTCTTGCTTTTGCTTTGCCGCTTTTGCTTCCTCTAGCTTCCTTCTCGCAATCAACAATTCCTTCTTCAACTTAAAAGTGAGTTCCTCGACGAGGGGGTCTTGAGTCTCGGCTTCGAGTGTCAGACTTGGCGGATCAGGCGACGCGCCAATTAGATCCTCCACCAGGCTTTTCAAGTCCTTGTGTGCCAGTTCCGGTGCATTCTCCACAAGCTCCTCTATACCGGCTTGTAGGATCTGTAGTCTCGAAAGCTTTCTTCTCTGTCGCAACAATGTCGTGTACGCAGACATTGACTCCTTGATCTCTTTGTTCCGAGTCACATAGCTGCTCTCCTCTGAATGCTCGATTCGGAGTTCGCGCAGCTCATCTTGAAGCTCATCTCGACGCTGCCTCACCGCCGCATTGGCTTCTAACGCTTCGAGATATTGACGGCGAAGACCGGATAGTTCTACTGGAATATTGCGGACCTCGAGAGTCGCGGCCGGAGCCCCAAGGCTCAAACTCGTTAGGTCTAGGTCTGAGGTATGTCGAACATGGGATTGTAGGTATGCTGTGAGACGTTGGCGAACGAGTAGAGCCTCTTGACGAGTACGGATATAGGGAGCGAGGGCGACTTCAACTTCAGGCAAAGGGCATTCGGTCGTCATTGCGTGGGGAGTAAGGACATCATGCCACGTTCTGGAATCAAATACTGACTGCGTAGCTAAACATTGAGCTACTAAGACCCTGGATGGTCATAGCTTTTGGTGAACCTAGGCCTCACGCTTTGAGGCTTGGCACAACTTTGACAAACACACCTTTAGTCTGATTGAACTTTAAGAGTGACACAAGACGTGTCTCACACCAACTTGATGGTATCTATATCTACTCCTTTTCCCTTCAGATACTTGGCATCCGGATATTCGAACAGCTTGATGTCCCCATCCTCGGTCTCATCGTCATACCAAATCCGCTCACCTTTGTCCTCTCTTATCTCCAGCTCATCCCAGTTCACTCGCGGATCATACTTTGACTCGTAACCTGTCTCGCGGCTGCGCCATAAGCAATCTGACCATCTTCCACCCTCAGTCCACACTATATCTACGTCCGCGGGAAGGGACCTAGGACCGCTTCTCCCCAGTTGAGGCCGTGGATGCTACTGGATCCTATCACTTCGTAGTTACCATTCGACTGTGATCGCAAGATGAGTGGTCGACCGCATCCAAGAACTATAGCAATGGCATCTCCAGGCTGAGCTTCTGTGTTTCCGAGACCAATCAGGCCGCTATCCGTGGTTATCAGAGCCTGTCCTTCGCATGCTTGGAGAATATCCGAGATGTACATGGTGTAACTGCCGAATCTACTCTTGAGGTCTACATCTTCTTGTGCGGCCAAAGATGATAGCAAGTCTCTCATATAATCGAAACCGGCGAGGAAGTCATTGCGTTTCAACTCGGACATACATTCCAGCAACTTGTAGCCGGAGAAGAGATATGCGCACGCGTCTTTGGCAGTGCCACCAGATGGATAGGGTTTGGAAGGGTCAATAGACTGTAGGAGTTGTCGCAGGATACCCCTGAGTCGATCCTCCTTGTTCTCGCACGCGACTGCTTGTACCTTTGTTACCTCTTTCACCGTAGTCACTAAGAGGCCCTCAATCCGTAACACTTGCCCACAGTCAGACAACGACGCCGTAGCTGTAGCCTCACCATCGGCAAAGTGACCCGAGAGACTGCTCCTTGTCCGTTCACCACTCCAGTCGGGCACCCAAGATGGATGCTTGAACGCGGTTTTCTTCTTTTCGCTATGCGAGAGCACAGTCACACGCTTATCCCGGCTTAGCTCTGCAATGATCACCTCGCGATATACTTCGGCAATTGCCTTTGTGTAGTCTGGGATGATCGTGCTCTGGAGAAAGGATTTTGCCGAGAGCAAGCCGAAAATTGCGTAGACCCTGTCGCGAGGATCGAAACACTTGGCTGCTTGAGTCCTTGTCAACGCATTCTCGATTCGTGTCTCAATGGACTCGTCCCCAAATATCTGAAGTACACTCAGGAGCCGTTGGCACAAGTCTTGAGAGGGCTTGTCGTTTGCGATCAGGTACTTTCGATACAAAAGCAGAGTCGCTTTGTGGAAGTCCACCGCATGGAGAACCTTTGTGCCGCAAGTCATCATGACTTTCCTCGGATTGGTGACTTCTTGTCGGATCCAGAGGCGCTCGAAATAGGGTCTGTTGTAGACTTCCAGCATAGCTCGATGCTCGCGACTCATCACAGGAAATGCAACAGTACAGTCCAGAAGCCATATGTCATAATCAATGGATTCCCTAGTATCATCCTCTCTGGGCGTCCCCCACAGAATATGACCACTCCTCCAATCAACGTCAAATTTAGAACTGATCCGGCCAAGCAAAGGAAGACCAAAATCACTGCCTTCAGAGGGTGGCCCAAGCCACGCAACCACTTGAGATGCCTGAGAGTATATCTCTGCCATTAGTTGAACCTGCTGACATCGCTCTTCGATATCTTCTTGGTTGATGCACACCGCGTCGATCCAAAGATTCCGAGGCTTGTCCGGGAGCTGTAGATATGGCAGAACGGTAAAGAGATTTCGCGTAATCGAGATAGAGCTAAACTTTCCGGATGGCTCTGTACTCGTGTCATTCTCAACGAGGACGCTTCCGGGATCGTCGGTGCTTCCTCAGACGTAAGACAGAGCTTCGTACTGGAAAGGCAGTTTACCCTTTCGGGGTAGTGATGCTGTCCAAAGCTTGATGTACACCTGACCAACGTTTGAAGGGCATAGCGTCAGGAAACGAATCTCATTTTCGGCTGCAATGAGCGGGGAGTATTTATAACGCTCCATCTTGAAACTTTGCGTTTCGAAATGCAGCTGATATTCGTCGTCCCGCTCCGCAGCTATAATGCGTAACTACAAACCCCCAACTTGTCATTTGCAGGGCAATCTGTAATGATATTTCCTACGTAGAGTGTAGTACCCCAGATAGCCTGGCTGAAGCTGGGGAGCAGGGCAGTACACGTGTGATGTAACACGAGAGAAGCTTGGAAGGATGAGCGGAGTTCCGTATTGATCACTATTCCGTATTGATCACTAGCGATAGTCTGTGCCTGAGGCATTCACGATCTCAATCAAGTAAGGGGTACTTTATGAAATACATACGTGGAACTGCCGTGACTTGCCAGTCTAACGATGAGTATGAAGCCACTACAGCCTGATTATGCGCCGACCTGAAACAAACAAAGCATATACGTATCAACGCCGTTGTCTTAGCATCCAGGGAGCACTCCTTATACGCCATGCTCTACCTCAAGTTCCTTTCTGCTGCCTGTACATCCATCCTATCCTGTAAACCTTACATCTTCCATCGCGCTCCGCAATTCGTGCACTCGCAGAAGGTCGTCATCGGTTCATCGGCACTCCGAGTCTGCGCCTGTGAATAACTGACCTTATACTGCTTGCACTTGCCGCACTGGATCGTGCCCGAGATACTCTTCTCGCCCTGGGCTGTCATGGCTCGTCGGATATTCTCGTCGTGGAACTTCTTTTCTTGGTCGCGTTGTTGAGGGGCCTTGAGCTCGTCGTCCGTCATGACGACGAAGTGCTCCGGGCTGATATACTCGATTGGGTTCTTCTTTACGTATTCTTTGTTTTTTTCGAGATCGGCCGCATTCAAGTTCTCCATCTTTTGGACCTTTAGGAGCAAGCCTTGGCGCAACCATGATCCGTTGATGGCATTTTTGAGATTCTGGCGAAGTACGCGCATTCTTTGGACATATTCTTTCAACACGGGTGGGGTATCTGGTTTGTAATGGTTGAACGCGGCAAGCTCGATTGCTCGTACGATCTTGAGGATATCCTCAGAATCTGGGACGTCAGTCTAGTTGAAACCCAAATGTTAACAATGACCTCACCTTCTGGTTGCGCATACACCAAGCCGTCGTACACCATCTCAATCATTTTGTCCCTAGTGTCATTTCCCGTCACCAGATACGCCTCTTCCCTACCCTTGAAGTCTGTCTTCAGCTTGCGCTTCGTGTAGTCGATATTGCTAGGCTTTGCATGCTTTGGCGTTTGTATGGTTGGGGTCGACGACGGCGCGGGCGATGCCGTACCATTCCCATTCTGCGCCCGCGGTGTGGAATTTCCTGAGCCTGCCTTGCGTACTTCTGCACGCCATTCCCCGACCAACTCATTTGCGGCCTTGGCGACCTGCGGATTCGTGTGTGCTTTGAGCTTGCTGACTGTGACACCAATCTTGGTCGAGCGCAAAAGCTGCTCATCCGCCTTGACGCCTTTGCGCAGTATCCCGATGATGCTGAGGATCTCTGCAGCGGGCCGCTTCTCTGCAAGCGCTTTCATGATATTCTTGCCATAAGTCTGTACTTCTTTCGCATCCATGGTGGGCGAGATGGCGTAGATATCTTTATCGCGATCGACGAGACTTTGGGATGTGGATGGAGCGCCAGTCGTGCGATGACCGGGATCGTGCCGTTGACCTGAGCGTCAAGTTAAAGAGCTCCAGAGTCAAGTTGAGGAGCGTCGCTGCGGAGCCAAAGATGAAGGTTTGCGAGAAGTTTCAAGTTTGAAGTTGTTCCTGTGCCCATCAAGCTCCTTCTAGAAGTTAACTAATCGGGATAGCGGGACTAGAAGCGCGCCGCGCGCCTGCCTCCGATGAGCGCCGATGTCACGCGTCTTGATATAATTAACACCACCATCTTGTAACGGAGATACTCATCTTCACCAATACCTTCGCATCACTCCGACCACGGTCCATGCCAAACGCCATCGGCATCCCACCAAGCCGCTCACATGATGTCCGAAAACGCCCCTCCAACCCAAGCTACGGCCACAAATACAGAAGCCCAGCGCGGCATGCCATACTACGAGCAACTTACACGCGAGCTTAAGAAACTACTCAGTACCAAGCGTGCGCTCGACCAAGAACGCGCCTCTCTCGACGAGCATATCTACAAGCTCGAGACGGCTTATCTCGAAGAGACAACCGCGGGCAACATCATCAAAGGCTTCGACAACTATATCAAAGGCACCACCTCATCCACCGCTACGACAGCAGGGACATCTAGCCGGCGGCGAGGTGGCATTAACGATGCCGACCGTATATTCAGCCGGAGTAGCACGAATTTTGCGCGGGCGCAGAGTCTGAGCGCGGAGAGTGGGATGACGACGCCGAGTGCAGGTGCGGCGACGCCGGCAAGTGTGGGTGTCGACGGGGGCATGAAGAAGGAAAACAAGAAGAAGAAGAAAGGCGGAAGCGGAGTCGGGGAGGACGACGAAGGAGGCAAGGCGAAGAGGACAAAAATTGCTTATGCATGAAATGCATGAAATGCATGAAAGTGAGCAAACCGCGCGCCGGGACTGAAGTGCACGAGGGTTTGGTTGTATGGGAATTGGGAATGGTATGTCGAAGCGCAAGGACTTTGAATGCGGTGGACAGGACATACGGCGGTCTTGCCATCACCATACGGTCTACGAGAGTCGAGCTACGAAGTTGTAGGACGAGGAGCAAAGAGGCGTTCACGCGTGGGCAAAGACTATCAACGAGGTCTGGGAGGCCCTTGATCATTGTATAGCACGAGCCTTGGTGGGAAGTGCGGACTACCGATCGTGGACTTCAATCAGAGGTGTCGCGGAAGATGTTCGCATAAAGCGAGGAAGAGACATGATCGAAATGCTCCACATCAAGGCCATCAATCGTAGACCAGCTACGCAGAACAGGTACCATTATCTTGTTCGCAATAATGCTTCCGGCATTGCAGTGAAGTCCCCAGTCTACGTACTCAAAGCCATATTTCGAGACCACGTCGAAGTGTCGTCGCATTACCGCCATCAGGTGTTTCGGCATACACGAAAATGATCATCACCGTTACCACTCCTGTTTTTATACACGGTCCCGGTAGGAGATGGTGCGCCGCAGACGCCCACTCCTCGCATCTCTTCGTGGTCTCGACATCTGAGAGTTCGTAAGGTGTGGTGACTGTGTTGCGAGGGCACACAAAGGCAGCGAGCAACGGCAGACAGTGGGACGAGTGCTCTATCTGCTCTGTTCGTTCATCCACTTATACCAAATTATCAACTCATTCCATTCTGACCTCAGAGACACATGATTGATGCCAGGTGGGGCTACCCGGTAGAGCAATTGAGAGTTGTGGAATTGTATCAAGCACTCGTCAATATTGTTCGAATTCACATCATGACAGTCCACAAGCTCAGTATGCAGTCACAGGCCTCACGGTCCGGATCTGGTGCCCTCTGTTCTGGCTAAGACGCCATCTTCACCCTGTGCGTCGTCTCGATGTGATACACATATGTGATCTTCTGGGGAGATTGATGGCTTTCCTTAGATCGTTCGTCTAGACAATAGTCCTCAAGAGACTCGCTAGCTCCAGGGTTTCCATCTCATTGTGCTCGCTCCGTCCTGTCCTACAAGCGATGTGCTGTCTAGTTCTCGTTGTACAACCACAAAACAAGGCTTCATGGTCCACAAAGCCTTACCGGCAGGGCGGTGGAAACACAGGCCTCGATGAGTTAGCCTTTGTATCGGCAACCAATTGTGCTTCGCAGTAAACATATTTCACCACAATCCGTCGTGAAGTGAGACTACGCCAGCACTGGCGTGGGAGCAAGTGAACACGCTAACACCTGTCTTGTCTTTGTTGTGAAAGGCTGATGATTCACGATAGCCGGCCCATGTCTGAATTCACCATGGCCTATCCCGTAAGACTTCGACCTGACAGCATCATTCTATAAACACTCCTCCATCCTACCTTCATTCGGCTCCACCTCCACCTCCACCTCCACCTATCCTCAAGCCCATCACCAAGTTTCTCATCACCAGACAGACCGCACACAATGCCCCTCTCAACAACCACCCCTTTCTCGCGCCTCCTGCGCGCCGAGTCCAACATCAGTCTCACCACAGACAAACCCTCCCACACCCTCAAAAAGCGCTCTCCATCCTCAATCCGCCTCATCCCCCACAGCACCTCTCCCCCAGACACCGCACCCCAACCACCACGAAACAACCCCGACAGTCCAACCCCCTCCACCCCAAACGACTCGCCACCCCGCGACCAACACGCCACAAGCGCGTACCCGGACCCCACGCAAGCCCTCGCTGCGAGCGTGAGCGTGAGCTTGGGCATGAGCATGAGCATGAGCATGAACAAGCACAAGGGAAAGGGCTCAGACACGCCACCAGTCCAGAAGACGACGACGACAACAACGACAGACTTCTTCGCACTGCAGCCGCCTGACGCGCGCGTCTGCGGCTGGTTCAACTTTACGTGCTGTCAGTGTGGCAAGGAGACGCATTGGGAGGCGCCGGTGTGCAGCTTCCTGCAGTGTGGGCATGTCAAGTGTGAGAATTGCCGGAAGACGTGGCATGCGTAGGCGGGTTGGGGGGACTTGGGAGACTTGGGTTGAGGCGAGGCGAGTGATGACAAGACTGGATAAGAAGAGTGGGAGTTGAGAGAAAAGGGGGAGGAGAGAGAGAGGAGAGAGAGGAAGAAAGAGTGAGAGTCGCAAGCTGGATGGAAAGAGGATATGGGAGGTCTGGAAGAAGAGAAGACTATCCGAGGGGATAGATATAATTTCACAAATTCACAATAGCCTTTGTGATTTTCTGGTACTGTTTTACGTCGCAAGACATCGCGGCACTGCTTCTTCCTAGGCTTAGAAAGAACGGGGAAAAGGAAGGTGGAAAAGCAAAAACCTCGCAAAAGCTTTTATTGAGAATTTAAAATTGAATACTTGATATGAAGGCTGCGATTAGCCGCGCTAAGCGCGAGTTTGTGAACTTTCTCCTGGGCAGTAGTAGCCGCGGCGCTGGAATGTATTCAACGGTTTGATCCCTGAGCGAGGCATATATCCTGACGTGATGGACCTATCTATATATCGCACCAGCCCGCCCTCTGAAATGAATCAAGCACGAACTGGCGTCTGTATTCCCATGCTATTCCTCCGGCCTGGGTAGTAAGTAACACGCATAGAAACTTGGAATCCGAGGCAGACGCGTAAGATCGCAATACAAGGACCCCTTTTTAACATGTATAATATACAATATACAATATACCATCACAACACCCACGATCCCATCCCCGTCCCTCGTCAAGTCGTCATATAGCGAGCAGAGCACTCTCCATCTATAGTATAGCCCAGGCAAGCAAGTCTGTCTCGGTACACACTGTACTCTACACTACCCGCCACACGTGCACGCCGCATGTACAGTACAGTATATCCCAAATCCGAAGCAATATGCTGTATGCTGTGTGCTGGCTGTGAAATCGCAGGACGTCATCTCATCTTTATGCCGAGGCAGGCAGGCAGACAGGTACAAGGCACGCACCTAGAATCTCTGTCTGCTTGCCGGTTGTAAGTAAACGTACCCTTGATACAAACCTTGTTTCTCGCACGTGTGCGTCTGTTTACACCTACATAGCATATTACATATTACATGGCACGTCATACCTCAGCACTGCACGGCACAGTATAGCATACATGGCATAGCATAGCAAACCTAGCATAGCTACGTCACCGCACCTCACCCCTCCCCCTCCTCCCCCTCTACAAAGCCCCGGCCAACCCACCCTCCATACTTAGCGTCATGCAGGGTCCTGTCTAATCCACTCCCCTCCCTTGCACTCCGCTGCACGCCCCCTCCACGATCTCAGAGCCCCTGTCTGCGCGCCGCAGCGATCGGATCGGCGTCGTCATACTTTTTTGTCTTTGTTGAATTTTTGCCTTGCGTAGGTTGCGTAGGGTGTCTTGGAATGCCTTGTCTTGTCTTGGATTGGATTGGATTGGATTGTTATGTAAGCGTGCTAAACGTGCTAAGCGAATGAATTGCAGATGCTGCTTGGTAATTGACTGCCTGACTGTCTCGACGAACGGTCCGGATGTGGGCGTTGGATCGTTGGTCGCTGACTCGTTGCCCGGCGTGTGGTGCGTGGTGCGTTGAGTTAGAACTTAGTATCAGTATCGATAAGTCATGGATAATAGTCATGGATGCAGTGCGTAGGTAGTACATAGCTCGTCGACAAGACCAAGACGGGACAGGGCCGGACCGGGGAAATGACGGGAGCTGGGAGCTGGGAGCTGGGATGGGATGGTATGGTATGGTTGGGAGGGAAAGGTCATGATGCCGACTGCGGCAAGTGGATGGGTGTAATTAGCATAGTATGTAATATGTATGTATGTATGTAAGTATAAGTATAGTATGGACTGTGTATGCATGTATGCCCACCGTGAGGCAGGGCATGCATGTACGGCAGGTTAGAGCAGGACGGTAAGGCGGCGATGTTGGGAGAAACCAGCTAGCTACATTATACTAGCTGTGCAAGAGAGAGAGGGAGAGAGAGAGGGAGAGAGAGAGGGAGAGAGAGAGGGAGAGAGAGAGACACAGTGGCGATGACGATGACGACGTGGACTATTATTATCTTTGTCGGGCGGGGTAGATAATTAGGGAATGTAGTAAGACGGTAAGATAGTAAGACGGTAAGATAGTAAGACGGTAAGATAGTAAGACGGTAAGATGGTAAGACAGTAAGAAAGTAACACAACAAGACACTAGGAGTAAGATAATGACAAGGCCTAGTAAGCAACCATCCATCTATCCATCCATCCATCTATACCATGCTCCAACAACCCACACAACCGGTACTCACAACGTACCAACCAACACAATGACGTCTCCCTACATCTCACATCTCATATCCCATCCCCTTCCTACAACCCCGAACACACCCGTAGAACAAACTTGGAAGTTCAAAAGGTCTTAAAGGCGAGGCGCAGGCATCTTACTACCCTCCTACCCTCCAACCCTTTAAACCTAATAATCAACTTTTTAAACCTTTTAAAACTTCTAGCTTTGTACCTTTTAGTCCCCTTAATTAGCCCCCTTCCTTTGTTTCCCGCCTTCCATTGCCCATACGCCATGCCACATTGCTAAATGCCCATACTATCCGCATTCCGCAATATACGCGGACGATCAGGGTCTGTCTTTCTTTCTTTCTTTTCTTGTCTTGTCGTGTCCTGTCCTGTCCTATCCTATCCTGTCATGTCCTGTCCTGTCCTGTCCTATCCTGTCCTGTACCCAGTCCGTATGCTAGGGTAGGCTAGGGTAGGGTAGGCTAGGGTAGGGTAGGTAGGCCAGGGTTGGTGGGTAGGTTAGACTCAGGGTCCGCAGTACACACACACACACACACACACAAACACACACCATGGTCCAACCAGCCAGCATGTTATTAGACCCAGGACGCACTCAGGGTACGCACTCAGGCTCAGGCTCAGGGTCACGACACTACAATAACCACATACGCACATGCACATAGACGACATGCAATAATTAAATCCAGGGTCCACAGACACACATACATACACACAAGACCCTAGTTCTCGTGTATGTATGTATGTACAGTACGGCTGGCTAGCTAGAAACGCCACTGGCGTCATTGTTAGCGGCACTGCCCGTCTACCGTCCATCTGCTGTTTACCTAGTAGCACCAGCACCTAATGGCAGCACCACCACCAGCATCATCAGTAGCACCTAATGGCAGACACAGCACCTAATGGACAGACCAGCACAACAGCCCGAGACACAACAACAACACCAGGCATAATAAACCCTTAATCCATCCCAAGAAAGGAATCAAGGGTCCACGTATTTATATAAACCCACGCTTAGCATCCTCGTAGGCTATTAGGTATCCCAACAGACGGAAAAAGAAGCAAAAAAGGAAAAATACAGAGAATGTCACCGCAGACCGGTGTATGGTAGGGCGGGGCACGGGGTAGGATAGGGCAAGGACAGGATGGGGCAAGGACAGAACACAGGGCATGGAGTCTAGGAACAAGGTTGTTGGCTAGGAACAAGGTCTGGCTTTGGGCTAGGATAGGGTCTAGGTTCATGGTGAGAACAGGGTAGGGTTCATGGTCGAAGCAAAGTGGGGATATGGTTAGGGTCATGGCAGAAGCAAAGTTGGGATATAGTTAGGGTCATGGTCAAAACAAAGTGGGGACAGGATAGGGTCAAGGCTGGGATAAGTAAGGCTTAGGGTCAGGGTCAAGGGCGTAAGTAGGATCAAGGGTAGAGCAGAGGCAGGATAAGGTGGGATAAGGGTAAAAGGGTAAGGTGGAATTAAGATAAAGGGTAAGACATGGTAGAATAAGAACAAGGCAGGGCAAGACATGGTAGGATAAGCGTAAGGATAAGAACAAGGCAGGGTCAGGACAGGCTGTATGTAGATATATGCATGTATGCATGCCTAATACATTTCAGTTAATCAATCAATCAACCTATTAATTAATTAACTAATTAATCTATTCCATCTGTCAAGTCTATGGGTTCAGCAGGCTATTCGTTCCCGTTAGTCTAGTAGACGTATTTCGTTTCTATTAATTAGTCTAATAGTAGTCTAATAGTCTCAATTAGTTGTAATTAGCTACCCTAGCCATTTTAATTATTTTAAATCTATTACTTTACTAATCTATTCGTCCATCTATCCATCTATCTATCCATCTAGATATAGACAGGCGAGCGAGTAGTATAGTATAGTATAGTGTAGTATAGTGTAGTATAGTATAGTGCAGCGTATATAGTAGAATAGATGTCGTGCCAGCCAGCCAGCCAGTCTCTCCGTTTCAAGAGCGGTGGGTACAAGTAATTATAGGTGTAACGAGCATATGTATATATATATATATATATGTGTGTGTGTGTGTGCATGGCAATTGAAACGCAGCGCAGGGCAGGGCAGGGCAGCCTGTCTGTTTGATCTTACCATCCCATCCATCCATGAAACACGTCCAGTTTCGCTGGATTCGGCAGCTTCACGTATCAACAGGGTGCAAGATTATACATGGCAATTCCCATGTTTCAGGACTCTGCTAGTAATGAGTTACGATATCGAGCGTGATGTCAAGACAATTATTCGTACACAGGGCACGACGTTCACGCAAGAGTGTGGTGCATCAAAAAGACATTTTGGTCTATGTACCAAGCACGCACGCGCGCATCCAAGGCGGCGGCGGCGGCGGCGGCGGCGCGGGTGGGATGCCCGGTTTTATCCCAACACACAGGCCCATCGTACAGTCCCGCACTTGCTCATCCCATCCCATCCCAAGCAACGTGAAATGTCCCACCCGTAACCCAAAAAAACAATCCACAAGCGATCGGCACACGAATCGTGTGCTCGCGCAACTCTCTAATAATACAAGGGGTATGTGCGGGTTGACCCGGCCCTGGCACGCCAGCCAGGCCGTCGCAAAATGAGGGTCTATAAGGTCAAGCATATGGCAAAACCAGGAGCCCCAAATCGTCCAGGCTCATCGCTCGCTGAACAAAAAGTGGTGGTGATACATCCCTTCCCGGGGAGTCCCAAACGCCGGACAACGCCTTCATCGTACACATTCAGCTGCCTGAGCACTCCAGGCCGGCGGCCGTCGAATCCGAATCGTAGCGGGGGTATACGTAAAGACCGTCTAGAAGTAGATCATGCGTCGCGAAATCAAAGCCATTTTACGCCCGTCATCGCATCGTAATAAAAGACAACCCAAAGAGCTTGACTCGATGGTGTCAACAACTGGGACTGATCCTCTCGAAATCGAGAGGATCCAATGTCAAAAAAAGTCGCACGTCACTGGTCGCTCGTGACTGCTCGTGAATGTGCGATGATCATCATCTACATGTCATCTGGCGACGGATGGTCACGTCCGTCCGCTTTGTGGACCTTCTTGTGACGACGCAGATTCGATACGACGGAGAAATGACGGCCGCATCCTTCAACTTCGCACATGAATGCTAACACACCAGTCAGAATGGACATACTCAAGTCAAACAGGATACGTACGCTTTTCTCCAGTATGGCTGTACATGTGGGTCTGGAGAGAGCTGGGGCGGGTGAAGCGCTTGTCGCAGATTTTGCACTTGTGCTTCTTCTGCGAGCTGGACGAAACCTTGGAGCTGAACTGGCCCATCATGGACTGAGGCGCAGGCGGAAGGTTGGTACCGACCAGAGCAGACGGACGAGGGAGCGTGCGAGATCCCATGTCACCGACCGACTCGGAGGCCGAGCTGTAGTCCGTCGCCGAGCCGTCTACAGAGCCGTTGTAGTACGAGGGATATGTGCTGGCGGAAGAGATGGACGAATGGCTGGAGTGGGGAGTTGACGGAAAGCCGTAGGAGTCATGCGAGCTTCGCGGGTTGCCGTTGCCGTAGATGTTCCTCGGAGTCAGGTCTGTCTGGCTCATGGCGACCATGCCGCGCGAGGCATCGAGAGCGTCACTGAAGCTGCTGCGCTGTGATTGGTTTGAAAGTCTGTTGTTATAGTCAATGACTGTGCTATGGGGGACGACCCTCGGGCCTTCGAGCGAGGGATCCAGGAGGACTTCAGAGGGAACTGACGGATGTGAGCCACGACGCGAGTGGTCGGACTGGTATGCGTAGGGACTTCCTCTATACGGATCCGCGGAGTATTGTGGGGCAGACGTCGGAGCATATGCGGCGGCCGTTGGTGAAGTGGCGGAGGAGTAGCTGGGGGCATAGGAGCCTTGGGAGACGTCAAGTAAGTTTTGTGATTGGAGATGACCTTGTTGGAGAGGAATACCTGTTGGAGCAGTGCCTGGGAGAGAAGAGTATGGCGGCATGCTAGGCTTGGAGTCCATGGCGGACATGGTGGAGGAGGTTTGGGGCAGCGAGGTCGGGTAGAGCTGGGGAGCGGCGTTTGGAGCGGACACCCAAGGGTTGGTGAAGTGCGGCGCTGCAGTGTATCCTCCTCGCATCGAGTCATATGCGATGCCGGCCATCTGCGACTGTTGACGGTTCTCGACAGCCATGGCCATTGCGATTGTGTCGTGGAAGGCAGCAGGAAAAAGGTCCGGAGTGGTTCAATCGGCGATGGCGAGAAGCTCTACCGGACGGGCGTAGGTGATGAGGCGAGCGAAGTGGAAAGATGGGAATCGGATAATGGAATGTAGACCCTGCACGGAAGAGACAAGAAACAACAACAAGAACGTGGGGAAGTGAGATGATCAGTCGCACGCAGACTGCGGGATCAGCGGTCTTATGAAGTCGCGAGTCGGTTGAGCTGGGGCTTCCCGTCAGGTATGGAAGGGGAAGAAGGGTGTGGAGCAGCGTGGGAGGCGGCGATCTTAGCAAGGTAAGAGTTTGGTGTGCACGACGACGACGACGAGGACGAGATTAGGTTGGCGGTAGGGTATGACGAAGTGGCAGGACGGTCCGACGATCGAATGTTTCACGTCCGGGCTGGCTGGCGGGTCGAAGCAGTCCAGTGGTGGAGTAGGAGAGGAGTGTGGAATAGGCAGAAAGTCAGAGGCAGAGCGATTGGCAGGGCCTGTGTAGCAACGACGACTTATAGAGTAGAAGATTGACGGGCTGACAGGCAGCTAGAAGGGGGCCGGCTGAAGGATTATATGGGGACCGGGGGGATGATCTTTGCGGTGTTGATGGTCAATGGCAAAGGGAAAAAGGGAAAAGGGTCCGAGCAGCGAAAGGAGGGCAGGAGCTGCATATAATAGATAAAATTCGCAGAGGAGGAGGAGGAAGAAGAAGCTCGATCCTTTTCCGTGATTTATGAGAGGGGAGAGAGAGGGAGAGAGAGGAGAGAGAGAGAGAGAGTGTGTGTGTGGAATGTCAGCGGCCCCCCCCCTCTCTCCCTCTCTCTCCAAAAGTAGTGTAGGTGTAGGTAGGTGGTAGGTGGTAGGTAATAGTGCTCCCAAAAGTGCAAACCCCTACAGCAGCATCCATCTACGACCTCCCGTCACAGGGCTATTAGCAGCAACAAAACCAAGCAGCAGCACAAGCACACACACACACACACACACAGCGCACCTGCATCTCCGAAGAGACTAAAAGAATACTAGAGCAGCGAGCGACTAGGATCAAGGCAGCTTAGAGATGGTAATAATTAGTGTGTGGGCGTTTCTTGACGGGAGGGCTTCTTTGGGGGCGTCGAGGGCGTCGTGCATGGCGATGGCGGCGGCGGCGGCGGCGTTTGCTTTTGGCGGGCGGCCCTCTACACCTAGTTAGCTAGCCCGGGTATGTATGGTACGGAGCAGCAGACAGACAGACAGACAGACAGACAGACAGACAGGGCACATGCGAGGCGTTCGACTGTCGCGGGAGAGAGACAGAGCGACAGAGAGACAGAGAGACAGAGAGAGAGCTATGATGTCGGTGCTGACGTCCAGCTCGCTCTGTGATTGGACAGCACGGTACCCGACAAGGGTGCTCCTGCTTCATAACGTGCGCACGGCCAGCCCCGCAGACCAAGCTTCAGCAGCAGACCCACAGCACTAGTGAGTTAGCGGCATCTGCCATGCCTGCAATTCTTTTTTGTCCCTGTGTTCCCTGTTCCCTGTTCCTTGTTCTGATTGATCCCCCCCCTGTCATGGCGCCGCTATTACTGTCTACTGGTAGCATTACTACCATGGAATAATACCCTAACCCGCCCTACTCTGCCTGTTTCTCGTATCCTCGTGCTCTCTCTATTAGACTCTCTCTCTCTCTCCTCGTGCCTGCTCCTTCCTTCTTTCCCTGCAGTAGCCGGCCCTTCTTGCCCTTCTTGCCCTTCTTGCCCTTCTTGCTCTCCATTGTTGACCTATACACTACACTACACTACACACTACACACTACCCGTCGTCAGCAGCCAGACTTGCTTCTTTGCTTGCTTGACCAGTGCTCCGAAGAAGCACATGTCTTGCACTTTGTTAGACTGCAACTGTCCTATCTGGAGCAATGGGATCTTGTCTTGTCAATCTCCGTCACCCCCAATCCCTCTCTCTCCTTTGCTCTCTCATTTACGTAGTCTTATGAAGAATCCTCCATGCCTCAATCTCTCCAGGCACGCGCCCGCTCCTACAATCCTATTATCCTACACCTCCAAAACATACAATAATCTACGCAACCAAATCTCTTTTGTTTGTGAAATTCATTTCCCGTGGCCCACGGCATGGATGAGAGAGAGAGAGAGAGAGAGAGAGAGCTTGCAGATTGTCCGGCAGTGTGCAGGCTGGCTCCGGTGCGGGCCAAGAAAAGCCACCCGGCGAATCAGCCAGAGCCAGCAGCAGCAGGCCAGCAGCACAGATGACGTTCGTCTCGCTCTCTCCTCCTGTCCAGGGGCCTTTTGCTGCCGTTGCCATTTATTACCATTACCCATTACACCCTCTGCTGCTTGAAGGAACTCCATGCACAATGCGGAGAAGAGCACGCGCACTCCACCTGGTCATGCCCTGTTACTTGCTGCCCTTGTTCATTGATACTCTTCTGTACCGCTGTCGCAATCCGACTATTGCTTTGCTACTACACATCATCTATCCAGGGTGCTTTTGCATCTGTCCCCTCTCAACCACCGACTCCTAATTAATAACAGACCGACCACAACTTGTCCACACTCCACACCGTTCGTCTGGTCAGACGCCGCGCCCGCCGCCCACGCCACGCCATGTCGATCGGATCCTGCTCCATCCGTCTTCGTCTTGCTCCATCCTGGACCCATCCTGACCCATCCTGGACCCGTGGCTGCCTCCCACTTACTGCATGGCTGATTCTAGCTTAGCGCCTCATCGCAACATCCCCTTTCCAGTCGAACCCTTTTTTTCCCCCCTCCACGACCCTGAGAACGCCAGCAGCCAATTGTTCTTGCTGCCGTTCCTGGCGCCGTCTTTGCTATCGTGATGGCGTTTCGGGATGCCGTCAACCCGTGCGTGCGCCAGTCTAACGTACGTAGCAGAAGAAGCAGAATTGAATTTGGGGGGGAGTGGGAACCGCCAACCGCCCTACCGCCGCCCTACCAGACCTTGCAAACTTCCAAGCTAGCCATGGAATACATGGAAGGACAGTAAAAACCCCCCGGGGCTGATCGAGCTAGCCGTCGCAGCGTAGTCGGAATCGATATCGCGAATTGATATCGCGAATTGCAATAATAATAATAATAATAATAATAATAATTACAACAAACGAGCTGTACAGATCGTGTCTTCTTGTATTAACCAGCTCCCTATACAAGACTGGCCGCTCCAAGCTTGGCGTGACCCCACCTGCACCTGATGCATCTTTTGGAGCGTTGATAGGTGCCGAGTGTTGTTGTTGTTGTTGTTGTTTCAACCTCTCACCTTCCTCTTTCGGTATTTCGCCTTCTAAAAGGCTCGAGTCAGGCCATTCAAGCCTGAGGCCACCGGTCCAGCAGGTCGTGGTGCCGTTCGTGTCTATCAACGGAGATGGAGACGAACCTTTTCCAGCATTTGCCGGGTGGCCGATGCGCGTTTGCAGCCTGCACAATCCACAATCCACAATCCACAATCCACAATCCACAATCCACAATCATCCGAATGATCGTCACCAGTCTCGCGTGCACCGCGCCCATCTGATCTTCGCCCGTTGGAAGATCTTCAAATGCGCGTCTACGCGGGCGATTATGCGCCTTTGGCACTGCCCATCTCTGTGCCTTGCACATCTTCTAAAATGTCCTCCCACGATTCAGCCAGAAGACAGATATAAAGCCAGCTGCCATTCCAGCCCGCCGTCATCAGCATCAAAGCTCAGCAATCACACAACTCTTGTTGAGGGCGGGCGGCATCGGTCGATATGCTCTGCGTACGGCCGTAGGCTGAGGCTTGCCCAGCCCGCGAATGCCGCTACGTCATGTCTCACACGCACACCACACACGCTCACACACACACAAAAGTCCCCTCGTGAAGGTTTCGCTACAACGCCCTACTACATCCATCGCGGCATCCCATCCCATCGCTAGACTTGGAATTGTAATAATAATAATAATAATGCCAGATATCAATAGCAGCAGCACACTACGTAATACGCCCTGGGTGGTGGTAGTGGTAGTGGTGGAGGTGGTAGTGCCCGTCAACAGCGAATAACCACCCGCCTGCTCTCATGATGCTGCCTTTTGTCGTCATCTCACATCGGTCGGGGAGGTCGGGAGGGGAGGTGTCAGCGCAGCGTAGGGAAGATGCTGTGACTTTCTCTCCGTCCTTGAACGCTTGCTGAACAACGACTTTCGCGGGGTTAGTTACTAATTAATTACTACAGTACCGTTCGTACTCACGGAGCAAGGCAGTTAGTTAGTGCTCACGCCCGGAAACGGTGGTGGCTATGGATTATAATTATTAGCGGGCGGGACGAGTCACCCTGTCGAATGCACACACACACAGGATAGATCCATCCATGGACGGAGGGAAGGCAGGGCAGGGGAGGGGGAGGGGGGCGGTCGTGCTGCCAAGGCTCTACCTCTCGTTCCTCCTCTCTATCTAATTATCTGAGATTCTAAGTCTACCTACCTACCTGGGGACGCCCTGGGCGGTGTCGTCATAACAATATCTTTGCCCCCCCCCAGGGCGAAAATGCAGCCTTCCGATCTAGTAGGCTCGTCATTCCATACACGCACGCACGCACATACATGAAAGGCTACATTGCACGTTCCTCTCACTGGCTCATCATCGGGAACAAGGCAATAATAGCATGAGTGGACTGTATGTATGTATTGTTGTATGTATGTATGGGCATCGAAACGAGAACCATGAGCCATGGCAATCAAGTGGAGACAGAGCCGTGCAGTAGTGCTGCTGCTGCTACTGCTGGTAGTGAAAGTGATGAATACGTAGTTTCAGCAATCTTACAGCCCCCAAAGCCCACCCAAGCAAGCCGTGCGCGTGAAAGGGGTAACCTCACCTCGGTCCCTTGGCTGGGCTTGGGAGGCTTGGCTGGGCTTGGGGGGCTTGGACACCAGTAGTGTAGGCGTGTGTGGAGTGGAGTGGAGGCAGCCAGTCAGCCAGCCAGTCAGCCAGCCAGTCAGTCACCCAGTCAGTCCCTGGATAATCAATCAGTCCTCTATCGCAATGCGAATGCCATAGGACCCTGCAGCTGCTGGCTGGATGGCTGTCTTGTCTGTCTTGTGTCTGTGTGTGCGCCGCCGATGTTGACTGACTCGCTGGCTTCGTTTTGCTGTTGTTACGCCCACACACCCACACACCCACACCACAGCACACTACACTGCACTGGACTGCACACCATATATTGCCACATATTGCCACACTACACGCACGCCTTTGCCGCGAGGAGATGGTGGGTGGCTTGTTTGCTTGTTTGCTTGCTTGCTGTCTTGCTGTCTTGCTCATATTCGGGTTATGAGGCTAACTAATTTCAATAGAATAGGTGGGCAGTGAGGTCGTTGTGTATGCATGCATGCATAGCGAAACGACCTGCTGCGCTGAGGACTGTTCTGTAGTGTACTGTTCTGTACTGTTCTGTACTGGGCTGTACTGGGCTGTACTGAGCTATACTGAGCTATACTGAGCTATACCAAACTATACTAAACTATACTGCATTGTACTGAACTATACCGCACTGTACTCCACTAGACCCTATTGTTCTGTCCTATACCGTACTGTTCTGCGCAATACCGCACACCCGGAAGCCCAGCGATGTATCCGCTAGCTAATTAGCTAGCTGGTTAGCTACCCATCCGCTACCAGTGCCACTTCTTCCCAATGGCTCTATTCCGCTACGATAGTAATTAGTGTGACTTGCTTAGGGCCGTAAGAAATGCTCTCTTTATACATCCGTCCATTAGTGAACCGCTGCCCGCAACGCCTCTGTCTTCTTCGTCTTCTTCTCGAGCAAGCGAGTAAGCGAGCAAGCGAGTAAGTAAGTAAGCCGGAGAAGTAATTAGTAGAGGGGAAAGCTAAGATAGTTAGTTATTTAATCTAATTAATTAGTTTTTTGGTTTTGGGGGTTCTTCTTTTTTCATTCTATTGTATTGGATTGGTTGGTCACGCTGCTAGTTAATTGATAGGGATGAGGGGATGAGACTACATTGCACACTGTGAAGCAATGAATGAATGAATGAATGAATGAATGATCGATTAATAGTCAGCTGTCTATCGTCACAGCGGACTTGAATGTTTTTATGTATCTATTTTATTTGATTTGATTTTTGTTTTTGTTTAATAATGCGAGTTCTGGCATTCGCGATTGAGTCCATATTTGTCCGATGCCATGCATGGATTGAATAGAAGGATTGAAGGTTTGTTGCTTTGGGCGGGTATACTTCAACACGGATGCACGCCCGGGCAGTTGGATATGTATCACGCACCTGCTAGAGAGTAGACATGCGATATCTGGGATATCTGATCCTGGTCGCAATCTCTCTCGCGTATCGAGACAGCGCTCTTAGGCTGCGTATAAGTGTGACAGAGTATAAGCTACGTAGGAATATCGGCTAGCTAGCCAGGCAGGCAGGCAGGCTATCAGAAGGTACGGTTGAGTAGTCTCTATCTAGATCTGACCTGATCTGATCTGGGATGCCATGCGACGCGATGCACTATCAAGTAAGCACACAAAACCCCACACCAGCGCTTCAATATCACACACAGTACAGCAGTCCAGAATTCTCCGCTAGAGGCATCGTCCCTGTGGAGACTACAGTTATAAATTTAATCACGGACATTTTGAACGTTTGCTAATTTAGTCTGGCAGATTACCGTGACCCGAAGAAGAAAAAAAGTAAAGGGGGTTTTGTTGAAGGAGCGGGTTGCAACTTGCCGTCCTGTGCGGGATGGATGATGCGGAGATGGGGTGTTCATTTCGATGGATTGAGGTCTGTCTTTGTCTGTTTGTGTTTGTTTGTTTGTGTTTTGCATAAAACTGCTTTTGCATGAATATGTCCAGTATCAAGGATTCAGTACACTGCGTGCCCGGTTGATACCCCAAGGTCAGAGTAATCATGTTAGTATGTATGTATTGCCCTGCCCTGTACCTGCCCTGCCCTACCATGTACCTACCCTGCCGCACCCCGTCCGACGATCCATCGCGGGACGATCAGTGTCATGCCATCCATGGGATGTCAAGGAATAATGTAGACATGATATGATCCGCCCCCGAACAAAAAAGCCCCCCTTGGCTTGTCCATCTCCCGCTATTTTTGACGCTACTGTGCCTGTTGATCGACTTGTTGATCTGTCTGCGTGCCTGCTTGGCGAGCTGGTGCTGGTTTTTTGGGCGATTGGATGGGATGGGACGGGGTGGATGTTAAGACACTGCGATACTGAGATGTGTGCGGGACTCTAAATCCAATGCTGAGTCTGAGTCTAAGGCAACTTCAAGGCAATAACAAGTAGTAGTAGTATCATCGTATCTCCCCTTTCTGTTGCTTCGCTAATACATAAGATTAGTGACTTAGTAGTTATGTCTGTATCTATATATATGCATCCTCGCACATACAAACACACACGATAGTAGTGGGAGTAGTAGTAAGTAAGTAGGGAAGTAAGTATGTTAGTTAACATAAGGTGGATAAGGAGTTGTCAGCTAGTTCTATCTGGCTCTATGTCTATCTCTATGTCTATCTCTATCTATCTATCTATCTATCTATCTATCTATCTATCTATCTATCTATCTATCTATCTACCTATCTCCATGTCTATCCCCATGTCTATCCCCATGTCTATCTCTATCTATCTATCTAGCTTAGTAGGAGGTATATAGGTAGAGCGCTACCATATTCTATTCTACTTTGGTGGGTTCAACTTCCATTAGATAGTCTGTACAATTAGGGGCATACCTGCGCAGTCTTAGTACAATGTTATTCGAAGATGAACGATTGATCATCCCGATCGCATAGCCTCGCTGCGTCTTGCTGGATGGGTAGATAGGCCGGCAGACAGACAGACTGACTGATAGACTAACTAACTAACGGATAGATAGATAGACCATCTCTTCTCTTCACGTTATCAAGCCTAGAAGCCAAAATGCGAATAAGCCAAAGTTAACAAAGCCTCTCTCGTGCTTAGCATTTGAACCCTTTAACCTTCGGTGTCCAACCCTGTTACCTTATCGCCTTGTTTAACACCGTAGAAGCTAGGTAACTTGTCCATTTAGCCTGCCTACCTGCCTATATATATATACACCTTGGTTATAGTAGAATAAGTAGAAGTTCTCCCATAAGGATAAAAAGATTATATAAACACAAGCTAGCTTAGTCCTAGAAGTATATCTACTATAACGATCGAGGACACATAGATCCCTTAACTAATCCCTTGGTATTATAATTATCTAGATTATATGTATTACCGAGACGCCGCCTAGTAGCCTTAGTGTCTAGTTCTACATACACTCATAGGCATTACGACTACCACGTAACAATACCTATTAGTATCATTACCGAGGTCTCATACTCTCGCCTTTTTGTAGATACACGCCTCCACCACTCGTAATATACGCTCCTCGCCCTCGAAAGTGCAAGAATATAAACATATTACATACTACTAGTGTAGATACTACGGAATGAATTTGTTTCTTTAGCGTATTATTTTCGGTGTTAGTCTATTAAGAATCTTAGTAGCAAGGGGATAGAAAAGAGGATGTAGAACCGGATACTATATATCGGTACTAATATAGTAATAGAAGGAAATAAATAAATACATGTACGGGGAATAAATAAGAGAGGGTAGATAGGGGAATGTAGATATCTCGTATATATGCGTGTTCTACCTTATGCCTATCTTATTTTTACCGCTTAGCCCGAATCTATCTATCTATCTTTCTATCTATACTTACTACGACTTAAATTAAATACCATCTATAGCTTTATATAGAGTAGGGGTTAATAGATATACATATCCCTAAGATATATTTAAGATATATACTAGATATAATCACGCTATATTCCGTGTCTCTAAAGTCTTCGTTAATTCTATGTCTAAATACTATTACTATCTAGTATTACTTTTCTCTTTTTTCTTTCTTCTCTTCTTTCTCTATCTAAAAATTTATTTCTTTTAGATATATATTAGTTCGTCTATATAAATGTGTCTAGACTCGCGATAAGAAGAGTTTTATATATCTTATCTTTATTTATAGTACGTAGATAAGACGTATAAGAGATGCGAGACCGGAGACGGAAGATCTATAAGTAGCGTATGTTAAGCTTATTAAATGCAGATAATAATAAGTACTAAAGTACATGCTCTTACTCTCTCTCTATCTATCTGGGAGATTACTAACGTAAGGCATGGCTTACTTTCATACTCTTGCCTAGGCCGTTATCTTACTAAATACTTAAATTTATCAAAGAGATTGAAGATATAAACACGAAAGGGGTTTCGTTTGGCCTAGAAACGTGGAAACATACAAGGCGATACAAGGCGACGAATAGAAAGTACTACCAGAGATGTAGAGTGTATAGATACTTGTACATATACACATATACAAATGTATGTATATATGAAAGATCCCCGGTTATCTACCTATTACCTAGACTATCCATAGCTATCTATATTTCCCAAATCCGCACCCGCTCTCCCTCTCACCCCGCCTAACATGCAGCATATTCTTACTACTGGTCTTGAATTAACTACATCATTATCACATCGTCACCACCACACACGAACCATAAACCAACAATACAATCCGCCAGGAGCGAAACTCCGTCGTACATATCCCATACCTCCATATACCTCTCTTCTCTTCTTTCCTCTTCTTCTCTCTCTTGACCCTCTCTTCTTAGCCCTCCCCTCTTTCTCTCTCTTCTTACTTAGCCTTCCCCTCGTTCTCTCATCTCTCTCCTCTCTTCTCTCTTCTCTCTCACTCCTCCTTTCCCTCCCCGTAGCCCCCTTTCTCTCCTCCTCCTCTCTCTTCCATATGACTATAGAGAAACATGTATATCTCTAGCTACATATTCGTAGCCATACATCCCTAGCCATACATCCCTAGCCATACATCCCTAGGAGAAATAGATATACACACACAGACAACACCCGAAACAAAAACCCAGAGGACAGACATGACACTCACATAAACATAAACAAGATCTACATGCTACAGCACGACGCACTGCAATATCTTGGATGAATGAAGGCGTTGCATATGATGGATAGACAGACAGCCATATACACACACACACACACTCTCTCTCTCTCTCTCTCTCTCTCTCTCTCTCTCTCTCTCTCTCTCTCTCTCTCTCTCTCGCATATAAACCCGCCAATGGATATCTTCGCTGTCACTATCATTCCATTACACGAGAAGAAGAAAAAGGGCATACATCCTATAGACGCGTGCGACGTGTAATAGCAGTCGAACCGACCAAACATACACATACATACATACATACATACATACATACATACATACATACATACATACATACATACATACATACAAGTACATAACGTGCACAAGCCCCCGGAGAACACAATCAGCCACATCCCATGCCATATCTCCCTATTTCTTGCTCACTCCGGGATGTAAGTCCGCCACATAGCACGACCATGAACAACGTACAAAAGACCATCGCCCCAAAGAGACCAGCAACGACACCACAACCTACGAACTTCTAACCCAAGTGGACCTTTTGACATTGAACGAGTATGTAATCACGATTATATTCATATGTATATGTATAAACCCCCCAGAAGGTCCAGTCGTCTCATTCTAGCCTTCTCAATCAATGCACCCTAGTAAACAAAGAAGATGATGATGAAGAAGAAGAAGAAGAAGAAGAAAAAGAAAGAAAAGAAGAGAAAAAAAAAGGTATCACGTATCCGTCAAGGCCTCAAACCATCAACGCCATACAAGATCAACCGCCGTTCCCAACCATGCAGGGTCAACAAGCACACACAAAAAGAAATAGAGGTAGGATGAGGGGGTATCAGCAGCCGTGTAATCATGTCCGCGTCATGCGTAGTCGGGCGTCTCGATCGTTCCATCCTGGCTGGCCATGCCATTCGTACGTACCATCATCAGCCCACGCCTTTCGTAGCTTCATGACTATACGACAATATCACAATCCATGCCCACGTTTCTTCTCTGTCTCCAGTTCCTCACCGTGGAGCGGTGGCTCCCTACATCATCCTCTCCCATCCAGTCCCACATCTCGTCTCCCCTGACGCCCCACTGGTCTCCCACATCGCACCTCTGATACTCCATCAGTCCACCCACCGTCGAGTCTACATTCGCGACGAATAGGCTTTGCCCGTCCGGTGTAAGACTCATACCTCCAAGTGCGCCGAAACTGTCCAGAACTTGCGCATTCTTCCAAGTCCTTGCATCCACGATACTCACAAAGTCGTCCGCTTCGGCGATGAACAAAGTGCGGCGTCCGCTACCTATGGGTGAGAAGCAAAGGACGCGTGGGACGCTCATTTTGGACTGTATACGCGCCATGGGCATGTCCCAGCGACGGGCGTCGTAGACGAGGACGTAGTGATCCTGAGCAGCTGTAGCGAAGGTAATGCCGTCGTCTGCCCAGGCGCAGGCGAAAGCATCGGCGTCCTTGTGGTGCAAGAGCGCCTTGATAGGGCGACCGTTGTCGGTGCGTGTGATGTACGACTTGGCGACGCATTCGGCTGGGCCACCGGTGGCGTCCCCGACAATGAGCCGCATCTGGCCGTCGGGCGAAGTTGCGGCACAATTGATCAAGAAGTCATAAGTAAAAACATTTGTGAAGCGATTTGTGGCGCAGTCTAGAGTGCGAAGAGTGGAATCGTTGGAGCAGAATGCGGCCTGGGTGCTTGTGTTGCGGCGGTCAGGAAAGGTATGGGCGTGATTTGTGATCCCGTTGTGTGTGGCGGTGACTTGACCCATAACGTGCTTTGACCCGATATGAGTGTCGAGGTATGTGTAGGCGTAGCTTCCCTCAAAACTCCCCGCCACTAGAACATCCTTTGAAGCGGACAGACATGTGGTGGAAAAGCGGCCTAGGGGGCCATTCGAAAGTTCCATGACACATGTGGCTTTTTCCGAAGTGTCAGTACGCATTATCTTGGCTCGCCTATCGGATTGTGTAGCATAATACACATCGTTGGCGGATGTAGAAGCAATCATGTTGAGGAGCTGGTAGTGGTTGACAAATGGTTTATGCTTCCTCGATAGTTTGCGGAATTTGAAAAACCTCTCAGTGTCGTCTGGGCGTTCCTACAACTCTCCCTTTAGTATATAGAACGCAACAAGATAATTGGGGGAGGCTCACCTGCGAGGCCCTTCTCTGCCTCTCATTGAACTCCCCACGATCAGCGTCATGAAGATGGGCAGACATTATACGCGGTCGGACCTGGCGTGCATTCCTCCGCGTTGTGTTCAATTTTACCCAGTCGATGCCTTGATTGTCATAGGAGTCGTCCCTGTCAGCACGTATCTCGGAAAGAGCAATTCCAGGAGAGATGCATCCACCAACACATTGGCCTTCGCTACAATGACAGGCGACTGGCGTTGGTGGGTTAGGTAGTCGGTAGATTCTCCAGTCATGCAGAAACTCTCGGAAGGTCCGCTTGTGACTGTTCTCAGGTACGACCGGTATGTCTCCATGGGCAGCGGGAGTGGTGAAGGCTATGAAATTCGACGGCGATGGACTAAACTGGATACCCGAACCGAAAGAATTGTCGATAAGTGATGGTGTCAGTGTCACGTATTCAGCTTGTATTCCATAGTGAGACGGAGTGGTTCCTATCGCTGCTTCTAAGCTTTGCCAGAATTGGGAGTGCGCGATGGGATGAGTGTGCCACAACGGAGGAGTGTGAATCTCATCGGTATCATGTCCCGACGCGAAATACTCCAGGTCAAATGCATCTATCTCAAGGGCTTCCAGCCACGGTTGGCTTTCCATCGCTTCGTCTACCTGAGCCACAGAGCTCTCAAGACCATCATCAACAGATTCTTTCTCTAATTCTCCGAGATGTGCGGCGAGGAGATGGTCGACCGAATCTAGGTCAGGGATTGAAGATTGACTTAGGACAGAGACAAGCTCACGGCTAAGATCACCCATATAGTGTCCTGCTAATGTCCGGGCAACGCCTGTCGAGATGCTGGTGAGATGGAACGAATACCCTCGGCCGTAAGAGGGCAACGCGACTGCCGCTCAGTGAACTAAATCGAGATATGACTTGCCACACGTCCTTCGAGGTATCTTCTTATCCAATCAAGAGAATCAGACCAGATGAACCAACTCTTCTGCGCCACACAGTCCGTATATATGATCGTGTGGAGAGTTCGTGGGCGTCAACGTTGACGTTTACTGACTGAGGAATATCTGAAATAGACAGTAGAGTAGAACCGTAGTTTGATTACGGTAAGAGGCTGTACCGCAGAGTAGGTGGCAAAGCCGGGAGAGCGTATATAAGTTTGGGTGGTTCACGGGCGGACACTGCTTGATATTCTTCGGTAGTGAGCAACCGAGAATACCGTCCCCAAGCTCTTTCTCCCGCGATTCACTCAGTCTGATCAAAGATAACAACAGGTTCTAGACACTGTCATCGGATCGAGAGCGCAGCGCTGATTGTAGGTGAGAGAGGTTGGGTGGGGTCGGGCAGTACTGCTGCGCAGGAAGACCAAGAAGAAGGCTAGCGCCTATGGATCCGGATTGCAATATAGATTGCAGCTCTCCACCTCCACGGGAAGCGTGGGATGGGGGAATCGAGCAGCAGAGAACAGTGCTGGGCTGTAGCAGCTTGCAGCGTGCAGCTTGCTGACAGACAGGGCACCGACAAAGACAGGGAACAGCGCAGTTTCAATTTCCCTGACTGCACGTCGTGTTACTCGGACGGCCGGAATGGAAGAGAGCGGAGGTCACTGGAAAGCCGCAAAGCTTGAAAGCTGGGGTCAGAAATAGTCCGAGCGGATGGTCAAGTAACAAACGACCACGTTTTCATGGCTTTTTTGACGAAACCTGAAGAAGCGCTCCACAAGAGAGATTGAGAGGTAGAGAGACATACACACACAAAGTGCTTTGGTTGTAGGAGGGGGTGGGCGCGGTTGGCGAAGAGGCGGGGCTCAGTGGGCAGTGGCAGTAGCAGTGGCAGTGGCAGGCAGCGGGACGATGTGGATGGCGGCACATCATGGCACATCATGCTCACTCACATGGGACTCTCTCATCACTCGCAGACGCACTTTTGACAATCTAGGTATCATCCTGCTACAACCACCATCACCACCACCCAACGCCCGTCTTCTACTGGGCGACTCGCAAAGGAATGACAGGATGAAGGAGCAAGGACAACCTGGCCACACTCCACGATTGGTGTAAGACGCACACGTTTGGATCGGCCAGACACAATGCATCCACACCCGCATAACGTTCGTTCATCCTCTCTCTCCCCACCTCCCAAACATCCATTGCAGTCCACTCTCCCCCTCCAAGATATCTTGTGTCTCTTACCCCGTCCCATGCCTCACGCTCTCGCACAATAATGTCCACCAGGCTGGAAAGGGAGTGACTTCACGGTTTTGACACCTTTCACCACTTCACCTTACCATCATCATCACGGCCGCTCCGGCCGAGCATCTGACTGCAGTATCACCATGTTAATACCTACCTGCTTCGGTACGTAACCATCAATACAAGGGGGTCAAGGGCACATGGCTGTCTCCGACTCGCCCCCTTGCGCGGAATTTCCCCCCATAATGAATGTTGGGCCGGCGCAGCTCGAGCAGTCTGCATTAGGCCACTTGCGAATGACTTGCATCTTTATCATGCGCAGCGACTCTGCAGGTACTGCGAAGCCAGCTTAACGTGGTAATGCTCTGCACGCACTGCTCACTGTTCGCTGCCCTCGCTCGGCCGGGCTCCCTCGACTCGTACGTTTGATGCCAAATCTCGCGGAAACATACTCGTGCTTGTGAGCAACCTTGCATGCAAGTCTTGTCAGAACCGACTCCTCTCCGACGGATCCATGCGGGAAAATGGCCTGGAAACGGCTTGTTGCGTTGCTCCGTCCATGCAGGTTGTAGCTATTTGAGGGTGACGTGCTACAGCATCTACGTGGTGACAAGGTAGTAGTGTTCACTGCGGCACGTCAGACTTACCTCCTAGTCACTTTATTCATAAGGCAAACGAGTCCACGAACATGTTCCTCTGTTGCCAAACATTGACAAGAATGATAAAACATCGTCAACTAAATGGATAGTAGTATTACCCTCCTTAATGTTGGGCCTAGAACATGGAAAGAGTATGAGCATGCAGTGTACACGACTTGTAACGCCCAGATTAGCCAACCCTCCGAGCCCTATACTTCATCCTCTGGTTTGACATCCACTACCGTGTGCTAACGATGGTCGCAAAAGTACACGCTCTCAGGTGAGCTGACATGATACTCGAAATTAAGAAAAAAATAATAATTGGCTGTTCCGCCTGCCATGACTGCGCTGTGCAAAATAGTCTAGGGTTCGTAATATGAGTCGTGTCCGTGCTGCATGGGCCAGCCGCCAGCCGACGTTTGCTGTTGTGACCACCCGCCACTGGGTGCTTTCAATCGGCGCTCTGTTTCAACTCGTTAATAAAGCTTGAACACAAACAACGCATCTCAATGTGACGTACCAGCTTCAAAATCATGCCATCGCTTCATTGTAATCTTGCTGCTGTCGAACTCGCCTTCATATTCGAGTCCGGCTTTCTTGGTCTTTTCGCCCGATGTTTTCCGAGTATCACCCCATGAGAAGTCGTCAAACTTCCAGTAGGCATATGTTGGTAGCACAAAGTTCCAGATGGGAAGCGAGAATAGATAGATGATCATCCACGCCACGTAGGACCAGCGATGAGCAGTCAAGACAATGAGGACGGCTGGGAGACCCAAAATGAGCGCTAGAAGCACGAGAGGGATAACAGGTACTGCTGTATGTTCAATACCAGCTTTGATGGAAATGACAACTATGGCTCTGTTAGCTACTCTCCAGCCGAGAACTTCTACTAAACTTACTAAGATATATGGTAAAAGAAATGGCTGCAGGCAGAACCAGGGTTCCGACTAGTTCAATAAAGACGACGAATTGCATACTAAAGCAAAAAGTACCGCACAAGTCACGGACGAGTACCAGTTCCATCAGGTTATGCACGGTACTGTTGATCCATCGGCGACGCTGCGAGAGGAGGACCTTGAACTCGTCTGGCACAATAGTTTTGCAAACAGCTTGAGGAACAAAGATTTGCTTTCGTTTAGGGAACGTGCGCAGCATGAGAGTTGACAAGTATCGATCTTCACCAAGCAAAAGTAGGTTCTTCTCATGTAGAGTCTCCACAACATTTTCCGAGTAATGTTCGACGACATCGGGATTGGCAAGAATGGGTACCCAGTAATTCTGCCCACCCTTAGGAGCCTTGATGCGGTACATGCAGAAGCATCCTGGAAGACAGGTGACACCACCAAAGACCGATTCGAAGGACTTCGACAGATGATGGGATATGAAGTATTCGAAAACCTGGATCATGGAGACCCAGCTTTGACGTTTGTTCGCAATCTTAGTCTCGCCACACAGACCCATGACCTCAGGATCCTTCACCATAGCCGAGATCATGTGTGTAAGACTGTCAGGGAACACCTTCGTATCGGCATCTACCATGAGAACAATTTCGTAATAATCGGGGGAAATACCGGTGATTTTCCATATTCCGTTGAACATTTCGTATTCAAGTTCAGTCATACGCTCATCGAACATGACTTTCTGGAGGAAGGACATCAGGATGATCTGGCTGTCGCGCTTTCCACGATTACCAGGTTTGGCATTTTGGGCTTCATCGGGAGTTCCAGTCTTGACAACAACCATCATTGGAACACGCTGCTGCTTCTCGAATGGGATGACGGACTTGTCGCCATAATCATAAAACCCAGAATAAATTTTGGCCATGTTATGACGCTTTGATCCACTGGCGACGGCCACATAGGAGAATGGCTGGACTTCGTGAGGAAGTATGGCGTGATCTTTCATCATACCAAGTGCGATCTCAGGCGTGGTGAGCTCTTCACCTGCACCCTTGACCATACCGTCGCAAATGACCAAGATAAGCTTGTGACTGTTGGGGTAATCAGTGGTGGCGATCGAGTCCAGTGTGGTTCTCAGCCCGTCTTCACCTTCCGAGTAGCAAGTGACTAGGCAGATATTGTGAGCAAGTGGATATCCGAATGGTTGGTAGTCAGCTGGAGGTTGGGGAACCACTGCTTCGTGAACGAAACCAGCTGGCCCTGGACCGTCACTATCCACTACACTAGAATATCGTCCATCGTTGTTACTTGAGAGCATCAGACTAGAGCGCGGTTCGTGCGCTCCGACGAGAGTTCCTTGGCTTTGGTTGACTTGGCTATACATTCCAGACTTTGACTTCAGAAGGGCGGTCGAAGCCTGGCTTGCCATAGTTGTCGGGCCAGGTCGTCCCTTCGCGGAGACACCTTTGTCCATAGCGTATGGACTCGTGAATCTGGACGTCGATGGGAAGAAAGCGCTACCACGCGCACTGTTGCGGTTACCTGGAGTAATGGGGTCAGCCAACTTTGGCGGTGGTCGGTAAATGTCGTCGCTCCACTCTTCAATTTGCTGATTGCGGGCCTTCTCGTTCATTCCACTCATTGATGTTTTGGCAGCGCCAAATTTCTTGCATAAGAACCATTGGAAGATTAAAGCGAGCATGAACTTTATGACGACAATGGACAGGATAAAGATGAGCGAGACATAGAGCACCACTTGAGAGGCAATGCAACCAATGGTCGCAGTATCGATCACACCGACTTTGATAATTTCGGTGAAGCATCGTCCCATCTTTCTGTCTGCACTAGATGAGAAGGACTGGGTAACGTCAACCCCTCGAACGTTGGGGTTTTCACGGAGAATGTCCCAGTCGGAAGGATACGAAACTTGTGACTTGTTGAAGAAGCTGAGGAGATTCAAGTCCAAGACATCGCTTCCATAGACCATCAAATTGCGGCTTGAGTTTCGAATGTCATCCCACGTGAAATAAACATCTCCAGTGCTACGCAAATTGTAAAAAGTATTGCGCGCGTCTCGTGAGGTATGGCAAGAGTACCCAAGATAGTACGGGTTGGGAGTGTTGTTGTAATGGCTCGAGCCGTCCTGGTTGAAATCGGTACATGGAAAGTACCAGGCCATGTTACCGTTACTGTCAACGGGAACATCAGAATTCTCTGCTGGAGTGATGAGGCCCTTGCAATTGCCGTTGACGTTCTGAAACATGAAGCTGCCATCCTTACCACCATGCTTCTCTGGAAGATCGAACAGGACATTGGCGTTTTCTGGAATACCGCGAACCCAGGGATGTCGAGAGCGTGACAAGTCGTAGGCCTTTCCGTGGAATATCATGAAACCCGAATCAACCTTGTTGATCTGTAACCGATCTCCACCGCCGTTTGGGCAAACAGTCTCAGTGAAGCCGAATGTGAGGTAACCGACGAAAGTTGCGATGAGGATAATGATACTGACGAGACCCATTTTCTCTCGCCAAGCACCTTGCTGTGCCTTCTGAGGCATGCCGAAACACTTGAGAATGGCACCTGGCGCCCAAAATGTGACGACATTGCAGTATATCCTCCAAAGACTAGGCGGGTTGGCGTTGTCCCTTTGCTTCTGTCGCTTCTTCTCGTCCTCCCTAATTTGTTTCGTTTCTTTCCGCGTAAGTTTCCGGGATGCCCTGCGAGACTCCACTCGTTCCATCGGTATAGGGCCATTTCCATTCCTTCCAGGCAGATTTGATGCCTTTTCCTCATATGGAGTTGGGACACCATCACGAGTGCTATCAGAGACAACGGTTTCGCCGTCTTCTAGTATCGGATCGTTTCCCGTCGTGGATGGATGGACAGCCATGTTCTGGGCGTGTTTCCTGTAGTGGTAATTGGGATGATCTTTGTCGAATCTCTGGCGTTCAGGTCTGACCAGACTTCGCTTCCGGCCCAGGTCACCACCACCACCGCGCTGTTGCCCCATCATGTAATCCGAGGAATCTATTGGCGGTGATTGAGGAGAAGGGAAGGCATTGGAGTGTGACTGAAAAGGTGATTTCTGTTCTGTAGGAGACGGGTTCAAGTATTCGGCGTCAGATGGTGCTCGTCGGCGCCGATTAGAAGGTGTGTTGCGGTATGAACTCTGCTCGTCGCGAGAGGCCATACCAGGCCGCTGAGGTAACGACATGGTACTGTGGTAATCATCTGTCAGTTTTCCTATGCGATGAAGCACAAACACGCGATTTCTACGCACCTATCAGTGACGGCAATGCCGTCTGTTTGCTGGGGTCTTCCAGGCTCTGAGAGGACAAGACGTGTTGATGTATGACGGTGCGAACGACTGAACGAACGCCGGAGGTATGAACAATGGTATTATAAGATTACGTTGGGTGTGGCCGTGGGCGAGGCTGAATGAGGAATGAAAGAGGTTGAGGTGGGCTGGTGGTGGTATTGGTGGAACTGTGTACCAGCGAATGGACGTGTTTAGGTACTAGGCCCAAACGCGAAGCAAGAACGATCGTGAAGAAGTTGATAAGGTACCTAGGTATAGTATAGCAGCGTAAACGAAAGACTGCTGCTATAAACGGTACAGGACGGTAACGACGAGCAACCAGACCCTCGTCAAAAGAGCGAGCGAGGTTCTGAGTAGGATTAGAATAAGATCGGGGAGGAGAGGTGGACAAGGGAGAAGAAGGGGGAAACCCTTGATGGGTGGATGCTGCCTGCCAAACCCCTGGCTGTGTCGCTGGGCCGGAGCTGGGGCAAAAAGCGTGGGCGCGGCTGGCTGGGCGGTGGAGGTGGTGGTGGAAGGCTAGAGGAACTGGCAGCTTTCAAACAAGAGAGACCCTTTGCGCGACCGGATGGCGGGCAAAAATAAAGAAGTTTGTCTTAACTGGGCTCTAGTTTACCATATATGGCACAGCGTAGGTTGCCCAACCAACTGAACGCAAGGGAACAGTGGGGAGCCAGTATTACCGGGGCATGTTTTGGGATGCGGGCTGGACTATCGCCATCTTATTTTTGGGCGCGTGGTATTAGCTAGAGCCTCCCTTCTTATCCTTTTATCGATTGCGTGCACTCTCGTGGATAGATGGATAGACATCATGGACTACAGCGCGCGTAAGTTGCCTCGCAAGGCTCGAGCTAACTGCGCATTTTTGCAGCGGTGCAGTGGGAACGACTTGCCTCAACCTGTAGACCTGTCTTGATGAGGTGAGTTTCTCGCGCGGCGGTAAATAGTAGAATTCATCGTTCGCTGCTAGCCATGGCGTGTTCTTGACAGCCAAACTTCGCCACAGCTTCTTTCCTTTGCGCTGTGTCAATGTCTTCCGACATAATTAATAGACATGGAAGTGTCGTAAAGTACGAAAGTGGACCAGATTGCGGACCCACCATATGTCCGCTTCTCGGCAAGGCTGTTCGAGGAAGGTTCTGCAAGTGCACGAGCGGCTCACTCCAAGTCCAACAAGGCTATTGCTTTGCTACAGTAATTAGTATCTGTACCAATTCGAGAGCGCACCGGTCATTACTTGCTGGAAGTCGAGCTTCAAGCTGGATGGATGTTCTGTCCTGCGCCATGATGGACGGTCCTCTTTGAATCAGTTGCCTCATTTGCGTAACATGGAGAATGAATGGTTTCAGCCATGCGGCGCTCCGAGCCCCTTTAGCAGATCTCTACGTTTTGCCGATCTGCCATGCGAATGTGATCCCTGCTCTCTCTCTCTCTCTCTTGGTCTCATTTGAGCTTCGGCCGAATTGGCAGCTTCTTCTTCCAGATAATCCCCTCCCGCATCCATAATTAATGGGCAAAGGTCTTGGACAGAACGTTCGTCATCCTAGCTTACCTTGTGCTTATCGCGTGAATGGACAAAGTACTTTTATCCGCAGAGATCAAAAGAAGATGCATTTTGACTACGGTAAGTCCTGCTGTGCTATCTTCCTGGTCTATGAGACATGGCGTGCAATAAATACATCAGCCCTTTCGTTCGGAGAGCTGGGTAGGCAGGTGTCATCGACAGTGGGCATACCTCTACTCGAATAGTTGTAGTAAGCAGAACGTTCCGGGCGCCAATCCAGATGCAACCTCCCAACATCATCATCGTCATCCCTTGCCAACATGCATGCCCGCCATCTATACTGTCAAGCGACAAAATGCCTTAAGTAACAAGGCTGACAGCCGACACCACGGAGACATACCGTGTGACACGCCTGCGCCTCCGATCCCAAGCGTAACCAGTACGAGAAGATGCAGGCCCGCGTCTGGCATAGCTTCGGCGGCATCCCTTTGGACGTCACCTAAACGTGTTCAAGTTGCGGCGCCATGGCATGATTTTATTTCAGCTTATTGGCACTGTGTAGGCATAGAGTCTGAAGGTCCACCGGACTACGCGCAAGCGTCATAGCGAGCCTTGGATAATTAGTGCTCAGATGTTCTGTACTTTTTCTAATTAGGCTCCGCTGGTGCTGGCGTTCACTTCCGAAAGCTGGAAGCTGGAGATCAATAAATTTTACGACCGGGAGCGGCGCAACGCTTGGCCGTGAATCAGCAGCCGCGATTTGGCTGCCTTACTCAACTCCGAAAGTGACGATTCAGCCCGGTGCCAGCCAAAACTCCTGTTGTACTGCTTGTCTTTCCCAACTTGCTACAGACTTCGGCCATCTATACGGCCACTTGATCTTCTTAATCACCAGTCATTATTCAAGACCGGTTCAGACTCGTTGACCCCGATCCTTGTCCTGTAAGGTTGACCTCCATTCGCCGTGATGCCTTGTACCTTGTCCGTTTGATCGCTGACCCTGCATGTAGACTAGGTAGCCTAAGCCAAAGACATCAGTATCGCTCTCGCTCAATTATCTCTGAACCTCACTTCGAATCACCCACAACTCAGCATCCTGACAAGTCAACCGTATACGACAGACAAGAGGCTGTCGCGAGGTACAGGCGATACGTCAACGTACTTGGTGGTCTAGGCCTTTTCTATTTACATGCCCGCGAGGTCTCGCGAGTATACAACCCAAGATTTCGCATAGTGCGCGGTGGGGCCCTCGCGTTGCCCCTTGACCCCGTATCTCTATGAGCACATCACAAAAGAATGGCACTTCGCCATCTGCGGAGACTCGTAGTCGCAACTCATTCCCTCTAAGGACAACTTCCAACTTCGCCCATCCGCTTCCATCCGTCACTCTCGAGGAACACAATTCTCTTACCGAATCTAGCCACAACTTCTCTAGACAATCAGAAGGCTCGTCGTTCATGTTAGACAGTCGTGACCACTCCCAACGAAATTCCAGAGATGTGGAGACCCCGGAGCCAGCAAGAGATAGAGATTCGGGAACACTACCAATAACAAGGGAGATCCCATATCGTCAAGGACAGGTTGAGACTAGTGGTGGCACACATCGACAATCGCAGACCGCGCACATAGCTCTTTCTGCAGAAATTGAACACGTTCAAGATGAGGATAGTCCACAAGGCAACGAAGAACCTGCACCCCAACTACAGTACTTTCACAGACCCTTTGAGACTTCCAGACAATCACCAACGACTCGAGCCCACGTACAGTCACCCAGTGCTTCCTCACACTCAAGCGAACAAACAACAGGCCGTGGTGAGCTTCCGATGCCGGGCAATGGTACTCGTGCGACCCTAGGACAGGATCTCAGGGGACGAACGAATTCCCCGCATCTCTCTGTATATGATTCGCCTAGCGGCTCTCCTATACACTATGGGCGTGGCGTATCCTCAAACAGAAGGTCACCAGACAATCGCCCTATGTCGTATGTAGATCTTCTCAATGCTCCGTACTCTCAACAGATTGCCCCGGCAAGCGGACTGGGAAACTCGGGCCTCCGAAACGTTGTAGGCAGCAATGCGTCATTATTAGACTCCAAAAAGACCCTCGATCTATATCGTGCCAATTTGAAGAAGACAACGGAGTCGTCTGTCGCCTACGAATTTGCCATTTACATGGTGGGTATTGCTAAAGACATCATGGCTAGTGGGGAGAGTGCCGAGACTGCTGGGATCAATCCAGCCGAATTGTTGAAAGAAGCACAAGCCGCCCTTCAGCGTTTAGCGGACAAGAGTTTTCCGTTTGCACAGTATTACCTGGGGGACGGCTTCTTCTCCGGCCTGTTCAACAAAGGGAAAGAGGATTATGGTCGTGCGTTTCCGCTTTTCGTCGCTGCAAGTAAACATGGTCACGCCGAAGCAGGTTATCGGGCTGCTTTGTGCTACGAATATGGCTGGGGATGTCGTCGTGATTTTCAAAAATCTGTCCAGTTTTATCGAGCATCTGCAGCAAAGGCACATCCTGGTTCCGCTAGTCGTCTTGGCGTGGCATGTATAAGAAAGGAGCTTGGGTTGACTGACAACTACCGAGAAGGTCTGAAATGGCTCAAGCGCGGCGTTGATAGTGCAGACTCACAGTACAATGCTGCGCCATATGAGCTGGGGTTACTTCATGAGACCGGCTATGGCGCGGATTGTTTCAAGGATGAAGCCTACGCTGCACAGCTTTTTACGAGATCAGCTGAACTGGGCCACCCGGAAGCGGCTCGACGCATGGGCGAAGCTTATGAACACGGCCTTCTACACTGTCCGAAGGATCCAGCACTGAGCATACACTTCTACAATATCGCCGCCCAGGCCGACCACGAGGAAGCTATGATGAATCTATGTGCATGGTATATGGTCGGCGCAGAGCCTGTACTGGAAAAAGATGAAGCCGAGGCCTATGAATGGGCCAAGCGCGCAGCGGACCTAGGTGAGTTCGCGGGTCAATATCGTTGATGAACACTAAACACTCCATAGGTCTTGCTAAAGCTGAGTATGCTTGCGGTTACTTCACGGAAATGGGAATAGGATGTCGCCGAGATCCTCTAGAGGCTAATGTCTGGTATGTCAAAGCGGCCGACCAAGGTGACGAACGAGCGAAGCAACGCCTTGCTATCATCCGCGATGCCGCGGCTGGAGGGTCCGGGATTCCTGATAAACAAGCCAAAGCGCCCAAGTCGCCAAAGGACAAGAAGGACTGCATTGTCATGTAATGACAAAGCTTCACCCTACTACACCATTTCTCATATACATCTCGACCATTATGACCCATAATGCGTGGTGGTGATGGGACAACAAAAGTTAACATATGAGTTCATTAGCCGTATTTGGTGTGTTCTTTGGAAAATTTTCTGTCTTTGTTGCATTTTAAAAATGGTCGCCTTCATTTTTGACCACCATACCTTCTAGGGGTGCATCATCGGGGTCCATCGGAGTTCAAGCATTGACAGGGCTGGACGCCTGGCGAGTCTTATTAAGCACGCAAAGGACGAGCGTAGCACTTATGGTATGATGTGGTGCTCTCCTAATGAGGTAGACGAATTGTTGTAGAAACAGGTAACGAACGAGTACGAGCATCGGCAGACAAGCAAGCGCATTTCAAGGGGGTTAGTTAGTTAGGTAGCACGCACACGCACCCGCGAGCAAAGGCTTCGCGTCATAATTCTAATTTGTTCACATGCACCTAATCTATTTGTTTACTGATGGATCTTCGTCCTTGTTGATCTTGCCCTGCAGCGTCGTGAATGGTTAAAGCGTTGGAAGGCACTTTTGATGTCTGGTCGGTGAGACTCGGGATAATCGAACCAGACGAGAGAGTGCCCACATGGTGAACTGAGTGATACGGAAGCTACGCATGCCTGGTTGAATCCATGATTGCTCTTGCCCACCGAGGCCACTCTAGTTATTAGCATATCAGCTTCACTACATACCTTCATCCTTTAAATAAGCAGGCAAAGCAGATGGAGTGGAGGCATCCAAGTTCAAATGACCGGCAAACAATATAAGATATCATTCAAGTTCTCAGGTTTCGCTAGGTTGGTATTAATATATAAGTTTTGTTCGTTCCTTTCCAGAATAAACCCACAAACGCCTGCTCGACGCCACATAAAAAAAAGGCCGACAAAAGGGAGAAGCAATGCAGCTCTACAGAATTATGCAGAAGCCCATGTGGTATCATAATACCGGTATAGATCCAAAGAGCGACGCCACCAAAATATGCATGCAAATTATGAACCTTGTGTGTGTGTGCGTGGAAAATTCGTCTCTTCCTTGTGTCATTTCTCGTCCTTGGTGTCATCCGTGTCATGAGTCATATCATCATGATTCATGGCAGTTCGAGCGTGCCCAGGGGGATACACGCGTGGGCTCTGGGTATTAGAACAGCTATAACTGCTCGTGTGATTGAGGACATGCTATACTCTCCGGAACCCGGCGGCAAAGTCCAAACACTGGCAATGAAGGGGACTGTCGGTGTACAGGATGATCTTCAGACCCGAACGCCGGTAGCTGCATTCGCAACACCACTCCACTTCAGCCTCCTGAACCCAGAGGACGCCTCTCTGCCACAGGGCCGGAGATCACCCGCAGCGGTACCAAAGGCTTCTGTCCTGCCAGCTTCTTTGCCGACCATGTAGCCTGCCGAGAAGCTTATGGCACTGAAAAGCACCATAACACCGGCACTCATGACCCAAGTGAGCAGCGTCGGACTAATATCCTCCATACTAGACGTCCGCTTAACTTTCTTGGCCGTCCGACGCTCTTTACTGCTGCTCCGAGGAGCTGGGGATGATTTGCGTTTGCCATCAAACACGATCGGAGAGTTCCCAGAGGAGGGATTCCCAGGCTGTGAGGAGTCGGTGGAGTTCCTTTCGCTCGGAGTCATGTTACCACCTAGGGCAACAGACTCAGGGACCATACGTATAGATGTCGGTTCTATACGTGATGATGGCGCTGCAGAAGCAGTGTTGTTGGTCTGTGGAGTAGATTTTGGGAGGCCTCGTGCGGCGGCGCCCAAGGAGAGGAGGGTGGAAAGACTGGCGCGTAGTACTGCATCGTGGTCTGCTTGATGCGAAGGGGAGATGACGTTATAAGGTGAATGCCGTTGCCCGGCGTAGGAGTGTCTCTGGGTTGTAGATCTTATATGTGGTCTTCCTGAAGTGTAGCTACCGGACCGCATGGCTCTAGGTCGTTGCACTGTTGGAGGGTGGGTGAAGGCGTTTGGTTGAGGTCTGAAAGACAACGTGCTTCCTCGAGGATAGTTGACAGCGGTCGAGTTTTCGTCATCATCGTATTCAGCCGCGGACAAATCTTCCGATGAGGCTGTCGAGGCATCGTGCTGCTCGATATGGTGCAACTCGTTTCGCAATAAGGATGCGCGAATACCCTCATTCGACGACATCATAATACGGTCCGACTCGCTCTCACTCTCCTCATACTCCTCCTGACTACTCGCCCCTGTACTGTTGTTGTACATTCGATCTCCTAGCTGTAGCGACCCGGTGGTACGAAGGCGCCTTCGTCGACGAATATTGTTATCATGTTGCACACGCAGGCCTTCCGTAATGATATCGTCGGGCGCGACCGACGACAGTGAGGAGGAGGATGGTTGCGACGAGACTTCAATCCACGAGTCTGTAGAGAGTATATTGTAAGCAATGTAGTCTGGTATGTAGATATCAACGTCATCCATGGTGTACATGATGCAGAAGATGTTGTATGGTATTTGCCAGTGGAATGGCGACTCGGATACACCTCGAAAGACATTACATGTAGAGTACGTACCTTCTGACCTGTGACGAGCACCAGGTGGTAATGACGCTCGCAGAGATCTCACAGCCTGGACAGTAGGCCGCACGGGTTCTTGTTGAGTCTGATCGTTGTGACGAGGTGGTGGGGCGTTGTTTGGAGACATGACGGGCAGGTGCTCGTGTGGCTCGGTGAGGAGTGCTCAGTAAGTGAGATTGTTTCAGTCCCGTATAGAAAGAAAAAGGTTGAAGATGACAGAGAGATCAAGAGCACCTCTTGACTATATCAGTCCTATCTCAAGGAGTCGGTGAGAAGCTGGCCGATCTCGGTATCTTTGTTCCCCGCTGAATGCGTGCTGGACCCTGCAGGCGAGTGGAGCGAGGGGTTGGCGCCGCGTCGAACCCTGAAGTCGAGCGGCTATTGATCTTTAGGAGAGAAAAGGAAATCTTGCTATTGAGCGTGGGAAACGACAATGATATGAAGAGGAAGACAAGGCGCAAACATGTCTGAGAGTGGCTGGCGTGTGAGATGGAAGATGCAGGGCGTCGTAGTCAGCTGGCGGGCATGTTGGCAACGTGATAGTGATAGGGCAGCAGGACAGGATGGGATAGGCAAGTCACTGATCACGCCCCGGAAGGCGGTGATCCCCATGGCATACCTATGCTCTATGCTTGGACAGTGGACAGTGGGCAGCAGTGAATAGCCATTTCTTCATTGCGCTTCCACCAGCTATCTCTAGTCTTGGAACTGGTGGTTATAATATTCTGATACTGATGCTGCACCCCACATCCGGATCCGTCGGCCAGTGCAGGAGTTGTGGTTTATAGTGCAACGTGTTCCAGACAAAACCTGGGCGCCGCATGCAAGAGGTTTATGCGGTAAATCAACCTGTCGCCAACATTGTCTCTTCTTGACCGTGCACAGTACGAGACCTCCGAGATCCAGACATGCTTTGGAGATGGAGGTGCATGGTCGAGACTATCTCGGATCCCCCTCCGCCGAGATCATTGCTGCTGTTGTCCCCGTCAATGCCTACGTCTAAGTGTTGCTAATCAACATATCCCTATATATATGTTACAACATCTGAATACAAACCGCCAATGCCGCTAAGTGTAAAAGTAGAATGTTAATATGGTATCCGAAAGTTGAAATAGTGTGACAAGGCAACATCCATGAACGCCGGCCCGGTGGTATCTTTGTTGAAGCTGACTCAGCTGTTCTTCGTCCCTGTGAACGACTCCGCGATCCTGTCTCGAAACTGCTCCCACATACCCCTATTGAGTCTGTGGCTGAGCTGACGAAAATTGTACATTTCACCCCAGCAGTCACGGCCCCATTCACAACCAGCCATATTGACCAGGAAATCTCTGTCCTTCTCTTGATAATGAATTTTTGCATTCTCCGTCTCTTTAGTCTCTCCGCCACATGCTCCGGGAGGAAAGCTATTCACTTTTCGCTGAGAGGTGAATGCAATGTGTGGACGCACCCATGGGAAGTTCGTATACATGTGCTCAAGTGCATCTTGCTCTTTATGTTCCCATTCCATATGTTTCTGCTCGTAGCCAACGGGATCCCACCAGATGTCTAGTAGGCGATCGGTCCAAACGCTGCGACGAACGAAGAAGGACCCAAGATTGAAACCCCCGCAATCTTGTGAGAGGATGAAATTAATAGATTCTGACTTGCCGTCTCCTATTGCAGATCGCGACTCAGAGTCGAGCCACTCTGAAGTAAAGGGATGAGAAATGTTCAAGGGGTTGTAGTAGTTGATGTCCCGGTAGGTATTCTTCTGGAGGTCTTTGAACAGGTGAGATTGTAGGGAATATGAAGGCTCCATGATGAAAGTGTTGAGGTCGAGCCACCAGAACCTATATCTATTAGTATCTGCATGTTTGATAACCAGGCGGTATAACCCTACCATTCAGCATCTGGATATTTACGCATAGCGCTCCTTATCGTATCAACCTTCTCCCAGCTTTCTCTCCATTCGTGAGCATATCTCTTCTTAGTGCTCATGTCCACAATGTCCAACTCATATCCCCATTTTCTTGCATAGTGCATCTTGTTCTTTACGCTATCTCTTTCAATTGCCCATTCTCGAGGACCTTTCCATTCCATCACTCCTCCTCCCAAGTTCGCTGCTAATATTATAACGAATTTATTTCCACCGCCAAAGGATCGCCGCACAACCATGTGTAGCGCTAGACATCATCAGCAATACACACTGCCATATCAGACGCCGTACTCACGTGTAACATAGAATATGAAAATCCCGAGCAGAAATATCAAGAGTCCAGCCAGTCGTAGCCTCAGACGCCATACTATTCTTCCAGCAATTGCTATTAGTCTCCAACTCCCATTCTTTGCATTAATTCGTTTCCATCTCCGTTCGAGCTTCTCTTTCTCTGCGTACGATGTTATAGGTAGACCACGCGACAACTTGCGAAAGTGTTTCGAGAAGAATCCTTGCTTTCGCGTCGAGAAAGATGCATATCCCTGGACTTCTGCACTTCGGGCTTGAGCCGAAGCCCATGTTACATTCCCGTTGTTTGGGAAAGTCCGGACCGCGGGACTTGATCTTCCACTGGATTCGTCATAAGGAGCTGTGAGTCCTGGACTTGACCAACCTCCGCCTCGCGTAGGCGAAGGCGATCGCGAAAGTGACATGCGACTGGAATCGTCGAGCTGCTCGAGACGGTAGAGGGACCAGGTGTCGGTTAGAGGGTCAGGACACGCAGTTTGAGGCGTGCTGGATCTTTTATTTCGCGAATAGCAAATAGCAGTGATATCAATCGTGAAGCTCGTTTCCGCTTAGTCTGGGACGCCAGACACCACCAGTTAATTACCGGAAAACGCTGTCACTGCCGACAGCTTGTGAAAGACAAAGCTCCGAACCGTAGGTCGTCAAATGAACAAATGGCCAGTGCGGACCGCATGCGAACCGCTACAGCAGTCAGACTGGTGTGTTATGTTCACGCAGTGAACGGCGCTCAGAGAATCGCATCAGCGCATAGTAGTCGCGACACCATAGAAGAGAAAGAATGAAGGAAGAAGAATTAAAGAACTCCTAAGAGAAGGGCCGACTGGGGAATCGCAAATGACAGCTTGAGGTGGATCAGATGGAGACTTCATATTTAGCGGCCTTTTCCCTGAGAATAGCGTGCTTGGACAACAGGGAGGGGCTGTCGAACTCGCTAATTTCCCGTCCATCCATCCATTTTTGACTATGGACGACCCCTGCACATATGAGGCTGAACGTTGTCCGGCCTCGATCGGCCACCCTAAGATCTCAACTGCAACGAGACATATATGCCTTTGATCTGGCGACCACCCTTTCAGATTGTTTGAATCAATTTTAGACGCAGCCCATTGTTGGTTTGTTGTAAGCCAATGAGGTTTTGATTGCAAAGATGAAATTCCAGCCGTTCGGCTCGCTGCTTTGGAATATATGCGGTCATATCACGCAGCGTATGCATGCCTTGTTCGTGGCAGTAAGAATGACATCTTGCGTAACCATGAATGTATTCACCTCAGTTCCCCTGAAGTGTCCGTATGCCTCTATCACGTGCAATGCCTCGTCCTAGCTCTGCCCATATAGTCTCTGTGATATGCTTACACCCCTAATGACCAAACGCCATCTATGCCTAATATCTATAGCAATCGAACTCAATCCTCTTATGACCCTCATAAACCACCTCGCCTAATGCACCGGAATTAGAACATCTGAAATCCAAACGCATTCTCCATACCCAACATCGAATTATCGAAGGGCATCTCGTTGAGTGCGCGCTGCCACGCAGCATCGTCCCAGATACAAGTCGGCGCATAAATCGCAGCATCTACTGTCTGTGGGTCCAAATTCTGCGTTGGGCCAACAGGCTCATAGTACCCCATCGTCGAAACTTGAGTACTAGGTACTGTCGTCGCCGATGTCGGACAGGTTGTGTCTGTCCCTGTTGGCACGATACCGGGCGCGGTCTTCAATTCGGTCTCGGTGCCGGACATTTCGTCGTCATCCTCGTCTTCGTTCGAATTCTGCTTCTGACACTCCATATTAATGACGTTCTCGACACCGTTGTAGAAATACTGCCAAATATCTTCGCTGTCGTCGGGCACGGCGGCTTTACGCCCATTCGTCACTTCTTCGAGAATCTTACGCGCGCCTAGGGCAATACCGTCGAGGTCAACCTCTTTGCGCACCATAGCGCTGTCCCAATTGGGCCCAGCAGGGAGTCCAGTCAGTTTCGTCAAAAGTAGAAACGCATACCAGATTGTGGTCCATGAAGGTAGAGGTAGATGTTGACATATAGGGTAGGGAAGCTTGAGGAAGTATTCTAACAGCTCACGGGCTGAAGTCATCAGTGCCCAGAGCTGTGTCGGGTCGAGACTTGATTGTGTGGTTGCCTCGACTTGATATTTGCGCAGGGATAACTCGTATATGGACATGGAGAGGGATTTGAGCTGTAAAGTGAAGCGGTCTAGAGTTCTGTCAGACCTGTCTTGCTGCATGGACTGTATATTGCATACTTACAGTTTTCGGCAGGGTCAAACTCTGGAAGACTGTTCTTGATGTCAGACAGCTCTCTATGAAACATTTTGATCATCATATCAAGCATTTTATCGCTACTACGTTGATTCTCCTCTTCACGGTTGCACATCTCTTCCACCCTGGCGGCTAGGGCTTGCGTTTGGAAGTATGTTCTAAGCTTTGCGTCGGTCGGGTACTCCTTCCGTGCTTCAAGAAGATTGCAACACTGCATTACCCACGGTGTCTGCTTCAAAATGCAGTGTCTCCGGAATATTGAGGCGCTGAGGCATGATTAGCTACGCTACCTCATTGCAAGTGAAAATACATACCCCGGGTACAAGAAATACAAGCCTAGGAAGGCTCTGTGTTCAGCAGAAGTCCTACTCTTTTTTACTGTGTCGAACTGCCCAGGAATCTCGTCTTCGCTCAACCCTGTATCTTGCGCAGATTGCCGGTCCAAACCCATATCAGACACCATACTAGATGCCATCTGTAACAACATGAAGCTATTCTTACTTTGAGGGACATGGTAATGGTACCAGCAGATATGAACGAGAAGGCCTTGTAGAAGCTCGAGACTCTTTTCCTCGTCCTCAAGAACCCGCTTACTGATCACTCGCTTCGAGTCACGCAGCAGTAGTCTTTGCAACGGAAGTCTGTCCTCGAGACACACATTCATAATAGCAAGAAACAAAAAGGGGCATTTGTGACGTAGATCTTCTGCACTCATTCCTGGCGGAATTATGACAAAGGGAAAGTGAGGCTGCTTGTGCACTCGATACTTGTGGAGCAGTCTCTCAGCTTCATCGAGGGAGATGAGGCCTCGTTCCACGGGATCAGCGAATGCATCGAAACCAGAAGTCAGGGGTCGGCGTAGAGGTGGGCTATGTCGTCGGCGAGGTGAACCATGTTCTGTATACACACTTTGCGGAGGTAATGAGTCTCGCGCAGAGTAAGATGTCGTTGGTGTCGGCTGCTCGAACGGTTCACTACCTGAGTGTGGAGAATGTTTTTGTGCGGCAAGTGCACTGACAAGCGCCTCCACTTTGGCTTCCAGTTGCTCAACTCGTCTGGCTCTTATCAGTTATCTCCGCAATGTTGCTTCGGTGCAACTGGCACGTACGTAGAGTTTGTACTTTTCGTTTTTCGTGGTTGCGTAAAGTCATCAAAGTTACAAGGGCGCTTTAGCCTATTGCACCGCTCGCATACTTGTTGATCAAGAAGCAGTACACATTTGGCTTTGGCGATCGTGCAGCGAACACAAGCGGAACGACGCGGGTTGGGCGTTTTGTGAGCCTTCTGCATGAATAAAACGTATTAGGTGTAGAGATACACAGTAGTAAAGGATACGCATCAGGAGACGGAGTCGTCCAGCTCTTTCTTTCCTTTCGTTGTCGCAGATTTCGCCGCAATGCATACGAGTTCGGACTGGACGGAGCCGGACTCCGTCTCCGCTTTTGACTTACCGTGACCCGCCTAGGGTGGCTTTGTAAGCAGATACGGTATCCATGGATGGCTCGGGGGTGACCGACAGTTGGCTGGACAATGACACCTTGGTATATTGGTTTTCTTCATAGAGAACTTGGGAAGCTCTCAACTCGGACAGAAAGCTCTACATTGTTGCTAGTGAGAGATATCTACCAGTCCCAAGTATCGTTGCCAGGGTACTATGGTTTGATTATAATCTTCATACTGCGTTCATCTTTCCGGCCGTTGTACTACTCGATGGAGGTATAGCCCGATCCTCATCTATCCCAGATTCCGAAATCTGTCTTGATGGCGACGACGAATCTCAATTAGACATGCCTTCCTACCGCTCGCAGGATTTGAGATACTCCAGGAGCACATGAGTTCGCGAGATGAACAGCAACATGATGTGTAGATTATTGTACAAACATCATCTAGAGATCGGCCATGCGCACGAAAGATCCCACGCATACCAATCAATGCATTCTAGACGTTGCTATCATTAAATAAGTACCAAGGATTTATGCCATGGCTGGAATAAACTACGCAGCGTTCGCACCCGCCTTATCCGAAAATGACCTAGCAATCAAGATGTCATTGCACAGAAATTGTTGATATATTATCATAGACTTGGGACGAATCTCACAGAAGATGACCAGTATGCCATGGGAAGCATCGGAACTACTAGGCTTCGTTATCTGTGTTGATGTTCGTCTCCCAGGAAGAGCCGCGGCCAGACAACGGGCCTGCGTGAATAGAGTACGTATAGTTAAGAGAAGTAATCAGCTTGCGCATGAAACAGATATACGACATTTTCTTGCTGAGACTGAGGTACAGAATCGGCCTTGTTCTTAGACTTCTTTATTTAGTAGTATCACAATGAGCGTGAGGAACGATAGCCTTCCATTGTTATAGTGGGCTTTGTACCGACGAATGCTAGTATACCGAGTCTGGGATATATGCAGAGGAAGTTTTTCGAAGATCAGCCACACGACTGAGGAGCAGCCGTGAAGCTATGCGGACCGAGCACAATATGGTGACTGTCTAGTGCTGGATAGTCAAGATCTGCGGTATGTGAATGCGGAATAGAGGATGTTGACAGTGTCATCGTCAGGATAAAAGTAGAGGAGAAAGATAAAGAGCTTAAAACGTCGTTTCGTTGCGATAGATAAAGTTGTATAGGCGCTATAGTGCAGATAACTGACGTGCTCAGCGATGTTAACAAATTCGACTCTCTTCAGGGTTGGAATTAGGCGCGGCTCATGCACCTTTGGATCGGAAGGGTTGTTTTGCGATATCTATGTTAGGGAGATTGCTAAGCTACCGTAATTTGACTGCCTGCCTATTTTGCAACTTCAAATCATTCTGCACCACGCTTACGAAGCTGCCACACCCCTTTCCGCACAGTATTTTTGCACTTCCTTTTGCAGAGTCTCATGCTGTGTCATCACATTCGACAGAATTTCCTGAGTTCCTGCCACACTGGCGCAAAATTTAGCTGACTCGATCATCTGGTTCATCACAGCCTGAAGCTGGTTAGGAAGCCACTACATATGTAAGCTGAGTATTCTCTGGGGGTTTGCAGTGTCGATCATCAATGCTTACCGTAACGATAGGACTTCCCCCTGTGGCTGTGGGGTGTGATGTCCTCTTGAGGATGTACTCTCTGGTGAAACACCAGTGACGCCAGCGAAAATCGCGCACCTGGTCCAGAGCTCGCAGGTAAAGGGCAGCTGACTCGGAGTCGTTCAGGGCGAAGTCCTTGACACCCACGCTGTCCGCCATGGTTTTAACCCCTTCGAGAAAGTCTCGATGATTACCTGGTCGGTAGGCACGGAAGTCCTTTAGGATCTCCGTCAATGGCGTCGATGGCATACTTATCTGGAGCAGATTATCGCACAGTGGGATCTATATTTGTCAGTGTGATTATACGAGTATTGTTTGGGGATTGTACCATGCTATCGTTTGCACCAGACTCGCCACGGAAGCTTACAGGATCCTCGCTCACACCCTCGTAGATCACACCATTGGGGAACATAGATTGGCTGGTAATGCCAAAGATGAATGTTCGGAAAGTGGTGTAACCGGCAGGCTTGCTCTTTGCCCACATAGCTATCTACGGTTAGAAATTTTATTTCCTTGACACTGAATAAACATACTGTTCATGACGGCGTTAATTTTGTCCAGTGCCTCTACCACTTTACGCATGCCATGGTTGAACATCTCTCGATCTGACTGTGCAACGCCATCAAGGACGCCGATTGACCCATCGACGAGACCACCTGAGTTCTTCACCATGGCAACATGTACTAGAACGAAGCCAGCTTCCGACGAACTAGGGTCAAGCCCACGTTCGAATGCGCGGATTAGACGCAGGTTGTCGTACGCAAGACCTTGCGAAGCATCCGCTAGTTTATAGTTGAAGAGTGCATAAGAGCCAGCATACTCCATGAACGGCTTGAAGCCGGCGCTGATGGAAGTCAGTGATGGTGCCCCAATAATCAGAAGAGAAACATACATTTCAGCAACTTTGACGATTGGTAGCGCGATTACGGAAGGCAAGGTCTGCCTTCCAAGCCCGTATTCGAGCCCTTGCATAAATCTCTCATGACACGGTTCAAGTAGGTACGCAGAAGCCAAGAATGAATAGTCCCTGTACAGTGCGTTCATCAGAGGGAGGTTGTCGCGGTATTTCTCAATGGCATTGGATAGATCGGGGAGCTCCTTCATGACAGTATCGCCCAATTTGTATTCAGCGAGGAGACCCGGAGTACCAGAGGCAGTAACGATTGGCATGCGAGTGAGAATAGACTCGAGAGCATGGAAGTCCGTAGGAAGCTCGACAACAGGTTCCTGACGAGGGAGAAAGCCTCGTTCCGTCGATACCATGAAAGCCGGAAGTCCGGTATCATCCTTCCGAGTATCGACGAGGACATTGAGCTGGGAGAGTGCCGATGATGGCATGATGAGTTGAAGAGAATATCAAAGAGATGGAAGTCTGATAGAATGGAAGTTTGAGTGGGAAGGAGAGAAGAGCGTTCTGAGCCGCTCCGCCCTTACCGGCGGTCGCTTTTATGGATGAAAGTTTTCGAGGCCGGAATGGCCGGAATATCTTCCGTTGTCCTTATCTCAAGACTCTCACCCTCACCCGGGCCCTCCGAATCCTAGTACGTAACGCCCTGGCCAACGAATCTCCACCTGACCAGAAGTATTTTTATTGTCAACCAGAGACAGGCTTTCCGTCGTCTGATAACCGTTGATAACCGTACTGTCGTGTCGTTATTGGCTCTGTAGCCACCGCTCCTTCACTGGAACAGCATGGATGATGCTCTCAATGTCGTTGTCCTGATTGTCCAGCCTCTAGCATGATGCCATAGTCCAGATGCCTCTATTCTGATGCGCGACCACGAGCCATCCCAGCGAATAAATGCCTCCTCTGGTAGGAGCAGACTTCCTATCAATCAGTTCAGTTCAACTTTAGGCCTCTAGTTGAATTGAACTGAAGTACTTCAACTCTTACCATCATAGAATTGAATTGGACTGTCAATCCTAGTAGTAGAATTGAAGTTGAACTGGACTGGACTGAAGGATATTAGTAAGATTAGCTAAAAGTCTTAAAGATAGATGAAATTTAGTATTTTGAGGCTATATATCTATATTACCTATATAGTAATTCTTAATATAAGTAAGTAATAAGCTAAAAAGAGGATATATTTATATTATTAATATATAGCTATTAGTATAGAGACTTTACGTGGGTTTTTACATGAGAGAGTAAAGAATAAGTCACGTGTCGTCACGTGACTTTCACGTGACATATCACATGATAGTTTATTTTAATGTATCCAGCGGGAGTCACATGAGATATCACACGATATATCACGTGGTGCGTCACGTGACGTTGCATCACATGACTTTCTTCTGATAAACCTCGTCGAATTACCTAACCTCAAGAGGATATCTACCTATCTATATATAACTTCAGTTCAACTCAACTATTAGCAACTCAATCCTACCCTAGAATTGAATTGGACTGAAGATCCAACCCTTGGCAAGAGGCCTCAGTTGAACTGGACTGAGTCAATTCTGGAGAGGTAGAATTGAAGTTGGACTGATTGATAGGAACTCTGGGTAGGAGCCCGATCTCCCATGCTTTTGGCCATGCTACTTGACATCAACAGAAGGGGACAGATCTCGATTTCTCATCCTTATTCGGCCCAAAACTCAGGAATCCCATGAACGCCTTCTGCTCTCAGGTAAATGACTATGTGACGCTGAGGTTGTTAGCCGACGTATCGCTTATTGATTGGAGAGGTTGCTATATGCTGCGTCCTCAATGTCTTGGCGCTAGAAGACCTCTAGTTCTCCCTGCTTATCGCGCCAAGAGACAAGGCAGCATTACTCCGTGCGCAGTGGAACCAATCAGACAAGCCAAGTATGAAATGCATGTGGCTAAGGGGTAACTCTAAAAAAGATAAATAAAGCAGTATCTCCATGGTTCTCTGCCTCTGTTATTCGATGTCACCAACGCCTCTCTGAAAATAGTTTGCGCCCTCCCCATCACCCGTGCCTCTAGGTGTCGACGCTGCGTCAGCTCTCCTAAAATTGCCGTTCGGATGACATAATCACTCCATTGCCCATACGTGACGAAGACACGTAGGGGATCAGGGGCTGTCAAGGCTAATACATTTATCTAAAGATAAAAAGTCGAGCGAGTTGGAAAGGATGGGAGACGAGGACCGGGAGGATAATATTTACGCTATAGGTGCATCCGGCGACGAGCTAGCTAGAGATGGAGCAATGAAGTGTTATATAGGATATATGAACGAGGCTGCAGCGACGTTTAGTCCGAACACATTATAAGAAATGGATTGTAAGAGGCAAATTGCATTCATATCAGCCTTAACATCATTACTACTTCACAGTTTAATACATTGACGGCATGATTAGATGCGCGAAAGATGATGGCCCTATCTTCATTCTAATTACTAGAGGCCTGAGATACTTAATGACGAAGACTTTCGTGTTCCTGCCGTGCATCAAATTGCCATCTACCCAAACCAGTACTAGCCGTATTTTGAGAACAAGGAAATGTTACAAGAATAACTCCATGAATCTAGCGAATAAACTATATATGGTCTCATCTAGATAGTGGTATAGACACTTTTAAAACATCAAAGTTCCGACCTAATCATTGACACCTTAACACCGTAGCCTACTATAATCTAAAAATGTGAACGCGCCAACAGGCCACAGCATAACAAGACATAGCGCTGACCTCATCATTATTAACTACTGATTTGTTCTGCGGCAGCCGGTGCTCGATACTGCTGATACATGTTATACATTCTCTGCTCTTGCTCAGGTGTGAACTCCTCATAGCATGAATCATCGGAATAGTCCATATAGTTATTTACAGCGTCTAGGCCTGGCTGGTCTGGACATGAATCGGCATTTGTTGGACACCCGGATGTCGGTCCCAGCTGCTGAGGAGTGTCAGAGATCCCATCGCCACCAGATGAGCAGCTCTGATCTTGGAAGGTATGGAAGAGCCCGAACCAGTGTCCGATCTCGTGGGTCGCTGTCTTCCCTTGATCAAAGGGCGCCACACCGCCAGGAACAGAACTCGCGACAATGACACAGCCATCATGGGCGATGACATCTTCAGTAGGTTCTTCCGGGAACTGGCAGATCTAGTTGGCAGTCAGCATCTCGACCGTTGCAGCTGTGAAGAATACCTACTCCTAGATATCGTCGGTCTGATACGATGTAGAGGTTTAGAGTAGCATAATCACCTTGGTGGAGTGCTTCTTGCATTGGCCCGTTGGTGTCCTGAGTCGCCCATTCCTCATTGACAGTGCGAGATACATTCTTAAGGGTAAAAGTAATATTGTGGACACCATAATTCTCGTTGATGACTTCGATCTGCTTGGTAACGACATCGTCCTGAGATAGAGAACTGGTCAGTCTTCAAGCACTCGTCACAAGTCCTATTGTCAGTCTAGTGACAACTTTGCGCTAAAGCGGCTCCAAACCACTGTCGTCGCGCTGCAAATCCACAGAGGTACATACCGCGATATTACCATCCTTAACAGATTCCCCAGAAGAGACAATATGAACGTAGACAGGGATGTTTATATCTGCTCGATCCGCAGCTGACGTGAAGTTACCCGCCAGCTCAGCCGAGCGCATGCTTCCAGCAGCGGCAACGAACTTCTCAGAAGCAGCCGAAGAACATCTGCTACGTGAATCACGCGACGATATGAGGGTCGGATTTGCGACAACGAGAGAGAGTAGTGCGGTAAAGCTGACGATATGGTGGTTAAGAACGAGCATGTTAAAGACTTTAGAAGTGACACAACCAATGAGTGATGGCGATAGATACGAACTATGATTGTCAAGGGACTAGAATTTCTATGGTTCTGGGCACATGCTGTTGAGTTTTATAGTCTTGTAAGACAAGTACTCCCAGCATGACTTGCAAAGCACAGAGACGCCAAAGAGCATGCTGGTGAAGTCTCCGCAGAGGGCCGTACACATCAAAGGTATAATTATTTCCCCAGATGATGGCTTGTCCAGCCCAGACAAGAAATGCCCGGCTTTTGGGTAGGGAATGAGGCAGGTTCCATTTCACCAGTAGAGCAATACATAGGCAGCCAAGGCCTCTGTGGAAGACAGCGTGTAGACGGATCGCCACCCGTGGCGGAATGCTGGTGTATTTTGAGCCTCATCGGAGGAGATAACTTGAATTCCTAGGCGTATTATGGCTGGAAGCCGGGTAGATACACGACATACAAACAAGTCGACGATCCAAGGTGGACCTCCGATAAGCTACCTGAGGAGCATATTTCAAATTGGAAGGCTATGGATGAGTCTGAATCGTCTCGAACGATGTGCCAGGCGTCGAGCGCGGGTTGATCATATGATGATTGTATTGTTGAGTTCGAATGAAATTCATCGCGTCGATGCCATGCTTTCGATGATAATTGGAAACGATGTTCGATGATGTTCAGATAAAGCACAGTCCGAACCCTGAGGCTTGGACCACAACAAAGCTGGAGGGCTGGGGCTAACCCGCACACTTCCCCGAGTTCAGCCTAGCGGACGTTTTTGATTCAGAATTCACGTCACTACAGAATAATCAAGTCTACTATTTGCAACAGTCCTTCCACAACGGAGTGGCATCGCTCCTCCATCTGAACCCAAATGAACTCAACAGCCAGTATCCCGAAAAAGAGGCGCGTGGGGCGGCCCTCGAAACCTCTGTCTGAGTGCAAATCCCGCCTACCTAAAACCAGCAAGACTCACGCAAGTGTCCCGCGCGAGGAAAAGCTCAATGTCATTCTGTATATTCTAGACAACCGCAATTGGGTGCATGATTTCAGGCCACATGTACGAATAAGAGAAGGTCAAGAACGTGTGGGCGCTTGGCGTCCCCCGAACAATCTCGAGGTCTCTCAAGCTTTCCACGGCAGGTATTCACCGACGACGATAGGAGACTGGTGGAAGAAAAGAGAGTTACTGAACGAGTCTCGGCCTCGTAGTCGGCGGTTAGCTAAAGGAACGAAATTGCCAGAGAAGATGATGAGTACAACCGAAAGAGAAAGTACAGGCACCGCCCCTCCAGATACAGCTGCCGTCAATCAGGAAAAACAGGCCGCGGTCTCTCCCGTCCCGAGTCTTAGTATTGCAAACAGATTCGTCGTATATACAGCAGCTGCAATGCCGGCTACCATGAATCCATCCTGATCCCCCAATGCTATGCTACACAGGTATGCGCTCCATCGTTGTATCGTCACCACCTTCACGAACCTGAAAGCATAAGTGGCGCAAGATGTCTCCGCTACCTGAAATGGATACATTATACCATGTGAACCATGCACATATCTTTCAACGTCAATGACAGTAGTATTCGTACAGAGTGCGATCTTCGGCTGTCTCTTAGGCAACCTTCAAAGAATGGCTGACCTCTCGCGCTACTTCAGCCCACGGGTACAAGAAGCTGTAGTCTGACTCCGGGTATATCACCAACTTAGCTTTCTGATTCTTCTACTGCATATCGAAACTATCTACGACTGGAATTATGAAGTAATCAGAGCCTGTGGGGTCAAAGCTGGTACGAGAGACTTCCTGAGGCGATCAAATGAGCTATTTGATATTGAATCGGGACTACTCCAAACCACGACAGCAGTTTGCAACATTGGCAAACCCATACGAGATAAGATTAGAGCGATCTTTACCACTAACGACTATATCTCTGTATGGATACGCTCCCATGTCGATTGAGGGGATTCCGCCGGGAGGGAGAAAAGCATACGGAAGCCGATCTCATAACCTGAATTTTGAGCCATCAGCAAGCTCTCACATGGCCTTCAACACGGTCACCAGTATCTGAGATTATGCATTGGCCAAATTCTGGCGAAAATCCTGCCACAGGAATATTCTAACAAGTCTCTTAAGGCGCACATCGAGTGGGAAGCAACCCATGCTGAAACCGCGAGTGTCAACTTGCTTCATTCCTTCATTCCAATGTTCGTGAGAAGGTCGAAAGCATGTTCGATCATGCCATTGACTGCATTGTCGATGGCTCCTGTGCTTTCCCCAGCTTTCGCGTCGTTGAAAAAAACAACGCGCCGTTATTAAGCGATACTGTTGATCAAGAGCGGGTCCCAATGGTTCATGATACCCGGGCAGTGCATGTCGCATGCACTGCGAGGACCAAACAAAAGGGTCCAGAGACCGTATTTTATTATGAGAAGGACTCATCTATTACACGCATGATCAAGACGTAACTGTCATTATATCTAACAAAAATGCTACAAGGCGGAGTGGTAAACGTACAAATCGTATAGCTAGGATTCCGACTGTCTGCACGACGTGTACTAGTCAGTCGCCAAGGTCAGGAAAAGTAGTACTTAATTTCTTATGGATGACGGTTCAACATTGTTGAAAGATTGCGCAGCAGGATGCTGACAGAAGATGGAAGAGAAGGACTAAACACTCAGTATCAGAGCAAAGGTGAACGTGAACGTCATCATAACCGCGAGCGCTCTCTTGTACGTGTTGGGCTTAGGCAGACTAGCCCCTGGCCAAACATAAGCAGGGATCCATTGTTCCGCCCACCATCAGCCAACATGGCAGCCACCACGCCTCACTTTTTACTGATACCTCATTCGCTGGAGCACATCAAGCATCTCCGCTTTGCCCATGGATTGCACTTGGAGCCCAACCTCTTGGCCACTCACTTAGCACTGCGCTGATGCTTCAACCTCATCGTCACTTCAACTGCCTATAATCATTTGTGCGCCTCTGTCTAGTCTTATTCTTGTGTTGACGGACTCATCAAGTTGCGCTGTATTATCACCCTCTATTACATCTACCACGTTCATCTGACACTGCTGTTCTCACCACGAGCAAACATTTGCCTCACAGACTTGCCTCACAGTCGCGATTCGTGAAGCCCTCTACTTCACTATTTCAACAGAGTATGCGTGCATAATTGCTACGACTCTGTCGTTTGCTATGGCAGCTAGTGACGAGAGTGCCAGAAGCGCCGGCTCCTCTGACCTATACGATTCAACGTCAGAAATCGAAAAAGAGCCTGGCGAAGAGATACACATTACCGAAAATGTGAAGCGCAAAGCAGAGGATTCTTCTAGTCCTCCACAGAAAAAGCGAAGGCTATCTCAGGGCACTTCTCGCCCTGAGAGTACTCCTGTTCCTTTCTGTGTCAATCTTCCGCCAGATATCTGGCAGAATGTATTTTCTTATCTTCATCCTCAAGACCTCGGTCGACTTCTCCAGGTCAACCGTGTTTTCAATTTGTACTTGACAAGAATTCGCGATCTGTCCGGGAAAGCCTATTTGACTTTTCCAAAGTTGCAGACTTCTGAGGCCGTTTGGTCTAATTCTCGCAAATCTTACGAGTCTCATTTTCCGAAGCCTTTGATTGGAACAACAGAGCTGGATATGTGGAAACTTGTCAAAGGTCGTCGCTGCCAATTCTGTCATAAAATAGGCCAGCCTCAAGGTAATAGTACCTGGGACAGAGGTCCAGGCCGCACTGGGGTTCGGATTGTATGGGCTTTTGGGATTCGATCGTGTGGAATGTGCTTGGAATCAAAGTGTCAGAAGGTAATCGATTCTATCTAGTCGCATCGCCAGCTTACTTACCTTCATAGGATACGTCTCTACTCATGTCAACTGCTTCGCCGCTTCTCCCTGGCCTTCCCTTCATCTTCTTGACGCAAGACCTGCACGTCGTACCTGCATCTACACTGCACCACGCGTCACCGCCACCAACAATACAATTACGCAAGTGCTATTATACAACGCAAGTGGAACAAATACAGGAGGAATTCATCGCTGCGAAAGCGCTCGGGCAAGCAGCTGCGGAAGAGTGGCACAAAGGCCTTGATTCTCGAGGCAAGACACGGCTGTCCGATGCAGAACGCTGTGAACGTTGGGAGATCAATCATGTGCAAGCGCCCAATACGAACAATAAAGTTGGAGCAGCAGCGAAAGCCGATGCGCCTGCAAATATCGCAACTTTACCTGTGTCGACGAATCCTGACCCTCGTTTGTGGCATACCTCTGCCCCCAACTCCCAGCATCCAATATATTCGCCTGCGCCGACTGGATTCGCAGGTCCCTTCAACGCGCCCATACCTATATACAACGGTCCAAATCCTTACGCGTACGGGACTCACTCAAGTTCGTCCTACCACTAGAATCATTAGGAGAAGACCAAAGCGAAGACTAACGATCATCTAGTGCAACATCCGATGCCGCAATCACAGCCGCCATACATCCCAAACTCCTACACACCCACATATCAGCAAACTCCCTACGCTCCACCTCCCCTTCCTACGCATCCTGCCCAAAGGCACGATAGGTCATTTCGGGATGTGACAGAGATGAAAGCTCTACGCCGCGCAGATATTGAAAGACGATGTGAGGCGCTTCACCCTCCTATCGCTCCGAACATCCTTCGACATATGGATTCTTTCAAAGCCGCCATGCAGATTACTACCCCGATGACAGATCGTGGCTGGGAGATGCTGAAGCCCAAGCTAATTGCGCAACGCGAAATAGCTGAGGAGAAAGAGCGTCAAGACGCTGCTCACAAATCTTTGGTCCAGCACAAAGTCTCTGATCGACGTCAGCAAGAGATCAGCCAGAGGGAACTGAAAGAAATTACGGATAGAGAATGGGAGGAAGCTCAAAAGCCTCTAAGAACACAACTGGGGCGCTTTGCTGACGAGATTTTAAAGCAGTGGGATTTTGGAAGCAAAGTCACGCGGGAGACTGCTCCGCAGTTTGCTGCGAATGTCATCCTGCACGTACGCAATCGTTTTGTTGAGGAGAGCGAAGAGCCTCACACAGCATCTGAGACAGAGTCAAATGATACTAACTTATCACGGCGTAAGCTCATTCTCGAGAATATGAAATGGGTCTTCGATCATAAGGTTAAACACATTACCGACAAGTTTCGAAAAGAACTTTTTTTATGTAACGGATGTGAAGGAAATTATAAACACTATGGCTTTGAGGGTGTAATACAACATTACGCCGCAAAACACACTAGCACATTGAGTGTTGGCAATGTTGTTGTCGCCTGGAAGGAAGCTGAGTGGCCAGAGGAATCTCCTTTCATACCGGATCCCTCCGCCGCGAAGGTCTCTCAGCAATTCGTTTCGAACTTTCCTGCGGCGTCCAGAGGAGCAAGTATTACACCCCAGATGTTCGCGCATATGCCAAGACCCCTATCCCAGGCCAGTCCTATGTCGGGCTATGGCCAAAATGGAATGTATGGACCATTCCAGCCACCTCCAGGACAACCTATAATTCCAGGCTACAGATATGATACTCACACTATGCAACAGATGTCCCTTGGCGTTGGACCGTCAGGACAGTACTACCCTGGATCTCCTCCTATGCAACAGGGGCCATCTCCATTCCACGGATCCACCAGGCCTCCGGACCAATTAACTTATAGCCCTTCTCAAGTTAATGATAACGGGATTCTCACTAGCAATGCATCGAACAGGTCTAGCTCGCCCCAGGCTCAACCTCCCCAGAGTGTGCAGAACGTCCCAGCTAAAACACCAGGCTCTCCTCAGGTACATGCCGTGGTGGAAAATATCTCTGATGAACAGGTAAGCGTCTTTGCTCGGACCTTCATTGATGTCTGGTCCACACTATCCGGTGTTGGAGATCTACCAAACTCCGTGAGGCTGTACGTTACCATCAATGTTGCTTCTTTATCCTTTCAAAAACGTAACGGTCACTGGCCTAGTATTGATCTATTCGTTGAGGCATTGGAGCGGAATCCTCTACTTACCCCGCACAAGCACTCTGGAGGCCTACAGTGCAAGTCCTGCCCAGATGTGAATGTCGCACGTACCAATCCGCGAGGTTTCCCTATCTTTGATGACAGCATCGGGTTCAATGTTTTATCGCTGGCATATCATTATAAGCATGAGCATTACCGGAGCAGATCGTCGGACCATGGCTCCGAGGGAGCTTCCAGTCAGCCAGACTGGATAATGAATTTTGTCTTCTTGCCACGCGAAAATTTCATTGTAGACCTGGCGCAAGCGGAAGGAATGGACGACACAAAGATTAAGCTCATCCGAGAGGTCTTTCCTAAACTCTTCACTATGGATCAGCCAAAGGTGTCGACGAGTGCACCCGGCGAGCCTTCTGCTCGTCAAACAATGACAGTTTCTACCGTTGAGGATGATAACATGGCACAGCGTCGTCCGGTAAGACTTATAGCACCCGCTTCCGGGGGTTCTGGTGAGGATTACTCTCCGCAATCTGGATCTCCACAGTTTGGTCCCGACGAATATGATCCTCGTCGGCCTGCCATGGACCAAAATGCTCGTTCCTATGTGCGTTCCCATGCCCGAAGACGTCCATATATGGTCCCTGGAGAAGAGGACTTTCGAGAGCCTGTTTACTACGTAAGTTTGATTCTCCCGCGCCTCAGATACTGCATGAAGACTGATCTTATATGCAAAGGTTCCAAGGGGGTCATACGAGGACGAATATACCTCTCGTCGTGGATACTATACGGAAGAGGATCCTTGGATCCCCGTGCGGACTGGAAGTGCGGGGCGTCGCGTTCGTCAAGACCGTCAATACGCACCGAGGGACCATGAGCGGTCTCATTCTCCGAAACCAATTGCTGAACCAGTCCCAGACCGTCGGCTTCCGTCCGGACAATCGTACATACGCCCGAATGTTCTGGATATGGACGAGACCGCTGCCGCAGAGTTAGCCAAGGAAACTGCTGCAAACAAAGGACCAACTTCACCCGAAGGAGCTGAAGGACCCGAAGGCGAAGCGGACAGATTTTTAAACGATCTTCTCAATTCCCGTGACGACCTGGAGCTATATAAAAGTCAGGCGGAAGAACGAGATCAGGCCCGGGAGGAAGCGCTCCGCGCCCAATGGGAAACTGAGCGTAGACCAGAAGAACCGGAGAACAGCTTCAGTCCCAGGGAGGCTCGCATCTATCGTGACGGCCTGCCTGCGACGCATACTGGCGCATCAACAGCTTCATCACACGTACGTGGCCGGAGATCGGAAGACTTTCATACAGGTGGACGTGGAAGGTCACCAGACCTGCGCGGAGAATACCGACCAAGACCACCGGCATACCGTCGTCGGGAACGCTACGTGGAACCTGTCCCCGCATCTCGGTATGCTCGTTATATGCGTGTTTATCGAGAGCGCGAAGAGCCTGGTCCTCCGGCTCGTCCCCCACGACCACAGAGCAGATATGAGCGGTACGAAGCTACAAGACGACAAATCGAGCGATCACAATCACCTTCACGCAGAGTGTCAGAAATGCCAGAGAGTTTTCGAGAGCACAGTATCAATCCGGATAGATCAACACAAGTCTCACCTCATGAGCCAACGCCTATGTTTGAGGACAACTATTCTCCTGCACCACCTCTGCGGCGATATCGTTACGCCGAGCCAGCACCCACCACGTATCTCGATGAGTATGGTCGTCGAGTGCAGATGATTCCTGTTCATGAACCTCACTACGCACCCCGTAATCACCGATATGTCAGTGACTCTCGCTACGAATACCTCCCTTATGAGCGAGGTCATAGACAGGAGCACATATATTACGAACCCGCACCTGTTCCTGTACCTGGATATGGTTACCCTCCAGAGAGACGGCCTTTTGTTCCACCAGAGAGGGACGGAATGTCCTACGAACCAGAATTACAAGTAAAACCGGAACCTGCGGCCACACCGGCCTCTTTTGTAGAGCATCCTTAGTATCTGCGTCATTGCTTTCTTTCGCACGTTCTTAAGTGGACTGTTACAATTGGATGAGATCACCGTGTTTGATCACAAGTCTTGTACATCAATTTTGGTAAGCGCGGAGTTTGGCGATTGAACTGGCCCGTTCCAGATACCACAGGACCATCATATCTTATAGGCTATTTTCATATGACCCGATAACGATTATATGCAGTAATGTACCCTGACGTTGCTGAAAGTCGTTCCAAAGGACAGCGTGTCGTCTCCGTAGACATCTCGTAATGTTTCTCTCTTCGTTTACTATACTTATTCCTCCAAGCATGAATTGCTAGTCGAAATGTTAGTCGATATTGTCGAAGCGTAGTATTGAGCATAGCTATGCAAGAAAACGCGTCTGTGACATCCTTTTATCTATAGTATGTTCATGTTTGTGGCTTAATTCTATAATCATAGCAAGACATATTACGACAAGAGCAAGATGGCCACTGCATCTTCTCTGAAAAGGGTAGTACGTATAAACTCATGTAGGAGGTTTAAGGGGTTTTCCGTTCCTCGTTTACCTGACAATGCATCTCACATCGGGGGACCTGCATAACATAGCCGCTATTACGTCAATATTATGAATTTTTGAAATAACAATGCCTAGTATACCTTGCTCAATGACTATTTCGTGTTGCAGATGTATATCCTTCGTGTGCAGAACTCCGTCAAGAATAGAAACCAATCAATACGCAGAACCCAGACCCTGCTCCCCTAAAGCCCCAACATAACTGTTGCAAGCCCTCCCAAAACTGTACCCGCAGCTACCGTTACCGCTCGCACAAAATTCATCCTCTTCCAATTCGCCAACAACTCTCCTATCCTCTCCTCACTTCCTACACCGTCTCCCTTCGCGCCGCGCTCCGCCTTCTCCGCCATGCCAATCAATTCGTCATTGGCCCCAGGTCGCATCACTAGAATCGTATAGGGCGCAATCGTAGGGACCAAGACCGCCGCCGCGCCATAAAGCATGCTAGGCGTGACAAGTCTAGTAGTATTTCCCAGCTGGCGCGAGGCATAGCTAAGGGCGCCGAAGCCGCCAGCGCAAGCGAGTGCGAGCACAGGGGCAGTGGAGGCACCGATTGAGTACATGCGGCGCCATTGCTGGGTGAGCAGCTCAGGCGGGGCGAGGTAAGAGACGGACTGAATACCGTACCAACTGAACGAAAATATGAAACCTGTGATAGGGGTGAGTGGAGTGTGGGAAAGGGGGATCATGGAGCTGCAAGTCGAACTGACCAGAGAGGAAGGCAGAGCCAGTGAGAGTTGCGAGGCGCAATGTGGCGAGGCCTATGTCTTGTTGGAGAGCGAGGGAAGACATGGTTTGCTGAGTCTGGCGTGTGATGCTGAGAGGTGCTGAGATGGCTTTATGCAAACTAATATCACGTGTTGTTTGATGTTGGATTGTGGATGGTTGTTGTTGGATTGTTGGATACTCGGATGCGATATCGGCCAGGTATTGATGGGCTGATATTGTGAGTAGGAATTGATGGGCTGATATGGTGAGTAGGAATTGATGGATTTGAGGATTGGAAGGTGTATTAACGAAGCTCTCCGACGTGCTTGATTATATACTTAAACCAGAGTCCGGTTTTAGATGTTTAGGTGAGGATTCTCGTATCGCAGGAATCGCCGTTTTTAGCTTAGTGGGAATCTTCGGGCTTTGAGTTGATGCTTCGGCTTTTGGATTCCGGCCCGTGACTTAAGTGAAGCCGAGGCCAAACTTCTTACTATCGGACTATCCATACCTCGTCATGCAACAGCCTTTTGTGCGCTTGTTCAATTCGTAGGTATGGTTCGCCTACATGTGCATGATGGGTATCGGTTGACTTGATATGCTTCCCTCTATGTCGATGAAAGATCTACGTAGGCACCTCAACACCAGACGGTGTACTTGTGTGGTTCTACGGAGTTGTATGTTACACAAGTGGAACCCGCCAGTATGCACAGAAAACGATGGTAGTCGGGTCCTCATTATTATGAGTACCATAATCCTGATTGCTGTGCACGTTAGTGGTGTCTACTCGCAGGTAGTACTGATCTATACACCAGGCTATTTGAGGAATTTGCTTGCGAGGCCCAACAGACCGCTGCCAGAGCTACCTCCGGAGCCACCCATCTCAGACTTCATGTAGAACTTCAACGCCATTTGAGCAGCTTGAGCGACAGCATCCTGTTTGGTGGCTTGCGGGTGCTATGTGTATGATTAGTACCATCCCTGACGAACCATAAGGTATACGTACCGTATTGCCCTGAGCACTCTGTTGATCGAACAGCTTCGCCGCTTGTCCCATAGCCATACCGATGAAGTTGCTCTGCGAGCTCGAGCCATGGCCACTTTGTCCTTGTCCACCATTGTACATCTTCAATGCCTGCATTGCAGCTGCAGCACCCAAGTTACCAGCACTAGCTTGTTGATTGCCATTACCCTGTCCGTAAAAGTTCTGGTGCTGCCTCACAGCATCGTCTTCATCCACGTCCTCATTCTGAAGCTGCTGCTTCTTTCCAGATAGCATGCCTAGTGCAGAGCTGAAGAGACTGCTGTCACCAGAATCTCCAGCGTGCTGAGAGGCTTGGTGTGCAGCACCGGAGTACTCCTCATTGTTGTCACCTCCATATCCACCTCCGCTGTATGATGTGCCAGAGTTAGAACCCATGGGTCCTTCATTGTGACGCCCAGAGCTGTTGTCGTCGAAGCGCTTGGACGAGTCGTAGTAGTTATCTCCAGATTGACCCCCACCTGTTCATCTTCGAGTCAGTGCCCGCTATATTAGTAGCAGTAGGGAATATTTAATATGCTTACCGCCATAGAGATCATTCTGGCCCTGGCGCCCGCCTTGACGTGGAGGTTCGAAGTCATCAGCCTGGCCACGACCTCCTGCACCGGCGCCACGGAAATTACCACCTCCATAGTCCTGGCGGTCATCTCTGCCACCACCAAATCCCTCTTCTTGACGACCTCCACCATAGCTGTCTTCGTTACGACGGTCGCCGTACTCGTTTTGGCGACCTTCGCTGTGGCCACCTCCTTGGCGGCCTCCATAGTTGTTGTTGTCATTGTCGTTGTAAGACATGTTGTAGAATGTTTTGCAAGTTGAAAGGTCACGCCTAAGACGTGTCAGTCTGTATTTGGAAGGGGAATGTATGAATGTTTGTTAAGGTAAACTGAAAGATGGTTCACAGGCACCTTAGGCTTGGTAATATCTTAAGGAGACCAGTAAGGAGTACAAGGTATATTGGAAGCCTTCGCGATAGCTTGACAATATGAATCGTTATAAAGCTGTAGAATTTTCTTACTTACGGTTTGACTGTGAGATAATTCAGGACTGAAATTCCAGTTGGGTTACAGGCTTGAAGCCAGCATATATGGGCGTGACGTTTGAGTACTTGTAGCTCATTGCTGCCCCGCCATTGCTGTCCGGCGCTAGTACCTGGCCAGCAAGCTTCTTCTCGCGTCAAGTCAACAGAACAGACGCATCATTCTGAAGTGATAGGCCAATCATGACGAAGTGCAATATGTACAGTTTTGGTTGAGACAAGATTGTACCAAGTCTGCATGGTAGGGAAAATTCAAGCTGCCTCTCAGATGAAGCCGGCACGTCATTCGCCCGGTGCTATCAGAGAAGGAAATTCATTTAGGCCGTACCCATCGAATTTCGTCGGAAAAGATGCCGATGAGAACCGTCGTTTCCGACTTGGCGCATGAGCACGAAAGGGGGTCGTCGGCTAATGCAGCCTGTAATTCTGCGGAGATTGAGAGACTATGAAAGCTTACGATGGTGGTAGATGTTATTGTCTTGTGAGCTACGCGTACACATATCATGTATGCCATTGGCTCTATGTTGAGGTTGAGGGGATGCTCTACTAAAAATATCAATTGTACCCATCTATGTATCGTGGGGTATCCGTGCGTAGACTGATCATTTAATGCTTTTAGCCTATATAGAACAACGAAGAGCTATCTCGGTGACGGCTACATAATTTTTAGGTGGCTACTTATGGTCTAATGCGGCTTTAGTTGAGTAGTGTCAACGAGATTACAGGTTCTGTCACTCAAAACCCAGTAACTATAGGCTGAATCGTACTCCTACTACTAATTTAGATTTATACCATAATCATGAAGCCAACATCATTCAGCTTTGTTCCATCCATTATACATAAGTTTCGACATCTAGGGGCTCTGCGGCAAACTCTGTCTCGTTTTCAGGAGATATACAGCTTCTTTGATTAGCTATCTGTCTACTGCGTATATGGATCGTCGCACGACATACAGTAATCCTCATGCAAGCGGTTGAGCCTGTACGAGACGTGTTATATTGAACGACATCACACCTGACCTTGGGAAGACAAATACATGAGTATGCTTCATGGATATGGGACATTGCAAATGCTGCGAGCAGCATGAGGCAGTCTTCGAGAATGGAATTAGCATGCCGGATAAAGCTTAAGAACGCGATGTTAGTAACAGACGGCCCAGGAATGCAATTACAGGGGCACGCTAGCCGCCTGTGTTGCAAAATAACACGTTGTCGGGGAAAACGGAAATGGGTGCCCGCCAAAACACGTACCACCGACCGTCTCCAGCAGCGACCCAACTTAACAGGCTATCCATGCTGGCGGTCAGGACTTGCAGAATGACTACATGACCTAATCCTGGTCTATTATTTTTCTCGAAAATCACCGACATAACCTCAGCTCCGATCACTTAATACTCCTATTCTGTTCCAGTCAACCTTGGTTTCCCGACCGCTCTTTCCTGAAACCTCGATCCGCCGTAAGCAGGGGCTATCGTGCTTCCTGGATGACCTCCAAAGTAATACTATGACGGGCAACTGGCCTGAAGATAGTCCTCCAGCGTCTCCCTCGCCGCCTGGAAACCACTATAATATGACTACAGCGTTGCGAAAAGTCTCTGGACCTACACAGCCTTCGCCGCAGGCCACCCCGAATGCCAACTCACCCTCTGCTACTCTGTCGCCTCTATCCAATGGCCTTTCTTCACCAAACGCGCCATGGGGTCCGCCTGTGACCATCGGAGCCAGTGGAAAATCAGGGAAATTCATTGAGCGGCTACAAAACGAGAATGCATCACTGCGGCGGGATTACAATGTCGAGCGATCAGCTAAAGAGGAGGCACAAAAGAGCTTGAGTACCACAAAAGGCATAGAGGCGAAGTTTCGGGCGGAGAACGAGCGGCTAGAGATGTTACATACCACCAATACTCGTGCGATAGAGCGAAAGAATCGCAAGATCGATGAACTAAAAGCTGCATTAGACGCAGAAGTTACAAGACGGCAAGCAGCAGAAGTGAGGGAACAGCAAATGGCTACTGAACTAGACAACACTCATGCAGAAAAGAACCAAGCGGTGTCTGAAGCGCATACAAGGGAGATACGGGAGAAGGCGAACGCGGATGCTTTAAAAGATGGCTTGCATAGAATGCAGACACGCTACGAGCGCCAGGTCCATAACATGACCAAGGACCTTGGTGCGATAACGAAGCGTGAGCAAGAGAACAGGAAGCGTATTATGGCGCTCGAGGTGTCGACTGATCAAGGGAGACGCGAAATCAATAATAGCGACGAGATTGTCCACAAGATGGGCTCCCTCTTGAATACATACAAGGCTGAGCATGAAACCATGGTGGAGAGACTGTCAAAGGAAGCGGAAGACTTCCGCAACGCTACCCATGAACGAGTCCAGAATGGAGAACGCCTTGTCCGGGAGATGCAGGAAACGAAGGACAAGATGAACTGGACTATGAATCTCGACAGACTTCAGAAAGAAAGCAATAACCCGACTAGCCATGGGATTACCAAGAGCTCGAGCAAGAGCAAGGGAAAGTCAAAAAGGTGATTCATATATACGAATTTTGTTCAAGAGGAACACAGGCGCTGGGATATGACCGTCACGACCAATCGCAATCATATAGAGCGCATAGTGAAAGGAGTTGGAAGCTTCTTTGGGAGGACGCATCGAACATTATTGTCAACCATTGTTGTCTTCCAGTCGAATCTACTTTCATTGATGAAATCCGTCCAAGCGATACCATTAAGTTGAGATATACCAGGGATTCAGCTCCAGGCACAAGTTTCAGAGGGCAAATGACAAACCTTTACAACCATACCTGTACCCCGAGCCATTTGATGCGAGTTCGTTTACTGTACAGTGGTGGTCTGCGGTATTGACTGGAATTTCCATTGTCCAGTATGCTGACAGTTTGCCGCATTGTTCTGCCGCTCTAGAACGGACCGGTGTCCGGGTATTCGCGTTAATGCCACGCAACGAGTACAAACTGGTCACTATCACTTTCGAGCACCGCTAGGTATGTATGCTCCAGCTTGATAGCTTGAGGATATTGGCACCGCTGTACCGTACCTGTGCATGTTCGCTGTCCGAAAAGGGTGATCGCACAAAATAGCGTCCGTACCACACACCAAACCGACCATGGTGCGCGGGCAACAGGTTACCATGCGATTACGCGTCTCTCTCACTGTAAGGCCCGTCAAAGGAGCAAACTTATCATGTCGAGGTATTCGATGAACACACCAATTATCAGACATGTAGGTATTGATGTAACACCGTGGTCCATCAACGACTCGTGCCGCATGTACATAAGGCGGATTGACGGTTGAGGCACCAACAAGCAGAACTGTCAGGTCCGTGTTCCGTCTACGTCCGTCAGTCAGCTTACCGTGTCTACGTAACACTTCGTCTGCATCACGTTCATGTTCTGATTGTAGCTGTATATTCTCGATAGAAGCATTAATCATCCTGATGCCTTGGATCCTCAAAATCCTCAATCTCAGTCCTAGTAGGAGAGAACTAATTCTAAATACGCTTACAACTCCGAGTTTAGATAGGCCTATAGATTCAGATAATTCTACTGCGATGGATTATAGACGACTCTGCCCCCTCCTGTAGCCTTTCACTACTGCGCAATGCAATAGGCAGTGTCATTTTTACACGTATGCTAGAACCTAATAATCTTATTGTCTCATCACAACCACTTTCAACGCGCTCTCTTATCGTTGCCGCGTTCAAATCAACTATCCGTACTTCTGAACCCATGCGACCGACACATCGCTCCGTCTCTTGATCCGCAAGGCCCCCAGGCCGTATTACGCACCACGAACGGACTGACTAACACGTCACCCGCATGCGTTCCCAGTGACCGCATCGCTAGGTAGATGCGCACCACGCGTTCCTATCAAGCACGAAACATCAAACGGACGACGGTGTCTCTGCACGGGACATAATATCGTCACCGCAGGGACAATCCCAGGCTAGACTGAGCAGACTGCTGGGGTTTATATAGACTCTGGGACAACAAAATTATGTATAAATAATGTCGCTGCCCACCCGTATGCTGAAATTCGGAGAAGACATATAGCGACGAATACAGGACTGGGAGAAATTGTACCGAACAGTCGTCTCCGGTGATCCAGCAGCAGTTTCAACGGGAGTACTACGCGCAGCCACAAGCCTATCAGAAGAAGCTTTAGCACCTAGGGGTATATGGCACAGATCAGTTCAAAACACCAACAGCCTCAATCCTCCCAAGACACACCTCAGGCTCGACAGCAGAACCAGCAAGAAAGGTATATCCCGGCTTTTATCTAGCAGTAGACCCAGTCCGCTGACAGACCAAGGCCACTCAAGTCTCCTTCTGAAATGTCTCCATTGTTCGGAGAAGTAAAAGCGAAGCTCGGCGGGAAGGGTAAAAAGCACCAAGCTCTACCCAGTGACGAAGCTGAATTTGAGAAACTGCGTGAGAAGGAACAAAAGAAAGAAGAGAGGAAACATGAGTATGATAGACTCGAATTGGGGAATCGGACCAAGTTCGGAATGGGAAGAGGCGGGATGCAGATGGGTGGTATGTAATAGAAGGTGAGAAACATGGTTGTGTAAGACCACACTACACCGGATATTATGATGAGCTTTATGTTGATGTTTTGAATTCGATGCTATGTTGATTATATACAAACCCTTGGCGACTTAGGCTAGAGATGTTCTACCCTCTTCACAAAGTGAATGCCGTGTTGAACTCGACTGTTAGGGATTATTGGAGGTCGACCGTGGCTTTGTGCTGATTGGTTGCTCTGCTGCCAAAGTTCCGTCCCTCAATTGTTGCAGCTTCTTTTCCTGGGCCTCATAGTTTTCCTTGGTGTATTTAGCGACGGTCTTACTTATGTCGAGAATTCCGCCAGCCGGTATGTTGCATTCGGAGTGAGCGTGAATCATCCTGTATTGATTAATAAGTTTGGAAGTTCAATTATGGTTGCCGTGTTCAGGTCCGAATGTTCAAGGTGTAAATGGGCACACGTACTCTGGTGTCTTCAGGTCGATATTTGTGTTTGGTTTCTGCCCGAGAAACAAATGACGGTCTGCTGCAGCCTGCTCAACAAGGTTTGTGTGCAGTGTATTTATTCTTGCCCATTCTTCTCTTTTCGTAGTCCAGGAATCGATCATTCTGGTCAGCGCAGGATCACTGCCGTCGGCCCCGGATTGTGAGAATGTGTACAGAAAATAAAGACCGGGGACAGTGGCCAGGCCTATGTAGAACTTGAGCTATGAAGGTATCAGGCTATCAATTCGAGATTGGAGTGGATTTCATCAAACGTACCCCGAACGACTCGCTGACTTCTTCGTGATGGTGACTATCGTGGGCATAACGACGGCATTGGCGAGACAATTGCAACCTCGCAGCACGCGCTGTCGCAAAGGAAGTTCGTCGTAGAGCCTGCATTGCAGCAAAGGTATGTGTCGCGGCTGGTAGTCCTCGTCGTTGTTCGACCAGTACGTAGCTCCAAAGTGGAGGTGATGCTGTCGCGGTACAAGGAAACCGAGGTTTAACCGCGCTAACAAATCATAAACGTCCATTTACTACGCCAACTTTATTTAGCCAACAACTCCGAGGGCTCGTAAACAAATGATCTCCTTTTAATACAAACATCTGTGATCACAGACTCTATATATAAGGTTTGAACAATCTATGTGAACTATACCAGATGATATATGACTAATGAATAGCTCATGCTTTGGCGACCGTACAGGAATATGACGTAAATTCTCCGCACCCCTTTTTCTCAGTCGGGGATATCGAGCCTCTCCTGTTACCACATTCATGTATAATGAAAAGAGAACTAATTCTTAATTGAAGATCTAAGTTTTATGAAGGTTGAGTTCTATAATCGCAATCTCCTCTAGTCCATCTCATGACTTAGATGGAGGTGGTTGTTGTTATAGGTAGCATTGCAATGCGTTCTCTGACGCTTCTTAGAGATTCACTCTATCACCACGGTTCATAGAGAATTATCTACCTAGTGATACCAGAGATTACGATATTAGTTCACCTTATGCTTGGAGATACTTACGTAGCCTGAAGTGATTCAGTCTCATTGCGTCCATCCATTGAATTATGTAGTACTGAATTTATATCCCTAAAATGTCCATGAACAGTGTCGTATCGAATGGTGAACTTGTTCGGACCCAAGTTCGGTTCCCATTTGAGGGCCGTAGTGAATACTAGGAACGGGTGAGCCCTACTACGGTACGCCAACCGTTGTTTGTAGCAGGCAGAACATCGTGCGTTGCATAGTAGAGGCGTTCCGTAGCAGGTCAAAAGCCGCCAATGTAGCCGTGGCGCATGTTGCACAACAACAGTACCGGCGATAAAAGCAGTGGCCTGTTCTACTGGTGATAATATCGTCAGCACTTATCCTCGCATTCTTCTCTTCAGAACCAGTTCTCCCATTCATCACGATATAATAGCAATGAAAAAAGAAATTACCCATGCCGTGGGCAGATCGAAAGTCAAAAATATTGTGCAGCGAGAAGCCCACCAAGTCCTTGAAGACAGTCTATTGAACAAGCTAGACACCAATGTCGGACATAGTGGCTGACAGGTGACGAAGGTTCATGATTATGATTATGGTACAAGTCGCCAAACTCGCAGTAATGTAAATCAAACTAAGCATGGTCCTGGGAGGAATTTGGAAGGCTGTTCAAAGAGCATTCTGCTTAACGCTTTCCACAACAAGTGATTTCAGTGTAACGGCCTGCACCGGAAGGCAGTGAAAAGTTGTAGCCGTCTGGAATATGAGATATTTTGAGATCGCGAGTCGTGTTATGTTGTTAGCTTGTGAAATCCAGATAGTATTCCTACTTCGTATAAGGCCTTTCGTATTGCTCCTTAGATTGACTGAAACAGTTCCCGTGTTGGTGACAAAGTAGATGCCAAATGCGCTTGCCACAAAGCGCACAGTGTGAAGAATATGTAGAATGTATCGAGCTTTTGTAAAACCCAGCGACAAAGTCTATATTGTACAATGTACAGATGGTACTAATGGCAGGTTTCAAGCGGTGTACCTGCTAAATGACGCTGACGGTCGCTCATTATATATATGGCTCTTTCCCAGCACCGATTCTCTTCGGCTTCATCTGTCACTCATGCCGTCTTATTTGCTGCCTTCACCATAGGTAATGAGAGTGTCTAGGTCGACGTTTGGGTCATTAAGATCTGCTTTGCCTGCTGCATTGTTAGTGCTCTCACTTCAACTCCTTTTTTGGATCTTCCTACCTGCAGTCTGCGATTGAAAGCTCTGCGGTTGTGTTTGTTTCTGATATTCTTGCTTCGCCCTCGTAATTAAGCTTTGTTTTCGATCCCATTCTGCTTTGGCCTCGTGCGCTTTGTCAGAAGCAGTGATTGATCGTTGATGAGAGAAACCGTAGAAGATACCGACTCCTAGGGCAGACCACCGAAGCACCTAAACAATTGTATATTAGAAAACATTTAAGGATGAATATTCGAATAGCACGCTGAAAGGCAAATCATAGACGACGAGTCTCAATTGGCCATAAAAGAGCTTACATTGACACCAGCAGAAACCATCTTCGCTGGCCGGTAACTAATGACAGGAGTGGATGTGATAGCGCCAACAATCAATCAATGGGCGACTAGGAGATAGACTTGCGCTGCGAAAGTCGAGTACTACAGCGCAGATGGCAGTGATGGAGTATTCGGCGGTATGGAGGTGGTGTCCAAGGCTTTGAAGAAGTCGAGAGGCCAATGTTGCACGGACCGAGCTTGTCAAAAGTACCTTACTAAGCTCTAGTGCCAGGAGCCAGGAACTTTTGGCGGAGTTCAACATCATTCTCAGAATGAACTCGATGCGTTTGCATTTGTATCGTCCCTGTATGCATACTTCACTGAGTACGCTCCTACCTTGAAGGTCATTCGGATTGCCCACCTATCACCGATATCCACGGGCAAGGCCTGGTTGAACGTGCATCTTCTTGAAGCCTGCCAACCGTGTTAAGCAATATAACATGGAGCAACGCAAAGCCGAGATAGAAGCTAAAAGAGCGAGGCTTGCGGAGCTGAAACGGCAACGTGAGAATCGGCAGAAGGAGCTCTCAGCTTCCAGGCAAAGTATCGGGGGTACTGAAGACGTAGGAAGTCCACATGTTACCCTGAACTCAGATCTCGGCACTGACTTTTATCACAGTTGATACAGCCCACACCAAGCCGAGCAGGAAGTCGAAAAGAGCTAGATACTCTCATATCAAGTCTAGTCGGAGAGAGTAGACCAGGTTCCACAGGACCCGGCTCACCAGCAGGTAGAGGAAGCCGCCCGACCTCTGTTGTCAGTGCAGGGCAGTTCAGTTCCGATCAGCACGAACCTTCAAGTCCTCCCTCTACGCATAATGCTGCAGCACAGTCACAAATAAGCCCTACCAAGCCTCCACCCAACCTTACATTTGCGCCGTTGACGACAGTCTACGAAATCACAACGGACCCACAGCCAGAGCGTATAACCTATAGCAAGGGTGTTCAAACCTCGGATAGTTGGTCGCCAGCCAGACGCCGAGAATCGCAGACTGGATCGGATGGCGAGCAGTCACCCAGTCGGATGAAATCACCGCGCTCAAGCAAAAGGCTAAGCCGAAGAGAACGTGAGAGTTACGAAGAGGAGATCAGGCAAAATCTAAAGAAAGAGATTGAGGAAGAGTTGAAAGCTTTGCAACTCTCAGAGGCTGAGAGCGGGCTTCAGAACGAAAGCAGCACGTCTAAATTTCCGGCACGTGCGTTGACCGATGACGAACTTGTTGCCGTCAACGCCTCCGATGAATTCCAAGATTTTGTGGAAAAGTCTACGAAGGTCATTGAAAGGGCTCTGGATGAGCAATATGATTTGCTTGCAGACTATTCTTTGGGTGGACCGCAGGCTGCTGACGAGGACGATGATGAGCCTGGCGCAACCAGAGGCAAGAAGGGACGGAGAGTACGCGAGATAGCTCAATTTTGGGACGAGAGATGGAGTAAGAAGCGTGTGATTAGTGATTTAAGCTTCTCACCCAAATTCCCGGAACTTGTGCTGGCATCTTATACAAAGAATCCGTCGGCTCCTCATGATCCAGACGGTCTGATCCAGGTGTGGAACCTTCATATGCATGACCGACCGGAATATGTCTTCCATGCCCAGTCGGATATTCTGTGTGCGAAGTTCTCTCCCTTCCATCCGAATTTGATCATTGGAGGAGCTTATAGTGGCCAAGTACTCCTGTGGGACACGCGGCAAAAAGGGGCGCCTGCTCAGAAGACACCTCTGACGGGATCAGGGCATACGCATCCAATCTACTCTGTTGATATCGTCGGAACACAAAATGCGAACAATATCATCTCTTGCTCTACAGACGGCGTTGTCTGTGGCTGGGGCGTAGATATGTTGACCAAACCACAAGAGTCGCTCGAGCTCACCACGCCACCGCCAGCGAAGACAGAAGACATGGCACCGACATGCATGGCATTCCCGCAGTCCGATCCGACTTACTTTCTGGCGGGCTCAGAAGAAGGTACCATATACCCTTGTCACAGGTACGACCGCGCAGGTGCAAAGGCTGGAGTCGACACAAGGGTAGCGTATCGTGGGCACGCAGCGCCCGTCATGTCCCTCGATTTCCACCCATCTCGTGGAATAATTGATCTGGGTGACCTGGTGCTCAGTTCAAGTTTGGACTGGAGCGTGAAGATCTGGAAAGTGCGTCCACCAGCAGCGGCCAGCACCACGAGTGTGATCGGTACGGGTCAGGTCGTTAGCCCCTTACTGGACTTTGTGCGTGAGGATTTGGTCTACGATGCTAAGTGGTCGCCTGTCAAGCCTGGAGTTTTCGGTCTTGTGGACGGAGGCGGTAACCTCGAGGTCTGGGACATAAATGTAGACATTGAAGTCCCACTAGCAAAAGCAAGTCCGAGCGATAAGCGTGGCCTCAGCTTCGGCCAACGGAGTCTCAACAAGCTCGCATGGGAGCGCAACGAAGGCAAGAGAATTGCCGTAGGCGGCTTGGATGGAGTGGTGACGGTGTTTGAAGTAGGTGCAGATCTTGGAGGTCTTGACAATGTAAGAAAGGAAGAATGGACAGGTGTGAAGAAGCTTGTCAGTCGAATGGACAGTTCTGGGACGGTCAATGGCACAGATGGGAAGACGTGATGAACACTGGTGGAGCGAGTTATTCTGATACCCTTTTTAGCCTTAAATATTGCATGGCCTGGTGATCTTGAAGGCGCTTCATCCTAAACATGATATGAACTCCTGATTTGTTGTGTTCTCAACGACCAGCATCACGCAATCTGTAAGTCATGTCTGTTTGTTGTCAAACTGCGATCTTCAGATGGACAAGATATTGCGATGTGCACTACGCTGCGAGGCTCGATGTCTTGGGCGGGTACTCTGTACAGATACTACAGAAGGGCGCGTAATTATGGCTTCTAATAGAACTTTGGCTGTCTCGTTCTCTGTACTCTGCAGCTAAGTCGCGTAGTCACAAGCAGAGAAGCAGCAAAACGGAGAGACACAGTTTGTTGCGCCCCAATGCGCCTCGCTCGCCCCGCTGTAACTGAATGACACAATATACGGAAACGCCATGTTGAGTTGTAGCTACCCATAGTTTCCATGAGGCCTTACTTATTACTGTAAGGCTTGTACATGGTGCAGCAATTTCCCCCGTCCAATTATAGCAGACGCCACACACTGCACAGTCCAGAGACCGTCCAAGGCGCATATCCACATGCAACGGCTGTATGTCCCCTTTTCAGCCGGATGTTGACGGGTCTAATCCACGAAAATCTGGGGGATATAGGCCGCTGCGTCGAGGCTGCCTTGCGTGCAATGGGGCGGCAAAAGCTCGTCAAGAACGTCCTGGAAGCAGCCCAGTGCTTACGTCGCGCGGCACCGATAAATTGGCCCTGCTGCAGAAATTACCATGATTCTACACTGACAGTGGATGGTAATAGCCTTGCTCTTAAGCCGTGAATATTGAGCGACTTTCCGCGTCTTAGTGGTCTTGGAAGTGACAATTTGCCTCGAGACTGACAGTGCAAATTCTTGGACTTTGGCAAGCACCGAATCCCACCCAGGCCACCCCTTCTCAAAGGGCTGCACCAACACACGAACGAGCGAAAATGATAAGGCCGGGATTGCTCGCACCAAAAACTCCTCAAATCACGCATGAGACTGGATCTGGCTTAAGAGGCTGTGAGTGATTGGCGTTGTAATCAATTGAATTTCGCTATCCTACTCCAGACGGGGATTAGAAGCTGGAGGAGCCTCGCGCTGATTGGCAGGGTGCCTGAACTAACCCTCGCACGCTCACGACGCCCCCAGTTAGTGGCTTGATGGCCCAAGCGACCCCTGCCTGGGCACTATCCACTATCCCAACTCCGTTGCGGATTCATTTCCCACGGTAACAAAATCGCCGCCGATCGCCCTCCCTACCAACTCCACTGTCGTTCTTTTTAACCTGCGGCCTTGAATCACTTGTAGACTTCTTCGCTCAGTCCACTCTCTTTAATCCACAAGTACACCACTTGGATCGCTACTTCCAATTAACTCTTTAATCAACAATCATCTACCTCCACATTACAGCTTCTTCAAGCCATATATCCCAAAATGCACTTCCTCAGCAGTCTGCTTGTCGGCGCCACGGCTCTCGTCTCCTTCGTTGCCGCTCAGTCCAACACTCTGATTCTCACTGGTGTCCCCAATGAGGTCGAGGCCGGGCAGACCTACACTCTCACCTACGTTGCGCCTGAGATCGATGAGCCAGTGACCATCACTCTTCGCGAGGGTGACTCGGGCAACCTTAACACCATTGCTACTCTGACTTGTAAGTCCCTATGACTACACCACACAAGACATATCGTACACGTTTCGCTGACTTCATATACAGCATCCGCAACCGGTGGTACCTACCAGTGGACCGTCGCTGGTGACCTTTTCAACTCTGCCGATTACGCCCTCCAAATCACTCAAGGTGATCAGATCAACTACACTGGCAAGATCGCTCTGTCTGGTGGCTCCGGCGAACAACCAGAGTCGAGCTCATCCGATGCGCCTTCTTCGACTCCAACTCCAACTCCTTCGTCCATCGCATCATCGACTGTTCACAGCAGCGCTGTTGTCACTACTCCCATCACCACCCCATCACCCACCCATAACAACTCTACCATGATCACATCGGCAACTCCATCTCCCTCCAGCGCCGGATCACCCACGAACCCTGGCCAAACTACCGGTACTGGTCCGTCAGCTCCTACTGACACCGGCGCCGCAGTCAACCTCAAGAGCCCCGCCGCTCTTGTCTTGGGTGCTATCGTCGCTCTTGCTTACCTCCAGTAATTTACTGTTAAGGGGGAGCAGCACAGCGATTTGAGTTTATAGGTACTTTTATGGGTATTAATGGTGTGGGGTTGTTTCAACGTTTAATTGTTTGACATAATCATCAAGTCAGCCGGAATACGGCTCGCTTTGGTGATTTTCAATGTCAGTCTTTCATGGCCGAAACGGACGCTACGAAAGGAGCGGGGCGCGATTGGCGACAAACATTCGTGTGTGTATTCAAATATCTTGTCGTTATTCGACACCGAAAGGCATTGCATAGGAGTGCTGCTTTAAGATTGCTAATAAGAATCTCCATCAAAGCTATCATCATGCGTGCGACTGTGAATATGAACACAGTCGAACTCCGTTTGTGCTCAGACAGCGATGCTTGCCTGGGTTGCGCTGATTACCCAATGCCACCATCGTATGTTCTTTGACCAGGGCTTCTTTTCCATCTCTCAATCTCTTGCAGTCGTCGCACTACGATCTAAATCCACAGTCGCACAGTACCACTCATACATTTGCTCGTTGCTCGCACTGCATCATATCCGCAACATTGTTGCGTCACGAGCCGCATCGCTCCGGGCACGGTCGGTCGTGCAGCAACGCATGAGCTCCCCCGCGTTTCACCATTTGCTGTCGTCCCATATCCTTGGGTCTGCGTGTACAGACAGTATCACAGATCCGATACACATATGTTCTCATATCTTTATATGTGCATATATTTGTATGGAGATAAAACCATCTACGCTATACATACATACATACCTCCAACAGCCCAAGTTCCAGAATGATGATTCCACGATATGGCATCCAATCTAACAACCAAATAGCATGCGCGCCATCACATACATGGGACAACGCACCGCAGTCACGTCATCTGTTCACCTGACGCTGTCGCGCATATAATACATATAATGCAAAGGAGGGGGGGTAGGGGTCGGTCAACTCATCAGAGGCGTGGCCGCGATTACGTCCTACAATAGAGGCGCAGCAGCAGTAGGCAGGCAGGCAATCAATCAATCACTTACACTTACATACTTACAGTCCAGACAACACACAGCAAGTGGCAACTGCGAAAGACCGGGTTTGCGATTGGTGCCATATACGAACAAGGCATCCGAATCGAGCGGTGCAGAAAGTGGCGCGTCTAGAACACTACTCGCTGCTGTAGCTGACCGGACACCGTACATCAAGCGGACTACATGCATAGCCCATGCATGCATGTACAATCGGATTTGAACAAGATCATGATGAGGTGAGGTTGACTAGTGATCAACAGATCATCAGCCCCAGAGGGAGTCTCGCCACGCGAGCCGAGTCCTAAATAGAAGGCTACCTTTTCGGACCCAAGATAACAGCAAATTCTGCGGGGAGCTTTTGCGGGATCTCCTCTTGCGTAGTTCTGGTACACTTCTTTGTCCAGGATGTAGCGGAATGGGCCGCGCACGCAGGGGTGACAGACGAATGACGGTTAGTCGACCGGAGGATTTTGAGAAAGGTTCCTGATCATGAGGATGCTCTTCATCGAGATTCTGACCATTCGGTCGCCAAATATATACACATGGACATATGTACAAGAGTGTATGGTGGATGGGAGTCTATAGTTATCCGACCAGTGAAGAAGAGCCGAACATCACCAGCCACTCTCGCCGTCGGGCTTGAATAGACCATTTTTCTTCTTCTCTGTCGCCCATCGTTCGCACCACGTCTTCATGGTTTCTCTGCTCTTTGGGCTACCGATGTTGACCGTAGGAATGATTTTGTCGATACGCAGCGCGCAGCAAAACATGGTCAGCTCTCGGAAGCTACTGTGTTCACTGTACGGCACTCCAAAGCAGCTTGCGCGACTGGTGCTGCCTCGCTGCGGGACAAGTTCGCTCATTGAATAGCTACTCTTCCAGTTCGACGAATGCAGAACTGACTGTACTGAAGGACTAGCAATGAAGCGGTTGTTTGGCGGTCGGTAGTTCCACCCTGACGGACGAAAGCCAACCGCACGACTAAATTCTGCTCTGTACTCCTTAAGATAGTCGTCGAGTGTTTCGGCGCGGATTTCGAACAGGGGCGTCATGTGAACTTGGGCTTCGCGAGGATTTTTGGTCAGAAGCGAGTTGAGTTCGGGATCTTCCAGGGCAGCACAAATGCGCTGTTTGCCAGGTGGTGCGTAAATCTTGCTCTTGAGTGCTCTTGCAATGCCCAAACATATACGCTCCTTGCCGATACTGTACGTGCCAACCACAACTAGAAGACGGCCCCTCGGCTTTCCTTCATTGTTTGTTCCGATAGCCATGGCATCCACGTTCTCGCTATCGAGAGGTTCCGTCTTGATGGTATCTTCATTCTTTTGTACGAATTTGACCATACCCTGTCCCGCACGCTTTCGCTTCATTTGCTCCCATCCGTCTTCATCGTCGCGCTTCATTTTGTTCAGACTCACACACATGTCTGCACAGGCTTTGATCACCTCTTCTTGTGGCGGAAATGCATACTTTGGGTTGAGATATGTCGTGTCAAGGTAACAGGCATCGATCTTCTGCTGCCCGGTCTTATTGCCAAGAATGTCGATGATATCTGGCCGTAGTAAAGGATGTTCAATATGTGCCCGACATGCTCGGAAGTCCCCACAGTGTAGCACACGTTGAGTCTTAGGATTCTTGCCTTTACCGGTCACCTTTTCGAAAAGAAAGAGTGAACTTCCGGGACAGTGATTTGCAGGTATCATAGTCACGAATGCACCTTGCGTCCCAGGCACTTCGATCTTCTCCTCAAATTCAATGGGTACCACCCATTTGGAGTCAACGCGGAGTTGTTGCTTGACAAGATTTGCAGTGACTTTACTGCAATAGATCGGGCCATGCGACCATGATGCGGTCAGTCCGATATAATGATCGCTGTGGAAGTGGCTCAGAAAATATGCTCGGCATTCGCTCACTGCTCCATATCGAAATGCATCGACACAGATGAAGAAGCCCGGCATGATCTTGTAGAAAGGGCACGTCCTTTGATAGGCAGGCTTCCCACGTGATTGCTTCTCTGCAGCAGCGGCGGTTGCCCACGCTGCATCTTCTGTATGACTTGTCATCAATTTTGAAAATGCTGATGTAGACCCTTTCGGTGCTGGAGCTGCTAGCGTAAATGGATTTGCCTGGCCAGGTTTGGCTGGTCGTACGGGACGTTGGAATTGGCGACCGCTTTCTGCTTTTACAGTCGAAGCTGAAGGACGCGTGGAAATGGTATTCTGTGGTAAGGAGGTAGAGTTTCCGTCGAGACAATTGTTTACATGTATGGTTATGTCTTCTTCAGCGACACCGGCCATACCAACGCTACACACAGGACATGTCGGAGCGTCCGCATCATAATCCGAGGATAGGACCTCTGGCAGCACCTCTGGGCGTGGTTCTTCCTGATTCTCATCTCTCTCATAATTATCTTCTGCCAATTCCAGAAGTCGTTGCTCCTCCATCCACCTACGTTCAACGTTCTCCTCTCCTTCGAGGAAATCATCGTCTTCGAAATCGTCGTTGGCGTTGTCAAACTCGTTGAAAGCATCCAAGGTCACATCTGCAGGTGCACTCGTCGCCTCCCGTTTCAAGTTGAACGGAGCAGAAGAGATGGTGTCCGAAATACTCTTCTCATCGGCTCCCTCAGACTTGATCTTCGGTCGATCATCTACCTCGTTCGTCGAGAAATCTTGCTGTTCGGTTACGATTGGTCGTCTCCTCGTATATAACATATTGGTAACTTCACTATCACTGTCCGAGTCTTCAAGAAAAGGTCCATTCCGTACGCTAGGCAAAGATGATTGTTCAGTGTCTTCAATTTGTCCAGAATCACTTCGAATTCCTGATACTAGTGGAGAGACGTGAACGAAGTCGTCTTTGTCTGCGCTTATCCTCCTCTTTTTTATGCTTCCACCCTCTTCATTATAACGGCCCTCCGTCAAAACGTCATGATCTGCTGCCGAGTCATCCTCCTCGTACTCCGGTGTAGTCTCCTGCTGGGACGTGACACTCCCAACTAAGCGCTTGTCTTTCACAAACAAGGCGTTGTTCTCTTCCTCTGCCTTCTTGAAGAATGTCAGGATGTTTCCGTTTGGCTTCGCCTTCAGCTTCCCGAAATTGCCACCCGGGATTGACGACTTCTTGCTTGCACTTAATGGCACTAAAGTTGCCTGGTTGAGTTTGGAAGTCGAAAAGCCCGGGGTAGCCTTTGATTGTGTTAGAGTCCCTACTGCTACATATGGCATCGCTTTTGGTGTACGAGCTGCGAAGGATTTGGAGGCAGGTTGGGTGGTGTGTGGTGGCGAGGGTGCTCTTCCGACGGACGGCTCAAGTCGCTCGTCGAATAATCGTGCGACGTTCTCACGAGGATTGCGAAACATTAACGTAGACAGACTGCACGACTATGTGGACTTTGAGCATCAGAAGTGATTGTAGAGAAGAGAACTAAAGAATGATTTTGGTTCAACATGAAAATGCGCCATGCCAAGTGGGGAAGCAAAGACCGCGTCGAGACTAATTAATTGACGGTCTATCACGTCGAGCAAGCGTCGTCACGTGCGACTGCTCATCTGATTCTGAGCATTCTAATCGCGAGCTTCACATGATCGTAACCAGTCAATGTCATAAAAGACTATATTCCATCCGTAAAATATAGTAGAGATGACCACCCAAGACGAGCAGACTCCGCGCGCTCATGCAGCCTCATTCAATATTCCAACGCCTGGTCCAACAGGAACCAGCCTACAGGTATCGCTAATTGCAGAATGGCTCACGTTACAGCCCTCACAGAGGAGCCGAAGGAGCACATGGCTCTTTCCGTGAAGAAGCCTACAAACAATAGTAGAAAAACAAAGTAAAGAATAGAAGAAACCGGCCGACGATCGACATCAGGACTCATCACTAAGCGCTCAGCGCTCGTACAAGCCTTTTTGCCATTCTCCCGCCTTCACTTTATCAAACAGTAAGGGCCTCTTTTGGCTGACACATGCTTCAGCGACTTCTATCTCAGCTTCAGGATCTGCATCGAAGAAGTACACCAAAGAATAACGTTCAGATCCAGGGTTGTTGCGTACACAGTGGATGGTGCTGCTGAAGAACTTGTTGCTCATGCGTTCCAAGAAGTCGCCAACGTTGATGACCAGCGTACCAGGGACAGGTGGGACCTTGAACCAGCGACCATTTTTCACATCGAATGCCTCAAGAGCTTGGACCGGTGAGAGCTGGTCAATGATAGTGATTACTATCGATATTAGCCTTATACATGCAATGCAGGGCAATGACTCACTGGAGTAATCTGTGTGCGCAGCACGTCCATCGTTCTGGGAGCCTTCAGCCTTTGGATATCGGATGAGGCATAAGCCTTGCTCTTTCCCGTGCTTGTCTGCAAAGAAGTCTTCTGGTGCATTCATGGCGAGAGCAACAGTCCGGAGAAAGGCCTCGACAAACCTCCTCACCTGAACACTGTACTCCTCCAGGCTTTGACGGAATCCAGGGACGTCCGCGGGCCATGGATTCGAAGGCTGTAGTCGACTGTCGTTCGTATCGGGAGCCAACATGGCCTTGAATGCCTCACGGAAATCTATTGGTCCTAGGTCAGCCACAATCACCATCTCCCAATCCTCGATTTTATTTGGAATAGAAGAAGGGCTATCACGAACCGTGTCTTCCAGGCTCGTCTTCTCTGCCTTCTGATATGTATTGGTAGCCTCTTTTTCCGCTTGGAGATTTGGCTTGGTGGTATTTCATTTTCTCTTCGATGGGTTGACTGAAGAAGGTATTGCCATGGTTCTTCACCAACTCCTGGAGGTCTCCCGATATGCCATGGTTGCTTGCATACAACGTCTGGTATCTGCGAAGCGCAGATCTGACTGACGTTGCCACCGATTTCCGTTCGTCAGAGTCAGAAGAAAAGATTCCAGCACAGTCCACAATTGGAACTGTCGGAATGTCTTTAGAGCCGTCGTGATCGTAGCTGAGGGGAACTTTGGTAACGCCTTTGAATCCCCGAAACTCCAGGAACTCCTGCGATATGTCCTGGGTCTGGTGTGGAGTATGCATCTTGAGTGACGTCGGTGATGATTTGCGGAAGGTTCTGTCAACCAACTAGCGGATATTTTCTACTTCCAGCATCCCAACTATATACATTTCTTATGCAGAACAGCGAACAGGGTTTGTGTAGCTGGGCGACTCACGATACTTCACCTCGCCCCATCCCTGGACAACTTTGGTGCATCGTCACAGGTCCTTTGCCCTATTTGCTGTGCAGCACTGACATGAGCACTAAATTGCAGGCCACCAACACGGCGGCAACAGCTACTGGTCGCTGGTAACAGATTTGCCTAGGTCAGTGCATCAGGTGATGTAAGCTGATCTCGCCTAACAAGCGGTCTGCGTAATTCACTTTCGACAAAAGCTACCCTCGACACTATAAATCCGCCAACATTACGCTCTGCTGTACTACCGCGATGACCGTTTGGTGGAGCAACTACGGAAATTACAGGCGAATCCATGCGTTTCGGTCTGTCGGAATGTTTCCCGCCGATTGGGGACTTTGATTGCGGGGATCATGTTTCATCCAACACCTGCTTTCCACGTGTTTTGCAAGGCTGACATATACGACGCTACGCATGTTTTCTGATACATTCCTTTTTTGGCTAAGAATGTGTATCCTCACGTGGTGAAATCCGAGCAAGTCTTTGGTGATTGATTAGATGCACAATCTAGCAATCCGAGGACAGGTGGCGCCGCGAGCCTTGGTATGGGGTCCAGAGCTCCTATAACCACCGTCGCGTGATCAGTCCGTGTTTGTTATGCTTCTTGGCCTTGTCAAACCCAAGAGACGGGCGAGACCAAGCTGTCCTACCAATGAGCTCCGGTGATCTCCTACAATCAACCCTGGCAACTACGAATCGTATTCTGAACGACATTCTGTTTTACACAAGACAATCCCACTAGTGAATAAGGCTAAAGTGATAAACCTCGACTAATGAATATGATTTCACTTACTGTCACCGAGATTGCTTTAAACACTATAGGTCTGGCGTACTTCAGGTCCTGAATTGCGTATTTCTTATATTGCAATCTAACAGCGGTACCCCGGGTACTACGCGAGTCAGATGACGTCACCTTTATAAAACTGGATAACCATATGCCGTTTTCTCGGCCGCATCTTCCGCTTGCAATACTAACATAACTAACATTTATCTTAACTTCGAATCTAAGTCCTATAGTAAGAAAGTCTATAAACCCTCTTCCTATTATAGTAAGTTTACTGGATATCTTTACTATATACTCGATGAGATAGTAGTACGTCTTATCTCTACCCGCTAAAGTTGCTTAAATGAGCGGTAAAAAAAACCGGCCGACAGGCCATCGTTTCATAAGCAAGGGATAGTATTCCTCGGCGTAAGGGATGAATGTTTTACGATGGATTAGTTTTGTCGCATTTTTGATGAGTTTCGCTCTTGGTTTCACCAGGCTTGTAGATGTCATAGCCTTGATTAATCAAATGGACACGTACTTCCACTGTTCCGAGATGAACGCACGGTAACACAAAAACGCCTCGTCTCCTTTGCTGTCAGAGTGACATGCGACGTCGTCCCTGTTGGTCATCGTATTCAAGACGCGGTAGCAAGCTTGAACATAGTTAAACCATAACAGTAGATCCCGTACTACGTAGCAACGCCCAGGCCGCAGCGCACTCATTAATCCCGCCATCAAAGTTGCAATCTATACGTTGCGACTTCAAAGGCTCTCAGCTCAATCTTGGCGTGCCCTTCCTTCTCGATATTCAGCTCCTCACCATCGTCCTCCAGCACATTTGTCCTGTATATCTTTTTGACTGGTACCGTGCCCCACTCAAGCCTACCCTTGCTACGACCACCCATCGCGTCATACACGCGGAGAATGATACTCCGACCCGAGCGCTTAGGTAGCTCCCCCCTACTGACATCATCATCATCCTCTCCGCGCTTGATAGTATCAAGAACGAGGTTGTTCGCTCCGGTCACCTTGAAAGCATTGAATAGGGGCGCAAATACATGAGGGTTTGGATGTGAGATCACTTTCAATGGATTATTGAACGCCGCGGCCGCGCGAACGGTTTTGTAGGACAAGGGACCGGCGTGTGGAAGTACGGCGTATTTAATGTGGTGACGGCCTGAACAAGATTAGCATTAGATCTCACTAGATTCTGTCAAGCAGACTTACCCATATCAGCATGTGCATCAGGGGCCTTCGGAGCGCGCAGCAAGCTCAAGCGCATAACGTTCCCACAAGTTGCAAAGCCGTATTTGGAGTCATTCAGAATGGAGACACCATAGCCAGCCTCGGACAAATCAGCGAATTTATGGCAGCAGACTTCAAACTTCGCCATATCCCATGAAGTGTTGTAATGAGTCGGTCTCTTTACGAGACCAAATTGGGTCTCGTAGGTTGCTTCAGTGTTGACAATGTCCACCGGGAACTCAACCTTCAAGAACTTCATGGTCTCATGCCACTCGACTTCGCTCTCCAGTTGAATCAGCGAATCCTCCCCGTCTAATGCGGCCGCAAGGCTAATTGTAGTTTTGATCCAACTCTTATCGCTGATCTTAGTCTCAGTGACCACGCTGACACGGTGAGGACCATTCTCGACAATGCTAGTTTTTGAAGGCTCGAGCTCCTTCCTCGATTCCAGGTGGTAGACTTCAACATCCCATGCTTGCCAGTAAAGTGGCTTGTCGTCGAAAAGGACCAGCTGGTTACCCTTCCCACCCTTCGGAATAACTTCACGGTCTGCTTCGACGTCGTAAAGAGATGTGATAACACCGTTGTCGACTTTCATCGCGAACCTGCTGTTCTTCAACTCAAACACGCCAACAGCGATCTCCTTGATGCTTGCGCTCTTGGCTGGATATTTTGATTCAAGTGGGCGTATCTCCATAATACCGCTCTCTCCTGATGCTATACTGTACGCCTGTGGCCCAGGTATGGAAGTAAGCTCTGTCCGCTTCCATGGTAGTGTATTCAGTGCGACTATTTTTGAGCGCTGGGAGCGCTTTCCCTCAAATCCAAGAGCACCTAGAGCTTCCTTCAGGCATTTCTCACCAGTTGTGAATACTTTCTCATATAGCTAGTGCACCTCTTTAGTTATACGTCATAGCAGCGCGGGGACAGAACAAACCTCGTCAGAATCGTCATAACACATCTCAATGCAACTTCCTGGCAAGCAATCGTGGAACTGACACAGAAGGACCGCTTCCCACATGTCATCGATATCCTCCTTAGGATACTTGTACGAAGCGCCTTGGTGGCCATATGTATCCTTGATAGTAGCCAGGGTGGCAAGGTATTCCAAGTCATGTAGCATCACCTCAGCCTTTCGGTTGTTTCTCTTATTGTTTGCTTGAGTCGTATACGTGCCACGATGTAGCTCGAAATACAGCTCACCGTACCATGTTACGAATTCCGTGCCTTCCTCGGCCTTTTTCTCTAGGCGACCAAAGAAGTCGTCCACGGATGCTCCCATCTTGACACGCGGCAACACTCCTATATTGTCGCTGACACCTCGACATCTTCTGAGCTTCTCGATGTGCTCCCACGTCGGACCTCCGCCTCCGTCGCCTTTGCCAAAGCACAACAGCGAAGTGTTGTCTTGGTCCAAAGATTTGTGTTGTGTTATACTGCGCTTGAGGTCGCCGAAATTGGCCTCAGCAGTATACGTCTCAGCAGGACACATGTGGCAAATGACCTGACTACCATCAAGGGCCACCCAGTTGAAAGTGGTATGAGGGAAGCTATTGATGTTGTTCCAGCTTAGCTTTTGGGTAAAGAACCTGCTCATGCCAGCTAGACGACATATCTGAGGAAGCTGTGTTGAATAGCCGAAGGTGTCTGGCAGCCAGAATGTCTTGGACCGTTCTCCAAAGTGGGTCTCGAAGAAACGTTGACCGTATAAGAATTGTCTGACCAGAGCTTCTCCACTCGGCATGTTGGTATCGTGCTCGACCCAGCTTCCACCAATTGGATGGAACCTTCCTTCCTTGACCTTCTCTTTTACTCGATCAAAAACCGATGGATAGTACATCTTTAGCCATTTGAATTGCTGAGCCTGTGATGCTGTGAAGGTGAGTTCCGGGTATCGGTCCATCAAGTCGCATTGATTAGCCCAAGACCGAGCAATCTTGCGCTTTGTCTCTGCCCATGGCCATAACCAACAAGTGTCAATATGGCAATTTCCAATCCCACTCACAATAGCTTCCTGGCCATCTTCTTTGTAAACATCAGCGGAATCGATCTTGTCGCCCAGATACTTCTGGGCAATCTTTCGGCATTCTTTGATGGAGTCTTTACTTCCAGATCCGTTGATGAAGCAGTCCATGATACCATTACAGACTTGTTGAGCTTCATGTGCTTCCCAACCATCCTGCGGAAACTCTCTTGCCGCGTCTAGACATTCTTAGCATACGACTCAAGCAGTTCTTGCCTACTAACCTCCAATGATCCAAAAATCGATATGGAGAGCTCGTGCATCTAGATTGACCGCAACTATGTCTGCCACGTTTAGAGGGTAATACAAGTCTGGGTTAGGAGGCTGAATGCTATCGCCCCCAGGTGCATTTCCAAACATCTTGTTACACGCCATTTCAATATAGAACGTATGTTCTCCGCCATCTCTGAAAGCTTTGGGTAGAATCCATTCAATTCTTTCACCTCCACCTGTCAGTCCATGGACGACATCACCTGATTCGGTCCATATAAGACCCTCGTTGCCGGCATCCCAGTGGAACTCAAGATGCTCTTTATCCAACAGATTCGACGGTACTTTGATTTGGACCTTGAACCAATGTGTCGACCATGACGGACCGAATGATTCACCAGTAGATGTGGGACTGAACTTATGGGAGGTGGCTTCTTTGAAAGTAGGGCGGGATAGATCTGGAGGAGAGTAGACGGACAGTTTGACGGGCTCTGGGCCGGTCGCGCGACCTTCGTACAGCTTTCTATTGCGCAATTGGTCAGTATTGAACGTGTGGAAGTATGGCAATCGTATGCTTGATTATGCTTATTGAAGAAACGTGGAAGTGCACGCATCATGCTACAACAGCATCTTGTTTGAAAGCTAATTCGGAAGGAGATACATACCCTAGCAAGCCTTGTTCTTTGTACTGTCCGCCATCTGTGAATTGCCTCAACCGCGCGGCATAGATGTTGTGAATCTGCTTGCCTTTAGGCCTCGAAGCAAAGACCGGGTAAGGCTTCGAGGCAGACGCAAGGGGACGAGTCTCGCCTCCCATTGTAGACTCTACGTTTTTGAAGAGGTCTTAGTGGTCGGTATATGATGGACTGGTCTGTTAGACTGGTAGGAAGTTCCCCAGGCAGTATTGAGGAGTTGAGAGTAGCGTCCCCTCATTCGTGGGGCCTGGGTGGGTTCCTGGCGCTGCAGGAAGCAGGCATAATAGCGCATCTGTGGGGAAGCGGGCGGGGGCGAGCTAATACCCCGCAACCGTACCTTGATAGTTGCCAAAGGCATGGATGCTCAGCGTTAGCGGTCGAGCTGTGGAGTAAATGAGAATCACAAATGAATACTGGGAAAGGTTTAAGAACAATCCGATCATCCCATCCTATTGCCTCACGAACTATGGACTTGACCTGGACTTTATCACCGGCTCTATCCATCAATCATAATTGAGCCGTAAGGGAGACTGTGTAATGCAACATAGATGTCTCGTTGTAGCTGGCTACACAACTTTGCCAATGTCAAACTTCTGCATTCTCATGCTTTAAAGTTGATTGCAGTGCTTGCTATGTCAACCTGTTGTTGGGCAATATAATAAAGGTGAGATGGAGGAGAGAGAGAAGACAACTTCAGGTCAACCAGGCGGACAAGTTATAGGAAGCATCAGGTGATCGAAGCACGGACGGATGATTGAAGAAGTGAACTCGGTCCTGTCTTGATCAGCGAGCTGCAGGCGGATACCATTCACCTCAGATGAAGGTCGGGATTTCTGATAATGGCTTCTAGCTCACATCGCGACGGGAGTCTGTAGGCAACCAACAGAGAGTGGCATTCTTGTACAACCATATGTTTGCTATATTTATTTTTCGTGGTACCTTCCAGTGTGTAGAAACAGACAACACAAACTTTATAGATGCCTTACAGCTCATCATGGGTTCCCTCATTCCCAACATCAATGACAGTTTCCTCCTCGACGATAGTCTCTTCAACCACGGGTTCCTCCGGAGAAGTCATTTCTTCCGGTGCGTCGGGAATAAGCCCAGTGGGTAGTCGTTCTTTCTTACCTTCACCCATCCTGATCTGATCAATCCACTCTTCAATTGCAATAGTTCCAAAATCATCGCCCGGGAAATGACGGTACCAGTTACGCTTAGCGTTGATGACAACAATCTCAATGCGCTTCTCATCTTTGTCTAAGCCAACCCCGCCTCGAAGTCGGATTCCAGCTGTGTTGATGGCTGGGACGGCGTAGAACGGGAAGATGCGGCCAGTGTGCTTATGTTGGACTTCTCCAAGCGAAGCTAGGGCCGTGCGAGATTGTTCGTCGAGTACAGCATCCGGATTGTCCAGAGGTTTTTGTGGCAACAGAGCGAGCAGACAAGATCCTGAGTTGTGAAGCATGCATTTTTCTTCCAGTGCCGGCGCATGTTCGAGCATCTCAAGCATAGGTGGCCCGCTGTCAACCTTGACTGGCTTCTGCTTGTTGACGTCTTCCAATGTCTCTGGATCTGTAGCCTCTGTCGGGATAGCTTCATCCTCGAGGGTAATGGACGATGCTGATTCCTTCGGCTTCTCCTTCTTATCCTGTGGCTTTTTGTCTTTCTTTGATGGTTTGGGCGCCGGATCTGGATTGGGCTCTGCGACCTGTGCGAGGAACTTTGCCATCCCCTCCTTCTTCATGGCCCCATCGTATACGGCGGGCTCTTTGCCATCGCCAGGAAGTAGTACCAGGGTTGGAAAATTCTCCACATTAAACTGCTTGACAGCCTTTTCCTGCGAATTGCGGATCTGTGCAAACGACACAGTCCCTAGATAGTCGATCGCCAGTGACCTCAGTAGCGCACTAATCGGTCCCTTATCACTAAACAGAATAGCCTTCGGGTGATCTCCCTCCAAGAACCCGTCCAGATTCTTGTCTGTTATGCGCTGGACATGGTTTGGGATCTTGTCCACGACAGCATCTACAATACCCTTGGCAGACCTCGGGCCCTGGTAGTCTTCCACAGTTGGTCTTCCTGCTTTCTTGCCTGGTCGGACAATCTTCAAGGTGGGGAAGCCTTGAACGCCCATCTGGCCGCAGAACGGCTTGTTCGCCTCCTCATCACAGTTCATGGCCGCCACTTTGGCCAGGCCAGCAAGGTTCTTCGCAGCCTTTTCATATGCTGGCTTCAGATTCTGGCAATGGCCACACCAGGGGGCGTAGAACCTAGCATTCATCGTAAGGGACCGGTAGAATCGAGGTAGACATGCACGGCACTTACTCGACAATCTGGACACAAAAGTTAGCATAAAGCTTCGGACAGCGATAATACATCTTACAGAAGTGTAATTGGACTGCGCAATCAGTCTGTCATAGGCTTTCGCATTTTCTAGTTGGAGTACTGGGGAGCTCTTAAGGTAGATAGCTCCGGAAACAGGAGTGCTCAGAAGGGCTCCAGCAGCGAGCGCCGTGACGATAGCTGTGTTCACCATCATGAAATGTAGGTTCGCGAGGTAGATTGCATTTGAGGTTTAGGCTGCACCCAGCGAGGCGAGTCATATACGGCGTCATGGCCATCATGCAAGCTGTCCTCTTCGTACGATGAAGCCCCGGTCACGTCGGCACGTGACGCATTGCATTTTCCTCCCCCCAATCTGACAGTCATATTTTCCCTATCACACGACTGTTATGGCTTGGCGGCACCGTGGCGCAATGGCAGCGCGCAGCCCTCCTAAGGCTGAGGCTGTGGGTTCGAGTCCCACCGGTGTCGTTTTGCATTAATTTTCAATTCCTGATATTGGTTACATGTGGACGGACCAGTGTCATTCTGTATTAATTTTTAATTCCTGATATTGGTCACATGTGGACCGGTGTCGTTTTGCATTAAGTTTTAATTTTCTAACTTTATCACATGTGGAACGGTGTTGTTTTACAATAATATGGTTTTGTCACATCAATTTAACAAAGCCTTTTAGACCAGTATCGTTTTACATTAATTATATATAGTTCTAGTACGTCGATCAATCCCATCGATCAAATAGGCATATAGATTACTAGATGAAGCGGTCTCGTTGAACATTAATTTCTATTTTTGTCACACAACTACGTCATAACTTAGTAGAAAGAAGTCGAACAGACCGGACCGGTGTCATTTGTCACACAATTTTGTCATATAACGACATGGATATAGTGTATATTATATTTACATAACCCAGTCGATCTAATTTGAGAAAACCCGATTTTGTTACCCATCTCCTCCGTAAGGACCGACCGGTATCGTGTTTCATCAAACCTGAATTCTATCACATAACTTGAGATTTCGTATATATAATAATAAATATATGTGAAACGGCTCTCGTTTCACTGTAGATCTAAATTCTACTACATCGCAGAACGCCAAACAGCTAGCTTTACAGGCCGGGCTAATGTCGTTTTGATTACTGTATATATAATATAGTATGCCGTTGCTCATCACGTAACAAGACTACAAGGCTTGTGGGTGGGTGCGCTGTCTTTCGCAGTAGAATATTTCAGTTTTGGGAACATTCAAATCGATGCATGCTGGACGAAAGGCCTCCCGGGCAGGGTAAACTACCTACCTTACTACTGGTTATCGGTCGTTAAGTTCTGCAACTCGATACGAATCACTCCGACATAACAAAAGCAACACTAGCTGTCCTGCGCCCCACCTAGCTGGTCGGAAATCGACGAAACATGCATGGTAAGAGCCTTGACCTAGGACAGTCACAACCCGAAAGTAACGAACAACACGAGCGGAAATGATGGCTATAAAAAAGTCATAGAAATCCCAGCAAGACGTCAAAGCTGCACGTCCACGTTGCTCTTGCATATCTTTACATACATTAGATCTATCAGTAGTATATCAAGGGCCTTAGTTGCTGTACCTTGAGTGAGAGTGCAAATTTTCCTTGCCCCCCTTCCCCCAAAACCATACGAATGTCCAGATCCAAATACAGAACTCCAGCGCCCTCCATATGCATGTCCACACCATCAAAGCATATCCCGCAAGTTGACAACAACGCCTCCTCGATGCATGTTTTGAAAAACCTAGCTTACAGGGCTATACCTTCACTATCGGTACTCAAGCCCGCGTACTCGTCGTGTACGCTCGTGCTCATTCTCACTGTTCCACCCCTAGTGGACACCCCACTTTGACGATGCTCAACAATGTCTTTGCAGACTTTGAGCCCATACAGAAACTCCTTGCAAACACGTTGAAACTCGTGCTCGACAAGGTCCGGGTCAGAATCATGCTTCAATGATTCTGGATGCGGGCCAGTAGGGAGAGGGAAGGGGACTGTCGGCCGAACGTTGTTGATAAAAGCGTTTGCGGACGTTCGGGCATTGTTGTTCGGGGGTGTAGTGTAGAGGGCGGGATTGAGTGACATGCAGTCTTCTCCAAACGGATTTGGGTCTTGCCTGAATGGATGAAACCTGTCGTCATCCATTGCATCAGACTCAATGCCGCTCATGTCCCCTCTACTGGCTATCGAATTCGACCGTGAAAGCACGCTCTTATTCCAATCTGATGGCGTTCGATTAGCAGGGTTGAAATTAGACCAAAAAGAATTTTGAAGAAAGCCAGGCTGAACAGAGGAAGGCCTACCGCGCTCGTAATCGTCCTCAGGCTCCGTTTCGGAGGCAGACGTGTAGCTCCTGCTACTAACAGAGGACGCTTCACGGCGAAATTGGCGGCGGCGAAAGCGCCGTTGATTTGAAGGTTGATTCATCAACCTCGCGGGTTGTCCCACAGGCAAGTTGGCTTGGCTTGTCCCTCGCGAATGGACCCCGTATTTTGACCCTCGCTTTGCATCCGCCTGCTGATCGCTAGGCGTTAATAGTCCAGGGAGCGCTTTAGTAGGTTCCGATTGGGATTTTGTATGAAATGACAGGCGATTGTTCGATTCTGATAGCTGGACCTGATCTTCCAAATCGAATGGGTCTTTGTGTCCATATTCGACACCCAAGGGGGCCCCGTCCCCCCCAGAGCCAGACGTCGCTGGTCGAGGCTGCCATTCCGTAGGGAGAGCAAAGTCAAGATCAATCATGGACATACGGGGAGGCGAGTCTGACACCGACATTTGTTGACCAAAGGTTCCGTCAGGAGTGCTTGTTGGCTGAGTTGCGGCATGGCGAAGTGTCGGACGCTGGAATTCTACACGAGCCGAGTGTTCATAACGAGGTTGGGGCGGCCCAACAAAGTCAACTACATCAGTTTCAGTATTTTCCGGTGGGTCCTGAGATGGGAACACAAAATCCCTGGTCCGTCGGTTGTTGGCTATATCGGCCGCGGGTGCAGTCAATAGATGCGTTTGAATCTCTCTGGTCATCCTATTTCGTGCTTGCCCATGTCCTGGATCTGCCTCGGCCATTGCACTGGCGAACGTCCAGTCTTGCGTGCGACGATTATCAGCTGGCATAGCACTAGCAAAAGTCCAGTCCTGGGTACGGCGATTGTCTGTTTCTGGAGGAGCAATCGATGTCTCAGGTGGTAGCATGGACGGAAACTTCCAATCCCGTGTTGCGCGTTTCGTATAATCATTGTCCTGCTGCATGCTCTTCCTTGCAAAACTTCGTGCCTCCATGTCGTCTTCCTCTTTCAACTCGGCTATAACGCGATCGAGGGCTTCTTTATTCAGTCGATTGGCCCGTAGTGTGGGCACATCTCCAAGATCAAGAGTGGGCATATTGAACGCCGGTTCAACATCGTCTAGATCGATAATGGTTTCACGATTGTTACCACCTTCAGTATCATATTGGCGGAGAGCTAGATCGCTCGTACCATAGATATAAGGCGTTGAGTCAGGATCAAAAAGCCTCTGTAGTCCTTCTCCTCCTCTTCTGACCATGCTTTCTCGTTCTTTCTTTGACTTCGGCATACTGAAAGCAGTGTTCAGTACGCCTTTCGTAGCCGCTTTGGTGGTCGGCTCATCGTCAAGATTTATAGCATATTCGTCATCCAACTCATCAGACATACTGAAACTCCAGTCCTCATCATCGTCATCCTGTGGTAGTGGGAGCTCGGGGTGGGCTGCGCCCATCTGCGGATTGAATAGAGAGGCCCTAGAACCACCAGAAGCCTCCCATATGACATAGCGCTCAATCAGCTCCCTGAGTGAACTTGTCGGGTGACTCCTGGATGTATCTCTTAGATAGTCATGTTGAAGGATGGCATCGGCAGTAGGGCGATCCTCGGGGTTAGCTTCAATGCAAAACGCTACGAGGCTTTTGAGGCCTTCCGAGAATCTGTCTCCCTCGAGCCTTGGCGGCCTCTCTTGCGCTGTGGCGGCAAGTTCTGGCAAGGTCCTCGCGGTGCTCATGGGACCATGGCCCATTGCCATTTCGTAGACTGTACAGCCAAATGCCCAAATATCGACTTCATGTCTATAAAGAGGGGCAACCGGATATTTATAGTTGGAACTCAAGTTTGCTCCAAGAAGTTCTGGAGGCATCCAGTGTAGCGTGCCAACAATGGTCGACCGCTTTGCCACTTCTGTCTCGAGCACTCCAGACACACCGAAATCACCAAGCTGAAGATTGCCATCTTCTGTAATAAGTACATTCCCGCCTGCGATGGATTTTTAGTCTACGTTCTGCGCATCTAGTTCAAGTATGGTTGGATTAAGGGTGAAATTCCTCACATTTGATGTCTCTGTGTATAACGTTGGCTTCGTGCACGTATTTCAAAGCAGTTGCAAGTTCCCGGGCGATCGCAACGATATACTTTTCTTCAAGCCCTTGTCCTGCAGGGTTGGGCTTCATCAATGTCGTGACACTACCGCCTGGGCAGTACTCCGTTACCATCCAGAGTTCAGAGTACATTGGAAATGCATCGTAGATAACGTTGACGTAGGGTGACGCTCTCGTTTCTTTCAATTGCTGAAGGACCTTGATCTCCCGAATCAAGTCCGGCAAGCTCCTGTCTTTATCTTCGAAATAGGCCTGGTAATCGGCATCGTCCACTTCCGTAATTTTGACAGCCACCACTTCCTGCGTGTTACGATGTTTGCTGCAAGATCAGCCTTTTTGCTACTGCTATGCCTACTGTGCCAGGTTTGACGTACCATTTATACACTCGTCCGAAACTACCCCGGCCAATGAACTGTAAGAAGTCGTACGGAGGGGGATCTACCGATGTTCTAGCTGCACGCTCCTCCACAATTCGTTGCATTTCTTTGGCCTGCTCTATCTGCCTCAGCTTCGTTCCCGCATTCGGGCGCGGCACCATCAACGAAGCTCTTGTATTCGACATTATTGCGTATAACTCTTTCGCGTTTCTAAAGGAGTGTTTTCGAACGATCTATGCGAAGAACTTTGCGAAGACTTCTACCAAATCAAGGTAGTATCCGGCGACCGATCGTGGTGAGTCGTGAGACGCAGGTAAAGGTTTTAGTTTGACCCGCGTGTGGGCTCAACGGAATGGATGTGTCCGCCAGGTCAATCAATACAACAACACGTGGTCGGGCAAACGATGAACAGTCCTTGTAGTTGAAGAGTTTGAGCTTCAAGCTCTGTGGATCCCAGATGTAGATTGCACTGACAGAACAGCGACTTATAACGGAACCAGCTCCGATCGTACAACACTTCGCGTGAGTCACTGGTGACCCTTTAAATCCACGACTTGGTAAAGTATTATGATGGCGTAGATGCCATGACGCTGGGCAAGAAGAGGTGCTGTGTAAACCGGGTGGGTGTTGGTCAGGCTCAATTGGGATCGCGCGCGCGACCAGTCATACCGTTGCTGCAGTCGGATCGACTGAAGCTGTTGTGAAGTCTTGAAGTTGGAAGCGCAAGAGCAAGGGGTTTGAAATAATTTGGTCGCCGACGATTCCCCGCACTGACACCAGGAACAGGGCTGAGGACGCGGATCCGGGCCATGTGCTAGTCAGCATTTAGTGACGCACCGCGCCCGTCAAGCTCGTAGATGCGCTAAAATCTCACGCCTTGTCTGTTACAGTAACAACTTGTTTATGCACCATCGAGTGACGTAACGTGGTTTGCTATAAATACCCAGTACGCTAGTTCTTGAATATCGGCGTCGTAATTGACGTAGAACACACTTGACATATCACAACCATCATTTCATATTAAACGTATCATCCATGGCAGACTGGGTCAGTCGACAGCTTGCTGGCGTCACTGCCGGAATCAGCAACTTCACAGGTGGAGTTGTGAATGCAGTCGGCAGTGGTGTCTCGGGTGCCGGGAAAGGAGTGAGCAACAGGTTCGTGCTCTTGGGGTGTAGCTGAGAGGTTGTTCGTGGACATGACCGGCTCATTTATTGCTCAGCGTTGCGGGTACTACTCGTGGATGGGGTAACAGTGTCCGATCATACGGCAACAGCATCAAAGACGCGACAGGCGCATCTGGCCCCCGAGCTCCAACCGCAGACAATCCTCTTGGGATGGCGAGGAATAAAGCAAGTGTTAAAGCGTCGGGACAGGTACAGAAAGGCCGCATACAGACTCCAAGCGGAGGTACTGCTCGAGACCCGCTGGGCCTGCAGGGAAAGTGACCGAAATGGTTCAATCTAGCTTTCGCTTCCAATAGAATACACCTTTTCAATATGTCTACGGTCTACTCGCGGTGGATGGGCCCGTCATCGCCCGGTTTCTCCTTTGCAGTCTCTTCGCTTGGTCTCATTCCTTCTTCCACCGCAGCGTCAGCAGTGCCAGCCTCTTTTCGTATCTGTGCAATCTCTGCCGCGGTCGGAGCCACCCAGTTAGTAGAATTCCAAGGCTTTACTCCAGAAATGTACATAGTATCTATCTCTTCCAATGTTCTTCCTTGGCCTTCCATAACGAAAAAGTAGACGACAAGCCCGGCCAGAACGTTACATGCAGCAAACACGTAGCCGTAACGAAAGTCAATGGCACCTGTGATGAATGGCGAGAAGAATGCAATGAGAAAATTCCACAGCCAATTAGAGGCCGTTGCTGTTCAGTAAATTAGTCAGAGTCTACGAGAGAATGAAGTTTCTGGAGATCCTCACCTAAAGAGATACCCTTAGCCCTGAAGCGATTCGGATATAATTCCGCGATGATCGTCCAGACCTGTGGTGAATTTAGTAACAGCGCAAAGCTTCCAAGTAACAGGCCGAACTTACCATAGGACCCCATGTAGTGGCGTAGCCTAGAATGAAGAGACAGGCAAACACAATCATTGCCGTTCCCGCAGCTGGAGTGTTGGTCGGAGTATCGCGATCCAGCCCAAAGTGGCCTACAGAAGCGAATACCATAAAGCAAACGAACATCCATATCGCACCGGCCACAAGACTACGTCGGCGACCATAGTGTTCAACGATGTACAAACCAATAAAGGTCACACCGAAATTGATTCCGTTCAAGATCATCTGAGTGACGAACGAATTGTTGATACCGGTACTCTGGAAAATGGTAGTTCCCTGTTTACCGAGTTAAATACGATAGAAGATATCGACATCATGATGATGGCTTACGTAGTAAAAGAAAAAATTCGCTCCAGTCAGCTGTTGTAATGCCTGGAGTGAGATGCCGAGCACGAGTCGATAGGGGACCTTGGGAGCTGCCATCATTGCCGAAACTTCATCAATGAAGGTGCCCTTCACGGCTCTCTCGGCTTTGAGCTTGGCTTCAATCTCTTCCAATTCCGCGTGGATAACATAGTGGTTAGGTGGACAATTATGAACCCTCATCATAGTTTGCTTCGCCTCTTCAGTTCGCCCCTTCCGATAATCGAACCGTGGTGTTTCTGGAAACAGGAGAATGCCTGCAGCGAGAACGATTCCAAACAGGAAACCAATGCCGATCGGCACACGCCAGCTAGCGTTGCTTTGCCGCTGGTGCTCGTATAGTCCGAAGTTGAAGCAGGCAGCGAGGAAGATTCCGAGTGTGATGAAGAGCTGGTAACAGCTAATTAGGGCTCCACGGATATATCTTGGTGCTGTTTCTCCCTGGTAAAGGGGAACGAGAACACTGAGGGCACCGACCCCCAAACCAGCCACCCATCGACCCATCATGATTTGGTACCAATGATTGTCAGTGCTGATCTGTACAATCAGGCCGACCATGAAGATAAGAGCCCAGAAAGTCATACTTAGACGGCGTCCTATGGCATCGGCGATTGGCTAAAGACGAATCAGTTGTGCACCATACAAGCATGGCAATAGACAAATACATACCGCTGCACAGAGAGCACCGATCAAGGTTCCAATGGATAACATTGCCACAATCAGGCCAGATCGGACGTTACTAAATGTATAGGCGCCGGTGGCTGCGTTGTATTCGCCAAATCGCCTTTGGAAATCCGGCATCTCAAGGAAGCCGGAGATCTGACCAGTATCATAGCCGAAGCTAAGTCACAGTAAGTACGGAGTCAACGCTGGGGACATCAATAACCCTACATTAAACCACCCATTGAAATGAGCACTGCCATGCTGAATGATCTTGCTGATACTCTCTGTAACGGAGAGTAATCGAGATGGGCAAGGCTTCTCCTAGCATCGTCTGTCGCGGCATTTGATCTAGGGTCGACATGATCAAAATGGACTTTTGCCCAGTTTGCGGGTGACCATGACTTTACTGAAAACCCCATGGTGCGTGGTGGTAAGAGTCCTGGGAGGCTCTAGCGGAGAGAAGTGTAAGAGTCAACAACGTAGGCATCCGGTCATGGCTGCAGTATTATAGCCCCAGTGCCTATTGTGGGGTTTTCTGGGGAAAATGGCGGTTACATCGACACTACTAGAGCATTGGAGACCTCACTAGGGAAAGGCGTTCAGTATGAATCGACGGAGTGGCGCGTGTACGTCAGTGGATCGCAATTGGAAGCACTTGACCAGCCATTATGACTTGGGCAAGTGAGATATCTAGGTAGCGCTGAACTCCAACACTGTACCGGGCAGCATGTCGGCCGAGTGTAAATTGTATAATTGAGCTTCTGTTAACCATGACGCCATGGGATGACGGTTTGGTGTTAGGGTATCCGTATATCCATAGTTACATGGGAAAGCTTGGCTGCCGATGTTCGCCCATGTCACCAACACGCACGATTTAGTATAATTAACATTTTTATCTATTACCGCTGTATAATATATATATATAGCTATAAAAATTACTATATATTAGTTCTATATAGTCCTAGTTATATATCTATCCTCTTTTTATTACTTTATATTATCTATAATACCTCTAAAATTAAAGAAAAAGAGTAAAAAGAGTAAGTAATAGAGAGATACTCTTAGGTCTAGCTAGCTATATGCCCCTATATTTAAACGCGCTCTAGAAGGATATAGAGAGAATACTAAGGATCTATAGTATTATATATTAGTTATACTATCTCTTAAATACTATATAAGCGTAGTATAGTAGTAGTATATAAGAATATTAATTATACTTAATCGTGTATGTTAGTGACATGGGCGAACATCGGGCGCCAAGCTTTCCCATGTAACTATGGATATACGGATGAGATGGCTCTGGTGGCTTGCCAAGTCGCGACTTGGGAAGCTCATTTGCCAACTGCCTGCCAGTCAGCAAGAGCAGGGTAGGGTCAGGTTACAGCTTACGGATTACAGATCAATGGATAATCGAGAATACCCATACCATCAGACCATATCGTGACTTTCCCCAATTTGCAGGAAACATTGACCAGAGAATGGTAAGACGTCAATGCAAGCAGCCTTAAGCATCGACAGGGGGCGGGCCAACGGTTAACGCGGATCTAAGCGGACCTGGGGACGCACGCTAAGATCGTGTGCAGACGACCTCGGGAACTCTTAAGCCCCGGTGGGTACAGTATATGGATACATTATCCGCTGGTTGCAACGTGGTATACGTCATTTCTGCGAATTAGAGCGCGCCTTACCTCTAGCTCACTATGTGAGACGCGGAAAGGCCTGAGGCCGATGGCACATGATATACCGGATATATGTAGGGCGGTATAGGTTAGTGATCATATACTCGCATTGTTGGAATGAACTTGGAGATACCAGACATGTTCATACCACTGACACTATGCATAAGTTACACATGCGGACAAATTCTAGTCTCTGTGTTGTTCGTACGCGGCAGGTCCTACAAGACTTAGCACAGAAACTCAAAACGCATGCCAACAATCAACCAAAAAAGAGGAACGTATACGCAGATTAAATTGATCAAGTTGATCATTAGTAACACATCCAAAGCCCTCAAATATCTCAAATGTATGGTGCGGCATAGCATCAATGTGCCATTTTAAGAAGCCACTGCCCCCACAAGAACGCCATGCTATGCTGTTAGAACAACCACTGAAATAGACATCCGGGGACGATATATAAAAGGCCCCTCTTTAAACTACATCCTCCATCTCCTCATCCTCGTCGTCTTCTAGGTCGTCGACATCCTCAGGTGACGATGGGTCTCCGGCCTCAGGGGCTATTTCTTCCACGTTGGCATCATCGAAATCGATGTAGCTCTCCTTCTTAAGCGTCCAGTTGCCGTTGAAAGGACCAGAAGTAACGAGCTCGGCGATACCAGAAAGGACTTGCTTGAGATACTGCTCTGGCTGTCTGGTCCTTGTGCGCAGCGTTTTGAGACTCCAGTATTTGTATTGCTTGAAGGCATCGAACAGCATCGGAACCAGTTCCACCTCTGGAATGCGCGCAGCTTTATTGTCCTGTCCACTCTTCTTTTTGGTTGTACCTCTCTGCACACAGTAATTAGTACATGTATATATTCTTGCCGGTTCGAGCTGCTTACGATAAGAGTTCCAAAGTTCATGTCCGCATTCGTGGGCAGGTAGTCACCACCACTCTCCAGTGTAATCTGGGACTTCTCGACCTGCTTCTTGCGCTTCTCCATGAATTCATGGTACTCCTTATTGTCTACTGGCGTGCAGCTGAGCTCTTTTCTTATAGACCGCAGGAGAGCTGTCTGCTTCGGGATGGCCTTCCTATATCGTCTGCCCTTCTGAACACCTTGAGCTTTGCCGGCATTGTAGTCTTGCTTATTGCTCCGACTGAATGGATTCGCTTTGTATCCCGGCAGGTCCTTCTCCGAAAAGATATGCATGTTAGGCGGGTCGGCTTTCGTGAATTCGAGTTCGTATTCCTTCGGTATCTTGCTCGCCCTCTTGAAGTCTTTGTTGAACACAAATCTGTGGGTCTTCTCACGCTCTCTCTCCGCAGGCTTCAGGCTCAAGTCCTCGTATGTATTTAGTTGTCCTATGTGCAATGGCTCCTCCGAGTCGTTCGCCTCTGATAATGCTTCCCACATCCATTTTGGGACTTTTGCGAGCCATATCTCCTGCTCTTCGCGCGGCATAGTGAGCTCACCTGTGTCTTCGTATTCGTCGTCGTCCGCAAAGCCTCCCTCGGCTTCGTCTTCCGGATCTGGCTTGATCTTCATGTCGTCCTCTACCTTGACCCCATTCATGGCCGCCATGACGAGCGACAACGATATAAAAGTTCCAAGAGCTCGAGTGGATGTGTCTGTAACTGTCTCTAGTGTGATCTGGTTGAAGAAGATGCTGTGAATCGAACTGTGTAGAGAGGCGCAAACGTTGTTTCGCCCTGTAAATGGGAAGCAGGTCTGGACAAGCTTATACGGATCCATGGCCGAGCACGGCGCAGCTGCCGCGCCTGAGTAACCTAGTTTGACCCCACCTGGCTGCACCAAGCGCCGGCGAGCTGCCTAGAGCTCTAAACGACACTTCCCATATAAGCCAACAACTTTTCTTTGAAGATTCCATATCGAAGACACCCAAAGTGGCATTACAACCCACAATGTCTGCTCCAGAAGTCCTCGAAGCCCTCCTCCAGCTCGAAGACTCTCCCGCGAATTCTAGACCGACGAGATACAACACACTGCTCTCCAAGATCGTTTCCACCACATCAGACGAGCACCTGGGCCCGAACCTAATCGCATACGCCGAATCAATACTGGGCGACTCCAATGGCATCGTGACCTCGCGACCGCTCCTAGCCTCCTTCGTCGAGGAATACCGCAATCTACAAGATGCAAACACAAAGATCGAAGTAGGCACCCGCGTGCTCGAGATACTGCAACCCCGCGTCGTCTCCTTCGAAGAACAAGACACAAAGATCAAAGAGTCGCTCTCAGACGCATACCAGGAGCTCGAGGACTACTCCGGCGCTGCCAAGGTGCTCCAAACCATCACGCTGGACTCCTCGCAGCGCGCCATCTCCGACGACGACAAGGCACAGATATGGATCAGGATTGTGCGATGCTACTTGGAGGACGACGACCCCACAAACGCCATGTCGTACCTGAACCACGTGAAGAACGTCCTCTTCCACGTGCAGGACAAGGCGACGAAGCTCATGTTCCAGCTCAGCCAGGCCCGCATTTTGGACTCGCAGCGCCAGTTCCTCGAGGCCAGCGCATCGTATCACGGCGTCAGCTTCGAGGCCGACGTCGATGAGGCCGAACGGCTCATGGTGCTCGGCAAGGCCATCACCTGTGCCGTCCTTGCTCCTGCTGGACCCACGCGGGCGAAGACGCTGGCCCGGCTGTACAAGGACGAGCGCGCCTCGACAATCGAGCAGTTTGGCATCCTAGAAAAGATTTTCCTGGACCGGATTCTCTCTCCGGAACAAGTCAAGGCCTTCGAGACGACGCTAGAACAGCACCAGCTCGCCAAAACCGCGGATGGCTCGACTGTGCTCGAGAAGGCTGTCCTGGAGCACAACCTCCTGGCTGCATCTCGGCTATACAGCAATATCGGATTCGATGAGCTTGGGGTGCTTCTCGGCGTAAACGCAGAGCGTGCGGAGAGTTATGCGGCGCAGATGATAGAGCAAGGCCGCTTGGCAGGGTACATTGATCAGATTGACAGATTCATTTTCTTCGAAGGCGAAGGCAGTGGAGAAAGAAAGACCAAGCACGCTGAACGTGCTGTAGGCAAGGAGGTTCGAAAATGGGACGCCAATGTGCAGAGCTTGGCGGAAGAGGTCGAGAAAATTACGACGTTGATTCAAAATCGGCAACCTGTACGTACCATGGCTGTCGTTATAAGCTACCAAATATTGACCACAGTACAGGAGTTTTACGAGGAAAACATGGCACATTGATAAAAGGCCGCATTTTTCATATACAGCATAGCGAAAGGCGCTTCAGGGGATAGGGTCACGGGCGAGTGTCGAAATAGAACAGGATACAAAGCAACACTGGTACTCAAATCATACACAAAAGAATCGAGGTCAACGCTGCAGTAATGCAACCTCGTGGTGGTATTCTACTGGCATTGTACCATATAATACAATTTATACATCCGCACGTCCAGGTTCTTAAATAGCCGATCTCCCATTCCTCTGATTCATTTCCACCACAGTCTGCTGCACATCATCAACATCCTCCTCCATCCCAAAGATCGAATCACCACTCAACGGCTCCTCCGCATTCGCCCGCTCAGCATCCTCCACCGACTTGACCGTAACCTCCCCAATCCGCAGCACCGTGAACCGATGCTTACTCTTCACCGTCTTAACATGCCTCTGCCTCCTCTTCGTCTTCTCCAGAAACCGCATCGGCTCGCTATCCACCCCCATCACCGTAGCCCGACACACAAACAACCGCTCGTCCAGATACCGCGTCACCTTCGGCGCGACCCGCGTCCCCTTTTTGCTCGCCGCAGCCCGCAGCGTGAAATCCCGCGAGCCAATGTGCGTCGCGCGGTTCAGCCGCAGCACGTCGCCGGGCGACACATCTGGCATCAGGAACGGCAGACGCAGCTCGTCGCCGGCCGTGAGCAGGTAGTTCTTGCCGTGGATCTGCACCTGGATGTAGTACGGCGGTTGGGCGCGTAGCAAGGGGAGCATGGAGTGGATGGACTCGTGTAGATCTACAGTGCTGCTGCGCTGTGTGGGTGTGGATGATGGTAGTGGTAGGGTGGTCCTGGGGACTGAGATGCCTTGTGAGCCGTCGGCTAGGGGTCCGAGACGCTCATTGTTGCGGGCGGTTGCTTTTGCGGAGGATGCGCTGGCGGCATTTTTGCCGCTGTGGAGTGGCGATGAGAGGGTTGATGGGTCGGTTGATGTTGTGCTGGTGCTGTGCGGTTGGGTTGAGAGATGGGCGCGGAAGGGGAGGAGGAAGGTTGGTGGGAGCGCGGCGGTCGCTGGCTCCAGGAGGGAACGCCGTATTGCTCTGGACAGCATATTGTGATAGGTAGAGGCTGGTACAGCGGAATTGAGGCCTTGGAATAGCCTGTTCGCCGTGTACACCCGAATTTGAGGATGGTTTTCAAGCTCTAAGTTGTGGACTGGACAATGCTAAAAACCTTGGTCGGAGGTCGGAGGTGTACGCTGACTAAGAAGTTTATGACCTTACCTAGGTACGCTTGCACTCAACAACACCACTCAGCCTGCGTAAAACATATAATGAGTGCAAGTCATCCTCGTATGAAGTAAAGCTCTATTGTACGTTCAAGGACGTATCGAATTCTATGACACACGATACTGTTTGCCGGACCCACCGGCGATATTATTTCAATCGAGTGACCAAAGCAAAGAATATCCCAAAAAGGAATCTACCTCTAGGATGCGTTGTTCGGTCGTCTCGAAAAGCAGCGTTTAATCAGCAATAATCAGCAATAACAAGTTTCACCAAGTTTCACGATGAGGACATCCGTCATGTGCACAGCTTCTCACAATTTCTAGTCAGCTAGATCCACTGGATCATTTGGCCTTCGTACACTACTATCTGTCACAGATATCTCAAATTTCAACTTGACGTGACATTGGGGTATATTACACAGCTCGTTCCTCCATCATCAAACATAGTCAACGACCCAGCACAAAATGTATTTCCGTATCCAGAGTCGTAAAAGAATGTCAAAATATTTTTTCTTGATGCGATTGACCAATCTAGGTGATTTCAAGCACCTCGTATAGATGTGGAAGACCCGCGTATTTCATAAATCATTTGATAGCGCTCCTCCGCCCTTGCTTCCTCAACCGCTCGGTTGATGAGAAGAGGGGGCACGTAACATGAGGAAACGAGGTATGAGCGAATGTGATAAGAACAGTTTGTGTCAGATGCATTTCCAGGAGAATTCAGAATTTCACATGTTCCGGTGGGGGAAAGTCCTTCTAATGCGCGCTCAATCAGTCCAAGCCCATGCCAATGCCATAGTCCGTCCCAATGCCTGTTGGTATCTCGGAAAGTTCCACGTGTCGTGAGTTTGGAAGGAAATTCGTAACGATGACACCAATGGAGAGATCAGCCCGGTAATGACATCGTGAGAGGCCAGGTTATGGGTCACTGCATTCCGGGTATATGGAATCAGTGCACCTGCCGAGCTGAAAGTAAAGTGGGGATACATTCTGATCGCCGGACGACGTAGAACAAAGCATGTAGCAAGTTGCGCTTCGTGACCTCATTATGGTGTAAATATGATGCAGACAAGGAGTAGACTTCAAGACGACGAGGTTCCAAAACCTGTACGATCAGATCAATCGTCATCTTCGTCCTCGTCTTCCTCCTCTTCCTCTGCACTCTCGCTGGCCTTTTTCGATTTCTTCGCGAGAGTGCCTTTCGCTTCTCCGTCAGCTTTCCTCTTGGCTGAACCCTGCTGTGGCTTCGATCGCTTTGCTGGTGTGTTCTCCTTGTTGTCGGGCCCATCATCGGTAGGCAGTGTGCCGTTCGCTTCCATAGCCGCCACTTCATCAGCTGTCAAGAAGCGCCCGCCAGGGCCACGGGGTCGTCGCATGGCGTGATTATGCCGGGACTCGTGAAGGTAAGGTTTCCGACCCTTCGACGTCAGTCTGAGTTGGTCCTCGAGTTTCTGTCTTGCCATGCGTCGTTTAAGAATACGATGGAATTGTTTGGCATTCACGTAGAGAGGGGACTCTTCCGCGCCCCCCGATACCATTTCGGGTGATTGCTGAGGCTGCTGGGGCTGTTGCTGAGGCATCGGCGCCGGGACAGCCGGACGAGCTCCATGTCCCATGACTGCTTGTGGAGGCTGCTGCACAGCAGGGCTGGTCAACTGTGTACTTACGCGACGCTGTGGAGGCATCTGAACCTGCGACTGTATACCGGGCTGGCCCATGGGACCGGAGCCTTGTGTAGGCGATCGAGGAGGGCCACGAGAATCCTTATTTACTCCAATGCGTGGCGATGCGCGGGGATCTTGGCTCATTTGACCTTGTATCGATTGATCGCCCATGGGATAATACTGTGGCCCTGCTGCTGCTGCGGTCGCCATCTGTTGAGCTTGGGTGGGCGACATGTTATGATTATAAATGGCTGAGTGTACGCCATATTGGTATGCCATTGGTTGGTGTACCTGGTGACTCTGTGGATTTTGATGCCCTCCTTGTGAATAGTTGTGTCCCTGTGAGGGGAGTATAGGCGATGTCTGGTTGAAGGGCTGATGCATTTGCCCTTGTTGGGTCGGTGATGTTATGGAGGCGCTCCCCGGTACAGGGTTCTGTTGTGCGGAGGGGTAGCTTTGCATGTGTGAGGGAGCATGACCGTGATGGTTCTGCTGATATGGAGGCGCGTATTCAGTCATGATTGCGCGAGTGCAACAGATGTGTAGACAGATGTATGCAGTGAGTCGCGCGGCGACTTAATGACGCGTTCAGATGTAGCTCTCTATCAGACTCTTTGTAACCAGTATTGATATACGGCTCAGCACTATAGCTTCCGCAAGGTGGGCGAGTGATAGGCCTTCGACGAGGTACGCGTACGCGATTGGGAGATTGAGCTTCGGTCGCTTGCAATACAGGCAGGGTACAGAGGATGCGATAAGTCCCGTAACCTGAGTCGATGGTCAAAGACTAGTGGCGGATGGATGTAGCTCGTGCTAAGTTCAGGTCAGTTGTTGCCTCCAATAACAGGTCTTGGATTCTTCTCAGCAGGATACACACCTAGTTAGATGAGGATTCGACGCGCGCAAGTCAGCTATTATGTTTGTGCTATCTTTGGGCGCGACAATGCCAGGACCGGTGACTTCTAGACTTCGTGATTGCGCTGGGCAGTGCTGTCAGGCCTCAACGTTTGGAGGTAGAGCTAGTATTCGCGGTACGAAGGATGATGCGTTGTCAATTGGGTGGCCAGCGACGATGAGGCGGCTCTGATAGTGGTAATGTGAGCGGGCAGCTTGACTGGCGGAGGCCAGCTAGGGTCAAGTCAACTCTATTTCGTCAACTATGCGCACAGAGATGATTTGAGGCGGTGCGCCAGGGAAGTGCTCACCGGAGAGAAGGCAATGCGCGTCTGAGGGAGGAATGGTGGATTGTGGGGTTATGAAGGAGCGTCGGAGGAAAGGGCCAGTAGAAGCGATGAATGATTATACCGGTTTCTGGAAGAACAGCAAAGACTCGTTAGAAAGGTCAGATACAGCGAGTAAGAAGCAATTGAGACGGAGGTGGGGAGGGAAATGGCCATGCGCTGGCGCAGGCGGAGACGGCGATTGGAGGTGATGCGTTGGCATTGCATGCCGGACGAGGGCCCTTACCGCGTTAATGCGCTCGTGAGTCGTCGCCTCGCCGCAGTTTTGCTGTGCCGTCAGCGTCGCCGGATGACGTTGGCCAATGCGACAGCTAGATTGAGGACGAGATGAGTGAAGTCTGTATAGAGACTGTGAGAGATGAGATAATATCAAGCAGCCGGCTTGCGACGCGACATGCGATGGAGTAGCAGCGCGCTGGGCGTAATGGTGGTGGTGGTGTGTGTGTAGTGGTAGTTGATGGTGGGCTGGCCTGGCAGGAAGCTGAATAAGCGGCAGTCAGTACCAAAACTTGGCTTCAGTCAGTAGTTGCGTGGCGCGCGCGCGAAATAGTGAAACAAGGGCTCACAACTGAGCGGGTACACACAGCTGTGATGCTGGCAGTATTAACCCTTCTAGGCGCGACAAGTGAGAAAGACAGGACAGCCAAAACAGCCTCAGCGTGTTGTGACTGACTACTGTCGAGAAGGTCGAGGACGCGTTCGAAGAGCAAGGGAGTGGTTTGCTTACTCAAAGCGGAGACCGCAGACAGTGACGGTCACGAGACTTGGATGTACAGTAGTGTCTCGAGAGAGAGAGAGAGAGGCTTGTTTTGAGGCGCGTGATCTGGAGGTGAGGGTGTAGTAGCGAGTGAGGGTTTCCTGTTCTGCGAGAGGTCCTTGCGAACGAGACGCTTGCTCCAGGCTCCAGGCTTCAAGCTTCAGGCTGCTTCACGTTGTTCGACTGGGACTGGCTGATATGGTGAACGTCGAGATATGTTTGGCTGAAGGAGAGTCGTGCTGCTTGCTTGGTGGAATGGAGCTAGCGACGATCACGATGGAGTGGTTGGACGAAACAGTTGGAAACTGGGGAGCTGGGGAAGAAGAGAACAGCAATGATTGGGAGCTGCAAAGTATTTCAATTGGCCTCCGCCTCGTCCGTGCTTTCGGCCATCAACGCGCTGCCTGGCCGGGCTGTGTGTGGTTCGCTCAACCCTCAATTTTCTCTTTCCCAGCCCCCTCCTTGATCGGTACACCCCCCCCCCCTTCTCTCTCTCCCTCTCTTACACACACTCTCTCCCTAGGTTCTTATTACTCTACCACCCACTTCCGCTGCATGGTCTTTTAGCGACGTTGGGCTGAGAGTCGCGGCCGGGGTTTGGCTCTATGACCCCCACTTTCAAAGCTGTCTGTCGCATAGGGCTCCTCTATGACTGCGCGACAGCCTGGTATAACTCGAATAACATGTATGTTCGAGAGGGACTCAGGCGTAGCCCGGCTCGTAAGACTACCAAACAAGCTCATATCCGGGATTTCCTGCGCGCTGTGGGCTACCTAATTATGACTCCCCAACCAGTATCAGTATCGAACCACTTGCAGCGCTTCCACTGCCACTCCTGGGCTATACCACAAGGCATACATTAGAGAGACAGGGAGAGAGAGTCATCTTGAAAATATCTTTGAAAACATCTGCAAAGCTCTCGGGTTCTATCAATGACATGCGCTCCATTTTTGCAGCTCTAATGGAGCCTGACGTGTCATCGTATCTTCACCGCTCGCCGAAGCTTGCCCGTCCCGCGCAGGGTAGCTTACCATCCCGCTCCACTCCAATGTTGTATATGTATGAGGTGATCTTTTCGCATCCGCGTCACGGGACTCCCCACGAGCTGGTGGGATTCGATCTGATAAAGTGAAAGACGATGCTAGCCAAAAGACGGAGCCAGCGGTTCGGAGCGTGATGGTTGATGCAATCACAAAAAAGGCTTGCCTCTAATTTCGGCTGCACGGCTTTTCTATTGGATAAGAGTATTGCCTTTTCACCCTGGCCGTCATCCTCTAAGCGCCCTTTTCCACGACTCTGCCGTCCGTTACGGAGTCTTTTTCCTGCAAGTCAGTCAACAGGTTGAGACTAGGGGCAGCCAATTGCAGGGAAGTTTCTTTACTTGGGTCTGTCTCGGTATTCATTCAGTCTTCTGTCCTTGTACAGTCAAGCCGGATATCACAAGCCTTCAGAATGTAAAGCGCTATGGCTGGCTACGTACACGAATGCATTTGACTTTCCCTAGTCGAGACTCTGCAACAACATAGGATTCTGCACGTGCTCACCATGAACCTTATGAAACAGTGCTCATCTCCTGGAAAACCAGCGAGCAAGCAGATCCACCGTATTGTCATCTACTTCCAGGAAAGCTGACGAACATCACTATTACTGAAAGTTCTGGCTGGTGCAGATAGGACTAGACTTCAGGACAACGGATCTCCTGATCTAACTTGCCTTACACGGGTTCCCCTAATTGGCCACTGCTTGTGTTTCGCGATCTAGGCATACTCTCATTCTCTCAGCGAAAGTCTGCTTTGAGGTTCAGCCTCGAGAGGAAGATCAGATAGATTCTGGACTTGTTGACGCCCTTGTCACGCCGTGAGGCGTAGGCATACATCCTACATGTGCTCATACCACGCTTGCCGCCTGTTCGTATCCGTGTTGCGATCAATGACGGGCAATCAGTTCTACCCATAATAAGTCGACACAAAACTACCTTGGTGTCATCTTTGACGCACGTTTTGCCAACAAGATTTCTGATGTGAGGCTCTGTAGCATGCTGGGCATTTGTTTGCCTTCGAAGTTTGCGTAGATCTCTCATGTACGGTGCGAACGATGCATACAATCAATGTAAGCCAGTCATATTATCATCCGAGCAGCTGCCCAGCATAACAAGCCCAACTGACAAACGATCTAGCAGCAGCCGTCCTTCCCTGCGGATGTTTTCGTCACGTAGTTGTGTTGCTCAAGTACCTATTTCTCTTCCGCGGCATCGCATTCACCCAATAGGGAAGGACAATAAAGTGCCGCTCCGGAATTACCGGGCGGCCGCCCCCATTCCGTCTTCCACCGTACGTCAATGTGACCCAATCCTAGTCTTCTTTCTACTTTCTACTTTCATACAACTCACTGCTAGTTCATGGAAGCAGACCAATAACCATGAATCCCGCTGCTATTCTCCCTCAGATCAGATATACCTTGGTTACATGCGGCAAACAAGGCGTCATGATTGCAATTGTTTAGACAAATGCATAACCTAGTCGATTGTCGTACATCGTGTTGAGATTGACTGCCGCTTCCTTATCATCACCGAGGATATCTTTCGGCTGACACAGGTCGCTTGGTCATCATAGGTCCACTTGACGTTTCGAAGCCAGGCAGGACAGCCTCGACAATGAGGATTACCCATGCAAATACAGTCACGACAGAAAGAAGGGTTAGCTTATCATCGCATATGTCTATCATAGCATCCACTCGGCTGCATATGCACCCTTCGAAGCTAAGATCGACCATCTTTAGATTTCCTACCCTCCTGATTACCTCCCGGACGGGTTGCTCCAGTTCAACGACCACTGCAGTCTTTCGCAGGCCATATTGCAAGGCATGCGCGAAAGTGAGGAGAAAATAGCTGTTTGTCCACGCTATCCTTCGTCTAACCTGCTGCTTTGATGCTCTAATACTGGATTTCAACAAAGTCAAAGCAGACATGCTATACCGTCAATATTTTCTTTTACACACTGCGAGCATGATCCCTGCCAGACTCCCGGGGAAATTGGTCGCGACATGGTTCCAGCTCCCTGGGTCAAGCAGTTCTGTGCCTCGGCATCCTGGGCATATTCGTCAACCATGAGATTAGGAGACTTTTTAGGCTCGCAGGACGCGTTCGACTTTCCCGTTCCCCGCATTACACGCGCTAGTTTGAGAAATCAGATTGCGCGTTCCTGTGCCGCAGTAGCAGATGGTGGTGTCCTAGGACTATCTATGATCGCTGTCAGATAATTACTACTGCCCGATTGTCCGACGGCAGGAGCTGATGGTGTGTGGTGGTGCTGACGGCTTACAGGCGTGTACGGAAGTCTGCCTACCTTATTAGACATGCCGGGCATGCGTTACCACGCAGTTTGCATATCAGAGCGACACGAGCGGCTTGTTGAGCAACATGAACCACTACCATAGTGGGAAATACCACACAACGTCTTCCATTCGCAGCGGCGAGACCTTTCAGCCCCTTGATTTGTCCGAGCAGCCTCACTCTTCCGTATCACATTGGGACTTCCGCAGGCAAACAGGTCTGTGACTCGTCAGCCGACGTGCATATGGAGAGGCGATATATGCGTGACATATCACAACGGCCCGCATGAAGTGTGCTGCTCTTCCCGAGGATTCAACAGGCGCAAGATCCCCTATTCTCGTTTACACGATACTCTATTGAACTACATTGAAGCCTTCCATACCCTGCTTTGGTATTATGTTCAATATGTGCTTTTTTTATCAGAAAATTTGCCCCTGAGACAGCACTAGACAGGCTGCAGAGCTCATCATGGCTGATTTGGTCTATGCATGCTCCGGACCATTTAACATAGCTTAGGGAGAGATCCTGGAACAGATCACGAGCGAGATGCAGCACCAATATATGTGCTCATATGCGGGTGATATGTGCTTATGAACGAGAGAGAAACACCTGCGGCTGACAGATCCCAAACTACACTACCGGATACTGCGACTGTGTTGTTATGATGTCTAGTTCGCATGGCTTATAGGAGCTGACGGGCGTGTAAAATCCGCGATTCCTTAGATCCTGGAGCAGGCCATCAGCAACATGATCCTACTACCATGCGTGATCTACACCTATAAACCCCCAATCCCCCCAGCAGCCCAGCAGCCCATTCAGTGTGCATCCTCAGCCTCACACATCCTACAACCCACTCTCCACCATATATGCTCCCCACGTTCCTGAGACATCATGAACCCTGAGCAAACCGCCCAAGTACACCCAAAAAAGTGCAGATCTGCAGTTGCAGCAATAAGCTGCAACCATATCCCAGTATCGTCTTCGATCTCGACTGAAGGCTGGACATGCTATGAGCGGTTGGACATCAGGCTGAGAACGGGTCAAAACTTGTCCGTGGCGGCGGGTCACCCGTGACGGTATTCGATGATGACTAACAGAATGCTTACTGATTTCCAATGCGTGGAGGAAGGTGCCTTATTGGCTATGTGGAAGGAGTGATGGTGGATGGGTACCCGATGCGGTATATGTCAGTAGCTACGCGATGCATTCGATGCAGCAGCTGTATCAAGCTTGTGCAAATAGAAGTACGTGCTCTGAAATTCGGATAGCGAGATCCCAGAATCCCATCTGTATCATCCGCATAGCCCTATAATCGTTCAAACACTGATGAAATCACAAACACCAGACCACTCGAACAACACCCACCAGTATCCCATCATCATCATCCACACCATCAACACCAAATCCACCCTCCTACCGCTATCCATTCACCCCTCAACCCATATACCAAAATGTCCTACCTCCACCTCTACCCACTCCCACTCCCCCTCCCCCTCCGCCAAACAACCAAAAACAACCCAACAACAACCCCCCAAACAACCAAAACACAAACAATCGCCACCGGCAGAAACCCCCAGCGCTGCGTCATCATCGCCCATATCCCGCACCTTCGTCCCCTTCCCCTTTCTCCTCCATCTACACCACCACCACCACCTGCTCCTCCCACACCACGACCACGACCACCACCCCCCCGCACCCTCCACCCCCCTCCATCCCCAGGCCAATCATCCGGAATCCGATACCCGCCCGGCAACCGCCTGATAAAGCTGTGCGTCGCCACGGGCGCGGGGAATGTAATCTGCACGTGGCTCTCGCGCGTATTATCTAACTGCCCCACGTCACCATCACCGTGCTGCTGCTGCGGCTGTAAATCGAAGATTGTATAATCCGAGATCAGCGTGTCGGCGTGGTGGTCTGCGTATCCGGGGGGGTCGGGCACGTGGGGTGGATGTTTGGGTAGGGGGTGAGAGAGGGGTGTGAGGTCGACGTCTGTGAAGGGGGAGTTGTGGATGCGGTGTTGGTGGAGGAGGAGGAGGGGTGGGAAGGGGGGAGTGGAGAGGCTGGTGTATGGTGGTGGAGGGGAGGAATGACGTGAGGGCCTTTCGCGGTATGCGGGTGGTGAGGGTGATGGGGTGTGGTTTCGTGGCATTTTTGAAGACGGGATGTAAAGGTGTGTTGAAGGGGCTTTGGGATCGGAATGGGATGGAATAGGGGTCATGGGCAAACTGAGAGGGAGGGAAAGGCGCATATTTGATCTCTGCGTTATGGATCGATGTGCTCGGACTGGAGTGCTGGCTGTAAGTCACTTCTGTTACGTAGATGTCTTTTTCTTCGGAATGGTGTTGGTGTCAGGGCGTGGAAAGGTGTGTCGTGGTGTGATGGGTCTTCTTGCTACTTGTGCGGACAACTCATGCGGGTACGTTATTCCCTGAATGATAGTAGGAGGTGACAAACATGTACGGTGTTGATACAGTTCCGAGTGTCGGATGTGTGATGTCGCAAAGTCATTGGATATCTTGTCTATATTCACTTATAGAAGAGAGCTATTGTTGCTGCTATCAACCACTGGCGTAGCAACTGTCTCCCTTCCACGTTTTGCATTCGCTGGGACTTCACGCAGTCTGAGTCTGAGCCTCAGGGGCTGCTGGTCCACCAGTGTTGCGCTGTGTGCTGACGGCATAATCTTTCAAAAAGCCCTCATCGTTGCTAAACTCCTCACGTACCTGGTACTAGTCAGCATGTTGGTCCAGTCAGTCACCACACGCACGTCACTTACAATATCCAGCCCGCCAACAAGTTCACCATCGACCCACAGCTGAGGGTATGTTGGCCAATCGCCATATTCCTTCAGTCCCTGCCTCACGTCGTCGTCGGCCAAGATGTTGAAGAAGCCGTACCGTATGCCCTTCTCCCGAAGTAAACTCACCGTCTGTCTGCTGAACCCACATTGAGGCGCACTTGGGGTTCCCTTCATGAACAGCATCACCGGCGCGGCCTTTACCAGACCCTCCAGACGAGCATTGAGCTCCTCTTTGCTAGGCGCATCGTTGCTTGAGTATTCCGGTGCCGTCTTCGGGTCGTCCGCGCTCGGCGCATACGCAGACAGATTCTTCGCTACATTCCCAGTCGCTGAGCCGTTCGCCTCCTCGGCTGGTCTTGTCACGCTCTGTGCCGGTGGGAGCTCATTCTTAGTCGCGCTCTTGCCGGCGTACTTCTCAATCGTTGTTCGCACTTTGGCCGCGTCACCACCTGAGATAGTCTCCAAGGTCTTTCCGTCTTTCTGTAGTGCGATGAACGGCACGGCCGTCACATCATATTGCTCGGAGATATCTGGAAGGTCTTCTGCGTTTATTGAGAGGAAGGATATTTGAGGTGGTGATTCGAGTGTGTATGTGCCGGCAAGCGCGTTGAGTACAGCAGACATTTGTGTGCACGGCGCAGCCCATGGTGCATGGAAGTATACAACTAGGAGTGTGCTAGGTGCGAGGGAGCTCGTGTGCTGTGAGAAATCACCATCACTTGTGATCTCCCGGACGGTGGCGGTCTGCGCCATTGTGGATGAGGCAGAGGAGACAATATCGCAAAGTTTGAGATTCAATGCTGCAAGAGACTGATAGCAGTAGAAATCTGTTATACACCTCTGGACTGACGATAGAAACAGAGATGTGTAAGGAACCCGAGGTTACGGCGTTTGCAGTGTATGGCGGCCTAAGAACGTGATTACAAAAAGAACCGTTCCGAAGTTTTGTCGATAAGTCACGTCACAGCGCACGTGCCATCTAGTGTTGAGGGGCACCGGCGGTCAGGGTCCTATACATGCATAAGCCATAAAATCGGCCAACATGCAACGTCCGTATGTATAGACTCACCCATCATATACTTATATGATACACGAACTCGACAAATTTTCTCAGCAGGCTATCACATGAAGAGAGACATGTACTAATACTCGTAGATCTACCATGAGGACTTTTCCTCATATATTTATCAATTGGCTATAGCTCGGATATATAAGAACGCCAGATATAGGAGGGAGATCGCGTAATGATCTATCTTACTACCTAGAAGCATGATTCAGCTTATACACATTCTCTTAATAGCGACATCAGGCTATCAAATGGAAGAGCAGGTACATAAGACCTACACAAGTGAACAAGCACCAACATTCCCTACCATCCAGTTGCTATCTGTAAAAAGCCGATTATAACCCGCACTATGGTGAACAGTGAATCAAGTAGATGAGTTAATTCTTGACCACGCAAAATCGCGGCACGTTACACTGTTATGGTAGCACTATCGTTAACGATCAGTGTCAGCCAATTTCGTAGCTGTTTACGGCTAGATTCGGCGAAGCACGTTGTCGCTATCGAGGTGATAACAATTCGTTTTCACCTTGTTCACTTCAGCGGTGCGTGAACCTTTGGCCTTCCATTAGGCTTCGATCGAAACGGATAGATCGCGATTCATCTCTCTGTCTCGCCACCTTGCTCTTCCTCTTAAACCTCTCTTCCACTCTCACTGGACCAAGGCAAGTTTTCTCCTAGCCCGGATTAGTTTGACAGCAGTTCCGCCCTCGGTAGGTCATCCTTCCGTGGCTCTGACTTCGAGCATGGTGAACCAGTGAGACTTTACTAAAGGGTCATAGGTCAACCATCGCACCTTGTTCTTGAACGCTCACCGGATTTTCGATAGTCAACATGGCAACCAAACCGGGAAACTCGAGTTATGATGCCAAGCAAATGGCATTCTCTTTAGATACCATGGCGACTGTACTGGCCGCGCAAGGAATCACCTCTATTCCCAACACAGCCTACGCAATGATGAGCGCCCTTGACGGCCAACGCACTGTCAATTCATTCCAGCATCAATTCCGCCCGGTTGTAAAGCGTGCCAAGGAGATAAAGGCACAAATGGACAGTGACGCCGGAATCCCTATTGCGGTCACTCCCAAGAAACGTGGTACTGGTCAGTAGATGTTTTCCATGCCTTGTTACCCAAGTCACACAGGATCCACTTGGACTTCAATACTGATTCTCTATCCAGCTGCGAAGGATGATTCCGAGGAAGCTACACCGACCAAGAAGCCACGCGCTACGCCCAAGAAGAAGGCTGTGGCAAACGGATCAGATACACCCAGCAAGCGTAAGGTTAAAGCCAAGGAGCCTGAGATGAAAGAGGAGACTGCCCAGATTCATGATGGCGTTGACGAATTTGCTCTTCCGGACAACATGCTGTTTCCCAATGCCAACTTTTCTTTCGATTTCAATGATGGTTCGAGCGAAGATGCTATCAAGCAGGAACCAGCTTTCTTCCAAGACAGTATGCTTAGCAACATGGCCGCAGACGAAGCGTAGGCGAGCTAGCGTGGAACAAGCTGTTAAGTTGGCTGAAAGTGGACAGGTTGAAAAGTACGAAGAAGACGTTAGCGACTAATAGTTGCGGGTATATCGTTGTGACGTGGTGGTTTTTAGACCTGGCTCAAGATCCGTCAAGTATACGGATAAGGTTCTCGACCTTGGTTGCAAAATGACTTTCCTGGTAGATACTCCATGTGAGAACTGCAATGCTTGATCAATGGCATATCGCTAGTAGTAGCAACGCACTTATCAAGCACTTACCGCAACTCGATGGCGTCATTGTTCGGGTCACGCCGTCACGTGTGCAGATTTGAACTGCTTGTAGAGTTTTGGTGTTCTGATGATTGAATAACCTGCCTATTCACCGATAACGTACGTACATCCTTCATCACCAATCCAGACTTCGTGAAGTTTTCTGGCGTCTACATCCCACCGGGCGCCGGCACCCAAAGTCTCTTTCTTTGGATTCGGGTCATCCGGATAGGTCATCGTCAAGGAACCTCTCAAAATGAGATGCGTTGTAGCACCCGGATGCGTATGTGAGGGATAGTGAGCATTGCTAAGCATTAGGTATATATGTGAGTATTATACTTGTGTATATGGTAGATTGCTTACGGCCCGTCGGTCCAGGTGAAGACATGGGAGAAGCCCCATGACTTCACAGCATCTTCGGCCTCTTTGCGTGTATCAAAAGTCATGTTCAGTGGCTGGCTGGTTCGTGCCTGTATCTGTAGTAAAGAAGGATTATGTTTCCAAGATTCTTTTAGGACAGGATGGATCGGACCCCTATGACGTTGGACAACACCGCTGACGCTAAATTGGCCCGCTGTTCCCCAGTTCTTTCATCGAGCTCCATCATAACACCCTGCACCTAAATTCTGAAACCGCATAGTACGCTACAAAGGAGTGAAAGCATCGTAGCAATCGTGTCGAGAGAAGAATCTCTGACCATGGTGAAGGTAGGTGCTGGCACGATTCTAGTGGGCAGTGCAGCGGGAGGGAAGGCGTGCACACTCAGCCACCTCAGCAAAGCACAGCTGGCGGCCAAGGGAGCTCCACCAAGATCCCATCTAGATGGATTCATCCATCTCCACTGAGACAAAATGCGGCTACGGCTCGTGAATGAAGCATCGCTCTTACCACTACCGCTACTGTCCTCCGTTCCTCCTACCGTCGGCTCTCAACAATAGCTACGCCGTATATTACTTAGTGAACGACAACTTGTCGTGCAAACATACCTCTATTGATTTAGCCCTGAGGGATCACTGATTGTAAGATTAGCCCCACCACGCATCCTTCGTCACTGTTTTCAGCTCCAGCGCATATCACTTGAGACCATCCTGACTATTCTTACTCCTATACCGCCTCAGATGCGCCATAGAAGGCCGCATGTGCTCTTCTCTACGGTCACACGGCAAACGCGTATCAATGCCATCACAAATGTAGTCGCTTAATCTGCTTGCTAATGTTGGACAAGTTCATACGCCGCCACTCTACGAGACGGCGGAACGAGAGATATAGGGCCTCCACTGTTAAAATCCTCGAATCAAACGCTCCAACCCCGTCTACGAGTACATCCAATACCTGGCCTACTTTCAGTGGGTTCAAGGCACCTTTCGGAGCTCCTACGGTTCTCACCATGTCGCTAACACAAGATTCAGAAGAGCAGGCAGGCGGAGGTGCAGCACTCAGTACCTCGCATCGTGCATGGCAGGTCGATCACATTACACCAGAACTCGAGCACTACATACATGTCGCATATGAGGAGTCGCACGCGAAGTACAATCTAAGAGGAGAGGGTAATGGCGTTGCGGGCTTTCTGCACGATATTCAAGGATGGTCGTCTGAAGCAGCTGAGAAGGCAGCAAAGGACATAGTCGTGCTAGATAGTGGTGCTTTCACCAAGTTCATGGCCGGCCCGGGTGGCAGCGACGCTACGGTCTTACCAGAGACCGACAGCTCCTACGAGATCTCCAACTACTTCATATCATCAAGCCATAACACCTATTTGACTGGCAACCAGCTCTCTAGCGACTCTAGCCCAGATGCGTACAAGAATGTCCTTCTCCGTGGCTGTCGTTGCGTTGAAATTGACGTTTGGGATGGCGACGATTCTGACTCGGAGACTGAGGATGCAAATAAAGAGAAGAAGCCGTCTGCGTTCAGTAGGCTAAAGAGCAAAGTTAAGCGGAAGATAGACAAGGATTCAGATAAAGACTCTTCGCAGGAAAACTCTCCCGAGCGCGTTGAACGGGTACCCACGACAGACACGAGGATCAAACCATGGACATCGACAGGATCGCGTGTAGAACCGAGGGTTCTGCACGGCTACACTGCGACGAAGGAGATCTCATTTAGATCAGTTTGTGAGGTCATTGCAAAGTATGCCTTCGTGAGCTCCAACCTCCCGGTCATTATTAGTCTCGAGGTCCACACGGGCCCTGAACAACAAGAGGTTATGGTCGAGATCATGAAGCAATGTTGGGGCCACCTCATGGTCAACTTGCCGTCGATACCTGATGGAGCAACGGCTGATGCGGTTACCTTACCAAAGCTGTCAGAACTGAAAAATAAGATATTGATCAAAGTCAAGTACTCGCCGCCAAAGGCACCTGCGACAGAGCCAGAGCCAGAGTCGATTCCAGCTCCGAAGCCCATACGCAAAGTAGACACTTCTTCGTCTCCTTCTTCGTCGGATGACGACAAGACCACTGCGGCCCGGAAGAAGCCTGTGGAGAAGAAGGCGAAGATTATTGACAAGCTAAGCTCTTTGGGTATATACACACGTAGTTATCACTTTTCTGGTTTCGACAAGCCCGAGGCCACAGTTCCCACTCATATCTTTTCTCTGTCTGAAGGCAAACTTATGGAGGTTCATGAACAGACACCATCTGCCCTTTTCAAGCACAACAGAAGTTTCCTCATGCGTGCTTATCCGAAGGGCACTCGCGTGTCTTCCTCAAATTTGGACGCTGCTGTTTTCTGGCGGCGCGGCGTTCAGATCGTTGCGCTGAATTGGCAAAAATGGGACGCCGGTATGATGCTTAATGAGGCCATGTTTGCAGGTACCGGCGGCTGGGTCCTGAAGCCAGAGGCTTATCGCAGCCACAGCATATCTTCACACCAGGAAGTGGCCTCAGACTGTGGTACCATGGACCTTGAGATAGAATTTTTTGCTGGTCAAGATCTGCCGCTACCACCCGAGGAGGATCCTACCAAGTTCCACCCTTATGTGAAATGCGAGATTCATGTTGAACAACCTGAAGAGCGATTTGGAGAGCCTAAAGGTGGCTCGAAGGCGAAAGAAGGCGAATACAAGGAACGAACGAAGACCGCGAAGGGACTCAACCCTGACTTTAAGCGTGAAGTCTTGCGATTCAAGAATGTGAGCGGCGTAGTGCCTGCTCTATCCTTTGTAAGGTACGTACGGCATAGTGCTATCTTCCTCCTTCTGTCTACATACCATGCTGTATGTATTTGGTCGTTCGACTCTGTTTGCATTGTGTTATGTGTCTGCCTGCATACATGAAGCAGCACCGGCGCCCAACCGCGCGGGGAGCTGCATGCATGAAGTACCCGTGAACCAGGGATGACAGATCATACTTATTGCACACCAGAAAAATCTCTGTCAGTCACGTACTCAAATTTCGGCATCCCGCATACACCGCGATCTTTCCCCCGGATCATTTACTGACTGTGTGCCCAACAGGTTCAAGCTCATGGATGACGACAGGCTTCGTGACGATCTGGCTGGCTGGGCTTGTTACCGTGTTGATAGACTTCAACCCGGTTATCGTATGCTCCACCTCTATGACTCTGAGGGTGTTCTGTCGAAAGGCGTCATATGGGTCCGTATCACGAAGACGTTGCGAATGAGCAAAGATTCCGGCGTTGGGAATACTCTTGGTGATGCCGTAGAGAAGCTGAACATATCTGGCTGAGCGGTTTATTCGAGAAAGGTGTGATCGCTGTTGTCAGAGACCAGCAGATTTACTTCGTAGCAACTTTGCGGGCTGAAGACGCCTCCATATTCCCAGCATCCAGGGATTCATTTCGGATCTGTTCGGCGAGGGAATACATTCCTATTACACTGCACTCATGATGCTAATGTTGCGCCTGGGCTTGCGGAACTTTGCCTCACCTTCAATCTCTTGCCGTCATCCTCTAGTCATTCATGCCGACTTCGCAGTGCCTTGGTGCTACTCAAGCCTCCACCCCGGTATGTACAGCAATATCGTCTCAATCATCTTGTATGCTCCTGCTATGTGCCTATCCGTCTATCTCTCCACCTCACGTGCTCCAATGCCTATTTCATGTCCGGTCACTCCCTGTACACGACTACCTAGCACCAACGTCCCGCAAGGATTTTCTCCCGGAAGGCACGATTCACAGCACCGCCAAGATTCCATGATTGCAAGACAGGTGTCGTCCCCCTCGAATGTTATATCTGACAGACTGTCACCATTCCGGTACCAGCGCAGCGGGTCGTGCAAGGGTGCGATCGCAATTCACGGTAGCCATGCGATACAATCCCCGCAGCCGCCTCACCATCCAAGCCACTGGTTCAGGCCGACATAATAGTAATTAGTGCCGACCGAGGATGTCCGAGGGACGGGAGATATCAGCATCGTAGAAGCACAGCAAATAGTGCCGAGGACGAAGGGCGGTCTGCCCGGACTCAGCTGTTAATTTGCTGATTGTGGCGTGACAAGTTTTCTGGGAGGCTTGGTAGACGAGGGTCGGTACGATGTTGCACGACAGCGGGCGTTGGGATGCTGTGCCTTTGTACTGGGATTGGGTTGGGTAGGGCAGGGCAGGGCAGGGGAAGGGTAAGGGTGAAGCTCCGAGGGGAGGAGCTTCCGAGGGAATGGTAGGCAGGGAGTGTGGACAGTATATCTATGACGAGTCAGAGGGAGGTATACAGAGAGCCTGGCTGAAGCTTTGTGCTTTGAACTGTGTTTCAATTTTGTTTTCGCTGGTGCCATAGACGGCTGTCCGATGATGCTATCTTGTGCTCTTGTTGCGAATCGATCCGGTCGACGGGCCATGAGTTACTTGATACTCTGCGGTGCAAGTTTAGTTTGCTCTGCAAGCATATTCCGTGGGTATGTCGTGATCTGGTCTCCATGTCATATGTACGAGCGTTAGGGGTGCGCTGGTGGCTGCCGTGGCGGCGTCGATTGACCTGGTACATCTTGCAGTAAGTGAGATGCGGCCGTCATGTACACATGATCCCTGGATAACCTCATAAATCGTCTAGTGCAACGGTTATGGGGAGACAATCTTTTGGAAAGTGTATGATGCGTGCTGGGTCACTTCCCTGTGTCCAGTTAACTTTGTCGAGACTTGGTTGCATTATTCTCGATTAGTGCATTCATCATTTTTGCTTTCGGCGAAGTTGACTTTTCGCCCTTTCTGTTTGATGGATGAGTTGTATAGTCGTGAATTACAAGATGCTCTTGCCTATATTCCGTCTCCCTAATTTTGGTCGTCATGTATATGGTTGCTTAACGCCCCCTGGCGCTAGTCGCGTCCGTAAGCTCATGTTTCGAAAACCTGTCGTTGTCGTGACCGTGTGACAGGGCTCGGCAATTTACTTTATCTCGGGGAAGTGGGAGAGCGCAACCGTAGCCACGGCCCGATGCGAAAACGTGAAGGATAAACCCCTGTCCAATGAGATTATTCTCCCACCTCCTTGGATGACCCTGGACGGCTGTTTGCGGGCAGTGGAATGAAAATCCTTCCGGAGGAAAGCGGAAATAGCATGGGTATTGTGGCATGGGCATCCTCATGCGATTGATGCTGGAGATCTTGACGACGGGTTCCGATGGCGGGAGGGAGATATAGTCAGCCAAATGTGTTGATGCGCATCGAGCGGCTGTTCACAAAGGGTTGTATCCCGCGATCGGTCGGTTCAGGTTTCGAGCATGCAGGGGTTATGACTCTGGTATGAGGGTAGTACTCAACAGACGCACAGGTTGGTAGAGAAATGGCTGGTAGTATAGTTAGGGATTGCTATATGTGCTTAAATGCTCTTCTAGTATTGAAGTTAGTTCATCTTCGCAGTGAGATGTCTTCTGTTGCATAATTAGTCAAGTAGTCGAAAGATTTTGAAACTCTATAAGGCCTCAGACATCCATTTGATAGAGGTGTGCATCTTAACCAACCACTGCTGGCATAGTGCGGCACAATGCCCTTGTAACACTACAACTGATCTCCTACTAGCTAGGACGATGATGCGCCCTGACTGTCTCTCTACTCCAAACCTCACAACAGTATCACACAAGAAGTAATGAGAACATCTTCCCAAGGGCACACCTAATGCTTTGAGGGGGTAAAGGTCTCTAGGGTTGCTTGTTTTGCTTAATGTCTCTTGTTACACATTCCTTGGGATCTATAACGGTGAACTCAGCACCATACACAACAAGGGATAACTGCAAATGGATCGCTGTGTATATGCAATTACGCCCGCCCCGGAATCACCAGGGAATCATAGGGTATTCTTCAGAAGGCACTGTCGTAATCAAGTAAGCCACCAATACTCGGCGATCACATTGTTCGGTCCTAGTCTATAGATAGGGATGGACCACCGAGACTGCGGCCATTGCACTTGAGAAAAGAATGCGTATCTGACACCCATCGAAACATTCTTGGAGCTTTTTAGAATCCCATGTTGACATGGCGGTGAGTGACGCCAGCGAGGATCAAATCTTAATTTGGGACTGCTATATGCTGATAGATTAGAAGTGACGCTGTTCATTGTGTCATAGTTACCATATAAAGATCTTCCACACGGTAGTCAATACTTGACCTAACCATTGATCTCGAGCTTGCGAGTGTGGTCTACGTTACTAGGATTGTGAAAGAGCCTCAGAGATCATACCCTAGGTCGACTAAAGTTGCAAATTACAGTGCTCACACAGCAGCAAACGACCCAGGATATGGCTACCCTTCACTGAGCATCTGGTATTGACCCAAGCAATCGAATAGTGTTGCTCAGGGATATCCCTGTAGTCCCACTCTGATCGAGAAATAGAGCCATGCAGATTCCGGGAGGAGCCATCTTGCGACATCCTTTGAGAAGTCTCTGAGCCAATCATCGGCAACCATCATGTTTTGGCAAAGGACCTCTCTAGCTTTTTGCATGCTACAATACTTGCTTCGTCACAGTTCCCCTATAAACATGCTTCGATTAGTCACTTTCGTCGCATGTCGCACCTCCGCTACTCAGCGTCATGCGTTGTCATCCTTTGCGTACAACTGCGACGGCAAGCCCGGCAGAGCTTACAATTGGCTGCTCGGATGTATATCCGCAGCCACTGATATCGCTCGTGATAAGAAGCAGTTCCCCGTATAATGAAGCCGACGGTGCTAACTACACGCAGAAAGTGACTGACAGAACATGACGACTAGTTTTTAACCCAGGATGTTTACCCAAGATTCTAAACCGAACCCTGTCATATATCTTTCAATATCTGTAGGGCATTCAAGGACTATTGTGTATAGATCCCGACGGAACACATAACTACGGAGTTATATGATGCAGCTTGCAGATCAGTCTAGAGATTGACGGTAGAAAATCGATACAGAGTAGTTCAAAGATGATCGAAGACTTGGGCCGCCTCGGCGAAGCTGCCGATATTGTATAAGAATGAACCGAATCTTCTAATAGATAGCTCTATAGATGCACAAACACCTGGTCCGTGCAATGACACCTGTGCTCGCGCCTGGTGATTAGAGGTAGTACTATATGACCTATCATATATATTGACGAGTCAAACGGAAATAGTTGTCTTTTAGGGCCCCGCAGCAAGCGGATCTGAGCGGACACAAACTCAATAATAGGCGTCGTGCTGCATATATCCACTTCGAAACGGGTCTCTAGTTGTCTTGGGTAACCAAAATTCAGCCTTGTCCGACGCCTGTCTTCAATAACCAGGCACTAGCAGGAGACACGAAAACTCGTCATAGTGGTGGTACTACAGAAATGTGAAAATACCAGAATACCGGCCCTTTGGCACTCCCTGACATCCAACAGAGCGGGTCAGTATTCCTGCGGTGTGTTTGTTTCGTTGCCCTATAGATCAATGTGGTGTATATTGACGATATTAATGTCTTTTGCGCCTCGTCATGCAGCCCATCGCAGCCATGAGCTAGAAAGCAACCTCCTAGTACCACGTCCACGACTAAACAGACGCCCCTCGTTCCTATCGTCTATAGCTCCATGCACCCTACCCACTGGCTTGGTATCAACTGCGCTTTCACCGCTTCATCTTCCACTTGCTTGGCTAACACTGCGTCTCCCTTATACCTGGTGGTATGTATGGCCAGATATCGGAGTAGTTGGTGTCGCAGCAACTTGCGGTGACCGGAGACGATTGCGAGAGGTTTGACTATAAATTCGAGGCATCGCTTCAGGTCGAATGGCTTGCTCATATCCTCCGAATTCCAATCGTAAACGTCTCAAACTCAAGTGGCTATCCAGACCAAGCCAGGCTTTTGTAAAACAACCACAGACTCCTTAATTCTTCCTCATGTGTGCCTCCGGTTCCAATGACAGAGTCACAAATGTGAACCAGCAGATCAATGCTGATATTGCTCCGACGGACTACACTGTATGTTGACAAACGATAGTATATTCTAGAGAAAATTCAAGCTGACCATTCGAAAGGTACCTGGCCGAAAGTGTCCCAAATGTTTGAGTGAAGGATCCACGGTCTGGGTAATCCCAGGTAAATGCTGCCCGGCATGCGGAACGCCAGTAGGCTAAAACCGGCAGAGGTAAAGCTATTGCTAAGATCGAGGGTGTCCATACTGATCGCATATCATAGATGACTAGCTTAAGACCAGATTGGTATGAGACTGTTTGGAATGGTATCGAAGCAAGGGCAGAGGAAAAATTACCAGGAGCGCAAAAGTGATAGGATATATGGGCAGCAATTAATCTAATGTTCACGGGATCCGGGTGGAACACGGGACGATCGTCTTGTACTGTCAACTAGAACGTTGTTGGTAGATAATTCCAGAGCAGACCACTGTATACCATTGCTTGTCGAGTCTGTTGAGAGCTTTGACTGCATGAGTCGATCGTAAGTTGTGTACGAACCAGTGAGGAATGATACCAATGGATTGTGACTACGCGGCTTCGCTTGGTCACCTAAGGCCAGGGCAGTGTTACAAGAAGGTGGACAGGTAGATCCAGTGGATTGATTGTCTTGACGATGGCTGTGGAGGGAATCCATGAAGTAAGTCAACTCTCGAATTTCTTCCGACTCTTCTTCGTATCTCGTGGCATCTATGTCGAGAGCCTGGGCTGATTCCGGTTTGCAGCTTTTCACAGAAGGCCGCTTGAGCAGGATCAGCACGGTCAAATTAAGTACTTCATCAATCTCGTGCTAACTCTTCCAGTCTCAGTGTGACCACTGAACCTCTTGAGCAGAACGGTATTCAGATACTGTGTAACGGGAAATTAGGTACCAATACATACTGGAGTTCTGAGTCGAGCTGCCTGGTCCTGACGGAGGGTTATGGAGATGACCAAATCTGTGGTATCGAGATTCGTATGTTTTGCTGTTGATGGATTAGGATGCCCGCTTGACTGTACTCACACTGGCGCGTCGAAGAAAGTAATCGGCGATATTTTGCCCTTACCTGCGGAATCCATGACCAAAGTTGGAAGTGCTGTGTAGACTGAAGATGAATTACCGGTGATAGTGATTGGAATATGAATAACCAAATGAATAGAAAGCTTCTTAGGTCGGTGACGAGCGTAAGACTTTAGGTATGTGGATCCTGTGGACTGGACTGGTGAGGCTGCTCAATATCTATTGAATAGCGTTGAAATCTTAACAATAGACTTGAAGAAGGGAAAGGAGTAGCCTTGAGAAGCTAGATATAGACAATTGGACAGGTAGAACAGGTGCAATAGGTGCATAACCAGACCAGTGAATCCAGGGCAGCTAGAGAGGGCCAATCGTCTGGTCATGGGAGACTGTCATTGAATTTCCAGCGCACGCATCCGTCTGAAAATTGCAAGCCATAGGGCGAGCGAGAAATCCAGTGGCTACGAGGTGCCGGGCGATATAAGTCTAGCTCGATACCGTTGTAATAGAGTGGACGAGGCAGACTTGAACATACAATATCATCTCATCTTCTTTGATAAGACAGAGTCCAAACGAGTTTTCCAAGTGGTACCTAAATTGCGGAACCTGAGAAGCAACACATCTAGAAAATTGCGCTTCTTCGAGAGGCACTCGTCACTCTAAAGGCCCTATGGACTTGAAGCAGTTGGCCAAACCAGAAGATATGTACCGGTATCAGCCTCGTTGTTGCAGAGGTGGGACGTTGCCACGAGCTTTCGAAAGAGGGCGTTGGTGGCGTGAGAAGTTTCATGGATTGCCATGTATCTAATTTGGTAATTCGATGCAGGGGTAATGGAACTGATCAGAGGAGTATTGCAATGAAAGGCTCGCGTACGGCTAGAATACCGAGATGGAAGTAGCAACTTAACATTTTTTGTCTGGAGCCATTGAAAGGATATGCGAGTGCCCACAAGACCTCGACGTCCGGAAGATTTCTGGTGAACCAAACTGTTGATTCTCGGCAGGACATCCCATAATCATGGGTACGCGATAGATCGTGAGGCGGAAAGTGAGGCAAACTATCCATACCTAATGAGCCTCGAATTCTGATCCTTGTGTGGGGTCTTAGAGGTAGGCTATTAAGGTGTCATATTGCGTCTTTTCTGCAATGCAGAACATCGCTTCGTGAAGCAGAGCAAACGGCCGGTCTTGGATATACTTGCTTCGTGGTGGGGGAGCCTTACCGTAAGGCAAGATACAACAAATGAGCCGAGATGAACTACGCATATTGCGATGCATATATTACGCCCTGCGACCAAGCCTCGTGGTGAGGCTGTAAGAGGCGCATGGACGTTGAATGAATGATGACCAGGAGATACCTCGGCCTGCCGTAAGCAACTAAACCTGATCAGGCAATAATTACTGTAACGAGCTTCGATCACAGCGGAATGACTCCTGTCCTGCGTCTGGCCATCGGCGACTCCAACTCTTCAAAATTCATTGCCTGTCCAACACTAAAAAACTACCCGCATGTGTTCGCGCGGAAGAATACTCAGGATTGACTTGTTGGAGTGAGCTTCAAATGAACTCATTCGATGATGAATCATGGAGAGAAAAGAATGAGATATGCGAGAACTAGAAGAAGATACTTAGACCTCCTTCGTCCAGCCAAAGTATATAGTACATATTTTCATGCTTAAACCTGCATGACTCGTCTCCGCTCAAGCTTGCAAGCTTCGTTGCTCATGGTGAAAACAACCCAACCCCCTCCGCGTGTCTAAGCCAAGTTAGCAGGTATATCACCGGGCCTTGTTATTCACACAGAGAAGCACAGATGCATAGGATATGACACAAATGTGCAGGATGAGTGCGTAGCGTATGCAAACCGTGGCCATCACTTTGTGCGGCTATGTGGGACTGTGGCTCTGTTCCGCCTCCTCTGCCCTTTCTTCGTCCCACCACATGGTGAGTCCAAGGCCTGATTGCTGCATTGATACCTGATGGAGTCAGCATACTGCAATTGAGCCTCGCCATCGTGATACGAACAAGCAAACTATAAGGTGGCTGATCATCCTTGCCAGAATCTTCAGATCCAGGGGCTTGGGGTGATCGGTCATGCCACTCTTCGGATTCGACGCGAAAACGGATGACTTCCCCCAAGTCAAAGTAGAGCTCGCCATCACCTCCCTCTGGTGTCCAGACCCAGGACAATTCCTTCGCATCACTGCAGAGAATTAGCTGTAGAATCGAGCTGTACATAAAATGATGCGTACAATGTTGTGTCCTCAAAAAGAGAAGTAGGTGCAGGAGCGGTAATATCTTCGAAGAATTCGAGGCCGACTAAATGTTTGTCAGCATACATGAGCCGCGACCTGATGAGTGCCTACTTTTGATGGCATTTTCGTCGCTACGTATTATGCGCCCCTGAAGGATTTCACCTTTGAATGGTCGAAATACCAAAAGTCGAAAGTCAACTAAATGGTTGCTTTAGTCAGATATTGCAAGAAACCCGATAATTGAGCATACCATGCACGTATACTATGCCAGACCCGTGACCTATGAGGCCATCGGAGATCTTTTCTATATCGAAAACGCATATGCAAAGGCCGACTTGTTGTAGAACCTGGGCTTTGATCAGCCATCGTACAGATACATTGACGGGATATTCTACCTTGTTTGAGTATTTGCTATGTATGTTGTCCTTTATGGCATCAGGCGTGGGCTTTGTGAAATCTTTTGGATCAATCGGGATCAGATCGGATATCGAAGTCTGAAAATTGTGTCTTAGCTAGAAGTGTTGCAGATATCGGTAAAGAAATTATTCCATACAAGAACAAACATTGTGAGCTACTTTCATCTAGGAACATACTGGTATCGTTCTCCGCTTTCATCCAGAATGACCCTTTTCCGAGACGCGCCCGAACGCGTCGCAAGAAAAAGAATGACGGTAGTGCGGAGTTAAGAATTTTAGCGTTACGTTCCGGAGCTCGGACCACTATCACCATTTCTCTTCGAGGAATAGCTTTCGATGCGACAAACGTGCATACTATTATCATATCCTTACCTAGACTGATAAATGCTGTATAATGACCGAAGCGGCTCACGTTGATCTTTTCTACAAGACGCACTATGCCAGCTGCTTTCACGTTTCCTCCTCTACCTCCGCCTCCGCCAAAAGCTGCGCCGGTCGAGAGCTTCAATAGCCCGGCGTCGTCTTTTACACCCAATTCGCATAATGATGGAACACAGTACAGTAGTAGAGCTCATAATCATGGCACAGGTGGAGGAAGGGGTCAAAATCATAGAGGGAGCAGAGGAGCTAGGTATGGTGCAAGAGGAGGAAGGGGAACGGCGACCAATCAACATGGGAGACCTGACGGGAACCGGAATAGTCACGACAAGCAGACCGCGATACAGTCGAGCGAACACAGAAGCATCCCGAATCAGTCGTCTACGGGAATTATAGCAAACGACCAGAACGCGACGAACGTGAACGGAAGCCAAACTCTGCCACCCGAGATGCAACAGCAGTATGCGGCATACACTACCGCTGCCCAGATGATGTGGAACTCACCGGAGTTCCAGACCAAGCTCAATCAAGCTCAAGCCCACCTGTCAAACGCTCGGCCCGCGTCGAGTCCGCAACATTCAGCCAACACCTACAATCAGGAGTCCCACCCAGGCGTAGCAGCACAAGACCGTAACGCTTCTGCGCCCAGAACAGAGAGAATGTATAATTCGAGCGGCCCGAGGGACTCTCGTAAGGATCACCAATCGCCCAGAGGCCGTGGACGAGGCACATCGAACAAGCCCCAAGTCAGGCAGCGCGTAGCCGTCGCCCCTTCAGTCCCTAGCTTTGGCTTCTCGCTCCCGACCCCTGTATCTCCTGCTTCACGACCGAGCGAACACTCAAAAGATAGCAGGAGCAACAAGAAACGAAAGACTACGCATTTAGGCCTGATAAATGAGGAAGAGCCGCAATACTCCAGCGAGGAGGAGGAGATTGACGAGGAAGCACACTATGCCGGGTCCATCGACACGATCAGAATCGAGTACGGTGACCGCACTGTAAAGCTAAGCAACGCGGCCGAAATCGCTGCGTGGAGGGCAGAGCGCCGAAGAGAATTCCCTACCCAAGCACGCGTCCAACAAAAGAAACAGGAAGCTGCCGAGCTGCGCGATAAACTGCTGCAGTTACAGCGAGGATGCGAGCCCTCATCACGCACCGAACGCATCGAAAGCAGGTCGAAAGAATACCCCAAAGCAGCTCCAGCACCTGCCCGGGACAACGACACGCAAACCCGTGATCGAAACGAAGACCTCAACACCCCACGAAGACGCGCCCAGGAGTCCACAGACAACCGTAAACCTCCTGTCGCCGCCACAGCAACCACCAGCTCGAATCCACTCCGACGACAAGACACAAACCCAACCATCAGTCTCAACCTCAACTACGCCAGCGACTCAGACTCCGACGACCAAGCCGACCAAGCCAACTCCGACCACGAGACCAACATCAACGCCTCCCTATCCGACACCTCATCCATAATATCCAGCTCCTCCGCCCTCTCCCCCTCAGACCCAGACTCCTCAGACTCAAACTCAGACTCAGACTCCTCCTCCTCCTCCGCCCACCCCGAAACCCTCTCCTCAAAACTCCCTCCAAACCCCCTCTTCATTCCCCCACCACACCATCATCATCCTCCCCCGCACAACGCCCCCACCAAAACCACACACCCCAAACTCTGCCCCTCACTCCGCAAATCCAACCGCCACTGCAAATTCGGACCCCGCTGCAGATTCCGCCACCAGCAAACAGCCGAGGAGCAGGAGCAGCAGCAGGAGCGGCGACGACGGCGGCGGCACGGTGCTGGCAACGATAACGACGAGAACAGCAGGAAGCATAAGAGGAAGCAGAGAATCACTCTCCGCGACCGCTGGGCGGCGCAGGAGGTTGCCGAGGCGAATAAGCTTGCGCTCGAGGCGATTAAGTATTTGGGGAAGAAGGGGTTTTTGACGTGAGTTTGGGGCATCCAAGGGGGGGGCGGGGGGTTTGGGTAGAGAGTATAGCGTAGTGTAGTATAGCATGATAATCAGAGAGCGTCACAGGATATATATATCTCCATGCCCGGCCCCGACCGAGGCTTTAATTTGCATGGGATGGCATGCGTGCATGTACGGCGATAGATAAGGGAAGTAATAAGGGGATGAGAAAGAAGGAAAGAAAGAAGGCAAGCATCGTCCCAGAGGAATAAGGAGACAGCCCAACCTATCAAAAAGAAACCACATAACCCCATAACCCCAAGACCACTACCCCCTCCCATCACACTCTTCAAATCTCGAATCTCCAATCTCAAATCTCAAATCTCAAATCTCAAATCTCCAATCTCCAATCTCCAATCTCCAATCTCCAATCTCAAATCTCAAATACGGGGATCTGCACGTGAACCGTTGAACCATTGAATTTTTTTTGAAACTTTGACTTTGACTTTGAATTTGCATTTGCATTTGCATTTGACCCTGCCTGACCTTGACCCTGACTTTGACCTAAACACCCAACCAATCAACCCTAGACCCTAGACCCTAAACCCTAACGCTGACTCTGACTAGCGCCCCCTAAAGGCTTCAATTCACCCAGCGAGCAAAACAAACAAAAAGCCCGCGAATCCATCATCAATTCGCCTACACTCCACTCCACTCCACTTCCCCCCATAGGTTCCGTCTTTCCGTCTTCTCCACTCATCTCTCCCATCTTCTCCGTTGTCCAGGTCCCATGTCCGTGCAGTGCAGTGCAGCCAAGGGACACACACAAACACCAAACACACAAACACAAACACACAGACACCAAACACACAAACACACAAACACACACCATATGGTATCATATCATCCACCAGCAGCAGCAGCAGCAGCTTCCATTGCATTCATTGGTCATTCTCATCTTTCATTTCTCGTCTCCATCCCATCCCATTTTCATCTCATCTCATCTCATCTCATCTCATCTCATCTCATCTCAATTCTTCTTCCCATCTCTACACGACAAAAACACACACAACCAACGCAAAAAAGGCGCAATGATGGATGGGACAACAACAACAACAACAACTACAACAACAAGCTAAACATGCCAGAGCAAACCCCACGCACCACCAAATCATTCAACAAGCAGAATATCCTCGATCAACCAAGGAGTTGTTGCTTCATGCACGACCGGTTTCCCTTTCCCCGCTGGCTGGCTGGCTGGCTGGCTGGCTGGCTGGCTGGCTGGCTGGCTGGCTGTGCTTTCGAGCTGCTGTGTGCGTTGTTGAGGAAGTAAGTGAGAGGTGAAGCGAGAGACAGAAAAGAAGAAGAAGAACAAAAAAATGGGGCTACCCAAAGACGGAAAGATCATAAACAAACAGACTCCCGTACATGCTTCTTTTCTTTTCGTAATGGCTCTCTTGCTAGTAGTAAGGCTGGCTGGCTGGCTGGCTGGCTGAATGGTATTTGTGTGTGTGCGTCCGTGTGTTGGGTATGTTTCCAGCTTTCCTCAGTGATGCTCCCTCTTCGTATCGCGAAATATAAAACCCCTCCAACACCCTTCCCCCCCTCCTTCCATTCCCGATTAGAGACGGACATTAAGACGCGAGCGCGAGGGCCGACCAGTCCGTCGATGATATGGACCTTCGCTTTCGGATTCTTCTTTCCTTCTCGCTTAGCAATTTTATGCAAATGATTAACATGATTGAATTCCAAAACGCCTTTTTTTTCCAGATGCAAGTCAAAGGATGGGGTAGTCCTATGCATATCCAGCAATACGTCGTGGATATGTCCTGGGTGGTGCTATACAGGTAGGGGCGATCTGCAAAAACACCTCTTAGGTGTAGCGCAGTCTGTTTCTGGCTTGATCAACCGGCTCCAGTGATACCCATGGGGTTTTGCTTCTGCATGCCTGGGCTTGACCGGTAAGGTTGTCGATGAGGGCTGCCTCCACGAGACTCTGAGCTCCCATTCGAATGACCATGTGCATATGGCAAATTTGGAGTTGCTAGCTCATGCTGGTGCTGTGGAGGTGTGTTTTGAGCACTAGAGGGTCCGTATGTCATATGCTGATTTCCGCCTACATGTCGAACGGATGATTCGTTCTGCCACTGAGGGGGTACTGTGTCGATGCGCGCCACGGCAGCACCGTTAGCCTGCTTTCCTTCGCGAGAGCGAGGTCTCTGCGTTTGAGTGTTGGTGATGGTTGCTTGTGGAACGCGTCCGATCTCTCCCCAACGCTTCAGGATCTCTTTGGTGGTCAGGTCGGGGCTGATTTCGAATAGTGTAGAATCGCTGAGCATGGAGACGATATCCTCAGGAACCTGTGACTGCATTAATACATGTTGATGCTTTGAAGTTGACTGTAAGTGATGACGTACCTCGCACATGGACTCGTTGCATTCGATGAGAGTATGGACGACTTCGATCGCAAGGAAGCTGGTGTCCATTTCCATGCCTTTGGTGTTGGAATAGAGGATATTGGGCGCAACCACGGTTGCGAGGTTATGGATATCCATCTTGCTGCCTGTTTCTTCATCTACGGTAGAGAACGATGAGGCCCAATTGAGGAAAGAGAACAAGACCTCCATGCAATCTCTGTGCACTTTCGGAAGAAGACAACATGTGAGGTGTAGAACGCGACGACGGCTGTCCTCATCTTGGAGCTCTGGAATCACGTTAGCAATGTTTATGAACACCGGAAGACTAATTACGTACGTGCTCCGACAATGAACAGCTTGTAGAGCTTGAAAGTCAGGATTGGATCAGGCAGCTCGCGAAGAAATTTCTTCAGCAGGGCTGCAACTTGTACTGGGTTTTCCTTGGTAAGGTCGACGGTGTCGCCACCATCCCTATCAATCTGTTCCGCCAACTCCTTCAGTCGCCTGATGTTACCATTCTTGCGGAAAACACCCTCGACGGACATATCCATAGATCGCATCGCTGAGATGGAGTCCTGGACCAACGCCGGAATCTTCAAGGTGCCAAAGCCCACTCCATCTGTAGACTCAGCACCGTCGATTTCGACAGTATGCTCAAGTGCTCGGCCGAATATTCCCTTTTTCTTGGTAGGCCCTTTCTGCTTGGAGTCTGGTTTGAATGCTTTGCCGAATTTAGCCCAGAAGTTGTTGCGCTTCGTTTCGATTAGATCAAGAAGTTCTTCCTGGTTGAATTTGCCCTCTAGAAGGGGTTCCATGGATAGAACAGCAATGTGTCGCACGATGAAATACTCCAATGCCGACAGCTCTGAAAAGTATTTCTTGGGTCGCGTCATGGGTTCTCCCGCGGCAGCCATCTCAAGTTCTTGACCTCCCGAGAAGTCGCGACGATGACCGTTGATAAGCCTGGCTTTCGGTTCAGAGCCGACGAGGTTTCCCCGCGCGTACTTGGAAGCATTTGGCCTCTGGTCTCGTGCCTGCTCGGCCGCGACAAGCCTGGGAATATCGTCCAGCGCAAGGGCGTTGCCACCTAGATTGAGAGCACCACTGCCTTCGCCATTTGCGTCTTTGTCTTGCGTGTAATGCATACCTTGCCCCGTCATTGAGTCCCCATAGGCGTCGTCCGAGCGTCCCATAAGTCCATCAGGACCGTCGATGATACGGGAACTTCGTGCTCTCTTCATGGTGCTTGAAAGGTGTTTATCTAGTCGTTGAGATCGCAGACGGCGGATGTCACCGAGAGTCTGTTCGTACGAATTTTGCTGACCGTCGTTCCCACTTGAGCCGCCGTAAGATTTCGAACGTGTATTGGAGCGAAGCAAGCCAGGTGCGTCTTCACCGTCAGACAATCGGTGGCCTTTGTTTGAATCGTAGTCTGCGAGGTTTGGATCGTCTGGGGAAAAAAAGTCAGTAGCTCGACAGGCATCGTTGGGTTCTATATAATAGCTTACCGGAGGTGTGTGGAAGGGCACCGTTGGTCCGGAGGTTCGCCAAGAGCCTCGCATGGGCAACCCTCAATAAATGGACGTACTGTCGAAGTTTGGATACCGTCACAAAACCACCGTCCGCGTCCGGGGCGATTCGCGAACATTCACTGCACAAAACTCTTTGCCTCGAGCTTGTCCAACGCGCATCCGAGATGTTTTCAGTCATATCATTACCACAATTCTGACAAACCATACATCCTGTGTGGAAAACAAGGTGACCATTTTTGAAACACCTGTCCTCGACCGATTTCTCGCACACGGGGCAGGTATCTGCAGAGCGTGGCGTGTACAGCGCAGACTCGGTATTCGCGTCTGCTTCTGCATCTTTCTCGATCTTCGGTTCCAAGGCGTTTATATCGTTCAAGAAGCTTCCAAGGCCTTCCTGATTGCCAGTCTCTCTTTCAAGACGTAACGAGCCCTGTAGGCAGATACGGATGAGAAGTTTGAGGTAGTGGGCGAGACCTGTAACGAGAGAAAGCAGCTCCTGAGTCACACCAAGCCGACGTACTCCCGATGTTTGGGATGACTCTGCAAGCAGCTGGAAGAAAGCCACGACCTTCTTGCACAACAACTTTGCTTCGCGTGAATATGACAGACCTGATACGTTTAGTACAAGAGGCACTTTGCAATAGGGGCGCGGCTTACCTTTGGGGGTGTGAGCGACCAGCAATTGATCGAGATTATCTGCCGCACCAAACAAAAGGTCGATGTGAACGATGAACTTCTTGGCAGCCATTACACCCTCCATGTAGGCTCCATTGCTGACATGGAGCAGCATGTCTGAAATGCAAGTGGCAGATTTCTCCTCGAAAGCCGATAGGGTCCGCCATATCCAGAGGACTTTTTCCTCGACTTTCTCTTCACTCTTTCGTACTGCTTCCCTGACTTCGTCGGATGCTTTATCGTCGTCCGTCTCGGGCTCTATCACAGCCTGATTTGACGACGCCAAGCGTACATTCCAATATTTGTGGATCATGTAGCATTCCGGATGCCAGTGCTGGTTCTGACCATTTCGGAAAATCTCAACGAATTGCTTGAGGATCGAAGTCTGGCACCCATTGCAACGCTGTGCGAATCGGGTGGAATAGTGAAAGTGACAATAGACGTTGCCTTCATGTTCGTAATAGCTGTCAGCAGCACCAAACACTGTTGGGCATACTGAACACGTGAAATGCTCGATGTGATATTTTCGGTCCAGGGCAGTTATGTATGAGCCTCTGAGTGCGCCACCACATGCATAGCATAATAAGTCCAGACGTTTGAAGTAATCGACTTCGCACAGAGGGTACTGGTTTGGACCAGAGTCTGGGACAGGAAAGAACTTTGAGGCAACGATCTTGTCACAGTCCTGGGTTTCAGGGAATTAGCACTGAGGTTGGTGAAGGATTGAAAGCAACGATACTGACATGGCACGTAAAACACTCCAGGTGATATGTGTCACCGAGAGCCCGAACAAATTGTCCTGTCAGATTTTGACTGCACTTCCCGCATATCCTTGAGCCACTAGGCCGCCGATTTGCGCTTTTCTGTGACCGGTCTCTTGGAATGGAGCTGGATGGCTGTTCCGATACTCTTCCTTGCCTATCCTGTGATTCTGACTGACGCGTGGGCACTAGCTCTCTGCTCACATTGTCTTGCGAGGGCCGCGGTCGTTGATCCATTGGTGGTGCTGGTTGTGACTTGGGGTACGGGTTTGGATTGTATGTCGACGTGGGGTCTCGCGACGGATATTGGCGACTCGAGAGATTTGGAGCGGGACCTGACCGTTCAGGAGCCTGATGCGAGCCCTCAGATGGGCCCATTATTCAATAGCGAGGTGATAGCCAAAGAAGCTGTGTGAGCCCGGTACTCGACGAGGTTGAATACGTGGGGTCGAATATGCAGGTACAGGGAAAGTCGCACTGGCGGGCCGTTGTGCGCGCTGACGAAACCGTTTGCGACGTGTTGGGTCGGCCAAAATTAATGCCAGTTCGCATGTAAGACGTTGTAGAGGTACAGCTTCGTGGACGTAAGGCGTCGGTGAAGGGTTGATGTATGTGAGAGGTGCGGCGGTTAATCAGTCGTGGCTAAGCTCATCACGCAAATGACGATGGCTAGCGGAGTCTCCGAGACTGCTCTTATCCCACTTTCAATGCCTAAGAGTTGGTGTATCGAGGGCAACAGCAGAGCGCTCAAGGATTTGTTGGCATCGCGCTTGGCTGATGAAGCTGTGAAGTGGTGCAGGTGGAGCGAATCTGTCCCTGGACGTGACGGTGAAGCGGGCAGCGGTTGAGCGTAAGGGATGCGGAGTAGGACACTGGTCGACTGGAGGTGAGCGCGTTGCGTCTTGAGAACAGCAGGCTTGGGAGAGTTGTTACAGAATCGCGAATCAACAAGTGTAGAGAAAGGTTTGAGGCTGTACCTGGATGGGGCTCCTCGCAATTGTTGCCGGCGACCCCAGAGAAGCCGCCGTTACTCCATGCCAAGGCGCGCTAACCGCTTCCACAGGGCGCAAAGCTGGAGATTAAATCAATTCGCGCTAACCTCTTCTGTACGCATCGTGCTACTGTAAGATGCATTTAGCGAGATCTACCCTAAGCCTCACCCTCAATTCTCCGCCCACCCCTGTAGCGTCATGGCTGACGCTGACCGTTGCTGTTCTACTTGTAGAGTTCTTCCACCCTATGACTATGCTGAATAGTTCTATGGTATTTCAACCCTATGGTGGTTGTTTGGTCACATCTTGATTTGTTGACACGTCAATAGGATCTATCGGGACTCTAGTGAGACGCGTACACATACATGATACGAATCGAGAGATGCCTAGTGTTATTTTTAGTTCTTTCAATATTTGAGGAATTCTCTACCAGGGCGCAACCCAGGTAAACCAGTTTGCATACCAAGCTAAGCAGTCACAAGAAGCTACCAAGCGTATCTCTACAGTGAATCGTGGCATCTTGCAACGAAGAACAGTAAGACATATATGTGTGTGTTAGTAGTCATCATACTCCTCACACGTTGTCTGAAGATGATACCGATCGAATTAGGTTATCAGTAAAGGATGAAAGGTGCAAAGCACCAGACCGAAACAAACGAAGAAGTGTGTGCACTCGTGTACTAGCCAGCCGCGACGTCTACCCGGCAAACATTTGGCATGTTGTGCTTTGGTCTCCTCCAGTTTGGCAGACTGATATTAATGCGAGCGAAGGAGTTGTGAGGACCTGAACGGATCTAATGCTCGGAGATGGTAGATGTGCTTGGGTCCATCGCCCGTTTGGAACTGGAGAACTCGAAGGAAGGCAGAGCATAGCCAGACGGACCAGGATAGTCTAGAGATTCTGAGGAGCGTTGAATGCCCATGGCAAACTCGACAACTTGTCATTTAGCTGTCCTGATCCTATTCTACAGTGCATCAGACACATGTCGAGTTCGCAGCACAGCACAAAGACGTCCACAAGCTCCACGAGACGGTCGATATGCCAGACTGGATGCTCAACAATCATCGCCTCAAATGCAAGACGACATTGCTAGACATGCTAAATGTCTATGGCGGACTTACAAGTCCGATGCCGTGAGGGAGAGTGTCAAAGTGCATCAGGTAACTGCGATGTAAATAAGAGCACTTCGCCATGGCTTCGGGCTTGATGTAGAACGCGCAAGACGCGTCTGGAGTGTGTACCAGAGGCTCTACAGCGATTGATCTGGACTGAATACTCATATAAGCTTCAACTCGCAAGGTGATATAATTGGTTAATACACGTGCTATCTCCAGTCAACTCATACAGTAGAACAAAATAGCAACACAAGCCAGCGATCGTCCATTACACTGGACAAATAGTGTGCCGTTGGCAGGCTTTCGTAGACGAACACGGGCAATGGTAGGCGGTGTTGCAGATGTTGAGCAGAACAGCTACAATAGAATCGAGAGCGTGCTCCCCGACATAAATACACGTTACACACATCCCGGAGTGCACGCTCTCAACGCTTCTGCATGCATGTAGGGCCAACGGGCGCGCATCATCCAAGACAAGGAATGGAGAGAAAGAGAGAGGGGAAAGATTGAGTGGGTGAAACGAGATGGCGAAACCGAGGATTAGGAAAGATGTCACAGCGCACACAACACATGACACACATGGCAGCGAGTGGCCACTGTGGACTGTAGTAGGAGCGTGAAGATGAAGAATATTAATAGTAGGAAGAGATGGGATGGACGACGGAGGATTGAGGCTGAGCGGGAACATATCTTGGCGGACTGCATGTCGTCACCTGGACTCTTTCTTGGAGGGAAGTCAGTCGTGTGCCTGTGCCTGTGCCTGTGCCTGTGTGCCTTCTGCCTCAGGCGGCGGAAATGACTAATTACTGTGCACCTTGGGCGGTAAGACGGGAGCAATGCATCGTGAGAATTGCGGGCCGCCGTTGTGGTGACCCGCCTGGATACATGCAGCTGACTGAATGGATGGCTTGTGAAAAGCCTGGGTAAGATACACACGCACGCACACAGAAATATATATGTACATATATATATATACGTATATCATATATCGTTACATGTGCCTCTACATATCTACGTTCTGTACATGTATTTGCTCCTCATCTGTACGAACACACAGCCATAGCCATAGGTACCTGTTGTACGTGGCATCTGCTCTGCATGTGCATCGAGTAGCTTAATTATGCCCAGGGTCCTCGGACCGCGAACCTTGGAACTGGCTGGAGAGTGTGGATTGTGGAGAGAAGTGGAGAGACGGGGCACGTGCAGCAGGCTCTTATCGGTTGACGAGAGAGTGCATTGTGATGGATAGCTTGTTCAGCATGATACATCATTTTGTCATTCTTGTCAATGTGTCATTTTAGCATTTCGCATTTAGCATGCTATGAAACCTGCGATTCGTGTCCAGAGGCAAGCAAGCAAATGTGAGGATAGCATCGACCGATTCGAGAGTAGGATAAGGTAACTAATTAGATGCTGGGACCGACGACGGAGATGGGCGGTGAGGATGGCGTGCAGGCAGGTTACAGCTACGTAACAGTTGATATCTCTAGGTAGGCACTTGCGACGACATGACAAGCCATGAACGACGGAAGGACAATCGATGTGTCGTAGGAATGGCAAAGGATGCAAAGCAAAAAAAAAGAACGCAGCTTGGCTTGTAGCAGTCAAGTCGCTCCATGCAGCTATGTATAGGCTTGGGCTTGGCACCTCTGAGCAGGACCAGGTTGTTGAAGTGTTGGGAGGAGGGATTGAATGAATGAGTAATTAGGAGTCAAGAAACAAGAGTCAAGGGCAAAGCCCAGGAGTGAATAATAGGTAAAAAGATTGAACATAGAAATGGAGGAGGCAGCGGACTGTGATTGGCTGAGCACGGCATGATTCCAGCTCCGAGCCAATGACAGCACGGGCAAAGTCATAAGAACAGAGGCTAAGGCAGCAAGGCACACAAATCCCTTATCTTGTGAGATCCGGTGCATGTGCGTCAGTGCGCAAGCCAGCCGGTTCTTCTTACGTACTGGGAGCGCTAGTCCTGATTCGGCCGAGATGCATCCCTCCATACACTTTCCCTCTCTCCTCTCTCCGTGCTCAGACCACCATTCATTCCCCCAATCATTCAATTCACTTCAACCCACCCTTTTTCGCCTTTTTCGCCTTTTTCGCCTTTTTGGCCTGTTTTGCCCACTTCTTCCTGCTCTACTAACACGCTATTATCCCATCATTACACTACTACACTCCCGGTATGATGCCCCGAATGCCCTGCCTGTCACTTCATTATTCTTCCTCCTCCTGAATATTATCGTCTACCGCGCCTTTATCTCCCGCTCTCTCTCTCACCACTCTCCCTCTTATATATACACTCTCAGAGGAACCATATCCCTCCACGCTTCCCCCCGACTGAGCTGCTGTTCCCATCCTTCCATTCCTCCCTCTCCCCCCACAACCGCCATTGGCATCAGATTCAAACAACAACAGCATTCCAATGACCGCTCGAACGATTGGCCATCTCATTCTCCTCGCTGCTGTCACTGGAAACTTGGGGCCCTGACCGAGAGCAGTCTTGAGTCTACTTGCTGAACACACACTACTTCTATATCATCTCCCTGTTCTGCATCTAGACTGTCCACCCACCCACTTCCTAATCAGGCCTGCACAAACATATCTGTATCACACGCCTGTCCCCATCCGTCCATCCACTTGACTTGGGTTGTGATCCCTTTGTTTTTCTTTTCCTCGGCGCGCTTCGACACACACTTCGACACACTCAAGCTGTGCCATTTTTGAACTCTTGTCTGCTCCCGGTCCTCTCACCCTTCCAACTTGTCCCACACGCGATAAGCCAAGGCTTTCTGTTATCGCCCACGTACCTAGGTAGTTGCTTGCTTGCGAATCCTCCAGAGCACAATTTATCTCCACCACCCCGACTGTGATTGCTGGCCACTCCAACCGCTTCACACACTCTCTCTCGGCTGCCCCGTCGTGTTTGTCTTTGTCAGCCAGGCCTCTTATCTCTCTCTCTCTATCTCTTTCACTGCTTCCTCCCGCCGGGTCTGAAACGGTACACCATGTCCACGGCTGTGGCCATCCAATCTTCCGCCCATCGTCCTTCGCCCGTCGCCATTCCCGCCAACCGCCCACGCCCTCCCACGAAACGCTCGTCCCCGTCCGGAAAGGAGAACATCCCTCACGGCAAATCAAAGTCGCAATCCGCTGCCAATTACAAGTCCGACGGCAACAACGCTAGGGCCCGCCGGGAACGGCCGTGTGACGCGTGCAGACGACGGAAGAGTCGTTGTGTAATACACGAGGGCCAGATCCTGTGTGTGCTGTGCGAGTTTCATAAGCAGGACTGTACCTTTGTCCAGGACCCTCAGCCACGCAAGAGGAAGGTTCCCACCGATGCCAAGGAGGAGACTGCGAAGAAAAGGTCGGTTGTCGCTCTGGCTGCTCTCGTCTCGTACCCTTAGCTCATATATCACTCCAGATCAAGCGAGATATACTCTCCTGCCCTAGTATCACATACTCCGACCATCACTCCGACCATCACTCGTACCTCTCCGCCCGTTGCCCCCAGCCCGATCCTGCTCACTACGTCTGCCCGGGACACCACTGCCCTCGGCGAGACTCTAGGCCTTCAGCGCAGACAGCATAGTAAATACATCGGCCTCACCACCGCCTTCGACCCGCTCCTCATCGGCCTGACCAAGTTCGACAATCGCAACGAAAGCACTTTTGACCTTGGCACGCTCCGGAAGGTGAACGACCATGAGTGTTTCATCATGCTTCCTGACGATTCCACGCAACAATATGGCCATGATATGGACACTCTGAACCAGATCGAGCAGATCGTCGCACCCCACGGTCCTGCCTTGCTAGATATCTTCTTCCGCATCGTCCACCCCAGCTTCCCCATCATCCAAAAGGAACTCCTCCTCGAACGCTATCGCAATGGTGACCGGTCCTTCTCACCGCCCCTGATGGCCGGAATCTACATCCTGGCTCTCAATTGGTGGTCCCACGACCCCAGTCTCGCCCAATACGTGAAGCCTGACGCCAGCCTCCTTGAGCCTATCGCCACGAGATCGCTGACTGCTGCAATGGAGCGTCCCAAACTGTCAACCGTCCAAGCCGGCCTCCTTCTCCTCCAGCGACCTGGTGCTGACTCCTGGTCACTGACAACACAGCTCGTCGCCATCGGCCAGGAACTCGGCCTCCACCTCGACTGCGCAAACTGGTCCATTCCTGCCTGGGAGCGCGGGCTACGCAAGCGTATCGCGTGGGCCCTGTACATGCAAGACAAATGGTCCTCCCTCATCCACGGCCGCCCAAGCCACATCTTCAGCGCAAACTGGGCCGTCCGCCCCATCACAACCGAAGACTTCTACGAGCAATCCGGCACCGCCGCCCAAACACTCGACGAAAGCCCGGAAGCCGACCAAGGCCGCGCCATCTACTCCGAAATGATTGCCCTGACCGGCATCATGGCCGAAGTCATGGACACCTTCTACACCCAAGTCGCCATCGCCGACTTCGCCGCCGCCGGCCGCAACAGCACCCGCCTCATCCTCGACCGCGCAAAGCCCGTCCAAATCCGCCTCAAAGAATGGTTCGCCAAACTGCCCGCCTGCACCCGCATGGACGCCCCTGTTCCGTCCCCTTCTTCCTCCTCCTCCTCCTCCTCCTCCTCCTCCCCTTCCAGCGTAAGCCCCGCCGGCTTCCTCCACCTCGCCTACTTCGCCACCGAAATCACCCTCCACCGCCGCATCATCCAATCCCTCCCCACCACCCCCGACCCCTACCTCACCTACATCTGCCGCAGCGCCGCAAAAACCCGCCTGATCTCCGCCATGGACTTTGTCAACCGCCTCAAGCCCGCCCACCTGCGCGCCTTCTGGCACTTTGCCGCCGCAATCAACTTTACCCTCATCGGCACCTTTGGCGCCCTCCTCCAGGCTACCGCCCCCGCCCGCGAGGAAGAAGCCTTTTATAACCTCCGCTTGCGCGAGTATCGCTGGACGCTCACTGTTAGTGCGCAGCGCGCGGATTGGCTCGGTTTCGCCGTTCGTATGCTCGATGCTAGTCGGCATATGCTTAGGGGTGTCGCGGAGAAACCGGCTGTGGCGGAGGTTAGCTCCGTGGGGGTTCCGGGTCGGGCGGAGGGTCTTGCTCGTGGCGTTGGTGGTGGTGGTGGTGCTGGTGTGGACGACGCCGACGGGAAGTCTTCCCACGACCGTGACCGCGATGTCGAAATGCGTGATGTCGATGGTGCGCTGCGGCGGCTTGATGCTTCTTCTTCTTCTTCAGCGTCTTCAGCTGCTGTTTCGAGGGCGGGCCCGAGTGTTAGTTTCGCGGGCTTTTCGAATGAGGACTTGTATGCTGTGCCGGCGCGGCGTGGTGGGCCGGGTGGGACTATGCGGGGTATGTTGGGGCATGGGGGTGAGGAGGGCGATGAGGGGGGGGAGGAGGAGGATGATGATGAGGATGAGGGTGAGGGTGAGGGTGAGGGTGAAGAGTAGGGGGTAGGGGCTGGAGGTAGGACGAGGAGGTAGGACTAGGACGAGGAGGTAGGACGAGGAAGTGCACGATGATGACGGACACGACGTTACGACCACGACGACGAATAGACTGTGTTTGTTTATCCTTTCCGGGAGAGGGCGGGGGTGGGGGTTTTGGGATTTGGGGTTTGGGGTTTCGGGTCTTTGTATTTGTTGTGCGGGCTGGGATTTGTACATGTACGCATGTATGGACGGACGGACGGACGGACGGACGCATGTATGGACACGTGTATGGACGCATATATGGACATGTCTATAAATCGACAGACGAGGCGAGGCGAGGCAAGGCATCAGATTAGCCAGTGTATACTTTCCGTCGGTGGCGGTGGTAGTTGGTCGGTGGTCGGTGACGGTGGGAGAAAGCAGGACGAAGCGATGCGAGGGTAGTCATGGATACACATACAACACAACACAACACAACCTGGCACACACAACCTGGCACACACAACACAACACACAACACAACCTGGCACACACAACACAACGCACATACATACATACGTATATATACATACAAATATAGAATACACACACTCGTCAACGAGTCATCGAGTCATCGAGTCATCGAGGGATTCAGATACCACAATATATATACATAAATATATATACCCCTTCCAACACGCCATGACCCCTTATACATATATTCAACAATGACACCCCTAGACCTCCCAGGCATCCTTACCAAGCAAAGCAAAGCAAACCAAACCAAACCAAACCAAACCAAACCAAACCAAACCAAACCAAACCAAACCAAACCAAACCAAACCAAACCAAAGAGCGCCCAATCAACGCCGTCCACACACACACATACATACATACATACATACATACATACATACATACATACATATACACCATATACACCTCGAGAGACAAAGATATTTTTCTTCTTCTTTTGCGGCGCCTACATACATACATACATACATACATACATACATACATACATACAGGACCACTGTATCACGCCCCACGCCCCATGCCCACCGCCCCACCGCGCTCTGTAAAATGTGCATGCCACTGCGTCATATAAGAAAAAAGGATTTCGCTTTCCCTTCCAGTCGAACGGTATTGAGTGTTGGGTGTTGGTAGTGTGAGTATGACATGCATGGCATGGCATGGCTAGTTACTTAGCCTTCACCTCCTCCTCCTGCTGCTGCTGCTCCTCCCCTGAGACTTTTACTACTACTACTACTCTACACCCGCACACCCGCACACCTCCACCCCAGCCTCCGCGTCCAAGCTAACAATGCCAGGCAACGCACTCAAAAACACCATACACGACGACCCACACAAAAGCAAGAAAAGACAAGAAACCCGACAATCCGGGGCCCTAACCCGTGTGGAACTTCTTGACCTTGTTCACGCCCTCGTACAGCGCGCGGTCGACGGCCGCCGCGACGGTGAGCGTCCCACCGACGACTGCACACATGCCGACCAGGAAGCCCGAGAACGAGCGAGATCGCACTTCGCGGTTGATGACTTTCATTGGGGAGATGTCCTGTGTGTTCTTGTTAGTGTCTTGGGGGGGCTCTCTTTGGATGGAAATAATCAAGGGGGGGGGGGGGGGGGAGGGTAGGTCATACGTAGGAGAAGAAGACGCCTGGGATGCCGCCGCGGGCGTGGATGCGCTCCTTGTGCCCCTCAGACTCGTCGCTGCCGCCTCGCAGGTTGCGCTTGTGGCTTGTCACCGAGTACTGGTGCGTCTCGATGCTGCCCTTGTATCCGTGGCCCATGCGGCCCAACGCGACCATCTCGTGGGGGATCCCGCCAGTCTCTTCCGTGTTCGACAGGCCCTCGGGTGTCTTTATCTTTTCCCAGCCGAGCGGTAGATACGCCGTGCTGACGACCTTGACAAAGTACATGTAGTTGAACGCCTTATCCGACGTGCTCTGCGTCGTGCCGTCGAGCGGGTTCAGGTGGTGGTTGGTCCACAATCCCGTCTGTCCGTGTCTGATGCGCTCAATCGCATCGTCTGGCAGCGGTGGGCCGAAGCGCAGACTATGAACCGTGTGCGTGAAGCTGTGGTCCGCCTCGTCCTTGAGGTAGTTGTCGAGGTCGTGGACATGCATGTTGCCGTTACTGAAGCTCTTGCCCGGCGCCAAGTGGAAGTTGCCCACGACTTTGTTGACGCGGATGCCGCCTTCGATGCGGCAGCCTTCGCGGCGCTGCTCGTCCAGTTTCTCCGCATAGTGCTCGCGCTGGCATTGCTCGACGCCCTCGCCGCGGCCAAAGGACCACGAGTTGCTGGCGTAAGCGTCGCGTACTTCTTCGCAGGTGTTGCAGCACCCGGATTTCCGGGCATTCTCAGGGGGTGGGGCCCCGTAACATTCGCCGCAGTACGAGGGGTCAAGATGTGTTGCTTCGTCTGCGTGTCTAGGTCGGTCAGTTGCGATTCTTAATGTACCAGCTCGCAGTTGAACGCATGTACTCACAGATCCAAACTAGTAGATGTAATGACCCGGCTTCCCTGGCTCGCCTCGCTCAGTCTGACCTTACTGATCCCATGCATGACACCTGCCTGAATCTCCCCACTCACGTCCATCACATCCAGCGTGAGCAGCTCGCACGGCATCTTGGGAAATGTGATGTTCATGAATATCTCCATCTTCTCGCCGCGACCTTTGTCGACCACCAGCTCAGGCTTCACCGTTATCCGCCGATAGTCTGCCCACTCGCCCCATACTAGCCAGAATATCACCAGCAGTGACGTTATCGTTACAACCCCTCCGGATGTGGTGCGCACTCGTGCGTCTTCGACTGTCTTGGTAAAGGCGTCCAGCCGCGTGAAGCGGTTCTTGACGGGCATTATGTGCGCTGCGAAAGGATAAGACCAGAACGACGAGGAATGGAGGAGTAAGTGCGTCGAAGATTTATATAGCGCAGTAGTCGTAACTCGTTGCTACGGCGGGCCAATTCACAACTCTCTTTCGGAATGCAGTCGCGCAGATGAATGAGGCTTTGTCTCTTAAAGACGCTTGAATCACAATGTTTCTAATCTGCGAACTGAAGGTCGATTCGAATTGGGCAAAGGAATAATACTATAACGAGAGTAGAAGACTCATTGTCTACTGGGCAGAAAACAAATGTAGTGGCGGAGCGAGCATGTGCGACAGATCGATATGCTGTCGAGGGAAACGGAACTAAACTGGGCTTAGGAAAGAGGACAGCTTTCTGTTCTCGGCTGGAGACGCGCCGTTACGCTAGCCCTATATAGCCTAGACTCGCCTCCAGAACTACCTACTATGCCTGAGGTCTGATGCTTGTAGTCCAGGTAATCCCACAACATACAAACGTGAACGCCTGAAGTAGTCTTAAACCAAAGGTGTGTTTCATATTGTCTCGACGTACCGAATGTGCTAGATGACATCCTTACTACGTCAGAGGACTGCCTTGGTCAGCTTATCGGAGTAATCTCATACTGGAAAAAGGTAAATGAACGAGAGATATATCCGATCAAGAGTTGATGATGCCCTCATTTGGCAAACGACGAACTCCTATCTATTCCACAAAGGCTGACCTTCGCTATCCCTCCAACGTCTGCCAAAGATCAAACGAAACGGCCAGGTTGCCTCCCATCGAACCCCGTGATATCGGCATGCTCAAGCAAACACATCATGGCATCTTCCATGAGCCCTCGCTCTCTGCTATCTGCCGTACACAGCCTGATGCTGTCATGAGTTCGAGTTCTTCTTCTTTGGTTTCCAAACAAGACATTCTACCTTGAATCCACACCCCTTGTGGTCAACTTCCCCTTGCCAATTGACTTCATTTCTTCCGATCGAAAAAGACCTCACGAGCTCGAAGCCTCGTCTCTCTAGCTCAGTCGTGTCTTCCGTCGTATCGTACCACACCTTCAAGTTGCGTTCCTCGGCCGCCCCGATAAACGGACTCAGAACCTCATCCAATGCTTCCTGGACAGGATACTGCCCCAGATCCTGTGCGATCATGCCCAGCACGTAATGTGGTCTCAGCGGGGTCCCCATGAGATGATTCTCACCTGACGAGTGTCTGCTCGCATGGCCGATAGCACCCTGCTTCCCATGGATCATAGAGATGGCATACTGACTTCTGACCCGTTGACGGTCATCACGGAGTAACCACCATGAGGTCAAGCCCGAAGCTTTAGTCCAGGTTGCGTTGCGGAGGTTGGCAAAGTCGGGGATTTCGCCAAGCGCGACCCAATTGAAGTTGTAAGCTTCGACGACATGTACGCAAGGGTCCTTGACAGCAGTGCGGACCAGTTTATCGATATACGTGGCGACTTGGTCGTCAGCGTCGACGTTGGGGCAAGCCTCACGCGCAAATGCGATCATGGAACGGTTGTTGATGTAATTGGTGACGAATATTTTAATGGCTCTCGCTAGGCCCGCCTCGTCGGTGACTTCGGCCCATGTTAATGGAGATACCGATGGCGATTCATCATAACCTGAGTCTATGGGCTGGGGGTTCAGTGAGCTGGGGATTGTAATTCGGAGTGGAGGAATAGGCATGGCTGAGCCTGAGCCGACAGATTGGATTAGAGATGACATGAATATATACCAGCTTGAGCGTCAAAGTAGCGCAATCTCAGCGAAAGACAAGGATGGGACCGGAAGTGATTTAGCACCCAGAATTGTCAGAGTACTCGAAAACTTTTCAAGGTGTCAGCTGTAGCACAGACTAGATCATACCGACAGAGAACAAGATTGAATCAATATCATGGCGTGAAAGACAGCATCTCATTGTGTCAAGTGGTAATGTGGCCGAACAATGTCCACGTGGATGTGAAGAGCTGTCATAACAAACAAACATAAGTGGCAACCAGATTGAGCCGGGAACAGCCATGCAAGACATTGCCCTTCACAAGTGGGCAGTTTCTCGGTTTGTTCAGTGGTCTAACAAATATGTCGATCATTCTGTCCCCATTCTTGAACAGCTGCATTCGATACGTTTGACATCGTCTAGATAGGACTAGTGCGTTAGAGAATGGCACTGTGAAAGGACAGGCCAATATTTTAAAATTCTGTGTGTTGACGAGAAGTACACCGAGGAGGATGCTATAACGGCTTGCCTAGTCTCCCTGGATAGCCAGAGCCGGGATAGTGGACATGCTCGTGAACGGAACCAAGCTGTTACAACTTGATCGGCTCGTTCCAGCAGAAACTTTCGAGCTACGTGTCTTTGCGAACAGATTGGTATTGATAACTGAAAACTGCGAATGAAGGCTATACGAGTACTATAGTTCGCGGACGTTAAAAGATTTCAACAAATGGCTCGCGCTCTTGACTTCATGGGGTCTATAATTTAGAGGAGTTATGAAGATTTGTTCTTCAACACATGGCCACCAACGATGATCCAAGGCTTCATACTACGCCATGCGTAGGGACATGTTACACAAGTTTCAAAACGGTCTCCAGCTGGGAACAAAAAGCGTTTCTTCTTATTTTCTATGTGTCTGAGTTGAATCGTCGAGGGCACAAGCTCAAGGCGCCAGTATGTATAAAATCAGAAAACCCCGATGCTGATGCGTTGGTACATATATATATCGATAAAATCGATAAGCCCGCTGCAAGGTTTCGTCAGGAGTGTATCAGGACTCTGTTTTTAGCCGCGAGAAGTACCCCTTCTTTTGTTGAATTCGAGCCATTATGCAGGCCTGAATCCTGTCCCTTATAATATCGTATCCAGAAACGGGACTTTAGGTGAAATTGATAGCAGAGCTATATGACCTACGAAAACTCAATCTCTCTTGGAGTTACTTCTTGTACGGAGGCCTGGTCGATCGGGAACAGAAAGACTTTCTGATTTGGTTCCATTTGCGTCATCAATTTTACCGTCTAATATGCCAAGCTTTTGCTTTTTGGGAGTTGGTATGGTGAGGCAGTTGATACCAAGATAGTCGCATATACTGTTGATTACCAGTATGGCCCATCTGAAGTAGATCACGTTGGCAAAGAGGAAGTAGGCCCAGAGGTACCCGATCTCGACGGTCGCTCCCAAAGGTTTAGACTCCATTCCGACCAGGGGTGCCAAAATCGGCAAGTTTGCAAGAACTGCCCCTCCTATCAGGGGCCATAGCATAACCGTCCAGTATGGAAATGGCTGTCGGGTAAGATGCGCAAGGATTATCTTGGTGGTCAGACGACCAAACACCAAAGACATCGTCAGGCAGTAAAGGACGAGATGGTTGGAGCTGAGAAGGATGGAGTAAGGTGAACCGAGCCACGCTATGGTTGCAACACAGAATATGACCATCGGTATCCACTCGAGAAATACCGGTGCAATGGGCAGGCCTTTTTCGCGACGTGCACGTATAACGTTTGTCACACACTCAGGGAGATGTGCGACGAAAAAACTACCAAGCAAAAGCGGCACCCAGAAGTCTCGTACGCCAATTTCATCTCCGATGTACGCAGATGCGGCGGGAATGTGTGATGCAACCGGGGTTGACCAGATTTGGGGCCCGTAAACACCCGAGAGAAGCATGATAGACGTCGCGATGATGAGTCCTTCTGTTGGTCCATTGAAATAACCCAAATACAACGTGTGCGTATGGTAGGTTTCCCATGTCGAGAAGTACATTGGTAGGCATGGCACGAGTGCAGTGAAAGCGCCCGTATACGATGGTCCAAATCCCATGGCTCCAGTTTCTAGCAGGCTAGCTAGTGTGCAATTGAGAGAATCGATGCCGTGGCTGTTCGGGATCAGTTGCCGCCGCGTTGCTACCTTGTGCCCATGACACTCACTCGAAAAGTTCTCCCAGACCACTTGAAGTACCGGTTCGTCGGGCTTGCTTACCGTCAATGTTGTCCATTGTCGAGTACCTGAGGGTGATGTCAATATATAGCCATGACGTGACCGCGTCAAACTGACATCCATAGTCCGATTGCGAAGCTGAAGTAGAGCCAGCTAGGAGCCTACCCTAATAGTCAGCCTCAAGATACCTTGAACATGTCTTGTAATTCCTCGTACCGGTCCTACTAGATCAGGCATGAAAATGCTTAACAAGACAACGTTTCCCAGTATGAAAAAGAAGCCGAGAAGCGTCACCATATTCGGTGCAAGCCATAGTGGCAGAAATTCCACAGCGGCATTCCACTACAGGACCGTGTCAAAGCAATTACTTCCGTTCTTGGACGTCCAATCATACGTAATGTTTAAGAATGTATCTGGAGATGTACGACTTGTCCACGCTCGAATATTTGTAGGTTCTAAGGTGCGAGAGGGCTTCATCAGATACACATTCGTGTGCGGCCTTCTCTACGGAAACTGTTAGCTGATATGCTCGTGTTTTTGGTAGAGACCCTGAGATGCTCGGTACGTACTGCTGTCGATAGCGGGCATGCTTGCGAGGTCTTATGCAGCTCATGCAAAAGTTGCAATGGTTGGCGATGCTGAAGACTGGGCGTCGCTTTTCAAGAAGTGTGGGATGAGCACGAATAAAGGAGCTTGACCATAGTTGTAGATGACACCACACCGAGGTGGAACACGCGCAATTTGAATATAGTGGACTGTGGTAGTAGTGTACTCCCGCGATGTCGCTTGCACAAATGCATAGGGTACCCGGAAGTGACTTAAAGTTAGTTGACAGCCAATATTAAGCAGCGCCAAGCTCCCACCAATTCAGGGTTCTTTGGCACGTGAAAGAACGCTAGAGCTCAACTTGCCCGAGAGCGGTGAGTAGGTTTGTGGTTTGTGGTTGTGTTTGCTTGCGCCCTGAATTTCTGTGTTTAAGCTATCTTCCTGCCGACATTGCCTATGCCTCTGCCAATCACACTGACTACGATGTTGCCCTGTCTATGCTCTTCAGTCGCATTGCTATCTCTTGCTGCCCATTGACTCGCGCCAAACGTCCGTAGATCTCGTGCCAAACTCAATATTGGTTCCGACGCAAATACATCCCGCCCCAACTCCAACCTTCCCACATCTTCCGATCCCATTGCCATCAAGGTAAGTGCGGTCGGTGCTCCAATGTTGGATATACATCCGCCTTGCGCTATCGACTCCAGTAGCTGTAAGGCACATCTCTTCCCAATCTCTTCCGCCGGCACCTCTCCACCGGGCGGCGATGCCATGTCTGCTGAATATAATGTGCCATTGTTGGTCTCTGCAACCAGTGAGATCCCAAACCCCTTTCCGAGTTTTCTTCCAGAATTCGGATTCGATTTGTCGCCATTTGTGACTGTCGGTGCCGGAGACACGTCAGAGTATATATAAGTGTCGGGCACCATTGGTCCCCTAGACTCGTCATCCTCATCATCTGCATCACTATCGCCAGAACTTCGAGAGCCATTGAGTACTTCGCGTACAGCTCGGATCATTCGTTCGTTGTTGGAACGATGTACACCGACTGCGGATGCCACGCCCTGAACCTTTTTCACTCTGCCAGGGTTGAGGATATGTATCGTTTTGGGTAATCGGACTTGGTGACCGAACACTAGCTGAACCTCACCACCACCTCCCTTTCCGCCCGGACCAGCACACGACCTCTTCAGTATTCTGAGCTCGATTTTGTTTTGTATGCCGAAGTGTGCGTATAACGGTAATATTGCTGTCCGCACAGTATCGACACTGATATCTCCAGCCTCTGTCGAACTAGTGATCACACCGGAACCAGTGAACAGCACATTGACGGGTGCCTTTGCAAATGGCGCAAGCATACAAAGGGGCACAAGGAAATAGCTGATACCCCTTACACAATCTTTCTCGATCTCATGGCGAATGACGCCCTCTCCACTTGCGCCGTAACCCTTCGCGCTGCCAGTAATCAAGCCCGGACGGTAGACTATTGTGGAGCCAGTATATGAGAAATCTATTACCGAGCCATTGGTTACAGAATCAAGTAGACGTATAAAATTGGTTTCGTGATATGCGAGACCGGGAGAGGTGTGTGACGAAGATCGAATGTTCGAAACGCGTATAGGACGCCCAGTGAGTGTTGAAAGGACAAGCCGTTGGACAAGGGACTTATGGCCGGTGAACTTGAGAGGAGGCTGCGAGGTACCGGTAGACATTGAGACGCGGCTTCGATGTGAACGAGTGAGGATTCGAGGTTCGAGGTTCGAGGTTCGAGGAGGGATCAGCTATATATTAATCATCTTCGACACGGCGTGGGCTGGTTAGAGAAGTGCGTAGTGCATGCGGTATGCATGCGACGTAAAATAATTTTGGGCAGCGCTATCGATAAGGACGTCGACTACGGCCTGCCAAGCCTCGTATTCCGTATTATTCGTCCGGGGGAATTATGCAGTACAGCATTACACATAATACACACAGCGTTACGTATCAAGGGCTGTGGCGGGCTGAGCACTCGCCTGTCACTGCTGCCCATCTGCTCCACACAACCCACCACCACCACCCCCGAGCTCCACATTCGCCGAATCAACACCAGGCTGCCAGTATTACTCCTTTACATACACTCACAAAGTGTCGAATCGCCCTCGTCAATTGTCCCTGGGCATCCTCCTCACCTATTCTGACAGCCCAGTCTCCGCTCCAGCCCCTTGGCGACTCTCCCACCTTCGCTAAACATGGCTACCTCCGAAGCTACCATCAGAAAGATACATGCGGACATCGTCTCTAGCAAACTCCCAGCAAACGTCTCGGCGAAATGGACAATCTTTTCTGCGGCGCGGGGCCTGAAAGTCGAAGAGGATTACGACGGCAATATGGTTAGAGGTTCGTATATTCTCACCTCGGAAACGGATACGACTGACGTGTTGACCAGAGGGCGACATTGACGCCTTCGTCAAAGACTATTCCAGCCCGGACTACGAAGGGTCTATTCTGTTCGCTTTGGTTAAACTGGCCATACCAAACACGCAGCCTGTCGCCGAAAAATGCGCTTTGGTTGAATGGGTGAGTCTGAGGCGGGCATTCCGAGCACATTGGGTTCTAACTATAGAGGACTCCAGTGCGATACCAACGCTCCTCCTCTATTGAGAAACAACTTTTTTCCGGGACAGTCGAATGCGCTCAAGAAACTTCTGCCGGTATGCGCATATCAGGAGATACTCATCAAACGTTATCTAATAGTAGTAGGGCTATAATGTACCAATGGAGATCCGCACCCGTGAAGACCTGACGGCGGAAGATGTCCTTCAGAAAGTAGGTGGTGCAGCTCCTCAAGCTGGTGCGCGCGGAGCTGGAGGTCCCCCACCGCCTGTCGCAAGCAAACCCGTCGTCAGCAGGCCTACTCGTGTTGCTGGAGGTGGGTCTGGGTTCAACCCACTCGGATCTGGGGTCCGAGCTGCGTCTCAAAGAGGAGATGTTGATAAAGACGGCTGGGGAGCAGATGCTCCACCTGTTACACGGTCGCAATTAGAAAAAGTAGAATCTGCATACAAGCCTACAAAAGTCGATCTTGGCACCATGCGGCGGTCTGAGCAAGAGCCATCAAGATATATCACGCCGCAACGGGATGACACACCAAGCGACGTGGTTCGAGGTGGTTACCAACCTATTGGGAAGGTCGATATTGCCGAGATTCGGAGGAAGGCTAAGGAGGGCGGAGGAGCACAAGACGACCGTCCAACAATCGTAAAAGGAGCATACGAACCTGTCGGAAAGGTCGACATTGCTGCTATTCGCGCCAAAGCGCAAGGCCCAGGAGCTGCCTCAACGCCTTCGCGAGTATCACCAGCTGCTACAGGGGGATCGGCGCAAGACGAGGAAGCACCAAAGTCCCTGGCCGAGCGATCCGCGGCATTCAGTCAATCCGAACGACTTGCTTCTCTACCGAAACCCAAAGTTGCCAACAAGTTTGGCTCGGGTGGTAGCACATTCGCAGGCACAAAAGCTCCCACACCGGCTGCTCTTGGACCCAAGCCTACTACTGCAGCTCCGGTCGGTATCGCAAGCCGCACATTTGCGGATGAAGGTGGCAAAACTCCTGCTCAAATCTGGGCAGAGAAGAAGGCTCGCCAAGGAGGTGCACCACAACCTGTACAAGCACAACCGTCTGGCCTGTCTAGCCAAGCTAGCGGAGATGGGGGATGGAAGAGTGGCTACTCTGGAAAGTCATGGGCTCCTGTTCAGACCACTCATACTGGTACAGGGAGCAACATCAGTGCGCAAAAGACTGGTCAAGAAGAACAAGAAGACGAGCCGGTACCTGCAGGTGGCGTCGGTGCCATTCGTGACCGCTTCAAGGATGCCGCCCCTATCGGAATGGGCGCTCCACCTCCTCCCAGGGGTGTCTCAGCGCCATCACCTCCACAAATGGATATGTCAAGCAAGCCTCATGCCGGAGGACCGCGAGGCGTTCCAATACCTGGCCTTCCTACACGTCCAGCAGCAGCTGAAGAAGACGACTATCCGGACGAGCAAACGCAACATATTCCTCCACCGCCAGCCCAGCCTCGCAGCCCGTCTCCACCAACTCCGGACGAGATGCGTTCTTCTTCACCAGTGCGGATTGCTATGCCCGTAGGACGAGGCGCTGCCCCTGAGCCCGCCGAGGAACCAGAACAGTCCTTACCTGCCGCCTCTTTGTCAAAGGTCGTATCTGAAAGACAAGAAACCGATGACGAGCCTCAAGCGGAAGACGACGAAGCAGCTCGCGGCGCTGCACAAACAATGGGCGGCAGCTCTGCACCCGCGGCAACCGGTGGCCAGCGTGCACAGATCCAGTACGATTACGAGCCCGCAGAGGACAATGAGATTGAGCTGCGCGAGGGCGATTTCGTGACCAACATCGACATGGTCGACGATGACTGGTGGATGGGCGTCAACAGCAAAGGAGAACAAGGCCTGTTCCCAAGCAACTATGTCGAGCTCGTAGAGGACGAACAACCTGCCGCCCCTGCTCCTGCTCCTGCGCCTGCTGCTCGCGACGTACCTCCACCTCCACCGCCTGCTGCCGCGCCTGCTGCCTCGCAGGGTGCCACCGCCACTGCACAATACGACTATGAAGCCGCAGAAGACAACGAGCTCAGCTTCCCAGACGGTGCAACAATCACCGGTGTCGTAAGTCCTCGGCCATTCCATATGTATTCAATGAACAGTCGCTAATAAAATCACACAGGAGTTCCCCGACGATGACTGGTGGTTCGGCCATTATGGCGGTAAGGAAGGCTTGTTCCCTGCCAACTACGTACAGCTTGACCAGTAGATTCATTCAAAAAGAAGAAGAAGAAGAGGAGTATAAGAAAAAATCTCGCACTGTTGGCACCGTAGTGGTGCCAGGTAGAAAAAATTGTAACTATCTCACAGTCCGGCGCTAGACATATATAAGCTGCATGACTTTATTTTTACTGCCTATCCTGTTGCTTGCCTACGTTTTATGTGACAGACACCATGGGGTATATATAAAGGCCCCCTACACAAGCCCACTTCTCGTAACGGTAATGGCGCTCTCGAACATGCTTCGAGCACTGCCAAGTTCCATCTCACATATATCCTGACACGCGATCAGATAATCTTGAAAGCCTCTACCGAAACGCTGGTGCGCTCGGTAGGTCATGGGAGGCAGTAGAACCCCTTTACATTTTTTTGTCTTTGCAACAAGCAGGCCAACAACGCTTTACGTCCTACAGTGCAGATTACACCGTACCACGAGCAATAGCTGTACATGTAATCTCGTCACCAAACCAAGTACCCCCAAACTAGAAGAACACCCCTGCCACAGCAGCGCCAAAACCTTCTCATCTAGATTTCCTCGACGCCGACCCCTTTTTCGACTTCTTGCCCTCGCGAACAGCATCAGCCTCCTTGAGCGCCTCCTGTAACTCGCCGTGTTTCCTCTTGCCCTGGGCCTTGCTATTCTTGACCGCCACGGTCGTACTCTTCCCAGCGCGGATCTGGCGCTCAGGCTCCTCCCAGTCGGCGGCATCGCCGGTGGCGATTTCGTAGCGGTCGAGGGGCAGCGCATCGATCATGCTCCGCACTCTTTCTTTTTCTTCCTTCCGCACCTCGGCTACGCCGTCTTCTAGTTCGTCGTTGAGCGTCTGGGCCAGAGGTTTGAATCTATCGTTCGCTGCCTCGGTGTTATTGGGCTCGTCAAGCGGGTGCTCGGGCTCTGGCGCTTCGGGTAAGGTCTCCGCGATTGCGCCCTCGAGCAGAGAACGGAAATGCAGAGAGATCTTCCGCACAATCTTGATGAACATTGCCAGTAGCTGGCTGTTTTGCAGATTGAGTTCCTTCTCCAAATCATCGAGAGTCTTGCGCTGTAGCCCGATCGCGAGGAGAATTGATGTTTGAACACCAGTCAAAGACACTGCCGATCCAAGCCGACCTTCGAAATATAGAGATGCAAGCACTGGAAGCATGTCCAGAATCACGTGGTAGTCTAGCATGTTATTCGCATAGCTGTCCAGCCGTTTCAGATCAAAAGCCGAGAACTTATCGTCAAGATCTGTTTTCGTCAGGACATTTGGTGTGGTGTTTCGATCTAGCATGGCGCCTGCGTTTGCACTTTCGTTGACGGACAGGGCGAGAATCGAGGGAAATGTTCGGAACTCGTAAGAGAGGAGCGAACGGAAGCGACGCTGGAAATCACGACAGAAAGCGCCAATATAGCTGGCATCGACCTCTGCACCATCCAGAGCACGCAACATCACACATGTATGCTCTCCCGTGAGATCGTTTGGTGTTTGTCTAAGGTATACCGGGGAAAAGGAAGATCTCTTCCAGAACCTGTGCAAGGTGGATGTGAGACCGTAGCTAACACCCAAATAGTCAAGGTGAGGCGGTTTACGCTCACTAAGGCGTGCAAATAGAGGTGGCATCATCTTGTCATCTCGAACCTTGATGTTGTCCTGTAGTAAAGTTGGTTCGTCGAGATCCACATCGGTTATACGTGGCATCGCAGATTCCTCTGCTACTGAACTTTCTGATAAGTTGACAAATTTCCCTTCGTAGAAATTTGTCAAAAGGTCCAAGGCCTTCGAGCCGTAGCCCATATTCGCGTAGTCGGGATTCGTGGCGATACGGACAATACGAGCACCTGAAAGCTGGGCGAAGGAGTCTTCTTGAAATTGCTGGCTGACCAGCCACGGAATGAGGTCGCCGCCAGCTCGGTGACCCCTACTTAAGCTCTGCAGCACACTCTCTCGGCTGATCTGACCTTCTAACGCGACCTGGATAACGCAAAGTATCTCCGGTAAACGCCCGCTATCCAAGTCAGAAGATGCCACAAGAGCAAAAAGCTGATGTGCGGGGGCGTCTGACATGAGTTGCAGGTCGTTGGGTGAATTTTTGTAGTGACTGGCAACATAAAGAGCCATCATGTTCTGCAAAAACTTCTCCGCTGCCTTGTGGAAAGAGAAAAGAGTGTCTCGATTAATTTGTAGAAGCTCGCACTTCGAGGGATGCGGACATCCTTGTTGGCTTAGTTTCGATTTCGGAAGATGGGCGTCGAGGCAGAGTAAAGAGTTCAGCCACTTTTCCACGGGATCTCCAGGTGCGTACCGTATAGGCTCAGAAAGGGTGATTTCACGCAGTGACCGTCCGACACTACCTATTCCCGATGTATCTTTATAACCTTTACCCGTAGATCTGTCTGCCACAGTCTCATCCACGGCGTTGGCTTTTGATGCCCCTCTTGACTGATCTCTCAACTGCTGAATAAGTTTCAGAGATAGTGACCGGCCTGTGCCTTCGTATCCGTTGATAGTCGACGCCATGAATACCAGATATGGACCCATGAGTTTACGGACTAGGGGCAACGGGATAGCCGCAGCCTCGTCGATAACTAGGAGCTCAGCTTGGCCTAATGCATAAGCGTCTTGTGGCCGAATATACTGAATTGTTTGCCGATGCTGCCGGTGGATGTTCACTCTCACGATCGCTTTGTTGAACTCCCGATTAGTTGATTGGATGATGGTGTAATCAACGTGGTCCAAGTAGTTCAGAGCATCGAAACCCTTGAAGACGAATTCGAATAATGTCTTTAGATTCTCTGGACTTGGAGAGGTGATGAAGATGTTGCTGTAGCCATGTGCTACCGCAGCAGCCACAGCAACTCCAAGAGCTGCTGATTTCCCACGCCCACGGGCTGCAGTCAGTGTGACTGTACTTTGCAATGTCTTTTCTGCTATCGCATCGACAAATGTAAGCAGTGCCTTTGCCTGGTCTACGGTACGTGCTAGTGGTATTAAAGAGCCTATAGGGGGTGAATCCGTGAAACTGTCCTTGATTTTCTGCAATTCGAGGGCTTCTGGAGTCTTGCCTTGGAGCTCAGAGTCAGGGGGCGGTAAGCGGGTGACCGATCGCCCGCCGGAGATGGGGAGTACGTTCAGCTCATCATCAACTACCAGACAGGAGTCGCAACTACCTAGAGATAAAATGAATCGCTCATTGAATCGGGCCACAGCATCTTGATGCGCTTCCGTCCGATACCTGGAATGGACGTCCATAGAGAGTGTGTATAGCTGCTTCAAACTGTTCATCCCCTTCAGGAGTAGAATGACCAAGCCACCACCTTCGACAGTTTCGACAGTTCGCGCCAGTAGATTCGGAGTGATCGCCTCGAAGTCTTGAAGAATACACATGCCGTATGTATTACCCAATATCTTCTCTGTCTCTTTATAGTATACATATCGAACATTCTGAGTCGATATGAAGAGTTCGAAAGGGTCCTCGGAATCGGCGGGCCGTATGCCCCTTTTGATATCGCTCTTGATCTTCTTCTCGCGCTTCTTGCGGTGGCTGAATGTATGCCTCCATTAGCAGCATTCTCGGCATGATTCGGTTGCATGCTAGACGAACCTAGAGAATTGTAGGAGGTCCTTCTTGTACGCCCACAGCACCGATTTGTTGAGTTTGATATCGGTGTTGAGAAGTATGTGGTACAGCTGAACTATTACATCTTTCTGGCGATCTCCTACGACCACGAAGAAACTTCGTTTCTTTTCCTATACATGCAGGCTCGTAAGCTATTATGCTCTTTATATGTGGTAGGGTCAAGACAAGTCGCACCTGAACTCCATTCCGAATAACGGCAGGTACGCGGTGATCTCTTGAGATAGTCAGCAAGTAATTGGATTTGGGAATTCGAAAATACTGACACTGCTTTGTGCACCATAGTCGCGGCAGCGACGCTGCGAATGATTAAGACACGGATGTATCAGCCAGCTCTCTAGGCAGTTCTATCGATTGTATAGCACTGCAAGGTTGTCTACTTGTCGAGCCGTAGTTCAGCGCAACGGAAGACGTGAGCCAGCGAACTTTGCAAGCTCTTGGCGCATAAATCTAAACGACTTTTTTTTAGTCGCGACACCCATGGATGAAGCCCGATCGGCGTCTGTCCCGCAGCTGTCTAAGCCGAATTGAGACTAATTAACTGCATTCTACATTCTACCTAACAAACTCACTCCTAGATAGGTTTACGTCAACTGCCATGCTGCACTGTGCTCTTCAATTTTTGACTCATGATATTAAGGTTTATTAAAGTGTCTATGGAAGCAGGAATCTAAGTAAACACTCCTAAATCACCGGTTTGCCATCCTCATCAAATGATTCGCGCCTGCGACCGACCACTGGCGAGCACGCCAGCCATGAAATAGACGACTCGATTCATATTCCATCCAAACGCCAGAATATGCAGCAACAGTACTGATTGTACCCGAAATCATGACCATGAGAGTCCCTCCAGGATTGCCGGGATGGCTCAGCTAGCGAGAACCGTAGTAGTTCGTTCCATAGAGTGAATCGAATGCTGTGTTGACGTTGCGATGATGATCTTTGGCTTTCTCGAGTACATGGTTATATGCGCGTTTGAGTAGCTTCGAGGGCGACTTGTCATGTGCTATGCCAGCCTTCGGTGCGGACACGACACTCGAGGCTGAATCAAAGGATGATGCCTTCGAGGTGGTGTCCATTGATGCGGATCGTGGCATTCTTATTTGAGGTGGAGTTGAGATGTCGTAAAGTAATGTTGGGTCGAATCAATGGGATAAGAGAAATGCTGCTTTTCCAAAGATCGCCTGGATAAACGTTGGCCAATGTTTAAGGTTCTGGGCAAAGTTGCACTGCTGGAAGGTGATGCGAAAATTGATACTGTGGTTTATGCCCAGCTTCACTTGTACTTCTGCCAGTGATATTTATATGATGAATCATACCAGAGAGCGGCATCATTTTCGAGACCAGTCATCGTTGTGGATCATTGCGCCTTGTGCTTGACAGTGGCTTGCTTGCTAATGTTCTATAAAGTCACGATGGAGCAAACTAGCTCCACGAATGTACAAGCTGGGCAAGTTTCGGCCACCACAGGGCGTAGCATTAATAAGCAGCAACCAATGAAGTGCAGTGCTCGATTTTTGGAGCGGCATTAGTAAGTCGCATCTAAGGAACTGTCGTTTACCCGTCCCAGGCACTTCGGAGTTGTAACCTCCGAAGTGACAACTCCGAAGTGACAACTCCGAAGTGCGTAGGACGGGTACAAGTCATGCGGCAGATCAATGTCGTGGGTAGCCGTATCCAAGGAGAGGCCCGATTTTCTCCGCCGGCATAAGTCAAGTGTAATGTAACATGGAGCTCAAGAGTGCTTCCTACCACCACAGTATCCGAGTGAGCGGAGTACTACTGTCGGCGATACCAAGGCGACATGTTACTCTTTCTTGTTTCTAAAAACATGGTCCGTTTCTAGTTATTGATACACGATCGACTTCATTTCAGCATTTCGGCCACTGTTTCCTGCATCGGCTTTGGCCCTCTACCAAACGGACGCAGAAGTTGAACAAACGTGTTGTCAAATTTCTCGCACTCGCCGTCCGGCAGCGCGTCATACGTCCTTGACCACCATTTGATCATTCCTTCATCTTCCCCTTGTTCATCGATATAGTATTGTTCGTGCTCGTTCCTAGACACGATTTCCACTCTGAGCTCCCGGCCGAGTGAACTGGAAACCATCTCTGCGACTTCGGCGAGGGTATGAGAATTCATCGCCGACAAGGTAACTATCTTGTGGTTCCACCTCAGGGAATCGTCGACAATGATCGATGCGTTGGCAAGACCGAGATCAGGTATGCTGGTCCAATTGATCTTGCCATCCCCAGCGATCTTCACGACCGCCCTTTGATCATTACCAATATTCCAATGTCCAAGGTACAGGGGCCAGGATTCGTTGTAAAGGCCTTCGCGGAGAATTGTCCAACGAGTGTCATTGACTTTGTCCTGGAGATACTTCTCCGTGACCAAGTGGGCACGCATGACCTCGCTTTTGGACCGGTCCGCGAATCCCAGTGACGTATAGTAGATGTGTTTGACACCTGCTGCCCGAGCCGCATCGATAGCCGCGATATGGTGCCTCTCTCTTCCGCCCTCCGCACAATCATGAAAGTCAAGGCTAATGACGGTAGAAGATACAATGAAGACACGATCGCAACCCTGAAAGGCAGCTACCATGGAGGAAGGATCGTCGAAATTTGCGGAGCGGATGCTTGCACCTTGCACCCTCAGGTCATCCCAGCGGGAATGAGATGGATCGGACGATGTTGCGATCACGAGCTGAGATGGAGCAATCAATTTGTTTTCGCATATCGAACGAAGAACTGCACCACCGAGTTTGCCAGTTGTTCCGGTAAGCGCTACCTTGTAGGTCATACTGCTTCTCTTGCACTTGATGTTACCTGCGTAATCCAACTTGTTCTCAGTCTTTTATATGCCGCCGCGCGGATGACGTCCGCGCCGGGGACAAGGAGACGGATGATGACAAATGGGTTTCCGCCAGGCCACCTGTAAAGGAAAACAGCCTCAGGTTTGCCGGTGGCATGACGAATGCTCATCCAAAGTCCATTGCACTCTCACCTATGTGGGCAAGCCCATGTGTTTGTAGAAGTCAAAAATAGCAAGGCTGATGAGATAATGAGTCTTAAACCTCTAAACACTCAGAGCTGACCAGATGTTTTAATCTAAATTCGGCCGAGATGTCCCCTTGATCTTAGCTAGCGTAATTTCCTCACCCCTGGCGAAGGCTGCAGCTTGCAGGTGACACCACAATCTTTGATACAACTTGGGACTGCCTTAACACAACAACGCCATAGCTGCAACGCTCGCCGCGACAAGCCTCCTCCGTCCGGTCTGGCTGACCAAATGCCAGTAGAAGGAGTATGAGACATGAGTACTCTCCAGTCGAGCCAACCGATGAATTCGGCTCAGACATTGCTGATGATGATGATGAATTCCGGAACTCCTCGTCGCTCAGATCAGTTGTTACTAAACATGGCCTGCGAGGGGGCTATAGAGGCGGCTCACTAGGATTAGAAGTGTATGTAATGCTAGTCGCACAGATTAGTTGCCTGAATGCTAATTGGAAAACTTCGCATAGCTCTCGCATGGCTCTCGCAACGATAGCTTTCGTGAGCACAAAGTATATTCTGATTGATCTTTACTTCCGTAAGTCGAACATAGCTATCGCTTTACTGGTCTAACACGCTCCAGATTATCGTACGTCATATTCATTCTTTCTGAGGCGGCGATACTGATCATAATAGCTCTCCATCTGCTGTTTGCCCAACTCATTTCATTGTTGCTACTATCTGCCACGCTTGATCTGGCAGCCTCACAGACTACTTCAGATAAGCTGGCATGGCTGGCTCAGAGTATATCGGCCTCCCAAATGGTCTTAGAACCATCCAAGGCCTCAGTCGTCGCGTGTGTTGCGCTCGCGCTGTCGCTGCCTTTTCTTGCTCAGGCTATTCTTCACTTTCCGAACCTACCAACTGTTAGCATGCTCATAGTATGTGTGGTAGTCGACATTAGGTGAATCTACTGACGGCAATAGATATTTGAATTCACACTGGAGTTCGCTTGCGGGCAAGCGATATCTGATCCTGCATGCCGTTTGGGGCTTAAACGCGTCATGATACCCTTGCTTTTGCTGTTAATTGGATGCTCATGGCTTTTACTGGACGAATACCGTATGGAATCTAATGGTCTTCTCTTTGCGCTCCCTGCATGGGGTCTCTTTGGCCTATATAGGGCAATAATCGAAACGTACACTTTAGTCAAGATATCGCCGCAGTCGCAGCGTTTCATCAATCATACCTTGCGGACGACAATACTTATGTCTTTGGGAATGACCACGCTTTTGCTTCTCATGTTGGAACGCCCTCTGCAAGTCTTCTCCGACCTGAACCTTGTCCATCCAATAACGCTCGCGATCAATCTCGGATCTACGGCATCATCACTACTTCTATTCTTCAGCAATGTGGACGGCTTTAATCAAGAAAAGGTCGCTAGTGGCATTCCATCTGCCACTTGGACTCTTCGCGGTCTCTGCTGGGCAGGTACTTGTGCAGTTGCAAGTACTTTGCTAACACGCCCTGCGATGTCTACCAAGCTACAGGTTGCAAGTCTTCTCGCGCCGTCACTATCAGTTGTTGTCTCGCAATTGCTATGGGGGAGAGAGGTTTCTGAACAGCGGAGGGGCCAACGACTACGGCAAAGAGGACGAGATAGCCGACAGAGTGGAGATAGGGATATAGGCCTGGTTGATATACCTCAGATAGAAAGATCTCCTTCTAGAGACAAGCGCGACCCACCTTCGACGTCGCCATCGAAGCAACAGACGTCACTACAACAGGTTTCTGCGCTCACTAGCGCCATGGGCAGAGATTGCATGGCACTACTTGCACTATCTCTATGTATTTGGACTTTGTTTGCAGTGTTCGTATCGCCTCGAGCGAAGACCATCTCTGAAGACCAGAAGCTCTTCGTGGCACATCTCGATCGGGCATATATCCCCAAATTCGACTTCGATATAGTCGTGAGCGCTTATGACGAACCTGCTGCTTTCGCGAAAGACATAGCAACGCGGATCAGCAGTCTGTCAAGTTTCGCCGACCAGAAGATAAGATTGTGGGTATATACGAAAGACGACAAAGCGAATGTTGAAGAGTTGACTGAAAGGACTGGTGCTTCTCACGTTGTGAAACGTCCCAACATTGGTAGAGAAGGAGAAACATACCTGTATCATATTGACAGAGAGTGGGATAATCTTGCACGCCATACTCTGTTCGTGCAAGCACACGTTCACAACGCTTGGGAGTTTTACCGGCGGATCGATCAGTACTACAACCAGACCACAGGCATGTTAAGTCTTGGCTTTGTGGGACATATATGCGAATGCTATAATTGCCACGACCGCTGGGGCTTTGATGATGATACAGGCACCATCTTGCCTGATATCCACGAAGAAGTCATGAAAGAGACTTGCCGGACTCCTTTGCTGTCCTACAAGGGGCAGTTTATCGCTTCTGCACGACGGCTACGGGGTACCGACCGGAAAACCTTTCAGAAGCTGCATAAACTGATTGCCGATCCTGAAAGTGAGGTACATAAACCTGGGTATCTAAAAGGGCGACCGGACTCGATGAACGCGCCATTTTTCGGCTACACGCTAGAACGGTTGTGGTCAATACTGTTGCAATGCTCGGAATACAGGATTGCTCTGCGATGCCCATCGACACTCAGCGGTACAAGGAGAGGAGGGAGTTTGGCCGACTGTCAATGTTTGGACGATAGTGTGTAAAGTGATTTCTGATTTACATGACGTGCGATGTGAAGGCTCTTGTGTCGTGAAAACAATTGTTCATTGCGATAATCCATGTACTGCTAGTGTCTGAATCACCTCTTCTCCCCATCAGCACTGATTGTACTGATTGTATTTTTACACATGTCAGGGTCCGCCCAAGGCACATTCTCGAGACTCCGTTGAGCGACTTTCAAGCTGGTTGGTATCAAAAGAAATATGGGGCGAGTCTGTGCCTTGGAGGCGCCCCGAACCGAAGACCCTGCATAAGAAAGCCGCGCGTTTTAGAGCTGGCGCCAGCGTCTGGAGATCGACAAGGGGTCGTCTCTTGTCTCTCTTGATACACTCCGCCTTCCCCATATCCTATTTTTGTCTAAGAAGACTGCCATTCATTAATGTGCCCCAATCAACCTACTTCATTCACTCATTGAGACCATCATACTCCAAAGTCTGGTTGTTATTCTTGCTCCCCTTGTTCCGTCGATTTCTCTTTTTGCTACACGAAGCAGAACCCACATCCCTCCTTTGTCCCGACACTCTCGAAACGTCTCCCGTCACATATCCTACCCGCCACGCCGGGACCTCTCCATATCTCATTCGTCCTTCTCCTCTCCTCAATTCCAGCAAACCTCGTAAGCCCTACAGCTCGCTAGCAGCCTTCGAGAGGTTCACAATCTCAGCACGCTCCGTCGCTCCGTGTTCTGGCCATACGTTTGTCATAGATACATAGTAGTCATGTTCGTTGGCAAGAGAGAACTGGTGCAGGACGAGTTCGGCAACATCTACGAGATTCCAGATGGTTTCTGGCATTCCAAGGTCCGTCCCTCAATCATCAGTATGACTTTCGTCTGAAGGCTGACCAAATAGACTGGATACATCGTAAAGTGGGTCGTGTTCTTGATATTATTCTTCGGAGTGTTCGCCTGGATCGTGGCAGGCTATATCCATGCCCGAAGTCGAATGAGAAAGGGTCTACGACCGCTCGCATATCATCGGGTAGGTTACATTGCCAAGGTCTTCAATTCACGAAGCTAACAACGCTGCAGTGGCTGATCCCTCGATCTCAACGGGCTCAATTCGAGCCGCATGATCATTTTACGTTCTATCAGACTCAACCAGGCTATCAAGTCTACGGCATGCAGAACCACCCGGAGCCACCACCACTATATAATGGCGACATGCCACCTCAATACGCCCCTCCGAGTGGTGCGACGAAGGCAGACCCGGTGCAAAACTTTGGTGCTATGCATCAAGGAGCCGAGGGTCATGGCTTTAACAGCGCATCCAACGAGCCCCAATTGCCACCAAGAGCAAAGACGAGAGTCGCGCGGGTTACGGATGCTCTGAGGTTCCTTGGCGAACGGAGGTCGAAGTGATTAGTCGGTGTTTGCAATTCACCTCGTCCCTGGAACGGAGCACTCTGAGAGTCCCATTGGACGAGGCAAAGTCCTTAAAGAGAGGCACGATTGAGCGTGGATATCGTAAGGCTTCGATATATTTATCATTGAAGGAGGCATACTGTTTTCTGTTTCGGCAGCAACTTCACATGCGACACAGTTTCTGCAAAGTACAACTGCGAATATCTACATTTGGCTAGACTGAAATATGGTAGATATGCAATAACTTCATAAATATAGACTACATATCGGTATCCCCGCTACAGCTCTTCGATATCCATGGCCTCGGAGTCACATTCGGCTGTTTGCCATCCTGTAGGTTTACTCGGGGGGTCCCTTGCTAAATGGCTGCCGACGGTCATGTTGTAGTCGGTAAACTTGTTCGGCTGAGTGGCTGGCCAATCCTTCACTCTAGCTCTTGCTTCAGCAATAGCCTTTTTTACTTTGTCTTGTTCCTCCTCCTGCACGGTCAGCGAAGATGGGACATTGTATAGAACTAGTTGGTTTGTCCTGGTAGGCAATAGCTCTTTCTCGTCGCGAAGAACATGCTTGGGTATCTTGATCAGGTGTTTCTCGATATCGGGAAGGAAGATGGGAGTCTCGTCATCCGATTCGAGATCTGCAAGCTCCTTGTCCAAGTCATAGACGTAAACTTTGTGCGGCGTGTCTTCTACCTGCATGTATTCTGTGCTGGAGTTTGCGTCCGCTCGTGGTTCCGACTGTTGCGCATTTTCAGGATGTCGTTCTTGTTGTCCGTATGCGGCGATGGGGATATATCGCTTCCCATGATGGTCTAGGGATTGAAGTCAGTCGCAAGGCATACTTCTGCTATTACACCCCGTGCCCGTACCTATGTTTAGAAGATCGAAGCGCTTTGCTAGTCGCTGGTCGTTTTCGAGAGGATCTGCCGCAGATCGTTTGATGCCGTGCGTTGCTGGGCGCGTTGCGTTGCGATTGCTGGAGTCCTCGGCGCGAGAGGTTGCCATCACCTTTGTCCCATCCCACCTCGCACGCTTGACCGCAGAACCTGATTATCGAGCAAAGAACTTCTGATTGACCACTTGTTCGTATTGGGCTTTGTTATCAATACCGCAAACGCCTTAGACAGCTTTGATTGAGCAGAACACTGGCGCGCTAAGAGGTGAATGCTTGGACGGGGTTTGCGGTGGAGGAGCAGCTCCAGTTTGAGTCACGGTGCCTCGAATGTTCTGCCGCTGTCCACGGCGCATCGAATCCCACAACATCGACCATTGAGGTTTGCTCTGCCGTTGCTACACTTTCCAGGGCTTTCGACAGTCTCACATTTGCGCACGATGGCTTCTCTTGTTGAGAAGAAGCCCGAGTGGTCCGCTGTGCGCGTGCGGGAGACCTTTCTGGAATATTTCAAGAAGAGCGGGCACACTTTCGGTAAGCCAAGGGAAATTCGAGATGCCATGCTTGATTCTCTGCAACATTTGTGACAGTCAAAGCTAATATGGATATCACATAGTGCCTTCTTCATCCGTTGTGCCCCTCTCAGATCCCACTCTACTCTTTACCAATGCGGGCATGAACCAATATAAGTCTATATTCCTAGGAACGGTCGATCCCCAGTCAGATTTTGCTACGCTGAAGCGTGCGGTCAACTCGCAAAAATGTATACGTGCTGGTGGCAAACACAACGACCTCGACGACGTTGGCAGGGATAGTTATCACCACACCTTCTTCGAGATGTTGGGCAATTGGAGCTTCGGCGACTACTTCAAGAAAGAGGCGATTGAGTTTTCATGGAAACTGCTCACGGAAACCTATGCGATCCCAGCAGACCGCCTATATGTGACGTACTTTGAGGGCTCCGAGGGCATGGAGCCGGACTTGGAGGCCAAGGAGCTCTGGAAGTCTGTAGGAGTGCCTGAGGATCACATTCTAGGGGGCAACATGAAGGACAACTTCTGGGAGATGGGCGATCAAGGTCCGTGTGGTCCGTGTAGCGAGATTCACTACGACCGTATCGGCGGCCGCAACGCTGCGCATTTGGTGAACATGGACGATCCGAATGTGCTTGAGATCTGGAACAACGTCTTCATTCAGTACAATCGAGAGAGTGACAAGAGTCTGAAGTCTCTGCCAAACAAGCATGTCGATACCGGTATGGGGTTTGAGCGGTTAGTTTCGGTCTTGCAGGATAAGATGTCAAACTACGACACCGACGTCTTTACACCCCTTTTTCAGCGGATCAATGAGATTACAGGTGTGAGGGAGTATCAGGGGAAGTTTGGCGCAGAGGACCCGGACGACATTGATACCACGTACCGTATCGTTGCCGACCATGTGCGGTTATTGACCTTTGCGATTGCAGACGGTGCTGTACCAAACGCGACTGGAAGGGGCTATGTAGTGCGACGAGTGCTGCGGCGTGGAGCCCGTTTTGCCAGAAAGAACCTCAACGTTGAGATTGGCAGCTTCTTCTCGCAGCTCGTGCCGACGGTCATCGAGCACATGGGGGCGATGTTTCCCGAGATTAAGAAGAAGGAGTCGGACATCAAAGAGATTCTCGACGAGGAAGAACTGTCCTTTGCAAAGACACTGGATCGGGGTGAGGTGCAGTTCGCCAAGTACGCCCGAGAAGCCGAGGCGAAAGGCTCAAATGTCCTGCCTGGCTGGCAAGTGTGGCGGCTGTATGATACGTATGGATTTCCGGAAGATCTTACCGACCTCATGGCCAAGGAGCGAGGACTAAGCATCAACGAGGCCGAAGTCAACGAAGCACGAGAGAAGGCACGTGAGGCGAGCAAGGGCACGAAGAAGGCAGCGTCCGATCTGATCAAGCTGGACGTCCACGATCTGGGTGCGTTGGAGCAGATGCCAGACGTCCCAAAAACGGACGATAGCGCAAAGTTCGGCAAGAGCAATATCACCGCGCATGTCAAGGCAATCTACCACAACCGACAGTTCCTCCAGTCTACATCGGAGGTGCCGGAAGGAGAGCAGCTAGGCCTGCTGCTGGACAAGACGTGTTTCTACGCGGAACAGGGTGGTCAGGAGTACGACACCGGCAGTATACTGATCGATGGCGTGGCCGAGCTTGACGTCGAGAACGCACAAGTCTACGCCGGCTATGTGTTGCACACTGGCGCCATGAAGTATGGCAACCTCTCTGTGGGCGACGAAGTAACATGCCAATTCGAAGAGCTCCGCCGCGCTCCAATCCGCAACAACCACACGGGCACGCACATCCTCAACTACGCCCTCCGCGAAGTCCTCGGCGACGACATCAACCAGAAAGGCTCGCTCGTCGCCCCGGAGAAGCTCCGCTTCGACTTCTCCCACAAGGCCGGCATATCCGACGCCGACCTCCAGCAAATCGAAGACAAGTCCACAAAATACATCCGCCAAAACGTCCAGGTCTACGCCACCGACGTCCCGCTCGCCACCGCAAAGCAGATCCAGGGCGTCCGCGCCGTCTTCGGCGAAACATACCCGGACCCCGTCCGCGTCGTCTCCGTCGGCGTGCCCGTCGAGGACCTCCTCCAGGACGTCGCGAACCCGGAGTGGCGCAACGTCAGCGTCGAGTTCTGCGGCGGCACCCACGTCGACAAGACGGGCGACATCAAGGAGCTCGTCATCAAGGAGGAAATCGGCATCGCAAAGGGCGTGCGGCGCATCGTTGCGGTCACGGGCCAGGCCGCGTACGATGTCCAGCGCCTGGCCGACGAGTTTGCCACTACGCTCACCGCGCTGGAGAAGATGCCGTTTGGGCCCGACAAGGAACGGCGTGCAAAGGCGACGCAGAAGGAGCTGGACATGCTCGACATTTCGGCCGTGCGCAAGTCCGAGTTCAGGACGCGCTTTGCGGCGGTGGGCAAGGCGATCCTGGACGAGCAAAAGGCTGCTGCCAAGGCGGAGCTCAAGCGCGTCCTGGATATTGTTGCCGGGCATTTCGGTTCTGGTGACACGAAGGATGGTGCAGAAGAAAAGGAGAAGGAAAAGACCCCCTTCCTAGTCACCAAAATCCCCTACAGCCCAACCGTCAACAAAACCATCAGCGAAGCCATCAAATCCGTCAGCACCAAGAACAAGGATAACGCAGTCTATCTGCTCGCCGCGGATGAGGCCGAGGGCAAGGTCGTGCATGGCTGCTATGTGGGCGCGGTATGTCCCCCCCCCTTTCCCCCTTTTCCTCCTCCTCTATCTTTTTTCCCCCTCCCAACAATCTATCTTCGTAGGTACTAACTCAGACACAATAGCAATACACATCAAAAGGCGCAACAGCAGCAGAATGGTCCAAGGCCGTTAGCGCGGTTGTCGGTGGCAAGGCGGGTGGGAAACCCCCGGCTACGGCGATTGGACAGGGCACGGAGGTGCGCAGGGTGGATGAGGCGCTGGGTGTGGCGACGGCGTGGCTTGAGGGGTTTGGGCTTTGATGGGGGGTTGGTTGAGGGGAGGGGGGAGTAAGGGGTATGGAGAGGGCGATGGGAGAGGAGAGGGTGTATGATAGGTATGCATGCATGCGAGACTGGTGTGGTATGGTATGGTATGGTGTGGTATGGTATGGTAGGGTACGCAACATCAAAAGATAAAATGAAATGCCATAAAGGAGTCCGAAATCTCTCCTCCCGTAGCAGCACCAGCAGCAGCAGCAAGAAAGATGCTCATGTCGCACGACAATGGCGTATTTCCGATCTGAGTGTATGGGGAAATGGTGCGGAGTCTTGCTTGACGGTAGAAGGAAGGATATATGATTTAAGTCCTGGGGTCTGTCTGATCTTTGGTATTAGTTGGGTGGAGAGGGAGAGGGATAGGGATTGGGGGGTGGATATTGTCGTGGGTCTACTAACACCCTGACTGACATTTTGGGGTGGAAAGGAATTGGGGGTGTGATGATGGGTTGGGATGATGGGGTTGGCGGATATATATTTATTCAATTTATTCTTCGATTCATTCTTCGATTCATTCTTCGATTCATTCTTCGATTCATTCTTCGATTCAT